TTTTTAATTCGATAATTTAAATTTTATAATTGAAAGAATTTGTCATAATCAGGAAAAATTAAGAAAAACCTGATATTTAAGAAGAGAATTATTTTTTACAAAATTAATAATTTTAAGTTTATCGTTTTACAATTCCGAAGGTTTTATCAGCTTATGGGTCCGGTATGCATCTGGGTTGTAGCTACCCAGCTTATTGATCAGGGAATTTTCGGACCCCGCGCTTTTATCATAGAATTTTTCTGTCAATTTGTAAATAAATTCTTTGATTTCAGGAATATTGGTTGTCTCGTGAAGATAACTTATCCTCGTTCTGAACCTAGAACTAAGAACCATTCTTAAACATTTATTCTGAAAAACCTGTAGCCTTTTTAAGTACATTTTTGCACTATTTGCAAACACAGGGCAACCATATGTGAGGAGGGGTCTAATATAAGAACGATAAATAGTTAATTTGGAATGAATTGGGACATAACTGAATTTTTTTAAAAGGGGATAAAGTGTATGAATAGCTTTATTTGCCTTGGCTATGTTCTTATTGATATTGTCTTTGAATGTTAATTTAGTATCCATCCAAACTCCTAAATATTTGACTGAGTCAATTTTTTTAACGAATCAGAACAAACATTTGCCAACAGCATTGAAAATCGAAATTTTTTAACTGACATGGAAAATCTTGAAGCCTTAAATGCATTTCCACACAGCATGTATGATACTGGGTTAGTGTCAGCACAAAATTTATTAGATTAAGGAAACTAAATTAAAGAAATTTTGTTTTTAAAGAGTGGGCGGAGACTTCGACATTACACCAGAACGAACATCATCCACCAGTCTTGAGTTTCAAGATTTTTCAGCTGATATTTGTTTGATCGATGAAGATAATCGAATCGAAAATCTTGGAGAGTTTTTGGATGAACTTCGAAGAAATTTGGGAAATTTGGACGAGTCTGGGTTAGTATCAACTATCAATATTTGAATATCTAAAATCAAAAGCTTATTTTAAAGTATTGAAAGCTTGGATGAAAGCGTCCTCAATCTATCAGAAAACGAAAATAGTCTTCATCAAGGACATCCTGATAATAATTATTCAGAAATACCAGAAAGAAGACCTACAAATGCCTCAACAATTCCCAATATTTTGGCTGATGTTTCCCTTGAAAATCTTAATGACTCCTTGAATGATTTTTTAGAAAGCTTGGATAACTCTTCAGTGATGTCAAGCACAAGGTTTGATTTTTGATTTAATTTTATTTGATACACAAAATGAACAAAAAATTGTTTGTCAAAATCCTTTTCTAATCAATTATTTCGTCTTAAAGGATGAATCAAAATTTAAATGACGTATTAAATGATCAAGTTCCATTCGAAGAAAGAACCGGTAATGATTCTGTCGAACCAGAAATAAGAGCTGACCTTAGCGCTGAGCTAAAAAGCTTTTTAGACGATGTGGAAAAACTATTCGGAAAGCCAACGTGGTTTCATAAAATTTAATAAAATCCTCGAAACAATAAAAAAATGCAGCTTACTAAATTTGAAACTCTAGAGAATAATAACCAGATGCGTCTAATTGTCTCATATATTTTATAGTCACTTTCTAAACATGTATTCTCAACCATAATTAATCATCATTATGAAAAGTGTGTGTGTGAGAAAAATTAAGAAAAAGATCAAACGTCGACAATTTTTGCTTATNGAAAACGAAAATAATCTTAATCAAGGACATCCTGATAATAATTATTCAGAAATACCAGAAAGAAGACCTACAAATGCCTCAACAATTCCCAATATTTTGGCTGATGTTTCGCTTGAAAATCTTAATGACTCCTTGAATGATTTTTTAGAAAGCTTGGATAACTCTTCAGTGATGTCAAGCACAAGGTTTGATTTTTGATTTAATTTTATTTGATACACAAAATGAACAAAAAATTGTTTGTCAAAATCCTTTTCTAATCAATTATTTCGTCTTAAAGGATGAATCAAAATTTAAATGACGTATTAAATGATCAAGTTCCATTCGAAGAAAGAACCGGTAATGATTCTGTCGAACCAGAAATAAGAGCTGACCTTAGCGCTGAGCTAAAAAGCTTTTTAGACGATGTGGAAAAACTATTCGGAAAGCCAACGTGGTTTCATAGAATTTAATAAAATCCCCGAAACAATAAAAAAATGCAGCTTACTAAATTTGAACCTCTAGAGAATAAAAACCAGATGCATCCAATTGTTTCATATATTTTATAGTCACTTTATAAATATGTATTCTCAACCATAATAATTGTAGGAACTAATGAAAACACGTTTAAGTTTAAATAGCTTACTGTTTTTATTTCGTGTCGTATTAGTTCGGGATCTCTTATTGAAGTGATCTTCTAATAAGTAGATTATACAAAAGTCACGTCAGATATTTGGATGATCAACTTTCGATAGTCGAATGTAGTAATCATTTACATTTCGGCTTTTAAATAAAGTACTAGTGTACGTGCGTTACACGTTCTAACAATAATCATCATTGCAAAAAGTGTGTGTGAGAAAAATTAATAAAAAAGATTAAACGTCGACAATTCTTGCAAATAAAAGTGTTCTGCTTATTTCAGTTTGAATGTACTCATTAAGAAGTTGACAAATGAAAAACTGGGACATAAAATTTTATTAAGACGTCAAATAAAATTTTTAAAAGTTTAGAAAAAATGAAAGTTTTAAATAGATTTCATAAATTCGGGTTTGGTATCGTATTTGGCTTTTTGATTGGATTTTTATGGAGTTTGATATATTCTTATGAAGGCACTTCATTTTTTCATGAGACTTTAGTCAAGAAGGTTTGTTTTCCTTTCATTATGTTTATTTTCCATTCATGCATTTTCTTTTAATTATGAAGGAAGTCCTTCCACAAGTATACGTCATAACACCCACCTACAGACGACAAGAGCAGTTGGCTGATTTAACTAGATTAGGGTACACGTTGAAGCATGTTCCAAATTTGTTATGGCTATTAATAGAAGACTCTGATTCACTAAATCCACTTGTGGCGGATCTTCTAAAGAAAATTAATGTTCCTTTCGTTCATTTAAATGGCAAGGTGCTTTCAATTTTAATCCCTAATAGTTTGTCATTCTCAAACATTTCAGCAAGAATACCCGAAGAATACCAAAAAAAGAAAGGCAAACCTCGTGGAGTTTCGAATCGTAATCTTGGTCTTGAGTGGATAAAAAAAAATGCAACTGATGGAGCATTTTACTTTGCTGATGATGACAACACGTACGATCCTGAGTTGTTTGAAGAAATACGAAAAACTGTCAATGTTTCAATGTTCCCCGTTGGGGTTTGTACACCATACCAAGTTTCGTCCCCTATCGTTCGTGATGGCAAGATTATTGGCTTTTATGATGGATGGAAAGCTGGTCGGAAGTTTCCCGTTGACATGGCAGGGTTCGCAGTTGGCGGAAAGTTTCTCTTATCACGTCCAAATGCAACAATGTCATTTGTAATGGGAAAAGAAGAAGAAGATTTTCTTAGAAGCTTAGATCCATTTGAAATATCTGATATAGAGTTGCTGGCATCAAACTGTACAAAGGTAACGGAAGCTGTTTCTTTAGAGATCATGATGAATGAATCAATTTTGTTAACAGATTTTGGTTTGGCACACACGAACACAAAAGAATGCTGAAGCACCAGCTATTGATGTGAAATATAACGACACAAACTTGGTAGAGTTAAGAAAAATTCTCGTATGAGAGTTGATTTTTGAAGATACATATTTAGACGTAATAGCAATTGAACGACTTTTGAATGTTTCATCTGTTTAAATAGTTGTTTAATTGTGTATATGTGAGTTTCCAAAACTGTTCTTATGTCTTCGTAACATATGCGCTTACTCACTAAGTTCTCAGTTGAGAAATAAGTCTCAAAAATTAGAGTCACTAAAAGCTATGCAAAATTTAATTATATCTGAAATAAATATATTAAGTTTTCAAATTTTAACCATGCTGCGTAATCGCTCAATTCAAAGTTTTGTCAAATTTTCAATTTAAAATAAAATATGTGAATAAAAATAAATTTAAAATGCAAAAGATTTAAATATCTACTTTGTTATTTTAGTAGAACTTGAATTAATATTTTTTACAGGTTCTTGTTTGGCATACTCAAACAGTCAAGACGGAAAAATCGAAACAAATTGATCATGAAAAATATGGCAACACAAATTTGGAGCAATTAGCAAAACTTATAGTTTAAGTTATTAATATGTTATGGAAAACGAATAATATGTTAAAATGTAATAAAACTTAGGAAATTTATTTTAAGTGATCAATCACATCAGTGCAGTGATTGGCTTATTAAGTTCTCCAATTATTTTAAATCGTCATCGCAGTTAATTAATTTAATTTAGTTCTAAACTATCATGAACCAATTTTGANAATGCACTTCTTAATAACTTCGATGAATCTACGATGATCCCTAGTGCAAGGTACGATTTGTAATACCTAATTGATTCAATATGAATTTAAATATTTTCTCTCGAAAGAACAACTCAAGACATCAATGATACATCAGAAGATGAAAACCTTTTTGAAGAATACATCGACGATAATTTTTTTAACGAATCAGAACAAACATTTGCCAACATCATTGAAAATCGAAATTTTTTAACTGATATGGAAAATCTTGAAGCCTTAAATGCATTTCCACACAGCATGTATGATACTGGGTTAGTGTCAGCACAAAATTTATTAGATTAAGGAAACTAAATTAAAGAAATTTTGTTTTTAAAGAGTGGGCGGAGACTTCGACATTACACCAGAACGAACATCATCCACCAGTCTTGAGTTTCAAGATTTTTCAGCTGATATTTGTTTGATCGATGAAGATAATCGAATCGAAAATCTTGGAGAGTTTTTGGATGAACTTCGAAGAAATTTGGGAAATTTGGACGAGTCTGGGTTAGTATCAACTATCAATATTTGAATATCTAAAATCAAAAGCTTATTTTAAAGTATTGAAAGCTTGGATGAAAGCGTCCTCAATCTATCAGAAAACGAAAATAGTCTTCATCAAGGACATCCTGATAATAATTATTCAGAAATACCAGAAAGAAGACCTACAAATGCCTCAACAATTCCCAATATTTTGGCTGATGTTTCGCTTGAAAATCTTAATGACTCCTTGAATGATTTTTTAGAAAGCTTGGATAACTCTTCAGTGATGTCAAGCACAAGGTTTGATTTTTGATTTAATTTTATTTGATACACAAAATGAACAAAAAATTGTTTGTCAAAATCCTTTTCTAATCAATTATTTCGTCTTAAAGGATGAATCAAAATTTAAATGACGTATTAAATGATCAAGTTCCATTCGAAGAAAGAACCGGTAATGATTCTGTCGAACCAGAAATAAGAGCTGACCTTAGCGCTGAGCTAAAAAGCTTTTTAGACGATGTGGAAAAACTATTCGGAAAGCCAACGTGGTTTCATAGAATTTAATAAAATCCCCGAAACAATAAAAAAATGCAGCTTACTAAATTTGAAACTCTAGAGAATAATAACCAGATGCGTCTAATTGTTTCATATATTTTATAGTCACTTTCTAAACATGTATTCTCAACCATAATTAATCATCATTATGAAAAGTGTGTGTGTGAGAAAAATTAAGAAAAAGATCAAACGTCGACAATTCTTGCTTATAAAAGTATTTCAGTTTTAATTTTCATTAAGAAGTTGACAAGTGCAAAACTGAGATACAAAATCTGATTCATTATTTATCGTGATTGTGTTTACTTTTAAATAAATAATTGTTCAATAATGAGAATGCAAAGGTACAAAAAATCTGAGTTGTTTATGATTTTTCTCATGATTAGTACATCTGTATATATTTTATGGACTGAAACATCATTTAAACAATCAATTGTTGAAAACTTCAAAAAGGTTTAAAAATTAAAATTAAATTTTTCAATCATAATTTTTTTTGAGAAAAAAAAATTTTTAAATTTAGTTAAGATATATCGGAAACTATTCTCCACCTGTTTACGTAATAACTCAAACCCATCGCACTCCAACACAACTACCTGACTTAACTAGACTTGGAAACACTTTGAAGCATGTTAGTAATTTATTTTGGATTATTGTGGAAGAAACTAATAAGCCCACTGAAGCAGTTACTGAACTTTTGGAAAGAATGAAATTTCCTTATGTGTATTTAACTTGTAAGTTTTCTTTCCTTATTTATTTTAAAATTCAAGTGTTTTATAGTAACGATAATGTCAACAATATGAATCAACTTCAAGTCCCTGCTGGTAACTATCAAGATGAGAACATTCGCAAAATTTCTAATCGTAACCGAGCTTTAGAATGGCTGCGATCTAATGCAGTGGATGGAGTTTTCTTTTTCGCAGATGAAAATCGCACTTTTGATCCTCGATTATTTGAAGACGTAAAATATATGAGAGACAAAAATAATAACATTCATCTAACAAAAAATCATTTTAAGATTCGTTCCACAAAAAAGATTTCAATGTTTCCAGTGGGATTAACAAGTAATGGATTGTCTTCACCAGTTGTTCGCGATAATAAATTAATTGGCTTTTATAGTGGATGGAGACCTGAAAGAAAGTATCCCGTTGACACGTCATCATTTGCAATCAATGTTAACTTTTTCCTATCGCGACCAGACGCAAGCATTCCAAGGAACGCACATGAGCAAGAAGATGGATTTTTGAAAAAATTGGAACCATTTGGAATGGATGAGATAGAATTGCTTGCTTCAAGTTGCACAAAAGTAAAACGTTTTTAAATTTTCATTCAGGTGAAAATTAATATAATATTTATTTAAGATTCTTGTTTGGAAAACAGAAACCGTCCAGTGCGATAAACCGAAAGCTATTGATCTTGAAAAGTATAAGAACACAAACCTGGAAAAATTAGCAAATGTGGCTACCTAGTTTATTATCAACATATTTGGGTTAAAGTCATTTATTGCGTATAATTTTGTAAACTTGATTAGTTAAATATCATTTTATATTTGAGAAGTAGTATCGGAAACGTAATAAATCTGATTGAAATTAATGAAAATTTCAATCTTATAGCTACGGATTATATCGATCAGCTTAATCCTAATCGAAGAGAGAAATCAGCGTAACCCAGAAAAGAGAGAAAAATTTAGAACATAATAAATTACCAGCACAAAAGATTTACTTTTCTTGTTTATTTTATCTTATCTCATCATCTGATTAGTGATTATTAGTAATAAAAGCATCAAATTGTTCAAGAAGTTATAAATAATTTGAGGAATTAAAAGATTTAGTAAATTAATCTCTCAATTTAATTCTTTATTGATTTCATAATTTTTATGTTTGTTTTCAAAGAAGAAAGCATAAATCATGACTTCAAGTGACGAATTTCTTGAAACTTATGAAGAATTTCGTAAAATTTACCAGGAATGTTCAAATTTAATAGGAAGTGGGATTGAACTGGAAATACAAGACGAGAATAAGGTAAGTTCTGCATATAAGATATTAATTAAGAAACAAGTTTGTAACTTGATATTTTATTTTCATTGGTCATCATAATATTTCTAGGCTTTAGAAAAATACAAGGAAGCGATTACTTTAATTGATAAAGCAATGGCAACGTCGATCTCAATGCCATCAAATGACAATGTTGAAGAATCGTCAAATATTGAAACGAAAATGAAGGATCTGAAGAAAATGATTTACAATTTTAAGATGCAAAGATCTGAAATTCTCCTAAGAATTGGAACAATTTATAGAAAAAAGGAAGATGAAGTTGAATCATTAAAAAGAAAAACTTCTGTAGAATCTCTTGAGTCATCAGGTAATACATCAAAACGTCGTGCAAGAACATACGAAGAACTTGAAAAAGTTTTGAAGGAATTGGGAAAAGTTCAATCAGCTGATAAAGAAACCAACAATCCCATTGAAATTCTTTTCTGTTGTAATGGTGTAAAACTTTATTATATTGAAAGTAATGGTGAAGTTGTAAGCTCGCTGGAAGACACTGCATTAAGAATTGTTAAACTTGGATGTGACTTCGATAAAAATCTCGATGAAACAATCTTCCTTCAATTAATCAAAACATCAGACTCGTCGATTGATATTGGTCATGAAATTTCTGAAAATCAACAGACTGAGGAAGAAATTAACGAAGCTGTTGGAGGAGTAGAATCTCATGTAGATCCATCATTCATCTACCCATTGATTCCTGACGTTTCACCATGCTTTCGTACAAAATTCAATGCTTATATTCTGCCTGATCTACAAAATAATGATGGATCGGCGATAGGAATTATTGTTCCACCAGAATTTGATGACCTGGTCTTAGACATTCTCATAACTATTTTAAGAGGTGTTGTAAAAGATGATGGTAATGTTGAATTTGGAGATTTTACACAAATTGGTGAAGAATCAAAAATAAGAAAGCGAGTAACTCGAAGTACGGGAGACAAAGTTTCCGAAAACATTGTAACTGGTGCTCAATGGATTTCGCTCGGCTTAACTAGAACAGCACAAAAAACTGGAGAGTTTATTGATTACTCAACACCTTACATTATTGCCAAAATGCAAAAAGCGCCAGAAAATGCCCCACCAGTGTCTGAAAAAGTTCAAACAGGTGTCGTTGTTGCTAAAAGTCTTACTGGATATGCAGCTCAAGGAACATCATTTGTAGCTGAAAAGGTTGGATCAGCAATGACACGATTTGGCCAATTTCTTGCTCCGCATGTTCAACAACAAGGTTCTAAGCTTCTTACATATACTGTTGGCATGGAAGAATCAAAAGCAACAGAAACGATGACAGAAACATTAAAAATTGCTAGTGGAACTGCTGACGCGATTTCAACTATTTATAATGGACTGCAAAGTTCAGCAGGTATTTTAGGACAAAATCTTGCAGACAATACAGTTAAAATCGTTGAACATAAGTATGGTCAACCAATGGGTGCTGTCACTTCAAACACTTTCGATACTGTCGGAAATTTATACAATGTCAATCGAAATTTCAATATTATGACACCAAAAGGTCTTGTTAAATCAACAGCAAAAAGTGCTGGCAAAGGAATCTTACAATCAGACGCATTCAAACCAAAAGTATATCTGAACAAAAATTATTTCACGGGTTCAGTCAGTTTATACCCGAATTTAGATAATTTTGCAAGGGAACTGAACAAACCTAAGTTTGGACAAATATAAATAAGGAACAAAATAATCTGAACAAATGGAAAAGCTTATATCTCATGTCTAACTCAAATTTTATGTTATTTATTGTGGAAATATTATTTGTTTGGGGAAATAAAATATTTTAAAACTTTAAATTAACGGATTCTTGAAATTCAAAATTCCGCTTCCCTGCGTCTTGTTTTTCGCTTCATCTTGTTATTGATTTTTCTAGAACTATTTTTTTTCGAATCTCAAAAAAGATAATAAGCTCAAGAATATTTTTGTAATATGGCTTAATTAAATATAAATTGACTTTTTAGATTTAGTTTATGTGTGATTGCATCAAATGAAATATAAATTCATATGAAATATTAGGTGAAACTAGTCAAAATGTGTGATTCAGAGAATTGCGATTCAAAAGGAAAAATCAATGGTTCGTTCGAATAAAAAGAAATGTTTTTCCTTTGTTAAATAGCTTTTCTTTCTTTTCAAGATACCTTCAAATTCGATCAAGATGTTGATCTCGAAAAAGATGTTAAACATAAAATGACTAATAGTTCTGCTAGCATATTAAATGACGATACACCAACTCAAGATTCAGGTGTACAGCTTCTGGATTCTGAAACAGATTTAAACGACTCAATGATATCAAGTTCTGGCTTCGACATTGAAAATATACCCAATGAAGCTGTCAAAGCAACTAATGTTGAACAAGTGACTGTTGTAGATTCCATCCCAGATTTATTGATTCCAATAACAACAAAGACTTCTCTCTCGAAAAGTGATTTTGAAAACAATAACGGAAATGAGATGGTAAATCCTGATATCACATCATCGACAATGGATTCCGACATGATGTCGAGCATACATTCCACTTTTGATACTGAGATTACCGAGATTGTTTATCGGAGAAAAGTGAACAAGAAAAAGAAATCTGCACCCAAAAAGCGAGTTTCATTTCATGAAGATATTTTGAATAGTACGAGAACTGATAATATTCACATTGAACACGGTTTCATTACTTATAAAGGAAAAAGTCAGAAACCGAATACAAGATACTCATGGTCAGAATATAACAATGAAGAATTAGATGTTTACGATCAAACTGAAGCAACTTGTCATCATGTTTATAGAAATGCATGTTCTGAAGTTTTACATTATGGAAAAATAGAAATTCAAGATGACGAAGAAAAATCGACAGCTTTAAAAGATCATTCAGGAGTTTTCGAATATCCATCACTCAATGAAAAGAAGTTTTATCAATGCAGCTGCTCAAGTTCGTCAAGTATTGAGTCGGGAAGTTCTGGTGAAAACAATCAAAGTAGCAGCGACTCAAATTCTGACATGAAACGACATTATAAACAATCAAAATCAAGTTCATGTGATTGTATTGGAAGTAATACAAATAACATTGATTTAGGAAATGGGACATATTTCTTTTCAGAACCAAATATTGGGCGATCTGTGTGGAGTAAAGAAAAGAAACCCAAAGGCAGTTGCTTGAAGAAAAGTAAACAAACAAATGTCGTAGAAGAGCGAAAAATTGACCCAAATGTTAAGAAATTCAATATCCATCAAGGTACAAATATTATTAAAAACAATAGTAAAATGTTTATTGGATCCTTAAAAGACATTCTCGGCATTTCCTTGCCTGAACGTGGAGTACCAGAAGGATCTGAAGACAACCCAGAAGAATGTATTCCCAATGAAGTGTCGAAAGACTTTTCCTATCTAAATAAAGTTGGAATTGTCAAACCAAATCCTACTAAAGTTCAAAAGCTGTCAAAAAGTTTAGACGGTGGCTTTGGAAAGCAACAGAAAAGATTTGTTCATAATGTTGATGAACAATTACGTCGTGCTAATGAAGAAGACTTATTTGCACCAAGTTCGTCAAATAGTCGCAAAAATAGTTTGAAAACTGAAAGTTCAATTGAAGAAAAAGAAGCTGAAGAGGATTTGACGATTTCATGCGGAAATGCTCGCAATAAATTTATCATAAATTGCGAAAGCACAGTATTCGAACACACCGGAACAATTGAAATACCAGAAACAATATCCGCAGGGGAGAATCTCATTTCTCATTCCATCAATTCCATCACCCACAATCCACTTAAAAAGAAATTGAGTAATCTTCTTAACTCAATTGCTGGAAACAATCAAAAGTCTGAGCTTGATGTAGCTGGAAACGATGATGATGATGATGATGGTGTCGGTGGAATAAGAATTGTTGAAGAAGTAAGAAGTGAAGCGGAGGGCGAAGAGGAAATTGAAAAGTGCAGAAAGCTGATGGAGTCGAGTATTATATCAACATCTAGTGATATAAACTCATCAATCATATCTGATGAAAGCTCAATCACAGCAACAACATCAACAAATGTAAACCAAATTTATGAAACCAATAAAAGTAGCGATGGGAATATGAAAAAGAAGTCGAAGACAAAACATTTATCATCTCCAATGCGGAAGAAACGACAACATCGGATGAGTCCGGATCTGTTCAATCGAGATTTTCTTCATCAACAGCCAAATCAAAAGAATGTTAACAACATTCTATCGGATGATTTTGATGATATTCTGGCAGTGACTACAGAACCAGTCGTTGATAGCAATGATATTGTCATTGTTGATTACTCGGATGTGAAGCAAGAAATGGAAAATGAAAATAACGCAAACAACTTTTATCTTAAATTACCATCAATTATGACATCGTCAACATCTTCAACGTCATCTAAAACATCGCTGATAAATCGATTTTTAAGAAATGTTACGCAAAAGAAAATTCTTGAAGCGTCAATCAAACGTAATAAATTCTTTCAAGCTAAATTGAAGAATGAAGAAAAGTTATTCAGCGGAAATTTATACGTCAAGGGAGTGAAACCAAAAGATGATTCGTTGATAAAAAATCTCAATGACGAAATTGAAATGGAAATTGAAATGGGCTGTAACAGTTTAGACTATGAAGAAGATAAAAAACTTCTCGATTACCGTCACTCAATTTACTCAAATGACACTTTAACATTCTTTAATGGTGGAATTGAAGATGGAATTGGAATTGGTGAAGTAAAAACTGATTTAATAAATGTGAGAGGGTTGCAACTTTTTCGTGATTCCAATGAAACATTAATGAAGGCTTTTAAGCTGTTTACTGGCTATAGCAACGAGGGAATTATTTGTGCTGTTCTCGTTCTTCTAACTGACAAGACAATTTATATCGTCGAACTTCTGCGCAACAAGTTGTCGAATAAGTTTGTTTTGCCCTATGCGGAGCTTGATGTGATCTTGATGGGACCGATGGGCAATACAGTTCTTCTAAGTAATGGCGCTCGTGACATGCAGCAAGTTTTATTAGCTTGTGGTCCATATCCGGCTGAAAAATTAGTCTCAAGCTTGGAGATGTGTGCACGTCGTGGGGGATTAAACTTACCCGCTGTTGGTGAATTGACATTGGATCATTTTGCTCCACTTCGAGCTTTTGTTTGTAACAATTCATCAGTTGGTAAGACAGACACTTGGAAATACTATTCGATTGTCAACATTCCCGCTGGGATATTAGGAATGGAAGAAGAACCACTTGGACCAAGTTTGCAAGGTTTTTTCATGCATCGTAATTTATCTCATGCTGGCCAAATACAAAAGTGGTCTGCTGGTTATTTTATGCTCAAAGCGGGTGTTTTGTATTTGTTTAATGATTCAACAGAGAAGATACCAAGTTGGGCTGTTAGTTTACCAAATGAATGTCAAGGTGCACGTAGATGTGTCACATCGACGAGACCTCATTGCTTTGAGATTCTCTTGAGAACGGGATCAATACAATTGGCAGCCCCTGATGAATATATCGCATCGGATTGGCTTCAATCAGTAATTCAAGCAGCGAGTGGATTTTTTGAAATGGAAGAACGTCAAAGGACTCTTGGCTGTACGCTTATCATGACAGAAAATCATTTGATAACATTACGTGAAGATTTCTCATCGCCATTACGACGAGTCGTTCCGCAACAATCGCAAATGTTACCAATAACGTCGCCATTATCAACATCAGCAAGTAAAGAAAACTTCGATCCAAATTTATCACGTAAATTAAGCAGTTCCACCATTTTGGATACAACAAGTGAAGTTAGTTCGATTAGATCAACACCAAGTTCCACCAGTGGATGTCGTTCAATTACAATGATGTGCAGCACACCCACAAGGCAAACAAGAAAACCGAATTTTGATGAGAGCTTAACAAGTCATACAAACATGACAAGCTTTTATGGGAAAAATTCGGGCATAGAAGTTTTAACATGTGCGGCTATCGAAGAATTAACATCAATTAAAATTTCAGCAAGTGAAAATAGTTGGTGGTGTTTATTGGTGAGTGAACGTTATTTACGCTTAATGTGAATAATTTTAAATGAAAACATTTATCATACAAAAATCAACAGGAATTTTCGTGTCAAGAAGTTCGTGAGAATTTCGACGATCTGGTTTTATTTTTCTCTACGAACTCGGAATTGCAGAGATTTTTACAGACACTAGAGGGTTTATGGCACTCAAAAATGGTAATTAAATTAAAACATTCTTTATTTATGAACATTGTGAGAGTCTTTAAATCATTCTCATTTATACTTTAACATAGAATGAAGCTTTTCCCATCGGCATTGCTACAGAGAAAGATTGTCCACAACATGAACATTGTGAAAAGCTTTTCTTGGAGTTGAGCCACGCTTGGGATCCATTATTGGAAGCAGCTTTGCGCATTAAACATTAAACATGATGAATAAGTAGTTTTTACTTCACATAGACATGAGAGAAAACAAACATTTAATGTCATCGCAGTTGTATTTAATCTTAACGCTTTAATCTACAGTCATGACATGTTATTACTTATGAAATGGATATTGTAGAGTTTTTTTTCTAGTCCATAGCTTCGCCTTTCCAAATTTCCTTTTTCATTTGTAATAAATAAAAATGTCGGTTGAGTTATGATGGGTTGGATTCGTAAATTGTTACAGGAATTTCAATTTTTCTGTTCTTTCGATTATCTTTGACTCATTTTTATTAAAAGAAATCAATTTTGTGGAAATCCTTAAAATAAATTGGAAATTTTTATCCGAACCAACATCAATCGGCATTGCTGATATTTCACAAATGTAAGGGAAGCTAACTTATAAATATATATTTATCGCTTTGCATTATAGATAACAATGCTTCTATCGCCAGCAATTCTTATAAAGCTCATAAAATTAATAAATTCAACTGATAGATAACGATAAATTTTGGAAGCAAAAATATTTACTCAATGTTGTTGAAATAAAATGAAAATAATTTTTAATGTCAAAGGTCGAAACTTTTCAACTTTCTTTTTTGATTTTGAACTTTTAACTCATCCGCAAAATAACAGAAATCAATGTTGATTGGATATTTGATTATTTTGAATAATATTGAAGAATACAAAGTAGAAATTGTGGAAATAGAGACAATGAAATTGTCTTTGACAATAAAATTGTTCGATATAAAATTCTCTTCATTTATTCTGAAATATTTATGATACAACATTCGATTGCAAGCTCATTTCAAAAGAGATATTATGCATAAATCTTGATATATGTTTGTATAACATCAAATAAATAACATGAGTATGAGTGAAAATATTTTCTCGTTAATATGACTGTTCACTTATTTATGTTTCATGTTCCTGCATTAATGAAGAATATTTATAAACTTCATGTCTTCTTTTTATTATGAAAATTGAAATTTTATTTGCATAAATATTATCTTTCGCAAATTTATAAAGCTTATACAGTCAGATTTTGTATAAATTCAAATACAAAAAAAATTTCTTTAAAAATGTAAAAGGATAAGAAGACCAACATTGACATATAATTTAAATTGCATGTCATTCCTTTCTGCATGATATGTCTTTCAAACTGTACGACAAACAGCTACATCTTTATACAATGTACTCATTAAAAGTCAATGATATTAAAGAACATATATTATCATAAAACTTTACTTCATCGTTGTTTTGGTTTTGTTTAGCTTTCAAGAATTGATTACAAACTTTAAATCACAGAATGATGATGATGATTATTATTATTTTTTAATTAAAATTCTCTTGTCTGCAATGAAAAATTATAATTTTCTCTTTGTTTGCTAAACATTTGTGACTCCCCGTTGTTCTGTTTAAAATATTAAAATCTCTTCTTTTTTTGTGTTTAAATAATTGCGTTGAATTTTTCATTTTCATTTCAAATTATCTCGGTTTAACTTTCGATTTCAATTTAATTAACTTAACAATGGTAAACAGGCATGTATGAAAAAAAGGGGCAAATGTTACGTAATTTTAATTCACAATAAAGCAACAATAAAGTAAAAACACAAACGTAACTCATTATTAAAAATTAAAGCTTTGCTTGGGTTCCTGTTGTTATACCATTATGCATTAGTCGAGTAATATTTGTTTTATTATTTATTTCTTCATTTTAAAGTAAATAATTCAATTGTTACGATTTATATATAACCTTGAGTGTTTTTCATCGCAATTTAAGTTGGGAAAAAAGGCAGCCAATTGAACGAAGCCTTTATGCTCGAATCAAATTCTAATTCTATGGAGCTTGATGCATTTGTCAAATTAACATAAAATTGTCATTAACACATTTCCATCCGACCGTCACATTATTCGTTTAAGAGAGATTTCAGCTTTAAGATTGTTAAATTGGACTATTACTAGGTCTGATGGCTCTAATGTCGCTTTTAAATGTTCAAGAGGAAGAATTTTGGGTAGAGACATTTAATGACCGACCAACATGTTTAACTGATGACCTTTCCTCTCCATGACTCATCTTTTACCGATAAAATAGCTTATAGATTCTTGATCTATTTTTAATATCTTATCGTACTCTTGTAGGCATTTCAGAAACAAGTATCTAAAAGCATACAACCATTAAGCTTTAATCCTGTTTAGATTCAGGATTACCGACATGTTGTTACTTGACTTTCAACATCAAACATATTTTCTCTTTCTGATTTTTCATTTTTATTCATTCCGAGCTTATGGCTTCTAGTGTCATCATCTGGGATTAAAGAGACGTCAAAAAGCTTTCATGGAATTCTTCTCATGCGTTTGATGAAAGTGACCGAAAAAAAACAACACTCAAGTTGATTAATAATTTAAAATTTCATCACAATTTTTTTACTTCCATGTTTGCTTTCTTGTGGGAGACGACAAAAGCAAAAGCTACAAATAAGAAGGAAAATAAAAAGCTCAGGCTAGGAAATTGAGCCATTTGTCATAATTATTTTCAGTATAGCAATTTTTCTGCTTTGTCCTTGTTCAAACATTAAATGTGTTCATGGATTATGTTTTTACCTTTTATTCTCATTTTTCTGTTGAACTTCCTGCATTGTTTCTGTTGAGTTGAGCAAATAATAATGAAAAAAAAGTAGAGAAAAGATGTTTACACCAAAGCAAAGGTAAGAAATTTATTTCACTTGACCCTTTGTCTTGAAGATGAGCGCAATAATGAAAATATTCAAAGAATTTTTCAACGTCTAAAGTAATAAAACAAATTGTAACATTCCCTAAAAGCTTTTTTCATTAAACTTGAATTTAGATAATTTCTGATAAAGCTTATGCATCATAACACGTTTTCATAATCATTTGTGTGAGAGGTAAAATCGTTAGAAGTTAATGGATATGAGACACGAATGGTCAAAATGAAATTTGAGGTTACAGAATTACAGATGAGTGTCGTGAACCATGAAAAAGGAAGAAAAAAAACAGAAAAACAAAAGTTGAATTTTCTGATGTTCATTTCCAGATAAGCAGTACACGAAAAAAAAGGAAAAATCAGTTACAAATAGGGACAGTTTTCATGTGTCGAATGTGTTTATCTTCATTCTATCCTAAATTGCTTAATTTATTAATAGAGGTCAAGGAAATTTTTCTTCAACGTTTTTCCAGGTTTTCTCGATCATCATAGTTTAGTCGTTTGCTCTTAGAAGGGTCGTTTACATGATCCCATGGGAAACAAACTGAAAGTCATGTACGTAAGTATTCAAGCAAGTATTAAAGGATATTTCGTGCGACATGTATAGCACATGCCAATAGAATATTGATTATTTCACTTCTTTTATACACTTTCTTAGAGGATATTTGTAGATGGGTTCATGAAAAATGTATCATAATGAAATTTGATTCGGAGTCGTATTTTCCTTCTCTTAATTTTCATTTTCACCAACTTTTCCTAACGTACACATTTATTTACATAAATTATGTACAAGCACAATAAGAATGCTTTTTGAAATTGATAATCTTGATAAAACGGAAACATTAAAAAAAAGTGTTAAGCTCAACTAAAATACAATAAAAGCGAATTAAATAAAGTTTGAACAGCTTATAATGCAGTCACATTCAGGAAGAGATTATGATGCATTGGATGCATTATCAGACTGTCAGCACTGCATTATTTTCTGCGGAATAAATGAATATTAAAAGATTAATCGCATTTTAAATACAAAGAATTTTACTACATTTCCCCGTATACCTGGCAAATCCTAGGTGGGAAGTTTCAATGTTTTTTTTATTATAATAATTTGAAATTTTCAACGTTCTCTGTTCTCATTTTTTTGCTTTCTACTTACTTAGCTCTCTCACCCCCGCAATTCATTTCAATGTCATCGACAAATTCTGCAGCGACATATGAATGAAAAAAAGTTCTTCATATTTAGATTGCTCTTTAAACGTCACTTCATGCTAATCAAGAACAGAAAATTGTTACATTTTTTATGCTTTAGATGTAAAGACATTCCGTTGTTGTTCATTCATATTTAATAACATAATGAATGATTTTAAATGAAGCTCTTATTCAAGAGATATTCATTTATGTCTCTGACAAGCTGCGTTTCATTATGTTGACATTCATGTAATAGTTACTTATCTACATCCTTTGTCCAATCCCGATATCGCCAACTGTCAACATGTTTTATTAAATCGGAATCAATATTTTTAATTAAACTTTTCGTTGTTGTCAAGTGTCAATAACAGAAAACATGTTGTAAGCTCCTTCACTCCAAATAAAGATTCAAAAAAGAGAAAAAAAAAGCGGACACGTTTCAATCTAATCGTTCAATTTTGTTGTTTCTCTCTACATATATCTACATTGATAAGTTTTTGCTTTTATGCTATCCAAGAACAAGCGCAGAGAGATGTTCGAAATTCGAATTCACATTGCAATCTTTCTCTTTCTTTCTCTCTCGCTTAGTTCTCTCTCGCGTAGTCAACAAAACTTTTCAGAGTTTTTCATTTCCCATCAGTTTGTTTGTAAAGTTCCTCGTGTTTAGACATGCCAACGTTTATCGCAATGAACGAATGAGTTGAAGATTGATTAGAAATAATTTATTTAATTCACAAATAAGCCCTTCGCGCAAACAAACGATGTCGATGTGCGGAGTATTAAATATTTGCATAATTTCGCTTCAAAATAGATAATTTCCGCTGGATTTTTCTGAAGAGAATTGTGGAAAATTTAGTGGTAGAAACAGATTACAAGGCAAAAGGAGAAAAAAAATCAATAACAAAATAAAGCAGACAAAAAGGAAAGAAGGTTGTCGTCCGCTCTTGCTTTCAAGTCAGTGTCAGTGCGTAAAAATATTAATTTAAATGATTTGAAGTGAGTGACATTAAATTCGTATTGATTGTTAAGCATTGTTAAGTTAGTTATCGTTCAGTGAGTGAAGTGTAATTGGATTAACTTTGCTATAAAGCAACTAACACTTCACTATCCACAACAGTAGAAGCCACAATAGAGTATCGCATGAGAAGTGAAACTTTTAATAAGGAAATTTTTCGCCGATGTTGGTAAGCATTATGGACCGACTAGAAGCTAGACAAATTGAATTAAAAACTTTTCTTTGTTATGAGATATACACAAAAGAGATCCAATATGCTTTTTTCTGAAGTTTAAAGTTTTTAAATGTTTTTTATTGCGACATGGTGTGCTCGAAAGATGAATGAGAGGGAAAAAGTGTCAATGCAATGAATCTATTGTGGTTGAAAAGCATTGAATGAAAACAGGAAGAAATGAATAAAATCTTTACTAACACCGTTCTCCACTGCCACTCGTTGCATTCTTCATCATCTCCATGAAGGTCTCGCCGTTTGAAACTTACTCAATTTTCCACATCACAAAACAAAACAGAAAAAAAAGAAAATCTAGAGAAGTGAAAAAAATTTACACAAAAACTGGAGAGTTGAAAACAAATATGATTTATTTGCTCGTTCTCGATATAATATTTACAATGTAAATGAGTCTTAATCCCTCTATGAAAATTTAAAAGTGAATCAACAAATATTTACTTTAACATTCAAGGGAAGGCATCGTATGGTTGAGGGGATTTACTGCGAATTTGGTTTCTAAATCTTTTCTTGTCTTTCTCGTCTGTCTTCTTCTCACTCCCGCATTTAACTCAACCGCTTTTACGAATCAGCAAATTTTCAGATTTCCATCATTTCTCTGATGTTATTACTTTAGGGAGGGAGAGGAAATAAAATTCTTTGGTGCTGTTTTTCTCATTTTTAAAGCCTATATAATGTTTTATGATGGGATAGAAGAACGTGGGATGAATCTGTAAATCACATCACGAATAATAATTTTTTCTTGAAGTTGAGCAATCAAAATAAAGTCACTTACCTTGCAATTCATAAAAAATAATTGTTTTCTAACTTATTTTGATAAGAATGTGACGTAATTTTTGAAGTATGAACCAGATTAGATTATTATTTCCGTTCTGATATCTGTTGCCATTCTCAAGTCAAGAATAAGTATTAATCTCGAGTTTGAGTTAAGCTATCTTATCGAAGGCAATAAAATGTACAAATATTGAAAACTTGAAGAAGTTTCAGTCGGATTTCTATTTTGATCTAATGACTAAAACGTTTCAATTACTTAATTCATCATCTTTATCTATCAAATTAGCATCCAATTGAAAAGTTTATTTTTTTCCTCAAGTAGTTAGAGAATATATTAAGTGATGACAAGTAAAGTAAGAATTTGCAATAAACTAATCTGTTGGAAGTTTCTTTGAAACTTTTCACTTTGAAATTTGTTGTATTCCTTCCTAACCCCGTAAAATCTTCATTTAAAATTCATGCTAAATGCGGGACGGAAAGAGAATATAAAGGAAGCTTAACTTGCTGGTTTTACTTCATTAAGCATTCATAGAAGACTGAAAAACATAAAAAATAAAAAATGTAAATCGTGGGATTCACATTCGCTGACGTTTGTGGTTTTTGGAACCCAAAGGAATATTTTTTTGCGTGTCCCGAATGTAACGTTAAAAGGGCAATGGAAGCATAATTAGATATGAAAACAGAAAAAGGCAAAATGATTATGCAGGGTTTTCTTACCCAAACTTTTCTTTATATTCGCACCGATCGATGGAAATTGAATTACGCGAGCGAATGAGTAAATACGATGAGGCGAGGCAGTTATATTTATGACTGTTTATGAGTTAAAGCTTATGTGTTAATTACCCAAATATGACTCTTTATATTAATCTAATTCGATATTTAACAGCCTTCGTTATCGATATTTTTTTTATTCCGATAAATTCAATGCGAATGACGGTCGTAATTGCTGAAAGATAACTCGAAAAGTCACAAGACGACGAAGAGGATAAAATTCTGTCAGTGACATAAGTGATTGAGATCTGGGCTTAGATTTTTCCTTTCCCTTCCAATTCTCTTAATAGGAATCTTCATAGATCGTCTATGGTGTGAATAGAGAACATCATGGAATAAAAATTGTTCATTTATGTAAGATTATGCCTGCAAGGCAAACACTACGCCATTGACGAAGTACAGGAAAGAGAGCAATTTAGTTTGATATACATTTTCGCTGCTATTTTATTGAAATGAACGGTGGCGGAGAGTGTAAAAATAGAAACAACTTTCGATAGCAAGAGAACCGCACGAGATTGTTTTTATGGATTTTGCCTCTTTCTCCCCATTCCTTTTTAACCGTACAATAATTCACTTCTCGGTGCTATTTAACTGCTTTAATCGGGTGGAAGTCTATGAGCGTTTGTATTTATAAATTCAATGCAAAACTCACGCTATGCAACTCACTTAAAACTTGTGAATGTGAATTCTATTCTTATTGTTTTCAATCGCATTTTCTAGTGCCGTTGACATCAAAGAAAGATTTTCAAAGTCAAGGCCTTGTAATGATTTCAATATATTTGTCATTCTCTGAATGTTCGCATTCTATTCGATATTATTTTCTTCTTTTTCTGAATAAATAAAACGTGATTTGAAAGTCATTAGATAGAAAAAACAATCATAAGATGATAAAAGAATGTTAACTCAAAGCGTGGTCGTAAGCTGGGTAGCTGAGTTTTATCAGTAACTGCCATCATAAAAAATTGTCGGAAAATTTAGAGCTCAAGAGCATTTGGCGTTGTCTCGGAAAATAAAAGTCGTTCCTGATAACCCGGCACCATAAAACCTACAGCATTCAAGTAAAAACACATCATCATCCAAATCACAGAATAAGAATGAATTTCTTTTTTCTCTCTCTTGTTTTTTTTTCTTTTATTCTCGATGATAAAATCTCGCACAGTTTTTCGCCTTCTTCTTAAATCTCGGCTTTCCGAATTTACTGCTGAATGTTTATAAAGAGGGTTTCTATGTTAACTCTCACAAATACACTCAGTTGCTTCCGGTTGATCGTAGAGAACTCTTTTCTTTTATCAGACTTCAGACATCAAAATTCAGAAATCTAAACATTTGTATGAACTCTTGTTACTATGGGAAGGCAATTCAGTTGACCTGACGACTGGCTCAAGTGTTTTGTTTTTTTGTGTTGACTACCAACCTTTCGCTTTTATCGATTTCAAAATATTGCCCTTCAATGCTCAGCAGTTTGTACAAATTTAGATAAACAAACAACAGCATAATTTACCATACATAAATGTACATGCATAAAAATATCCAAAAACCAACCACATTTGATAATTTACGGTCTGCATACTCCTATCTGTTAAAACTGCTGACCAGATGTGATGCCCTTTTTTTGGAAAATTAATTCTTTTGTAATTTTTTCTTGATTACATTTTTACTCAATGGATCGAAAGAGATTCTTTCATACGGTGGAACATTCATTGATTAGACATCATATGAAATGTGTGCGTGTATATGTCGGGTAGCATTTATGAGAAAAATAACATCGAATGGAGAATCATGGCATGTTGATGACGATGATTTGTTTTCGCCATGAATTTTCACGTCTTGTCAATTAGTAATTGCTTCATGAAGAAAAGTTTATTCATTAATTTCTCATGCTGTTGTTATGATTCCCCATTAATATATTTTGTAACACTACCAGACAAATTAAAGTTGCATTGTTAAAGTTCAATGAGCTTAATCGTTACTGGGTATATGTTTATAGCAATATCCGTTTTTGACGTTAATTTATTGTATGACTCAGTAATTTATGCTTTGATTGTATTTGTGTTCACATCAAGGCGTGGATCCCGCTTTTGCATGTATTTATGTAACAGGATATGCGATAATTAATCGTTTTATCGCAATTCCCTTCAGGATTTATTGTTTTTCCTCCCATTCGCTTTCCTGAAAATGTGTGAATTGTGCACTTTGAGACAACTGACATTTATGGATTTTCCAGGGTTGTAGAAGGGAGAGAGAAAAAAAGAGAGACAGAGAGGTTGAAGATGTTCATGAGAAGAAGTTTGTAGTCATTTATATAGTTGAAAGTTCAGAATTTTCCATTAAACTTCAAGTGTTTTAAAATGAAAAGACACTTGAAAGTTAAACATTTCTAGAATTTTTAATAAAAATTCAAATTTAAAATTGTCTATTGTTTGAAATGACTTTTTCTCTTCTTCACTCTACAGTCAACCAATTTAAAAAAAATCTATAAATGTTCACAAAATAAACAAAAGAAATGATTTGATGAATTTATGGTCTTATTCATCTAAATATAATAGAAAAGAACTTTCCAAATGTGGGAAACAGAAATTGATAATAAAATCGCATGACAAAAGAAGAAAATCTTACCGTATCTACTTCAACGATATCCATTACTTCTTTTCACCTTTTTATATTTGCATAATAAATCGTTTTGAATGGAAGTTTCCGTTGTTATCGATCTTGCAACATAATCCCTTTAGTGAAATTTAGTGGAATCTATAAAATTATTGTCCTCAAATTATGTCAACTTTCTAAGGGAAGTGGTTTGTGAAGAGAATTCTTAAGACTTTCCTTTTCTAAGATTTATTATACTTCATTCCACATCATTAAGAGATGTCATTAATTTTGCACGATGATGAAAATGGTGTTATATCTGTATAGGATTAATTCTTTGCATTGCCTAATATTTTATGTATAAGCTTAGAAAAGTTCACTAGTTAATTTAATTATGAAACTTTCAAGTCAGTTTTATGAGTTGCTTTGAAAGTTTCACTTAACGGCTTCATTTTCTTTTAATAGTTTTAAGTTATAATTTTAAACAGTCTTTAGGGGGTTTTCCACTCTTTTTTCTCTCACTTTGAAGCAAGCGAATTTTTTCCCTTCTTTTATTAAAGCTTAAAATAGAAGGTTGAGTTTTTGTCGGTCTTTGTTCAACATCTTGAGAGTAATAATCGTAAGAACTTTTACAATTTTTTGCCTTCTTCCTTTCATTGTAGATATTTGACGACAAAAAAGTTCGTGAACAAATTTAAATGAAATTAAAAAGAAAAGCGTGTAATGGGGAGAATTTAATGCTTGCGTATTTGTTGATACGACGCAATGCTTTTATTTTCATTTGCTATTATTACGCCACATTATTCACAGAAATATCATCAAATATAATGCTAAAAGTCATGACGCAATTTCCAAACTTTTCCATTAAGTAAAAAAGATTGTTTCTTAAGACAAAAACTTTCTCTTCCGTTGCTTAGCTTTTTTTTCCCCTTTGAACATGAAGAGGAAAACGAACAAGAGCAAAACAAAAACTATGCATTCGTATACAATTTGAGTGAAATTTATTCGTCATCACAATTATGCTTTAGCGTAAGAGGAATGAAAACAAAATAATTTTCACAACAAGTCACAATCAATCACAGTCATGCAATGTGATGTGACAAAAAAAAGTGCGATTGTATCTATAAATTATATCTTTGACACGTGAGTTCAACATCTTTTATATTATTATGACAGCAATTATGATGAAAGCTCATCCTTGTTCCAGACAATGATAGACATGCGTTGTTTTTCTATACACTTTTGTTTGTGATTTATTCTACTCAAGAAAGTCAAAGAATCATTTACCAAAAAACAAAGAAATAAAGGCTCGACAGTTTTGTTGCTTGCTTAGGATCTCCCGATGCTTGCAAAGTTAAGCTGGAAATTTCTAAGTTTCAGCTGTTGGGAGAAAAACAGTAAAAAAAAGTAAAATGTAAGCAGAACGTAACGTGAGTCTACCCTTTGGGATATTGATTTTTTTTATCTTGTCTCTTTGTGAAAGAATCTGTCTTTACAATAGGATGAGAGCGAGCTGAAAACAGAAACATTCTTGTATTGTTTCCGCATTTCAAATTTTAGACACATAACGTGACCTTTTTTTTCAAGGAAGAAGAATACAAAAAAAAGTTTTACTTTATTCTTCTTTTTCTTCTTGTGTTATAGAGAAAAGCTAAGACGACAGGAAAAAAGAATTGAAAATGATTTATGTGCTTTTTACGCTGCGCCTTGGGATGTAAAACGAGCGTCGCGTTATAGGGCGATAAGTTCAAGTGAAGGCATTGTGTTTGCTATTGAATTTTTAATTTAATAACTTCGCTTTATAAAAAAAATATGAGCTCTAGTCTAATAGTATTTTTGGAATGCTATATTTCCTTCCCTGCCTTTTCCTTTTTGCTGTTACGGTTGAATCCGAGACCGGATGAAAGAAAAAAAAATCTGCGGTGTGCTTAAATATTTTCCCTTGCTTGGATTTCTATCGTGAAAATGTTTTTCTTTTTCTTTTTTAATATAAAATCTGTCCCAGTTTATTGGGCTTTATTTGGTTTTTACGTCAAAGATATTTTCCTCATGAAAGCTTTTGTGAAGACTTCAAAATGTCATAAAAATTTTAATGCTTTTGATTTGACGCAACTGATATACAAACTCGCTAAATTGAATTAAAACTAATCTTTTATTCAAAATTATATTTTAAATTTAAATTAAATGAAAAGCTTTATATTGAGTTGAGAGATAAAATTTACATTTTAAACGATTAATAATTAATTATGAAAAGAAACAAAAACATGATGTGAGTGATAACTTGATTTATGTCCCAACTTTTTTATTTTCAACATGTTAACGAAATAATTAACACGTGTTTGTCTTTTTCTGAATGTTTTTGCAGTAGAGAAGAGAAAACATCATTCCAAAAAAGAAACGAAAACAACAACCAGCATGGGAAAATTATGTAGGTGAAGGGGACATGAATTGAGCATTCCCTTGACGAAGTCAACATCAAATAAAAGTATTCAAATAGCGGTTGCAAGCTCTGTTGTGCTTTTTGCTTCCAAAAAATTTCGGAGCCGTGTTCTTCTTGTATTACGCCAGGAGTAAGCATATAAAAAGTTGTAATAAAAAGAAGGAAAACGAAATCCCTTTGAGCTTACAATTGCGGTTTAAAAGAAAAAGTTTGTAAGCGGTAGCGCGCTGTGAACAAACATCAATATCAAAATGCGAACGTCTCATAAAATGTACCTGACATTCATCCTCTCATCTGCCTGTATCTTCCTGTACCAGTATCACATGTCTATACCACGAATCACATCATTTTCACAGCAATCGATAAATGAGGTGAGTGTCAACTTTTTAATTTTGGTTATTGATGTCATTATTCCCTAATTATACTGAAATCACGTCAAATAAAACACACGAATATCTATCGATACAATTGGTTCTAATTATATCTAATTACATTTACATTTTCCGATATTAGATGCACAAGAAATGAGCCCTGAAATAATTATCAAAACACAAAGCAAATAATTATTATCGTCATTGTCATATTTCTCTGATAATTTATCTTCATTTCTATTCATTAATTATACATACATTTCACTGGCCTTCTATTTCATATTTGAAATGATATTTCATTGATTATTTTAATGAATGTTGTATTGTGTTACATATTTAGGTTATAACAACATCAACAACCACTAAGAATCTTCTTCCAACAGTTAAAATTAGCAACAAAACAACACCTTCAGCTTATACAAAAAATCTTTTCCCCTATCACTTTCTATCAACGAATAATTTGACTAAACAATCATTTACAACAACCAAACATTCACAAACAGCTTCAGAACCGTCAATACAAAATGATATGTACAATTTGACAACGTTTGGTGCATTGGCAGTAGAAACTGTGAATAGCTTAACGTCTAGTATTCATGTAAATATATGTTCTTCCTGAAAAATTATGTTTCGTCGTTTGCAATCAGAGAAATCTTCATACACAAGAAGTGAAAAAAGTTTCAAATGTAACTTTCGAAAAGTAAAAATTTTGTCTCACCTTGTGATTGAAGAATTTTCCAATTAGTTTCCTGTTTGTAGTTTGCTTATTTTGTTTGTATTTGACTAATTTGTTTCCATCCATCTCTAACTAACTCCATTGTACGCATGGGTTTTGATGTTTTGCATTAACTTTAATTGCCGTTTTTTGGCCAATGGAGGGTGAAATGGAATTGATAGAAGCACACATAACACAATTAAGTTAGTTTCAAATTTTACATGTTCACTTCTGTTTGTTTGTTCTTTTGTTGAGACTGAAAGCTTCGATATTTTTGTTCTGCTGAACGTTTCGTATTACTTTTAAAAGGGTTTGCCAGAAAATCAGTAAAACAACGAAAACAGATTTTCATTGTTTATTATTTATACATTTAAGTATACAATTTCAAAAAGCATCGAGTTTTATTTGCATAATGGATTAATCCACAACTATTTATATAGCTTTTGCTTGCACATGGGCTGAGGGAGGAAAAAAAAGCGAGACTGGGGAGCGCTATTAATTCTTCGTGTCTGCAAAATTATGCAATTTGCGCTCGTATGGCTTTCATGTAAAGTAAGAAGCTATCTCAGAGTTTCAGAAAAAAAGACTCACAAACTTTTTATGGCTTCAAAGAACTACATTTCTAAAACATAAATTACGCTTCAGTGATGGCCTCATACCCTCACTGAACCCTTAAAAACTTTATAGTTGCTTTTTATTTCATTTTATTATTTATCGCATACATGCAAGCAGAAGAAAAATATTTAACGCCTTGAAGCGTTTGTGCATATAACTTAAATTAAAAACAAAATAAAAAAAGGAGAGAATAAAATTAAACTTTTATGATCGGCGGGAAAAAGCTTTTCCATGTTATGAATATAATCTTTCCAGGGAGCATCTTGAATACAAAACATAATCCTATCAGATTTTTTTCCCTCCTTCTTTATTCTTCTCGTTTCTGCATAAACCTTTCAGGGAGCGAGAAAAAAAGTTTTTCTATCATTCTAATAAACTCTCGAACATGCACAAGCTTCTCATGAAGACAAGCAATATTATTATTTATGTTGTTAATTAAAATTGGGAACTTTTCTCACTACAACTCCCAACAGATTTGTACGCTTTCCAAAGCAATGAATAATAATTTATTTCTTATATCTCTTGGCACAGATATTTGACACATGAATGACTAAAGCCGATTAATTTTTTGATGCATTGAAATGTAGAGCTTCGCCGACCTCCACATTAATATTCGACAGACTTTGGCATCGAATTAGAATCAAGATTTTTGTATAAAGAAAATTGGATTTTCACAAATTGCATTTCATAATGTCGTTCTGAGCTCAGCAGTTTTTTTACTTACTTGCTCCCATCGTCTTACAACAGCCAACATGCACAATATTTTCCATGAAAATTATTTCACTAGTTTAGTTGTAGTCGATGGAAAAAGCACATTGCCAGGTAGTTTGCTTCATAAATCTCATTCTACTTTTACTTTTCGCAATAACGTCGAGATTCACTTTGGGTGGAAAGTTGGGGAGAAACATGAAAACTAAACTATAACGAGATATAAATGTAAATTTCAGACACGTTTAGATAAACTGAATTTCGTGGCATGGCACATTATTATTTTCTTCGCTCATGGGTTGCATATTTGCTGTTTTTTATCATTATTGTATTATTATTTTACTCCGACTAAGCATCTACCATATTTTTTCCTTCGCAACCCGAGATAAATGTTGGAGAACTAAAAGATTTATATTTAACACTTTTTCCTAAGCACACCTCGTATTAGAGGATTTTGATGCATGGCAGCAACTATTTCTGCTGTGCTATGTTAATGCTTTGTCTCTTTTTCCCTGATACTAAACATTTCGTTTTTGTTTGCTTCCTTCTATCATTGTTTTTTCCGGTGCTGCGCTCTAAATGTTTACCATGAAATTTGATTTTTAAGTTTACTTTGGAGCTTTTGTGCTCTGTGAAAGAAAATATTTCATAACTGAGTGGATTGATTGTAAAAAGAGAAAAGAAAACACCAGTTTTATGTTGTTAAATTTGACGTGAAAGTAAAGCACGATCATGGTCGGTTACCCAGCACAGTAAAAACCAAGTGTAAAAGCTTTACAACTGCACTTCACAGACTCAGTTTCGGGTGAAAAACTCTCAAAGTCTGTAACAAATTATTGATAAGGATTTCATGCTAACGTGACCTGGTTGTTGATTTTTATTTTAACATTTTTTTTTAAATATACAAAAAATCCGTCATGGATGCTTTTGGGTATATTTAAGCTAAAATACAGTCGAAAGTCTTAAAAGTGAGATTTAAAAGAAAAGTTTCTAATTTTCCTTTCTTCTTGATAATCATCGAAGGAAGAAGAAGATTCAAAGTTATTTAAAAAGAAATTGCGTCATAATCATTTGTTCAATTACTTTTTAGACTTTTTACTGAGCTTTTTTGGTTTTTTTCCTCTCATCCTTTTTAAAAGTATGAAAAAGTTTATTGCAATACGTATGAAAAAAAATTATTTATTAAAATTTCATATATCGTTTGTTTACTTTGACAGCCTCCACCACCGCCTTTGTACATAATAACACCAACGTATAGACGCCCTGAGCAGTTGGCGGAATTGACAAGGCTCGGCTACACATTGAAGCATATTTCCAATTTATTTTGGCTTGTGATAGAAGATGCAGAGAAGCCGACAACGTTAGTGACGAAACTTCTGCAGAAAATTAATGTTCCATTTTCACATTTAGTCGGTAAGTTCGTTCAAGCACATGTGCCCTCAATGCATAGTTTTGCTTTCTTTCCTTTGACACCATTGAAAATCAGTTTCATTTTATGTCTTCGTTTATGCCTTATCATTTTCCATTCACTCAACGTAATAACATTTTATATCTTTTATTTCTATCAACCCTTTTCTTTCTATTTCTTTTATATTCTTTGACTTTTTCATGTTTCAATCGCTCATTTACAGCGCAAATGCCTGAAAAGTTTCGAAAGAACAAGGTGAAACCCCGCGGCGTATCGAATCGCAATCGAGGTCTCGAGTGGATAAGAGCTAACGCAAGCGATGGCGTTTTGTATTTCGCTGATGACGACAACACATATGATCTTGATATATTTGATGAGGTGAGAATATTTTTACATACACTTCGTAGTTTGTTTTAAAGTACGAAACCAAACAAATTCCTGGGAATCATTACAAGCCCAAGCGTGTAATTTGATTAACTTTCATGTTTATTTGTGCTCCAATCATTGAATAATTCCGAATATTGGAAAGAAAAACTTCGGTTCGTGTAGATATTTATTACTTTTTTTGTTTGTTTCGTTTCCTACTGTTGCTTGAAGCGGTGTGTAGGCGGAGGGAGAAATATTTTCGAGATTACGTCTAACTAGGACATTTATTGAAAAGTTTCATGAAAACTTCCTTGTTTGTCGTATGTGAAATAAGCATGTACTAGTATGTACTTTATTATTTAATTATCGTGGATATAAACTGAATTTCATAGTTTCCTTAGGACAGAAAGTTCTAATTTTGCTGAAGCGACAAGGAAATTTCCCCCTCATTGGAGTTGTCGAGGAATTTATGAAGTCGACAATTTCAAAGTTCTGTCAAAATATACAAAGTTAAAGTTTGTAGCAACTTTATCAGGCTTTATTAAATTACAGCTCAATTTGTTGCATAATTTTCAACGCCCCTACCCGCTCCGAAATCACCTCCACACACGTTAACATGTGTTTTGAATTTCCATGCCTTTCAACAAATGTAGACAGTTTGCCGAAGGAAGAATTTAGTTCACACATAAACGCTCTGCAGTTTCAAATTCTAGTTATTTCCTGTCTTTAACAATGCTTCAACTTGTGGGTGGGAGATGTTGAAAGCAAATGAAAAGCTTAGCGAAACATATTTATTAATCACGCTCTGGAAGCGAAAGTCATAAACTAAAACATAATTATAAAGCTTCACAATTTCCCTTACCCAATTCGACTCATCGTCTTTACACTGTCGACACAATAGAAATGTTTCCTTCAAAATTAAACAGAAACATGTGTAGCAACAGCACACATCACTTTCTTGTTGCAGTGTCCGATTTAACTCTTATTGATAAAACTTTCATGAATAGTTTCACTTGTAAACGTGTCGAGGGACGTGAAAACTTTAAATGGATGAGAACGAATGAAAAATAAAAAGTAAACTACTTTACAGAAGCTTTTTCACTGAGATAGAATAAAGAAAAATAAAGAAAGGAAAGTTCTCATTTTGAGCTGTTGAATTTTCAACAATTTTCCTTTTCTTTTGCTTGTTTGCTGTATCCTGAGATTATTTTGTAAAGTAGAGAAAAATAAGAAGAAATAAAATTACATGTTTCGATTTTCATCCATTGATTGGAAATACAATTTTTCCTTATTATTGGATTCTTTCTTTTTTTCTTTATTGAATACGATACAAACATATACACACACACGGTTGAATGAATTGCTTCAGGAGCTCATATTGAGCAGCGTGTTTCAGTGAAGGCATTTCGTTACAATTTATATTTGTTATCACGAGATAGAGAAGAGAAATGTTGGAATGTGAGGGGGTGTAGTGAGAAGCGAAAAACTCTGTCATCTCGAGCAATGAAAATTGATACTTAATCCCCATCATCAAAATAAATTGACGTTTTTTTTTCCTTCAACTTATTGGTTGGTTGCGTGTATTGCTTTCCTTAGTCATTTCATTCATTCCTTACTCTCGATTTTCTGACTTTTTTCTAAATTGCTATCTATCAGATGCAGCTTCGAGCTTCCTTTTCCATCTTCGTTTTTCTTCCTTTCACTTCATTTGCCTCGATGATTTCTCTTTTAAATCATTCATTCTCATTCCGTAGTCTCATTGGATCCGCCTCTGTAATACTTTATTACGAGGCAAAATTATACAATTTTAATTAATCGAATTTCGAGCAAATGTTGCATTTAAGGTTTCCACAATAAATCGAGAACGTTCGGTAGAATTTTAAATGAATGTTGACAGTTGTTGCTTTGTGGAATACGAAAAATAAAATCATCGGGGACTTGCTTGTTTCATCGTTTGTGATGTTTAAGGGAGGAACTGTTTGACTTTTATATTCACCTAATTTCGTTGACATTTTATGACCTTTACTCTTATTTAGTTGCTCACGGCGTCTTCCTTCGTGTCGTTACATCAACTCACAATTGTCTTTAAACATAAATGGGATGAAATAAAATAAAAGATCGTAAAGCGTTTATAGATAAAGTGATAACAGTCGCAAAACTGCCTTTTATTTCTGAAACGAGACTGGCTGCGTTTTATCTACTTTTCTGATATTTTGGCCTTTGTTGCCCTCACACATCAGTGCTTTCATCTGAAATTGGAAACTTAATCATCTATCAAATTTCAATTGAACCATTCACTGACGACCATACAGTTTTTATGAGAATTAAGCTCTTCAATTGACGTCACTAATCTAAGCTTTCACGTCTCTCCGTAAGCTTCTATTAGCTTTCTTTTCCAGCAGTAAAAAAAGCAGAACAGCTCAGCACGTATAGATTGTGAAGAGATTAAGATTTTATTGCATCTGTGGCAGCTGAGTGTTCCCTTTTCCATCCTTAATATTTATGATGGCGATGTATGAAGTTGAGACACAAATTTCCTAAAGAACTTTTCTTATTTCAAATAAATTTTTTTATAAAAATATATTTTTCTTTAATTAATGTCACTCGTGGGAGTAAAAGATAAAAAAAGGCGAAATACATAAAATTTACGAGTAAAGTTTCCCGTTGAAATCGATGTGAAATGTTCACAAAGCGAAACTCTTGTTCCGAAGCGACAATGGAATGAATTCGAAAATTTTATGAGAGTTTGAAAAGTTTATTAACATTCCTAAATATTTCACCATAATAATTCCAACAATCAAGAGTCAGAAATTTGATCAAACTTTGCTGTTTATTCCATTCTTGCTTGCCAGTCATTTTCAACCAAATTTATGTGTCCCAAAACAAGTGTCTCATTTCAGTGGCAGCGTCTTGATGTTGTAATTGACTTTTCCAAGCAAATAGCTTAAAGAAATGACTGCAGACAACATTTTCGTATCACTTTAAACAGCAATTTGAAGTTTTCAACCAGAAAAAAAGGAAAGAAAATTAAACGTGAAAAGTTTACTGCCAAAAGGCTCGAGAATGAAGTTGAGAACTTTCGAGGCCAAAAAGCAAAGAAATTTCATGTAATAAAAGCTTGGCAGTTGTGTAATATTATTTACTGTACAAAATCTCCGTCTTTCGCATTTTTATTTCCATAAAAAAAGAAAAAGGAAAAATATTTTGTTTTCCTCATCTCGGATACGTATTTTGCATGCTGCTGAAAGCCGTTCCACATCTCTTCTTTGCTATTTCTATATCTGCGGGTATCTTCAAGGGAAAGAAGAAAATGAACGAAGCTACAAAACAACATAGCAAATACATTCTCTATTTCTCAAATTAACTTCGAATGGATCCTAAAATGAACTCCACAAAGGCAATGAAAGCTTTACTTCTGCAATAATACTCAACTCTGAAATGGAATGTACATTTTTTTAGAAGAAAAAAAATTCAATTAGACTCTGCGTGTGTGTGTGTGTAAGTATCTATTACACAACACAAGCAACCACATTGGAATTTTCCTTTTTTCTTCTCTCAACTATTTGAAATACTTTCGATAGCTTCAAATTCTGTCCGTTTTTTCTTTCTGATATTTTCTGTTTTTCCATCACATCGTCAGATAGATAAAAAGTTTTCATCGCACAAACTCTCGCTCTGCTAGCAATTTAAAGCTTTCAATTCTATTTTCTACAAAAACATTTCGACGACATAAGATTTTTAATATTTTTCTCCCCATCTACTCCTTCTGGCAAGTGTAATTTGGTGTGACGTCTCGGAAGAGAAGAGTTGAAAGCGAATATAAAAAAAAGCAGAGGGAAATAAAATAGAATCGAGTGAAAGAAGGCAAAAAAGTAGAATAGCTTAAAAACAACAAGAATAATTCATTACATTTAATGATCATCTATTTTTATTAGATTTTTCATCCTTCTTTATGTTCGCACACACGTACAGTGATGTTTCTTTTCTTTTAAAAGATTAATCAAGTTCTTAATGTTATGGGTGGCTCATTGAATTTTATTCGACAGATTCCTTCCTATTTTCCTTTTTAAATGTTTCATTCTTCTTCGAAAAAAAAATGAAGACAATTTTAGCGTAATGTCATAAAATTTAATTATTATGGGTCGCTTTTCAAAGTAATGAGTCTCGACTGTAGTTTAAAGGATATGAGCGACACTGACGAACAGAATACATGAGAAAATGAAGCTTAATCTAAATTTTTATTTTATTTGAAATTTCTTCCGCTTTCAACGTCGAAAGTGTCGTAAAAGTATAAAAAGCGAGAACACTTTTTGAATACTGTCACTTGTCTTCCTTTTCTTCCCATCACTTTCATATAATATGATACAGAATACAGAAGCGAGGGTGGAGAGGGCTTCTGCACTGACGTTATGCAAAAAAAATTGTTAGAAAAGCTTTTTTATGTGCTCGCTTTTTGTGTCAACATATGCGAACATTTTTTTTCTTCTGTTTATGCCTCATTCATTGCGTGGAGAAACCGTTTTAAGCTCATGAAAGTGCCAACGATGGGGTTGAAGCGAGAACGAATGTGAGACAGAAAAATGGCATCACAAAAAAATTAAATTGCTTGGAAATAACAGACTTATTATTCATCCATTCGTTTATTCATTCTCCCTTTGTGACTTTCATTTCAGATGCGATACACAAAAAAAGTCTCAATGTGGCCCGTCGGTCTCATCACGAAATATGGAGTGTCATCGCCTATAGTCCGCAATGGCACAATTTCAGGTTTTTACGATGGTTGGATAGGTGGTCGGAAGTTTCCAGTTGATATGGCGGGCTTTGCGGTCAACGTGAATTTTCTTATATCACGGCCTAATGCAAGCATGCCATACAAGCCCGGCTATGAAGAGGATGGCTTTCTAAAAAGCTTATCGCCTTTGAATCTCACAGAAATTGAACTGATGGCTTCAAATTGCACGCAGGTAAGCTCATAAATTTATTTTCCTCTCAAGTGATGATTCTTCAATTATCACTTCTTTCACAGATTCTCGTATGGCACACACAATCGAAAAAAAATCCAAACGCAATGGCTCTCGATATGACCAAATATAACAACACAAATTTGGTGGAACTGAAACAGATTCTCGTGTAACATGCGAGACATTTAGAAAACTATTTTTTAATGAACATAAGGTGCTAATTTTCAAAGCGTATCAGACATACGTTGTTGACATGTAGATTGTGTTGTAAATGGGAATGAATGCGATGAATTTGTTTTAAAAATAAGTCAGGTGTACTCTTTCGTCTCGTTTTTTTAATTTACATTCTATCAGTAGATATTTTTATTGTAAAATATTGTGAACTGGTATTTTCAATAAACATTTCAGCATTTCTCCGTTACGCTCTGTTGGGAGTGGCATGACGCTCGAAAGTATTGTTTATGAACGTTGTCGGAAGGCTTAAGAATGATAAGGGTTAGAAGCTTTTTGAGAAAAGAAACTTTTTGACCTTTTTTGTGTTCAGGGAGCTTCAAATTTATCAAAGAAATTCTCTTTTATTTAGGCATCATTGATGAATAGCATGAGAAAAATAAATAGAATAAGTTATTTACCAAGACTGATATAAGACACAAATTTGAAACACAAGAATTGAGACTAAAATAAATATTTTTAATTCACCGTGTGTATGTTACTTGAGTTAATTCAATAAAAAAGAAAAACTTTAATGGAAGCTGTTGAAATTCTATAGCCAAGAAATGTCTCCCGTCGTTTCAAAGAGTGTCACGTTGGAAACTTGCTGGTTGTTTATTGAAACATTCCGATATCTACATATACTTGAACACTTGGAAATGTTTATGAGAACTGTATCAAACTTAAATCGATTTATTAGAGAAGAAGTAAAAGCAGCACGACGTACTTTGCGTTAGCGACAGTTAAATTTATGGGATTTTTATTTCACTTTATTTGAAATTCAATGTAAGACAACATTATTCTTCAATGAAAGGTTCACTGCAACCAACCGCAAGCGAAATGTTTCATTCGTCACGTTGCAAAAGAAGATAAAAATAATAAAAAATCTTGAGAGAAATAACATAAGACTTAAATAACATTTTTAATATTTTCCTTTCATTATAAATAAAATCTTTTCTTAGTTCTTTCCACTGTGTTTTCGGTTTAGATAGACAATTAAAAAAGAAAAGAGAAAGATAAAAACGAAACTAATTATGAATGAATGAATGAAAAATCTAAATTTAACTTTAAACAACTTTTCATTTGAAATTCATGAGTAAGTCTCAGAGTGAAAATGAAAAAGAAAAACGCGATTCCAGAAAGTCAAATAATTGTGATTGCATGTTTTAAAACAATTAAACTCATTTTACCACTTTCAAGTCTTGTCAAACAATAGTAGAAGAAGTATGGTGTAGCACAACCATGAAAGTTCCTGAGTAAAACGTTGTGCAAACTCTTTATTGTCCTCATTTATTAAGAAGCTTTTCAGAATGAATTTCTCATTACGCAATTATGAAAACGAAGGTAAATGAAAGGAAGGAAAAAGCTGGTTGGAGGTAGAAAAATCAGTTTTGACACGCGATAAACTTCTCATTCTGTATGTAAATTGTAATCCCATGAAGGATTTTTAAAACAAAATTATTCATTCGTTACAAGATAAGTACGCTATGTAGGGGATTGTTAGCCGTCTCTAAGTAAGTGAAATTAACTGATTTTTACTGATATACAAAAAATTATCCTCAAATACATTTTGAACATTTATTTTCATGTACCTCGATTTTCGAATAAATATTTGATGAAAATTTCTCGTTCAATGAACATTTTCTTTAAGCTTTTATAAGCAGATTTAATATTCCTCGAGCACCTTCTTGAGTTGTGAGTGCTTTCTTATTGCTTTCCAACTCATTGTGGGTACTGAAAATTAAAGCTTATTTTAATGAATGAATTGCTACAATCCTTATAATAAGTATGCATTCACATGATGTATTTAAAATACTGAATCAGTTCCAATTAGCTTTCCTTCTTTTCTTTTTTTTCCTTCTCTGTTGTTATTCATGCGAATGAAAAGAAAAGAATTGTTTTCTCTCGGCGAGTGCCAGTAAAAGAAAAAGAAAAAATGAAAAATTACGAGGAAAATTTCGTGCGAAAGACGGAAATTATTCAAGTGCAAACAGATTCTAATTTGAAAAAAGAAAGAAAGGCGAAAGAAACAGTAAGAAAAATTCCTTTTCATTTTATAATTTACATACAAAGAGGAAAGGAGAAGAGTACAACAACGAGAAAAGGGAAGATTTTCCGGCAATGAATTTAATTAAGAAAGTTTGTAGCAAAGTAAAAACAACGAGAAAGCAAAGCAGACATAAAGCATCTCAAGAAGTAACAGAAATAAAGTTGAGTGATGATTTTATTGAAGGATTTTTATTGGAAAAAAATTTATTGGCTGAACCCGAGAGCTAAGTTAAAAGATTTAATAATAAATCCTTTGATGAAATTTTCTTGTCATCTGGGTGATGTTTCTACTGCCGCAGGGGTTGAGAAACAAAAAGGGATGAAGAAGAAACCAACTCGTCTGTTGTTGGCAAGTGATTCTTAAGAGAACAAATACTAAGATGAGCAGTGAGGAGAAAACTTTATTTATTTATCTTTTTCGTCACTGTAATCGTTTGCTAAATACAGACACAAACACACATATCCTGACTTGCACGATTTAAATTAACTCGAACTCCAACAATCACTAAATTATGTTAATTTAAATTGTTCGTGAAAATAAATTTTGTGATATTTTCCAACATTAATTTGAATTTATATTCTTGAATTATTCGCACTTGAAGAACACTCATTTGAAAAGTTCGCCACGACAAAGCGAGTTGGAAATGAAATGTATAAATTGCCTGAATGGTAAAGGAAATGAAACTTTTTTCAAATGATTTATTAACGTGGGAAATAGTTGAGGGAGTTGAGATAATTTTAAAGTAAAAATCTACTTGAGTTAGAGTTATGCCAAGTTAAAATCGTCTTACGAGAAAGCGAAGGCGAGAATTTTTTTCTTTTTAAAAGATGTTGAAAGTTTAATGTGAGACTTTATCGGTAATCAGAGAAGATTAAAAGTTATTATGTGGCAGGAAGATGTTGAAGTGCATATAACTTTACGAAGCCTAAGAAATCAAATGAAAAAAAGATATTACTAAAATTTGATTCCTTATTTATAGATAGAAATAAAATTAATAAGTGTCGGCCATGTTCTTTAATGATGTCAATAAAATTCGAACTTAAAAAATAAAAGCTTATAAAGCTTAAACATTTATTTTTGAAATATGACCAAATTATGTTTTTTATGATCTTAAAAAGGAAACAAAACTCTCTTAAAAATTATTTCTTAGACTTTAATCAACGCCATAAATTTAAACGAAGGGAGACGATTAAAAACAAGCTTCTAAAGCTCCACTTCCCTAACCGAAAGCTCTTCATGTCGAGAATCTTTTTTTTAAATCTCTGAAAACTTTGTAAGATATTTTATCCCTTCCTGGTTTTTATAAATCTTAGACACTTGACATCATAGAGAAAACATCCCCAAATGATGATGACGAGGATGATAAACGAAAATAAAGAAAGAAAATGTAGATCATTTAAGATAAAATCAATAATCGAAAGAATGATGTGTGCGAAAATTGAACGACTATATCTGTAAAAATAAATCTTGTAAATTTTTGTCGTCTTGTAAGTTCTATCAAGTCTTATATAAAATTAAAAAATATTAAAAATGAAATAAGAGAAAAAATAAAATGAATCATTTTTATCATATCAATCAGAAATGGTGAATTTTAAATTATTTATTAAATTTATTCTTTTTCAGATTTTCCAAAGAACTTCTGAAGAATTTTATTTTTGTGCTAATAACAAATGATTGTAAGCTTTGAATATAGAGATAGCTGCTTCCTTTACGTATTTAATCCGTTTATTTAATAAGCTACACGTTATTAAACGTTAGAGAATGAAGGAAATTGGTTTTAATTAAAAAAACTCATACTGACATACATGTTTTGATCTAGTTTGAAGTTATGAGCAAAACCATTACGTCGGCATAGAGAAAGAATCGATGAGCCCACATTTTCTGCTTTGTATGTAGGTTGACGTGCTTAAAGCCATTGAAACGTTTTTAATTTCTCAACATCGCACGAAGGAAAAGAGTTGAATGAGAAATTCTAATCTCGCTCGTATTGAAAATCAATACCCGATGATTTTATGTATTACAGCAAAGCTGCACGTGACGCCTTGATAATCGAAAAGCGTGATATCATCACAATGAGTTAAATAGCTTCACTGTTGATGATGCTGATGATTTTATTTACACTTCATCAAGCGTTCTTCTATCAGTCAGAATAGAGATCGTGTCATAAAACTTATGGCTATCTGAAATAATAAAATATATTTGGAAAATTTCCAACCTTTTGATATTCCTTGTTATAAATTTCAAGTAGCTTTCCAAGTAAACAAATAAAGATAACTCAACTTGTAATCAATTGAAATATTTCCTTATTATGAATATGAAAAGGCTTTGATCAATCAAAATTCCAACCCACAAGAAATATAATCTTTATTACAAGTATGCTCTTGATTAATATCATAGTTAAATCTTGAACATCTCCATCGTTTCTTTGAGCATTCTAAGCACTGTCATCTCTCGTGTCAGATTTCTAAGAGACGAAATAAATATAAATTCTCAAGTGTAGCAATCTAATCCTTATATTTTTGCTCTACAGCTGAAAGTTACTTGCTATGTTCTCTTGCAGAATAAGCTTTTTTGAATGGGTACTTTGAAAGCTCTTTAAAAATACTCGCCCCAAGAGATAAAGATTCTTTACATTTGAACATTTTCTTCTTGAAATTTCTAATGCTCAGGTTAGACTAACTTGACTTTAGCATTTCCAGTGTAAAATTTTCTTCATCTAAATCTAAATAAATAATCTCAAAATATCTATTTAGAACCTTCCGATCCATTAATTCATGAATCATGAAAAAGAAATTATAAAAATCGAATTGAAAAAATTATTTACAAAGTTGTTGAACTTTTCCGAAGTTTCAAAAAGAATTATAAAGAAATTCCGATTTCCTGCTTTGAAATGAAATAGAAACAAACACATTCATGATTTTCATTGATTTTTTATGCTTCTACATTAATATAAAAAGAAGATTTGAAAAGATTTTCAGCACATCATGTAGAAGAAAAAAATGAGGTTAATTAATTTATTGAATATTTTAATGCAGATAATTTAAAAAACGAATTAAAGAAATATGATTGTATACAAAAACTAGAAAAAGTTTACAAACAGCTGTAGTTCAGTCCAAATAACTAACCAAATTGGATTATTGTATTGATGCCATTAAAAGTTTTGTCGTTTTCCTTTCCGAAGATTTACGACTTTTCCTTTCACATAAATTCCTGTGAGTCAATGAAAGGATTTTTATATTTTCAGAAGTTAAGCTTTACAGCACATCTACCTAAAAGGATTTTCTCTTAAAAGCTCTTCAACAACTGACTATAGAATAATTAAGCAGATCTTTCAAAAGGGAGCTTTTAATGAAAGTTCTATAGAACTCATTAGTTACGGTCTGCTTATTGAATTTCATTGACTGTTGCAAAGGAAATGTCAAGTCTATACATAGATAATATCTTCGAAAGATTTATCAATAGATAATGGATCATACATGATACATAAACAATAACAATCCAATATCCGTAAACAGTAATTGATTGAATTAATTTATAATTTATCATACAATATCCACAAAATGCCTCTTTGCAAACGTTCAAAGAAAGAATTTATTATTGATGTTTATATGTATATTGTAAATACAAGTATCTAATGAATAATTAACTACTTATGGCAATGCTTAAAATGGTTTCGCTGTTCTCTGTAAATGTCAATTCAGTTGATTTTCAATTAAGCATATCATCCTAAGAACTTGACAGATGACTGAAACATTTGACACATTTTACACATTAAAGTGTAGAATTTCTTTAAATAAGTGAGACGTTCTTGTTTCAATTTATTATTCAAAAATATTCATTATTATTCAAAGCAGATTTGTTGTCCAACACTGGCCATCATATCACATCAAAGTCTATGAATAATCCAGGTAATTGTAATGTAGATTAAATATTTTTGGTAATTCAACTCAACCAGAGACAGACAGATAGTGTATCGTACTTATAATAGAATTAAAATTTTACCATTTGAATGGGATTTTGTAATTTAATTCTCTGAACTCGCAGCAACCACTTTACATGAATAGGGTTTTCCAGAAAATGTATTGTTATGGTTTTTCCACGATTTTCAAGGATGAGATTAAATTTCTTTAAATTTTCATTTAATTCAAGACTCAATTTCTTGTTAGATACAAAATTTTAAATGTTTATATTTAAGAAATGAAAATGAAGGAAAACCCTATGCAGGAAGCTTAAACATCGAATTTTGTACAATAACGCAATGTGAAATTAAGCTTGTACTTGTTTAAAACTCTTTCCACTCTTATCTGGACGTTCATTTAATTTATACTCTCACTGGATGTTCTCAACTTAGAATTTATTCTCTGACGATTGGCTCGTTTGTGGTTGCTTTCAATTCCAATTAGATTCAAAATGAAACACAATCACTGCGACTAAATGAAGCAAAAAATATTAAATGAATGCAACACAAGCGGATATATTCAAATTTTATGTAGATTTTCTCTTAAGGGAATTCCATTCGTGATGCACTTTTACAAGTTATATAATTAAAACATCCTTGTCGGATGTCTGAAATCTATATTTACGACAGGATGACTTTCAAAACCCACCAAAAAAAGGAAAACTTTTCAGAAACGACAAATACGGAAAAAATCTTTCGAGATTCAAAGTCAAGTAAAGGCAAATTTTCCATCATCTATTTTGGAACTTTGTAAAAGTTTTTTCAGCAAAGGAATATTTATTGCGTTTTTGTAAGTCATCACATGAATGGATCAAAGCTTCATTGATTTAATTTATGCTTCAATTTAAATTTTGTTGAAGACTTTTTCATTATTCAAAAAAAGCATTTAATCTGTAGGCGTAGACATAAAAAGACCTAATTACTAATTAGAACTTTATAAGAATTTGAATTAGATAATGAAATCTGCTTAAAATAATAAAAATTGTTTTTATATCGAATTTTAATTAGAATCAATAACTTTTTGAGTTTGAAAAACTTCAAGAAATTTCTCCGTATTGAATCTCTGCTCTGATAGTGATACTGATTCATGACGCTATCAGGCAACAATGACAAAAACATCAGGAAGAGAATGAAAATCTCAAATGACGTTTACAAAAGACTTTCAATGAACGTGAAACTAACGACTGAATAATATAATTTTGTCTGTCTTCTTAAAGTCATTCAGGATGGAAGAGATTTAATACAAAAGGACATAAATATCTACCTTCTTGCTAATTTACAAATAGTCATCTAACTAAATAAATGTCTTTTTATTCTTTTCCATGGACATGGAAATCTTTCAAAATTACTACGATCTATTTAGATGACAGTAAGTAAAATTAATTTCATGAGATGATCAGTTTTATGTAGTTTCAGAAAAATTTTGAATATTTAAAATATTGCTGACTTTATCAAAATACTTTGACTTGACTTTAAACTCGATGTTAACATAAATTCCAATATGTACATGTACATCTCTAGGGACGTGTACATAGAAAGGAAAATTCAATTTTTGCAGAAAAATCGGCGGCATATGATGATCATGACGAATAAGGGCGGATGATTGATGCTCTGGGAAATGCCAAGCAAGAAGAGAGGAAACATTTTTTGGTATTCTCTGAGTCGAACGATGATGAAAATGTATTCGGTTTCGCGAGGCAAACAAACCGCGAAATGCTTTCTCGGTATTTCAAAGTAGACAAGTCAGTGTCAGTGCCTTCATTAAGTCTTGCGAAAGAGGATTAAATATAAACAATTTTTTAAGGAAGATGGAATGATGGAAGAGAATGAGATTCAATTAAGTCAGCTGTGACATTTTCATTGTTTATGGCTTTTGAATACTTTTACTTGACTTTGGACGACGAAAACGACTCGCATCTTGGGGGATAATTTTTCTCGAAAATATTTTGTGGGGTAGCAAAACAAAAATATATTTTCAAGTATTCATTAATCTTATTGATTATCAAACACTCTACTTTCCCAGTCTCCAATTTAATTGAAAACAAATTTTCTCTGGTAATCAATCAAGATAAGGTTTTGGTTGTGAACAAACTTTCTAGATAAATTTGGTAAGAAATTAATTTAAATTGAAGGAAGTATTTTAATGGAGATGAAGTAACGAGCTAGGAAGTAACTACGTTAAGTAAAAAACATTAATTACACAAACCGCAACAATAGTAGCAGATGCAGCCACATCATAGATAACACCACAATCAGCTTCATATCATAGAAGAGCAAAGTCTTTACATTTGACAACTTAACATTTATTCAAGTAACTGCTTTCATCAAAACTATACATTTATCTAGATAAATCATTAGTATCTTCTTACATCTTTCTAGATCTCCCAAGAACATCAATAAAAACGTCGCTTTAAATTTTTAAACATTTATTTCCATTTCTTATGGTTTTTCCCATTTTCATCATTGTAATTTACCATCTTCATTTCATTTGAAATGATAAATCAAACTCAAATTTAAAACTAAGTATCTACATATTATGGAACCGAAAATTTAATGCTAGGCGATAATTTTGCCATTAAAATAATGGAATAACTTTATTTTACTCAGGAATAATTTAGATGATGAGTTGAGTAAAATTATTGATTTAATTTAATTGACGCAGATGAAACTTGTTGCTTTCTTTGAGTTTTGTGTCCTAACTACGAGCTTTTTCCGCGATACAAAATTTACATTCATGTTTATGTTAGATATTTATGAGTTATAAAAAATAACGGAAATTTGAAATTCAAACGAAAGCATTACGAAGCTTTCAAGTTCTATTACAAAAGTTTGAAGAAAGCTTTGAAAAAAACATTGTTGAGAAATATCATAAAAACAGAAAAATGTATTCAGAAGAAAAAGGCTTTGTTTAATTTCAAAAGAAATAGAAACATAATCAAACATTAAAAATATAACACATTAATCCTGAAAAAACTTTTACTGACTATTTTTAGAATGTTCAATATTTGATTTAAACAAACTCATTTAATTTTGAATTTTACGATTATCTTGTCGCGGTGAGAAGACTGTAAGTAATTTTCTACAAGCTATATAAAGTCTCTTTGTTTTGACTAGAAATTATTATCTTCTCGTTCATAGATCTTCACTAATCACGTAAAACAATGAAAAATTATCCATTTCTCAACTCTCTTAATGTTTATTCAATTCTATTCTAGTACGTAAACTAATTTCAGTTATCATTACCTTTTTGATACTTTTCGGGCCTTATCGTCGTAAAAGTTCACGAAAAGTTAATGAATTTTTCGAATGTTCATAGCTCCAGTTTTATGGACGATTAAGACACTTTTAGCTTCACAAGCAGTCTCAGAAGGATGCATTCAAAACAACAAATGATCGCGTGCTGCTGATAATGAAGCACTTGCCGGCATAAAAAAAGCTTCACGTTCTCTCTTTTCTCGATGTTTTCATGTTTTCGTGTCCGTTCCTAAAACATTGTAAAGCATTGAAATAAAGACTTACTGCTTAGTATATCATGAAATTTTTGAGTTTCAATTCAGAAGTATTGCGAACGTCGACTCGAGATCTTCAATGATTTCTCGTCCGCGCCGCTTCGATTAAAAATAAGAAGAATCTCACTTTTCTCCTGTGTGCTTGGAGTGTTTTTTCCTTCGAAAGAAAACATAAGATAACAAAAGTTTAATTTATCAATTCTGATTGTAATTCGTGTTTAAAAAGGAAATTAAATCTAACCAGTTTGTTCTCTTAGAATTCTCTGTGAAGTTTCTTGTGTTTTAAAAAAAGGTTTGAAAATCGCACGACAGAATTTTCTTCATTTGAATGCAATAATATTCTTGTGTACGAAAACTTGGTTTGCCTAAAAAAGCAATCTGTTCTTTTCATTGAATGAAAGCGAAATTGAAAAGAAAAGTGAATAAAAAAAATCTCAAAGAAGAAGTTTATGTGCAAATGATTTTTTCCGGTGAAGCTGAAGTGAACAGTTTGAAAATTTTTCAGAGAATATTAAATAAATTCACTGCCATTAGTTTGACGATCACTTAATCAACTCCATGACTCTTCAGAGATCTGGAAAAATAGTGCATGAGGAAAATTTTGAAAACGAAGAAAAAATAAAGATAATCGATAAAAAAATACTGTGAAGAAAAAAAAACTATTTTTAACAGCAGCATTTCATGTATCGCGATTCTTTTAGCAACAAAATTATTTTTGGATTCAGGAGCTTTTGTTTACATTTGAATGAAAGCAGAACGAAGCCGACGTATAACAACGAAAAAGATCATTTATCCACGTAAATTGCTAAAAGAATCATCTGATAAAAAGGTTAATAATTTTTTTTCATTTTTTTCACCCCGAATTCTTTTGAGAGAATTTTTGTCTTTAAACATTACATAAGGCGTTTAAACCAAGAAGTGTTTCTGAGTGGAACATAAGCGAATCTTCGTATTCGACAGTTTTTAGAGTTTCATTTGAATGTGGTGTTGGATCACTTATAGAAGTTTTTTTTTTCCTGAGCGAAGCCAGTAAAATTTGCAGAAGAAGAAGAAAAAAGATCAACACACGAGAAGGTTTTGTCGCCTTTTTTTTCAATGGTGATGTACTCTTCTAGTCTAGGCAGATGAAATTTAATCATCTCTCGGCGTGTTATGTTTACACAGCACAAGTATATTTTATTGTGTGATAACCGCGACAACTGAATATTAACTGAATTCGCGCCCAAAAAAATTAGCTTTTGCTTTTCTTGTTTTTCAGTAGAATGAAATTAAACTCTTGGGCACCTGTTAGTGCTCAGTTTCCGAATGAAATTTACAAGAAAAATTTTCTGTGGAAGTAAATAAGTAAAGGCACGGCAAAAAATATAACGTTAAAGTCTCATTCACAAAAAACTTGCTGCTAAGTTTGCTACTAAATGACACAAAAATAAGCAAGTGTTAAAAAAGTAAATTTATTTTAAGTTTGTGCTAACGAAATTAATTTTTTCTCTCCGAAATGAAAAAAGTAATATTTGCATGCTCAGAGATGAGACATTGAGCATCGAATGATGTTTTTTTGATAAATTTTGTCGATGGGGATTTTTAATGACTTGTTGGAATTCGTAGTTCATCAATGAGTGACATAAATTATGACTTGTTACAATTTTGGTGTTAAAATGAATCAATTATTTGTTCCAAGAATTATTTTTAATGATAGGGAAAAATTTAAAATTGACCATTATTTGATGATTACGCCTACAGAAATAAACAAAATCGACGGGAAACCACAGCAAAAAAAGAACGAAGAAATAACCGAAAATGCAAATTTATTATCGATAACAAAATTGAATGAAAAGCGTGAAATTTTTTATGGTCGTCAGAGGTTGTAACAACTTAATTTTATTCTCCTTGCTGATAAAACAAAAAAAAATTTTGTCAACAAAAAAATTGTGAACAAATCGTCACTTTGTATGTTTATTAAATTACTAAAATAGGATCAGAAACTGGCGACCAAGATGTCTCGTCATAAAGAGAGAAATGACTGAGTCGGGACCTTTTCAATTTCAATCCATTAATAAAATTGTTTTTCTTGTTTTTGCTTTCTTTAGATATTTTTCTTTTTTTGCACAACTCATTGACTTTTTCCCTAATAAACATTTCTAGTCCCTTCTTTATGGGCGACAAATGAAAATATTTTTCCGGAAACTTTTCTACATTATTATTTATGGTCATCACTCCATCTTTTTCTGTTTGCTGTTTATGATGATCTGAGAGAAACGATATCTTGACGACGCCTTCACGACTGCTGTTATTTAATTGAATTGTGTTTGATGAGTGATGAACGAAGCAGGAAGAAAAAGTTCTTTTCTTGCACTTTTATGGCCTTTAATGTAATACTTTGTGGTTCAAACGAAGATTATCTTTTCTGTTATGGTTCTCCAATCGTTTCTATGATAGAAAATCTTAAGCAGATTTTCCTTGAAATCTTTTCGCTAAGTGGATTTTGTGATACTTTCAAAAGTCGATGAAAATTCCACTCATACTGCATCTGTGCGCAATCTTTTAGCGCTATGTGAAGCAAAAATAATAAAACAAATAGAAGAAAAAAGCGAAGACAAATTCAATCTTGAGTCATTCGCCTTTTCTGCTTCGATTAAATTCACTTTAAAATGCGCGTCATTGAAAAATTCTGGATCCCCGAGACCAAAGCCGTGACCTACGTTTGCGACACTCATTTACAATCATGTGATTAAGGAAACTCGATGTTCTTTCTCTCTCAAACTTAATAAAGAGCGTAACATACAAAAACAAAGAAAAAAAAAACATCACAAATGAAATGAAAATTAGGCTCCCAGAAATAAAGAAAAAGAAACTGAAAGCGAAAACCGGCTTCAAATTCCTCAATAATCAGCCGTTTATGTTAATTCTTTGGTTTATTCAAAAAATCATCACATAAGTAACCAACACCATTGAACAGTATTCGCCGAATATTAAAACTAAAAAGAATTTTACGGCACTTTTGCGAAGTGTTTGAAATGTGTTTTATTATTCTTTTTTCTTTTTGGTGTATATATGAACGATCGTACGAGTGATTCGGCAATAACAGCAACAGAAGCAACGGGTTACTAGTATACTTAAAATTTTAACACAAACGTTTGAAACGAAAGCAAATATGCAAATACTCAATCTCACAATAACTTCTTATTTTTTTTCGTATCTTCGGGCTCTGATAAATCAATGAGACGCGATCAATTAAAACGAAGAATTGCTTGTGTTATGATGTGAACATTGAAAGAAAAAAAAATGAGTAGGATCAATGACCATTTGAATGAGTTTGTGTGCACACTAAATGACGCGACGAAAACTAGAAATTCGCGAAGATTAATTTTTGTTTTTTTTCTTCTAAGAACTCACGAATTTCAAGTTCTTCCCGATGTTTCAAGGTTCTTTACGACTTTACCTGACTCTTTTGTTTGCTGTCAAAAAAGAACGATTATGAGCAGAAAGCAATTTGCATAAATTTCGATTCGATCCATAAACTGCAGTAAAGCACATATCCTGTTTGTTGGCTGTCTAGGGAATCACCTTAAACACTCTCCCCCGTCTAACTCTCAAAATTATGATTTAACTTGGCGTCTCAGCGACAACTAAGGAATTACTTGAAGGTCGCTTCTCTCTCTTTTCTATTTTTGAATGAATCTTTATATCAAAAACGTGCAAAAATGCGAGAATTTTTTTTTCTTCTCTTCTCTATTGAAAGCTTAATTGGCAAAAAAAAGTTCGTGCGCTCGAGACGCTATTTTGCTGTTTCTAATTGAGTTTTAGAGCATGGAAAGAAGCTGACGAACAAATTTATGCGATTTGGTCATCTAGATAAGGCGATGAAGCATGAGAAGATTTAAGTTGTGTTGTGACCATTGGCAAAGCAACTCAAATTAGCAAACATTGACAAATTGGCAACAAATTTTTAGATTTTTTTTTTTGTCGCTACCATACACCGATCACTACCTGTTTGGGTTTCTAGTTAAAACCTTGAAAGGTTGAACACAAATTTGTGTCTAGAATTTTCAAGAAAATTTTACATGCTAAAATGTCGAATTCAATTTTACTTGTAAATGAAACAAATTCATTTCTTCTGATAAGTTTTCCAGAAAAAAAAAACCAATCACAACTGCAAAGAATTATTTAGATCGTACGATATATTCAAACGAACGTGTTAGCTAAGCCTAAGCTTGACATAAACCAAATGCCCCGAGATTTGTTTAAAGTATACAATCTAACAAAGTGGAGAGTTGGAAAAAATTGTATAATAAATAGTGGTTTGTGATTCGAACGAATGCAGCTCTTTACAGTGGCATTATGATAGCTGAATAAGCTTTTTTCTTTTTTTTGATTCAGACATTTTTGCATAATAATGAAGGCGATCTCTGCCCTTTTTCAGAAAGTCAATATCGAATTCGTGTATTGTTAGTTCAACAGCTCTGTTTTTACTATTAACACACTTCACCGTTGCCAGTGCCTTAAATGTTGCTTAATTCATATCTGTTTGATTTAGTGAAGATGCGACCACAAATCACACAACGTTCGATTATTTAATATTTATTGTTGGGTTTGAGACTTCATTGATCTCTCTTTACAAATAGATTGAATCCGAATTGTCGACGATTCTTTCAATTGTTTGCCTATTGATTCAGAACAAATATTTCGATACGGTTGGAGCTAAAAAAATCATGTACACGATCGTGCCGCTGCAGATCAACAAGAAAAAACTGTTTTCTCAACTTCCCATTCAGAGAATCAAATGAGCTTCAACATCAGTGAATTTACATTAAGCAAGTAAACTAAACCACGTAGGTAAATGAAGAAAAACCTTAAATGTAATTAACAGAAAATCTTTGCATTGTTTCGGTTCGATGACTGCGACTCGCAGTAATTGGTAAATCTTTTGATATTTTAATTTTGTGGAAATTCATCATATTTACTAAAACAAAACAAAAAGAAGGTTCTCCCGACCACAAATTGATTCGAATTTGATTGTTCAAAATGTTGTGCTGCGTTGAGAAAGAATTATGGAAATCTGATGATTATTTATGGGTTTCACATCGTTCATACCCGCAAAGAGTATTCGTGTGGGCCTAAGCGCGATCATGTCAAACTTTAAGCGATGAACGAGTAGAGCGAAGTAAAAAGTGAGAAACACAAATGATGATTGAATATTTATGCACAAACTCTTTTTTTTTGTTTTAGAAGCGCGTCGTACTCGCAAAAACAAGCATTAGTAGTTTGGTTGTTGAAGGAAGTGCCTAAAACAACAAATTATTTATTTATTCAAGCTCATATTAATGTATCGACATTTGTGGAGTTCATTTACAATGTTTGCGTGTGCGTTAAAAAGTTGATTGTCTTTAGATGAATGTTTTAGTAAATGCGATTATGATTTCACTAACTAGGAAACTTTCCATGCCCATTGATAGACTAAACGATCATCTTAACACAATTTTGCTAGCATCAAATCAACAAGGAATAGATCGCAGTAGGTTTTTAAATCAAAAAAGGCGTTAAGAACATCAAAAGTATAATTAAACATCAACTTGCTCCACTATTAAGACTATAAAAGAAGAAGAAGAAGAAACAAAGTTTATCTAAAGCCGCTCACTCTGCACGAGCATAAATTTTAACATGTTTGGGCGCACACATTCGTTACAACAAAACAAAATTGTTTTTCTCTTTTCTTACAAATTCACCGTAAACTATCGTAAACACATTTCTTTTTCCAGAGAATGGAAATGAACTGAAAAGTTTCATCGGAAATGGAAAATTTTCTGCGAATTATATGAAAAATTTACTTGAAGGAATAAATAATGTTTGTCGATTTAAAAGATATTAGCTCAAATGATTTACGGAAATGTAAGTTTCATTTATCCCTTAAAAAGATGTTTGTTGTTTTTGTCGTGTTTCAGTGATTATTTCGAGCTTCCTCCCATAAAAAGCAAGCAACACTTAAAACGAAGATGAAGCTAATTCATTTCATTGCCATTCATCTTCCACATTTTCAATCGATAACAATTTTCATTTCCAAAAATCCGCTTAATAATCCTCGAAGAAGCACTTTTTAAATTATTGATAACCTCAAGTACTTTTCCCATCCTTGGATATTTCATCTTATGCGAATGGAAGTAAAGTAAATGAAAAAAGAGAATTGACTTCAAATGCTAACAACTCTACAATCGCTTTTGCTGTTGCTGATATTATGTTTATCGACTTACTCGCTTCTATTTTGCCTTCGATTTGAAAAAGAATGACATGAAACATATGTGTAGAAATTCAATACTTGCGAATTAAATGTTTTTAATCTCATAATGCTTTTCCATCATAATTTTATACAATTTTGCTGAGCTCCATTGATGGAGATTATTGACATGTAATATGATTGGTGAAGGTTGATTGGTTGTGCTCGCTTATGTTGATATAACGACATCCGCGACTATAGAAGATCACATTTTGTTATCGAAGACTTTAACATATTTTTTGAGTGTACTTAATTTGTTTTAATCTTTAATGCAGAACTTGACATGTTAAACGACGATGATGTTAAGCAGATTACGTTGTTAATGTTTCTCTTCTTTATTTGCTTTTAAAAGTCTAAACTTTCGATTCATTTGAGAAACGTTTGAGTGCTTGGTGGAAACAACATAAAAAAGTAACATCAAAAGAGGTTCAGAGGAGCGTCTTTAAGTTATACAACACATAAGTCGAAAAGCCACGAACCTAAAATTGATTTATGCTATCCTTTTGACAATTCAAATCTTCACTAAGATTATTCAAATGCAAATTCAAAAGAAAGTTAAGTTTATTATTAATAAAACACTCAAATGTGAGCTTAAAAAAGGGAAATCAAAGTTTCATTCCAAAGCATCATAAAATGAATGCACTTTGCATAGAAAATCAAATTATTCTCCTATGCAAAATATGTAAATAAATCACTTAACGAGAATTTATTGCTCCAAAAAGCTTTTCATTCTTCTTGCATGCGGAAACGCAAACATCAAACAATAAAAACAATTTAGAGAACTTTTGTTCTTTAAATCGATGAACAGAAAATACAACAAAAATTACTTCACTGAAACAATGAAGCTTAAAATATATAAAAGAAGAATTTTTTTTCATTTCGCGATGAACGTGATATAATATGTAAATACGGTGAAAAATAAAGCAACTCGATTACGCGTGTAGTTCTGTGGAAATAGGTCTGGTTACGTTGAACTTCGCGCGGGTAAGATAAGCGATCGCTTCTTCAAGCTAAAACAGTTTGAAATTAAAAATATGATGGTGTGAATGAATCATGAAATTTTGTCAATATTTTTGAAATCAAAATTCAACATGCCAAAAGGCTTGAGCTATCCGCACATATGTAATACTCGCATGGCAAAAAAAACACATTTTGAGCTACCAGAGAAACACATTAAAATATTGCGCCTGCTTAACAGGTGTTTTGTCAAGGTCTTTGACTTATTTCGGTAGTATTAGTTCACATTTTAGAAGTGGCAAAGGAAGAAGAAGATCAAAGCTTGACCACAATCGAGTGATCAATCTTTAACAAGAATTCTTTATTTTAGATTTTAAAATAATTTTAATATTCCCAAATACAGCACTGTTAATAAAAGTGTAGACGATATATAGCCACTAAGAGAGAATGTAAAGAGGGAAAAATTATTAATGAAATATCTTGTTTGCTAGACAGATCGCCATAATATTCAAAGTGTTTTTTTTTCGTGTGTAAGTTTTACAAGCAATTCTTTTTTATGAATACTCATTTACGCGGGTACTACATATTAAATTTACCTCAAGAAGCTTAGCTAGCTATCTAAATGCCTGAGGAATAAAAATAAAAGCAGCACAAGAGACAAGATAAGAATATTGCAGAGAGTTTCCGTAATTTGCATAGGAAAATTTATCTCGCACTCTTTCATGTACTCTGATAATTTATTTACTTAACATAAATCGCTTAAAATTTATTAAAATCATCTCTATAAGAAATGTTCATTCAAGAAACGGAAAACGTAACCGAATCGACAGAAGGTCTGACTTTCATCAAAAAAGAAGAAATAAATGTTTTTCTCATTGATGTCGCTCGATCATACATGAAGTTTCCGTTTTCAACACCACGAAATTATTATTATGGTGTTGTAAAATCAAACATCTGTCAACCGGGAAGAGAATAAATAAAGAACTCAGCGAGACGAATCAATGAAAAAGAAAACATAATTAAACATCGTTGTACCATATGCTTTTGATATTTAATAATTTATGTGCGTGAAAAAATGATGATTAAAAGTCATTCGAATGACAAATCATATGCTTTAGCGCTTACCCTTTTCAATGTTCATTCAAGAAATGTGGTTAAAGTTTAATTTATTTAGCAGATTGCTAAAATGTTGAGGGAAAAGTTATTTGATCAGACATTACCTGATAATGTTATCTTTAAAGACAATTTTTATGAGATTCTTCATAAATTTGAAATTAGTAATGAAGGTTCCTCGTGATAAAGATAAGGAAGATGTAGAAAGGGCGCCAATGTCGTGAGTTAGTTTTGAAAACAACGATTGACATAAATCTTTACATTATCAAGCTGCTTGAAATATCCCAAGCCAGTCACAATAATTCACGAACCATTCAAGTGGAAGAAAAACTTAATGTTGACAAAATAACAAACGAAATTAGTCTTTATAATTTTGACGAAAAGCTTGCATGTTATTAACCTCTTTCTAAAAGAAAATATGACTTGTGAAAATCTGCTGAGCGAAAGAAAATGAAATTTGGGTCGAGATAGCGAAAAGAAAACATCAAATGAAACATTTATTATTGAAGTTTACAAACCGTTGAATACTTAAATATTACAATAAAGCAACAACTTTAAATTGTTTTATTAAAATTCAATCTACCCACAATATTTAATTGATTTTTTTTTCATCTTTAATCGCTTCTCGATTCGTTGATGGTTTTTTTCTGCTTTCAATTAAGCTCTTTGTAGGATTCCATACAATTTAATTATTTCTTTAGAACTTTTCAATCGAGAATCGTGTAAATTGCTGATGAACATGCAATGAGCCAAATGGGAGATCTGAAAACATTTTAACAATGCATCTTATGAACTTTTATATTGAACTTGATATTGGACAATGTTGAAGAAATTGAGTTTATGAAAACAAAGCATTGATAGCTTCACGATTTAATTAAAGAGACAACAAACACTAAAAAGAGAAATATGGATGTAATAAAATTTAATGTAAAACAAGTTAGCTTGATATATTGCAAAAATAATATTTAACGCAAATCTTTCTATCTTATTGCCTCGCACATTTTCTCTCAAACTCTCATCTCTATTTTGTTTGAAATGAAACTTTCATGATTCTACACTATTTAATTACCTAATGAGCTTAAAGTATTAAATTTATGATCCAAATAAGCTGCCAGGCCTTTTAAATAATAAAAAGGGGTTGAAAAATAGTTAAATAAATATAAACTTTAGTAGTAAATATGAACAGCCTTTGAAATTAATGAATATCGAATTTCCAAAGTCTCGAATACGAGTGACTTAATTATTTTAACTGTTGACTAATTAAATCAAACTGTGTTAATTTTTTATTCGACTTAATTCTTTGGAACTCAACAGGCGAAATCTTTTGACTTTTTTTTTTTTTTTGTTAACATATTCAACATATTCAAAACTTCCTTAAAGATGATAAATTGAATTATCATGTTAGCGTTGGCTGTGAATATTCAGTACAATCGCTTCATGTCTCCACTTTTGCTTTTATTTTTCTTTTTTTTCGTAATAAAATTGCGTTCTATGTCAAATAGAAAATATTTTAAAGACAATGAATTCTGACAGACAATAAAGAAGCAGTTCTCATGATCAATTGACATTAGCATATTTATTTCAGTTGCTCGCAATGTTATAAACTCAATTCATAGTTAAAAATTCTTTAATTAATAATTGTCACACTCTCTCCAGCTGCGAATTTATCATTCATACATTCAATTTGAATAAAATCGGGGAAAAAAGTTATAAAAATTAAACGCGTCACTTAGGTGACATCATACGACGCCTATGGAGTGTTAACTCTTTCTTTGTAAACCTTATATACATTCAGACATCTTATCTTATCTCATTTACCCTTTTATTTCTTTACAGAATCTCTTCTTTAAAAATTGTAAAAGTTGAAGGTCTTCCTTCACTTTATCTCTTGTGTAACTTTCTGCTAAAACGACAAAACAAATAAAGAAGAAAAGATGACGACACCGCGGTGGACTAAAAACATTTATTTCAGATTGATATTGGCAATCTTATTGGTACTTTGTATATTAATAACGATTGTCTGTCTAAGCAACTTCGAGGTGTTCAGTGCGAGTTCGTCATCGTCAGAAGAAAATGAACGACTAGAATTAAGCAAAAGCAACAACTTAAAGTCGGTGGTAGCATCGTGGCTAAAAGGTGAGTGATAAAACTATTTTCAATCTATTAATATTTACTTAACGTTACACACAAAACTCACAATCAGTCAAAGCAAAGTCCAACTACATACATACTTATACATAAATTTTTATTAACGAAGTTGATGTCATCTCCTAATCATTATTTAAATAAAATAAAATTAAAAACATCATCGTTTTATATTTCCATAAAAATCCAAATTCTGTAGGTAAAAGGTGATGTTTAATCTCGTGATGTCTTCTCAAAATATATTTCGTTAATTACCTTTACGGTGACTCTCATTTACATATATACAGCAAAGATTTTTTTTTCTTAATTTCCTTAAGAGCTTTTGCCGCCATAAACCACGCTTTTTTGGTCGCAATAAAATCAACATCGGTTGTCAGATTTATATTTTCACATTTCGCGTCGCGAGCTGTTTGTGGTTTATTCTTTTATTTTTCTCTACATTTATTCACTGTAACCGCGTTAATTATGTCAATTTTATAATGAGCCATAAATTTTAATGTAATATTTTATTTGCACAAAATGGTGTTCTGTGAAACATTGAGTTGTCTTTTTTTTACACTACCTAGGTAGGTGACTTATGCTGAAAGCATTTCAAGCGCAAAAAATGGAGTTCATTTTAGTTTTTGATTAATTGCAGTTTAATTCTATAAAATCGTCTAGCGTCGTCGACGACTAACTCACTGGAACACATTACGCAAGCGGATTAATTAATTTTTGTTTGCACAAAAGAGGGAGTTTGCAGAAAAAAAGAAGCTTTACCATTTCCATTCTTTTTGATGAAAAACGGAAGTTTACACAAAGTTTCTGCAATTTCCCATTTAAGCATAAATAATGCTTGGGTGTTAGTCATTTGATTTGGCATATTTTTTTTATTTTGTCCAATAGTTGACTCCAAATAGCCAGTGCAATGTTATTGGCACTTGATGACGCTTGATGAGGCCAATAAACACGTTAACGTTGAGTGCGGAAGATAAATAAAGCAACAAGCGAAGTTTGATGCAAAGCGGAGGCATAAAAACAGAATAAGAATAAGAAGAGGAAAAAAAATAAAAGTCATTCATGAAAATGTTTAATTGACGTTGAATCTCAGATTGAAGACTGTTTTGACGGAAAAGTTGGCAGCGCTTTGACTTCTCGGGTGCTGAGTAATGTCAAGATTATTAAAACATGATTTTAATTTGGAACGATTGCATTCAAACGTAAAAATGCAAATACGGGCGAGCGACTCCTTCAGATTCGAATAATTTTAGACAGTCTGCCTATATATGATTGTGAAATTATTTGCCTCTCTGTGTCAGCTATAAATCGCTAATTTGTCGTTATTGCTTTGACAAACTCCAATTCCTAATAACTTTAAATACGCGACTCCTTTTTCAGATATTCATTGCATAAAACTTTTAACTGCGTTTAAAATTTTACAATTTTTTTACCATTGCGGGCAGACATGAATGCATTTTCTCTTTCTCGGTTATTTTTTTTCATTTGATGTGGAAGAAAATATTGAATAGCTTTGAGTTTTATTTCCAGATTGATGTTTATATCATTTTACGTAATGGCAAAAGTTTCGACACCGATCTTTGATCGTATGTAAAATTTTACTTTGTTGTTCATTCGTTGCTGTTTAAGTGAACTAGAACGACCACAAAATTCGATTGCAGAATAAAAAGCAATCTCTTGAATGACTCAGACTCATGAAATTTATTATAATTGAACGAAATTTAAACTCGAGAATATTATCATGAAAAGTTCCTTCTCAGAAAATGATTTATCTTTATTAATTTTCCAATTTATGAAACTCCCCGATTGACTTTTAAAGTTTAAACTTCAAACCGCATTTTTACTTAGTTTATTTTATTGTTGTTGATTACGTGAGCACGCACATATATTTTTAATGTCACTCGCACAAAAAACATGCAACAACATTTTGTGTTAAACTTAAAATTTGAACACGATCAAATGTAAACAATAAACAAGAATGTCGATAAATGTAAAAATAAATTGTGTGTAAAAACATTTGTTTTCTTGGATATTTTACAAAACTTTATTGTTGACCCAAAAAATATTTACTTTCGATATCGGACAGCACCTTTTCACATCATTCATTTTGTAAATTAAAAGAAAAGTTTATGCGTTGAATATTTCTTCTCTCGTTTTGTGTGTTGAAAGCACTCCAATATTTAATGAATTTGAATGTGGGCACACAAGGTTAAGGTCAACGTTGAGGTTTCAATTGTTTCCTTTCATGGCTGTAAATTTCTTTCTTCTCAGGCCGATGAACCCATTATCGTTCATTGATATGTCGATGTGACTAAGGGGTTATTCTTTCAAAACGTCACACATTTACTCAGTAATTAACACAAATTATTATTTAAATGAAACTTGCTTTCAATATCACATTTTGATTGATTGAAAGCTTTTCCATTCGTCTTATTGAAAAGTAAATTAAATCACTTACAATGTTTAAATGCAATTAATTTTTCCAATTGCAATTCAAGAACGACATGGCATCTCAACGACCTCATTCAAACATATATCTCAATTCTTTCTTTTTATTTTTCGTTTTTCATTAAGAAATGCTTATCTGAACGATTCCATTAACATTCCATTCGATTAGAAATTGATTAACATAATTGAGTTTATTAAGTGCTATCATTGTGTTTAATAAGATTCCTGCATAAATTTATTTACATGTCACCATCACGTGTCCATGATCTTTACTAATTGTAAGGCATGAAAGAGATTAAGTCAAAAATTATCGCTAATTAAATTATGTAAATTTCTCTTTTGATTCAAGATGTCAAAACTTTTTTTTCTTTTATATTAATTGAAAATACAAATTGATGACACAAAATGTCGCGTTTTTTGAAAGGTGTTATCACGATTCGCTTCACAGGAAAAGCATACGAGTTTTATTTGTGTAATCGGATCGTGCTTTGCATGCAATTTCAAACATTTTCGTCGAAAACATTGCGATCGAGTTCTATTTAAATTTGATTATTATTAAAATTCGATCCTTGAGACTTTCGACGAGGTGGTCGAAGTTTACATTAATCTTTCAATTTTCGACATCATATTGACATTTGCAGAAGCAAAAGCGAATAATCATTTATCATTCATTCATTCATTCATTCGCAGAGTATCCAGACACATCAAGAACGCTTAACGAAGAGGATGATACGAGATTAATAGCGCTATTGAATGCGTCGATGCCCGATCTGCTACAAAAGATACCCGACATGAAGGATATCACCGAATATTGGATACTTTATCCACATAAAATTCAAGTGCCATTGCATAAGGATGATTTATTATATGAATCAAAGCGAAATTATTCAAGTGCATTAAATTTAGGTGAGTTTATCTCTTTCCATACGATTATTTATTTAATCGCATAACAAAAATGTATTCAAAGCCATAAGAGAGTGTTCAATTGATGGAACTTGTAATATTCTTTTAACAGATAATAAATATCCACACCATGAAACTGGTCATTATCGTAATAAATCATCGAAAATTTGGGATCCTCATCCGCAGTATGAAATTGATGCCGATAAAGTGCACTTTGTGCTCCGTTTGAAGCAAGAACCTGACTTAGTTGCACCGAAACTTGAGGTAAGTAAATGAATGAGTTTTTTACGCTTTCTTTACTTTTCACATAAATCAACAAAAGTTGTTCATCGTGTAACTGTCATTTATATTTCATGAGCTGCGACTTGCATGACTCTGTGTGAAGTTGTAAGTTGCAGTTTGAAAAATGTTAAATAAATAATCTCATTTCACTTCTGCTATTCCTAGAAACTATTTGTAACAATGTAGCTGCTTTCAACATGTTAAGTTTTCACTTTTTTAATTTCAAAGTGAAGAATTTTTAATTTTTAAGTTTAAATTTTTACGACTTTTTCGATGAGTGGTGAAGGAGAATGGAGCATAAGAAAAAGCATTAATTAGGTTGAATTTTTGAATATGTTCCAAAAGTTTGCAAATTTCGAAAGCATTTCTGAGTATTCTGTTAGATGAGAGACTTAAGTTAAGATTTGTTTTAATGAAGTGTCTATCTCTGTCTATCAAAATATTTCTACATATGAAATCCTTGATAATTTATCTCGAACAAGTTTTTGATTTCTTCTTAACAACTTGTTTGCGTGATTTGATTTCTTTCTACATTTTATTGCTAATTTAATGTGATATCAGAGATTATCTTCACGCATAGTAAATAAAACAAACTTTATAGCTAAGAAATCTCTTTCTAATGATGAAAAGAAATCTCAAAGTAGGCAATTATTTCGATGAATCTCGCGTGAAGAAAAGCAAATTAAATATGCATTTGGACGATGCTAACATAAGTATGAAGGCTCTTATATCTGATGCTTGTCGGCGAGAGATTATTTATTTAATGATACTTCAAAATTCAAGTGTTGCTTAATTCACCACAAATTTACCTGCCATAATTTTATTCTTAATCTTAAATATTGATTAAGCAATCTTTTTATGATTCGTAATAAATTTACGAGTGGGTAATTATCTTATTTATCAAGTGCTCGGTATGGTGAAAACCACTCAACTTTATCCAAGATGCATAGCATGTAAGCCGCAAGTCTATTAGTCTAAGCAGCTCTAATAGACCGTTCAATAACAAGCCATAAAAATAACTTTTTTTTTTCCACCAAGCAACGCTTGCGAATGTCTTTTGAATATTTTTTTTCTTTATAAAAATTTAAATATCGTATTGAAGAAATATGAACTCAGCTACATGAGATACATACATAATAATGCTGACATTAAATAAATTATCTCATAAATAATCAATTATCTTTTAATGTGTCATTTGACAGGTGACTCACGTGTGGAACAACAGCAATTTAAGGCGAAAGGATGAGCAGCGAGAACACTACGAGCACAAAGAATGTCAATATAAAGGAAGCATTGTGGACGATGATAAATCGATTGTTGCAGTTTCACTTTGCGATGGCATGGTGAGAATCACTTTAAAATATTTAAAATTATATAATCGATCGAGAGCCACGTGGAAGGATTGACCTTGACACGCAATATATCCGTTTCAACTCTTATTTAATTAAATACAGTGAAAACATCTTCTCTTTCCTAATGTTTTTATATATGTTTTCTATTATTAGCCTCTCTTTTGCCACGCTGATCAGATCGCGTGAATTTGAGCAGACTAAAATCTGGAAAGTTCATTAGATTCATGATTGTTTACATAGCTCTTCTTTACTCGATCGTTTCATTTTTTTTCGGGCCAAAAATCATCATTTGTTTACTTAAACAAGAAGTTTTCAATCTTCTTTACTTCGACTTCAAATGCTGTGTTGCATAAACGGCAAATTATCTTCTGATCAGTTGAAGAGTGAAAAAAAAAAGAAGTTTTTAGGTCAGTCTTATCATTAGAAAGTTTCTTAATAAACGAAATGAATTCTGAACTTTGTGTTTAGTTCTAAATCACAAGCAGATATAAATAAAAGAATTTCAAATTAAGTTATCTAATTGAAAAAAGAAAATATTGCAGTTGATTTAAGTTTAATTTGTGAAGATGAATGTCTTCAACTTCTCGTTAAACTTCATTCGCTTAGTGATAGTTCAAAATGTCTGCAAAAAGTTTAAAGTCAACTTGAACAAGCAAAAAAAAAATTCACCGACGCGCGTTGTTTAACATTATCATAATTCACAATCACGTTTTGCGTACGAATGTGGGTTATTTGCAGTTTGAAACAATTTTATTTTCTCGTTTGATCTTTCTTCTTCTTCTCCCTCACGAGCAGAGTCTAAGGAGCTCTTCTGAATATAATTAAAATTCCACAAGTTTTTATTTCTATGTTAAAATATCGACACGCTCTTTTTTTTGCCCATTTCAACTCTCAAAGAACAAGCGATGAAAGAATTATATTTAGTAGAATTGTGTACTTACATATAAATAGTTTTTCCATGTATATCCATTTGTGATCGTGGGCGCAGTTCTGTTGGAAAATTTAAGAAGTTAAGAAGTACTTTAGATTTAATTTATTAACCCACGAATGATTTTCATCTGCTACGATCTTAGCGCATTGACTTTAGTGAAACGTGTGAAGCATTTTGTAAATAATTTTCCATCTATCTACTTGTTAGCTGTTTGTACAAAGGATATGTAAACGATTTTGCTGAAATATTTCCAAGATAAATGTTCTTTGCCCCTATCTCTATGAGGATGAGAAAATCATTTGAATTTGAGAGAAAATGTGCAATAATTTATTTCGTAAGTCATCCAAAAGCATTTTTTTTTTTGTGTGGTGTTTCGGACAAAAAGCATTTGTGTTTCTATAATGAAAAAATATTTTTAGAAATCCGAGGAGAATCCGCCGGCTTTATTTAAAGACACATATAAAAAAAATAAGATTTTCCGCATAGAAAATCGCTTTTCCGCGAATTGCCATGGTTTGAGAAGAAGAAAAAAGTAAAAAAAATTAAAGACGTCGACGAATCGAAACCAGACAGATTTAACTTTGCTACTGCCTTGAGTTTGGCCTGCAAAAGCAATCGAAGAACATAAATTTAAATTGTAAAAATAAAAAAAAGATAAAAATCTGTGCTAAGATTTCGACAAATGAATTTAAATCGATGTGACTTCACACAATGCGTCAAGAGGAAGATTAACGAGAGATTAACAGATTGAAAGATGACTCAGTAATCTCAATGCCGTAGCGAGATTAAGTTGTAACATGCAAGAGAATTTTCTCTTAAAATTCTCATTTGTAAATATCACATGATGACATTTTATAAATGAAGCAGATAATAATTGAAATGAAGGAGCTTTTTAATTTATACAATATGTTAAAATTGTACAAATGTTTGAAATCATATGTTAGTTTGTTGAATGATTCAACAACAACTTTGTTTGACAGTTCAAAGTGCTTATAAATATTCACACATTGCTACTTTCAATGAAATTGTGTAGATATCCATCAAAAAAATGTCTGCAATTAATATCTCAACTAGAATTCTGACAAATAATTGCAACATTTTAAGCATCGACTTTGCCAACAAATTTTATTCTTTTTAATTAAAAAATATTTTTAAATCGCTTCATTCTAATAATATTATTTTTATTTTACTTCAAAAATATGTTTTCGTTCATCACACAATCCAGTTTAAAGCAAATTTTGATTTTCATATATTTATTTATTTAATATTTATGATAATTATTAGTGGATATGAAGTAAATATTGATTGATTTATGAATGTGCCGAGATTTTTAAAGCCTTTTTTTTTCTTTGACTGACTTCAGTAACTGATCGTGAAATGCTTTTCGATATTCTTATTAAGCATTTTATCATCGTTTTTGCAGAAATTCAAAAAAAAAGAAGAACAAGAAAATGGTTGAGCTCAGCTAAAGTTCTGTTATAATTAATTTCAATTCATTAAACGTAAATCGCGTTCGATTGATGATTTGCGGTTCAAGGCTGTGCACGCACAGCTATAATGTTTCGAAAAAAACTTCGTTTTGTGCGCTTGTAGCCACACATGCTTTTCCTGCTTCATTCGCATTTTGAAAATTTATGAGTAATTAACAGCTTTTTTTTCTTGTTGTTCTGTCGGATCAATTTGAAGACTTTTAAGTGTACGAGGGTAATCCAAGCGGAGAGATTTATGTTTAAAACCGTGTATTTGATTTCAATTTATTATGATCTTTATTTCGGGATCATTGAGCGTGTACAAAAACAAGAAGAAGAGAAATGAACAAAAAAATAATAAAAAAATCTGTGCTAAATTGTCAAGAGTAGGAAATGAAAACAATAAATACACGGCACGATACAAGTCAAGCTTCGTATTATTATCGTCTCGACTCTACTGCTGCTGCTTGTGTTGTTTGACTATTTAAATTTTCAATGAAAAAAAATTTTTTTCGCAATTTTCAAGAGATTGTAGAAATAAACAGATCAGCGGGTCAGTTGAGATAAATGTGTGTCATGCGAGGCTCACACATATCACACGCTTTATTGACTCCCAAGCTTCTCATTGAACGATGATTGAAAGGTAGCCATATTGTCTACGCGCGTCTATCAAAACAGTTTTCTGATGGAAGCAATTATAAAGAGACGAATAGTCTATTTTCAACTCTCAAGCTGCTATCTTTCGAGGAAATCGTTAAGTCTCTTAAATTGAATGATTTTTTTCTGCCTTCGAAGCGAGATGTGAAGAACAAAAGTATTTGAGTTGATGTGATGGAATATCAGTTTTTTTATTTTGAATATTAGTTAATGGACAGTGTCAAGGCATCGAAAATTTATGCTAAGCTGTTTTTTTAAAGAAGGGCTTAAGATAAGCCATTTTGCAGACCACTTCTAAGTCAAATGATAGATTATTGCTTCCTGAAGATTGAAAAACTTTACGCGGGTCAAGTGTGAACTTTAAGACGGAACCAAAACGCGAGCGTTCCAAGTGTAGAACATAATAGCAGGTCTCAAATCTAGAAATTATTTTTGTCTCCCTATCAGTCTCTTTATGATGCTGATAATGAATAAAACATTTTACAAGTCGCCACATAAATTCGTTGGCTTATTGTAAAACTTTTTTTTCTTCTTCAAATTGTTATTCAACTCTCAACATAAATCAGTGAATCGGTTTTTGTTTCGGATACTTCGGTCAGATGAAAAAGAAGAACAGAATATCAATTTTCAAATAGGTTTTATTTGTTTTATTTTGTTAGGGAGATTACGTCGATTTTGTCATGTTTACTTTAAATTAAAAGGGTCTTAAGTAAGCTTAACACATGACGACAATACTTTGTAATGTTTTCTGTTCTTTTCAAAGCTAAAGTGCCTAAACAGATTGTTCTGTAATTAGTTTTTCTCTACCGTTCCATGGTCTGAATGACTTATTACTTTGAAAAGATTCGATAATTAGCTTTCCAACACTACTTGTGACTTGATTTATCTTTCATTCCCGAGATCCATATGCTCAGGATATTAAAAAATATGAATTGAAAAATATTAATCATTCGCGCCGCTTCTTTCGATTAAACGCAGAAAATCAATTTACAAACTCTACATCAAGTCAAGCATCGAGTAATGTTGTTAGAAACGTTTTGACTATTTGTTTTGTTGTAAAATGTTTCTTTTGCGAATTGAGTGTCAATTCAAAATCAACGTCTTAAATCGACAGTCGTAAAGTGAGACGATGATTTACGGCTTCTGATATATTCTTTAATAAATTCTTGAGAACTGTTTCTAGATTCAACAACACAATCAATTTCTGATTTCTGTTTCATAGATTTAACTCAAATGTGACAAATCAGCGAACGCGTCAATGAAGCTGCAAAAGAAATAAAAATGTTAAGTGTATAGATTGAAATTCAAATGAATGAATATTTGATGGGCAATCATCAGACGATATCGAATTTTGACAGTTTTGAAAGAAAAGGCAAATAGATCGACTTCTGCAAACGAGAATATTTATTTTATTTTTTTTTCTGTAAAATAATGAATTTAAAATGAATTTAATTCGACGTTGTTGCGCAACAAACGTCCATATGCTTTGAATACATTATTCTTAAAAAAAATGAAAAATGGCTTTTGCAGAGTCTGCTAAGACAAACTACTTAATAGAAATAAAATTATGCCTCGAAAAGGCAATTGATTGATGATTTTGGCCGCAAGGCAAACAAATGGACGCTGTTAGAAGCTAATGCTAAACAACCAAGTAACTATGTTGGTAATTTATGATTAAGTTATTACAAATAAATCTCTCCATAACAATTTATCATCGAAACGAAAGGGAAAGAATTTCGTTTTGTTTCGACAGAACAGCAAAAAAAGCTTCTTCCTCTCGTTGCTTTTACTGAATAATAAATTATGAGCTCATTGTTTTTGAAAGCAGGTAGCTTGAAGCATTATTTGTTGCTCATAGCATTTTAGAAAGAATCACGATTTTCTGATTGACTACCAAGTTTTAGTTTGAAAAAATATAATTCAAAATTTGCTTCAAATGGGTTTTGTTCTCTTTCATTTCTTTTTGTGTGATTCGAGACTGTAAATAAACAGAACAAGATAATAAATAATTTTATTGGTCAGCGGAATTGAAATAAGAAAACAAAAATTTTCTATGAAAAAATTCTGCATAAATATTTTCTTTCCCTATAATGAAAAATCTTTTAAAATGTTCCCGGGAAAGTTTAATGGATTTTCTCAGGATGAAATGACTACAAGACCACAGTGTTAACCGATACAGATTACGTCATTTGAATAGCAAATGTTTGGTTAATGGTAAGGTCGAGGTCACCGGCGAACGTTTGAGTCTAATTTGAATTACCAATTTGTTCAATAAATCAATTCTCTTCTCTTTCCTGTCTACATCTTTATTTATGAATTCAATACGCTGTTGATTCGATACAAGATATCGAAAGTATTGATTTTGAAAATGTCCTAAGACGCCACAGTCGATATGTGACATCGAAAGTTATTCTGCGGTCTTCGAGAAAACCAGAGACAATTTAAATTACAAAACCGACGATGTTTCATACAAGCAGACAATTGAAAGAGAGAAATGTTCCTCGTAAATCATTTTGAGTGCTTTAAACTTCTTCACATTCTCATTCTTCTTTCGCTTAGGACAATCGATGCTGAAAAACAAGGAAGATGATGCAGAATTTTTATCTTCTTAAATATCAAATATAAAGAGAGCAGAAGATCGCGTGAAGCATTTAAAAAAAATCACCAAATATGAACAGCATCTTGTTAAAAAACAAATGTAGGCTGTTAAGACCTTTTAAGTAAATTAAAATAAAACTGTGGATGGTCAATAAATCATATGTGAAACTTTAATTAATGATTCATTCAGTCGGAAATTAATTTCGCAAATATACAAAAAAACAAATCATTGGACGCTGATAAAGGTGAAGGCCCGAAACAAATGTACGAATGTCATTTAAATAGACGCGTGCGGAATTTTTTCAACGCTTGTCAATGACTGTCGTTTTTTTTCACAGTTCAGTAACCCAAATCCTATCAATCATACCATGTTAAATTTATAAAGCATGACAATTCTGCGAAATTTTTAAACAATTTAACATAATAATCAAGTAGAAATTGATCAATTGATTCATAATGTCGCGAAATGTTATTTAAATAACTTTGCACCCACGCTTTACATCTTTTATTTCTAATAGCAGTGAAATGTTTTTTTTCTGAAAGTTTTGTAAATATTTTATAAACACTGCGAACTATTCCAGCACTTAAAATCCAATTTATTTCTATTTAACACCATAAAATATTCGTTCTCGTATGGAAACTTTAAACGGTCGATCACAATATTAATCCCGTTAAATATTGTGTTAATAATTTGATAATTTTCTAATAATCATGCAAATAACGTTTCTGTTATAGGTCGATCCCTCCTGTGGCAATCAAAATAAATCTTAAAAATATTTTTCCTCCATTTCTCATGTTTATTTTTTTGTGTTTTTCTGTTTATTTATTCTGTAGCAAGGTTATTTTCGAACATCAACCGGATCGTTCTTCATTGAGCCGATTGAAGACTATGTTGACGAGAATAGAAACATTCTCCATCTGCTCTATCGAAGTCCAAGAATAGACGATAAAGGTGACAGTGAAAAGTGCGATCTGACAAATTCCCCTGGTGAGTTTTTATTTTCTTTCTATTTATACGCACCGCCGACCGATTTTCAAGTATCTCAGACGATATAATAAATTTCACATATCACTAAAAACGATTCAGACAGAGACGAAGTGACGATGTGACGACGGTCGTATGCTTGACAGTGAAACACAAAACCGGTCGTTGGCTGTGTTGACTTCACAACAATTAATAGTCGTGAATTAGACCGCGAAGTCACCGCATTCGCACCACGCGAAATAACTTAAATGATGGGAACAATTTCTTGAATATTTCAATTCATTAAGAATGATGATTCAATAATTGCGAATGAAATGTGCTTTTTTAGCACCGAGCATCTCGATCAACATAAAAGTCGAGATCACTCAGCAAAGACATTTAATTGATTTCAATTTTCGTCAATTTTCTTCTTTTTATTTCGCTCGACTTTACGACGTTTCGTTTCGAGAAAATATAACTTAGAATATCAAACTTAAAACACATTCAGAGATCGATCAAAACATGTCAAATGCGTAACTCGTATAAATGGATCAATAAGAATACGCTCCAAAATAAAAGGAAAATAAGAAGCGACAGCATCAATCATCAGCGTCGTTAAGTTGCGTGTTGATATTCAAATAAACGATGAAACACTCGCCATTCGAAGAAGTCTAGATCAAGATCATTAACATGCCATTGAATCAATTCCAATGGAAATTATAAGATAGTAAAAATGCAAAAGTTTTTGAAATGATGGCAATTAGTGTCGCACTTTTTCATTCTTTCATTCGATGGGTTCGTTTAGAATATCGAGGAGAGAGAAAAAAAAAAAAGGAAATTCGATCCCATTATCATCATTTAAATGTCCGGGACGAGATGAGACTGGAAATTAGTTTCGTGACTTCATTTTTAAACTTTTAAGTATAATTCTAAAGTTATGTCGCGTGAATATCTGGTTTGAAAATGATAAACATGAAAACAGTTTTGAATTTGACAACTTAATTAACTTCAACTCGCAACACGATTCGAAGAAATTTTCGATTTTCATAAATTATCACTTGTTTAATAAAAAAGAAAATTATTTAATTACCTGCATCGAAAGCGTTCAACAAAACGCGATTAAGAATTATTTAAGTGATTTCTTTTTATTTCCTTGAAAGAAATCTTGAAAAATCGCTTTCGTTATGAGTTGATTGACAGACATGGGCAAGTCAACTTTAATACGATACAGATGCGTCAACTTAGTTGAGTATGCGATGAAGAAGAAGGCAAACAATAAATATAGAAATAAAACAGCAGAATGTAAAACTCGCCATTGTAGTTAAACAACCAGGAAGCATTTTCTTTGCAAAATCAAGACATCACAATTTATTTATTTAAATTCGTTCAAGTCTGAGATTCTTCAGATGATTGACTCACATAAAAGCTTTTTAAATAGTTGCTCATTCATGCAAGATCTCTTCTTTCTTTCATGTTATTTATCATGAGGGAAAATTAAGAATATTTTCTTCACTTGTTAATTTTGATTTAGCTATTGAACTTCATTCTTCCACTTTAAGCATCTAATTAATGTCGATTGCATTACTTACAGTGTTAACTTATTAATTCCTTGAAGTATTCACCATAAAGGCTTCTAAAGGGATTACATCTCATTAAAGTTCTCTTGTAGATTTCCAATGCACTGTGACAAATGTAATTGTGCTCCTGATGGCAATTTAATCAGCAAAACATGCTGTTGTTGACTTTCTTTTAACATTAACGGTAAAGTAATTCTTCGGCCGTTGAAATTTCTTATTTGAAACTGAATTATGTGACATTTTGTTCTGTATAAGTAATTTATGAAACCATCTCGTTATGAATCGTCAATTCAAGCGAGACTTGTTTTTCACATAAATAAGTCAAGTGACGCTGGCTGGAAAGATTACGCCTTGAATTTTCAATTAACAAAAGGGCTGTGATCTCTTTTAGTCGTTGTTGTAGTTTGAAGCTTAATCCTATTGGAATAAATTGTAAAATGATTTCAATTCCTCTCAGGAAATTTTAATTGAATTCACAAGACTTCGCATATCTACGTTGGAAAGTCTTCAATCACGAAATATCCACAACGTCTTACACCTGCGTGTACATGAAACGAGAAACGATACGAAAATTGCGTGAGAAAAGTGGCGACAATATATTTATGACGTAATATTGAGCAAAGCCAAATGGAATTTCGCCAAAATAGTCACAAGAGATTCAAAAAATTTAAAATTCAAAGAAACATTTGAGTTATGGACGTTTTCAGCATGGTCTGAAAGCCGATGCCTCGAAGTCAATGTCAATGACATTTAGAATCTATTCGATCATTGTGGTATATGCGGTTGAAATAATTTAATTGATTTTCACCAAAATAATTAAACACGTCTGCGGTTGAATTGAAATGTCAATAAATATAAAACTTTTAGATGGAGTTGAATCGATTTCATTTGACTTCACTTAAGTACTGGTTTCAGATTTCAATTCAATCTCTTTATCTGTCAATTAATCTTTTAACACTTTTTGGTGGGCGCAATTGTGCGTGAAGTGCGTGTCAGTATAATGATTTTTGTAAACATGATAATTAAGTCACTTGATTTCAAATCCAAACAATTTTTGATCAATCAATTAAAGTCGTCTTCTTTGTTGTTTGTCTTTTTAAACGAGAAATAAAAAGTTTTTAAATATGCCTTGCGTAATTTAATCTATCGTGACTCATCACATCTTAAGCCAACAAGTTATGATCGACGATGAAGTAGATTTGATTAAAAAAAAGCGACAATGGTATCGCTGAAAGTCTCACTTTGTGTGAAAAATGGCTGAAGAAGAAATAAAATTAAAATTAATATCCATGTCAATATAGAAACGGTTTCTGGTTCCCAAAAAGTATTTGCAAGCTTTTTAAAATCACTCGTCAACGAGATTACCTTGTGAAGTCAGTTAAGCTTCTATTTTTGCATCACTAAATTTCTTACTAAAATAAAATCATTTCTGTATGAGCTTTGTTTGTGCGTTAGGGTGTGTGGTCATTCATCTTTGCGAAACTCAAATGCAAACTGTCGTGTTTAGTGATGAAGCACAAAAGTCTATTCATTAGCCTTTGTCAGCTACTCACAATGTTTATGCAAGGACGTTGCTATTTGCTTTCATAAACATCTTTTAAATGTTATACAAATATCGTCGTCGTCCCTCCTGAAGTTTGATTTCACGCGAAAATTCGCTCATCACTTAGTTAAAAATCCCCGACGCTATGAAACCGGAAATATAATTTCTGCGAGTTTATTTGTGAGAACATTGCGTGTCCGAGCATTTGAAATGTTCGGCTTTTAATCTGATGTCACACTTTTCTTCTTCTATTGATAAGTCACCGGTATGAAAATAACATCAAATGACCAGATATACATATTTGATATTTAGTTGTGAAATAAATAACTTAATGAATGAGAAGCGAAGTATTTATGTTTAGTAACTCTCAGTAAATTTATTCGGGGATTAATTTTAGCTTCGCCTTCAATTCTTGAAACGTTTAACAGAGCGTGACTATTAATAAAAGTAGAAAAGACATTCTCAAGTGACTCAAAGAACGCACAAGCCCCTTGCGGTGACAAAACTAAAAGTAGGTAGAAATATTTCATCAGCACGAAAAATGTTTTAAAGCTCATAACTTTTTTTCTTCAAAGAAACTATTTTTACACACAAAACAATGATCACACACCAGCACAAACAACGTCCCGCTAAAAGGTCATTAATTCATTTTTATTTAACTTAAAAATGTTAAATAGCTCGCCCTTCCTCCCTTACATAAACGCTGTTAAATATTTATGGTGACTATCAAGACTCATGTATGATAATTTTTATTCTCGAACGTCTTGAACGAACGTTCGTCGCTGAAATGACATCGAGTGTAAAATATGTATATATGCTTGTGAGTGCTAAAGTTGTTGCGATGTGAAACCAGTTCTGTAATTCATCTGACGTTCTTTATCATCGCCTTTTTCTGTCTTTCTCTTTCCAACAAATCATAGTAGAAGAATATTCAATAAACATTCTCATTCAATGGGCTCCAAGCTAGTTGTTTTTAAATAATTTCCATTTGAACGCTTAAGATTCAACAATTAAGTGGTTGAGCAGCTTTTTTTTTGGTTTTGCTTTGCGCCGCGATGTCTGTCTAGGAAATGAGTTGTTTTCTTCTTTTTTTTCCTTTGGAATGATGAAGTGACGTTTTATTTCATTCACAGCTTTCTGCGGTTCATTTATTCGCTCAATTTCCATTTTTATCCATGTTTCAATATAATAAATCACCTCACGCTGCAATTTGCATTTTTAAAATAGTTTTCTGAACTGCAATTACGAAATCCTTTGACATGGAGGGAATTTACTTCGATATTGGACAACACATCGATTAGAAATGGTTGGCTTGATTTAAGACCACCGTCAACTGAAATTCCTGAACTATAATTAACATAGATTTGTTTTCTTATTGCACAAATTCCGGACAGTTGAAAGATTGTTACTATCTGCGAGTCACAAGCAATGTCACGTTGAAATTGATCGAAAGAAATATTTAAGAATTTCAAACACATGTCGGCGAGTTTAGTCATTAATATTGAATTTAATGATTATCTGTTTCATTCATGTTTATGTTTTTTCTTTTGCGATTGTCGTTCAGGAGACAGAGAGGTTTGAAAAGTTTGCGTTTATTCAGTGAAACATTCTGAATTCTCACCTGACTTAAATATTTGATGAGCCTGTTTTAGATATAAAAGTCACTCGAGACTCTTAAAACTGAAATTGATGATATGAAGTTGAACGGAAACAGATGAATTGGTCGTTTAATAAATTAGAATTTCATGTCTTCATTTAAGTGTTGTGTTTCTTATTCTTACAAAAAGCGAAGTAAAAAGTTTAATTTTCGTTCGAGTTTTTATGTTGATGGTTATAAAGAAACAAGATTTTTGCAAAATGACAAGTCGTGCTGTGCTGCTCGTCTCACATTTGTCTTCATTTCGGATATTTTGCATGTCGATCTACTTAAGCCACCCAAGAAATAATAATGCATTGCATAAACATTGTGAGACAAATAATGTTCACTCAACGAACGAAAATATTAAACCCACTCTCAATTTTCTTTTATTTATTGTGCAGATCAACACGAGACGAACGAAGAAATTGAATTGAAAATTTTGAACGAGACGATAAATGTCGTTCAGCCTTCGTCGCGAGTGAAGCGAAGTATTCAAAATCATCATCGCTTGACTCCGCACGAACAACAATTACAAAGACATCACCAACGACAGTTACAACATCAATATGAGGTTCATCAACGAGAATTACGTGAAAGAGAGATAAGAGAAAGACAGAGACAAGCTCAATCACGACCCAATTATAATCAACCTCAAAGAGATGCACGACGTTATCAACAAATGCAACAGCCACCTTCCCAGCAGCAGTACAACCATCAGAGATTTCACAATCGGCATGACTTCCACAACACAATGTACAGATCGCTACATGAGAAATCACAAGAAACTAAAGAATATACCATTGAAGTATTAGTAGCAGTAGATAGAAAAATGCAAGAGTACCATGGCAAAAATTTGAAGAATTATGTGTTGACATTGATGTCAGTTGTAAGTACTGTTAATTATCATTCTTTCTTCTAATTGATTCAATTACATCATCATTGCTTACTTAATATAATTTGATAATAGTCTTTTCCTTATCACATCGTCGTGTCATTTAATTGCTATTTATTTTCTTCTCCTTCTTCTTCGAATAGGTATCAAGCATTTATGCTGATGCAAGCATCGGTAACTCAATAAAGATTGCTGTAGTGCATATAATGTACATTGAGAAAGATTTAGTCGAAGATGCGAGTTCTGGTAACGGTAAGTTATCGAACGATTTTCTTATGTTTTATCTTCGTTTCCACATAAAAACATAACAAAAGCCAAAATCGCTCTGACATGAGAGAAGATTTTTTTATTCATGAATTTAACATAAGTTGTTCGTTATTCATCGCTTTCCGCATCTTAACATGCAATAAATTATCGAAATTCTTCACCGGTATTCAGTTTGTTATGGTAATTTAGTAAACAGTTTAATGGTTTGTTGCACTTTAGATGATTCAAGCAATCATTCATTGCACTTTTTTTTATTCTATGTGACCTGCTTGCTTACAGAGGCCGATTTCATATTTTATCCGTTTATGATAATGATCGCATACATAGAATGAATTAAAAATCGCGCTATTGCGCCTCTTAAGAGGCTTCAACATTTGCGATAATAATTAGAAACGTATAATATTTTTTTATAGAATGCAATTACGCTCGTGATGATTTTTATCATCGCCTCATGCTGCAGTTTCAGTGGATTCATTAAATTGATTCTACTGAATTTTTTTCTTATGTTTCAACTTCTTAATGTCCTCGAATAACTAATTAAAATTTATTTATTTTTCGCAGGCGTTTCAGCGTCAGGTATGCTGCTGAAGTTTTGTCATTTGAAGCAAACACACAACTTTCCTCATGATACCGCTTTATTATTAACGAGGTGAGACTTTATGATCTGTTGCCTTGCATGAAGTTATTAGATATATCTATAAGCGATCTCGCTTAGGCTGTCAATGATAATCGACGTACATATTTATGCTGATCGCTTAATGACTTTGTTGCTGATTTCAAAAAATTCCTTGGGAGGTTTTGATTTTCTTTTTTTCGTAATTAACGATGAGAACAACTGCAATCAGTAAACCTTAAGCAACTCTCCAAATGTGTTTGATATACAACATAAAATTATATGTTTCTGATTCAACAAGTGCAAGATATTTCTTTTATTCCAGCTTAGATATTTATGACTCATTTTACTTTTAATTGCAAACATTAAAACTTTACTTTTTCTTTCTTCTCAATCTCAATAGGGAACAAATTTGTCGTAGCGCTAATCAAAGAAAATGTGATACATTAGGTTTAGCTGAGTTAGGTACAATGTGCAAGCCACAATCTTGTGCTATTGTTCAAGATAATGGCTTTTCTGCCGCCTTCACAATCGCCCATGAGTTGGGCCATGTGTGAGTATGATTATTGTTTACATACTTGGTGAATTGGAAATCATCTGCTTTTATTGCTATGCTTTTTATTTGATATGTTTCGTTTTTTTATGGCTCCATTGTCGCGCATCATGTTTCATACAATATGATTGAAATAATTTATTGCGAAACGTTATTTTTTAATAGCAAGCAACGTACGTTGCATGTGAAATTTTCTGTGCCGTTCGACCACCAACGAAACGGTCTCCAGAAACTTTTATATGCCGTGATAATTTTATCAGTCAATAAAGCGCCACACCACGCAGTTCGTAATCATTTTGTCGATCAAATATGCCTTCGCTTTTCATACTCGATAAACATCTTTTTCAGCTTTTATTTTTCTTCTTTTTGTTCCAGTGTGTGAGATGAAAATATGACGAAACCTAATTTACAGTAACAATAATAAAGATGACGATAAAATTCCCTTCCGCAATTCAAATGTCCAAACGGTGACGATGACATACTTCTGTCTCCTTTGTGACTTGTCAATCAATGAAAAATGTAAATAGTTTTTATTAATGTAACCATGCTTTGGATTGCGGTTGACAACGCGACGGCCCTTTTTCAAAACGATCATAAAACGTCATTTAAGTCTAAACTCTTCAAAAAAATAAAATACAAACCGACGAAAAAATAATTTTTATTGCCTTTTACATCAACATTTACTTGCCTATTTGATCGATGAAGACATAAAGCATCAGCCCGATGATAATTAAAATAAATTGAATTTTTATTACATAAATTTGAAAATCCTAAAGTGCGTCCAAACAAAACATATCAATTTAGATAAACATTGAACATAGCATTTGGATGAAATTTCAAAACTCAAATGATCAGTTTCAATAGAATATTGAAATATCTTTGAAATCTCTTTAACAGATTGAATATGCCACACGATGATGATAAACGCTGTGAAAACTTTCGCGTTAATGGAACACAAAAGCAGAACATCATGTCCCGTATGTTGGATCACAACACTCATCCATGGTCGTGGTCTAATTGTTCACGACACCACGCTACTGAATTTTTGGAGTGAGTTAAACCTTTAATAATAATTCTTGTTGCTTTATGGTGGACGTGATTAATTAGCTGACTATTGTTCTCATGTATAAACCTAATGAGCTAAACTGCTGCCAAAATATCTCGAGTCAATCATATCTTTTATAGTTTTCATGGACACACTTTTTTGTTTTTCCTTTTTTCTTCTCTTTTGTTCGATTACAAAGAAAAATAAAATAAAATAACACAACGAAATAGATTTGATTTAAAGCCGCCCGATACTAATTGTTCGTTATTTCATTCCTACAAACGATCATTTATTATACGACTTCACGCGATGGCTGTTTATAACGAATATATAATTTCAATTATCGCACATGTTTCTAAATATTTATACATTTGGATTTCTTTTCAACAATTGGACTTCAAGAACGAGAAGAAAGAGAAACGAAAAGGTTTCCATTTTCAATGAAGTAAATAGAAGAAGGTTGATAGTCTTAGATTGAATGTTTAGTGTTAAGCGCCGTCTAAATTTATATCGGAACAAGTGTTCATAAAATATGACTGCGGAAAAGAAATTTTATGACTGAGAATGTTTTCAAAATGATGACGGGAGATTTTGTTGTTGATATTTTACATGTATCAGAGTTGAATATTTAATAAAAACCTTCCGACATTACCTATTAAATCTTTATTGTAAAAACGCATAACCTGAATGCATTGCTTCACCGTCTCACGCCCCAATTATGAAGTTTCGTCCCGTCAAGTCTTTCAACAATAACTAACCAAAGAATTCGTTAATGATTGAAACGTGAGTTGAATTTATTATAACATTTATTTCTTCTGTTGCATACTTACAAAAGCATTTGAATAAGAAAGAGAGAAACTTGACGTTGACAGTGAAGTTACGCGCTTTGGTTTACAACCGTCTGGCGACATGCACTTCATGCATCAAATCTCATTGACTTTCACGTTGAATTCTCGTTCTAGAAACTTAAATACTTCAATCTTTTATTGTTGTTTTTATCATTTGTCACATAAAATAAACAGTTTTTCAAAAGAAAGTGCCCGAGCAGCATTCTTGATGTAAAATTTGGTCGTTTGCTCTTTAAAATGCAGTTCAATGGCAGCATGCATCGATGTTGGAATGCTTTTTCATAGCCTTTGGGTCGTGATGAATGCGCGAGTCGTAAATTAAATGAATGAAAAAGAAGAATTACCGTTCAACTGGAATAAAATTTATGATTTTCGAAGAATATTAACAAGCATAACATTCAATTACAGTCGTGGTCAGTGCTCCTGTTTGTTGGATAAGCCACAACGCGATATGATCGAGTCGAACGGTAACACAATGTTAGCAGGTGAGAAATTCACCGATGATCAGCAGTGTGAGCTTGTATTTGGACCCGGGGCACGCATCTGTTCATACATGCCGAAGTGTAGTCGTTTATGGTGTAGTCAGAATCATAAGGAAGACAATGGCTGTCGCACCCAGCACATGCCATGGGCTGATGGAACAAAATGTGGCGACGGTGAATGGTGTCAGAAAGGTGAATGTGTGACACGCAATCGTTCAGCTTTGGCACCAATCCACGGTAATTGGGGACCATGGAGCGAGTGAGTATCTATTTATAAATGATCAGATCATTAAAATTAGTTACAATGATTATCGTTGTTAAACAAACACAGATTTGGAGAATGTTCAAGAAGTTGCGGGGGAGGTGTTCAATCAGCTGTCAGAAATTGCGACAATCCGCCGCCAACAAATGGTGGAAAATATTGTCATGGTCAAAAGATACAACATCGGTCATGTAATATTCAAGATTGTCCAGACGAAAGCTTTGATTTTCGTGCTGAACAATGCAGTCGTTTCGACAACAATAGCTTTAACATGGCTACTTTGGACAATGCAAAGTGGATGCCGAAATATGGTTTGGACAGTAAAGACGAGTGTCGACTTTTCTGTCGTCTTGAACAAACATCGACATATTTTGCACTTGCAAATCATGTAATTGATGGAACGCCTTGTTCGTACCATACGTTTGACAAATGTATTAATGGTGCATGCGTTCCAGCCGGGTGTGACAATGAACTTTATTCAACAGCTGAACTTGACATGTGCGGTGTTTGCAAAGGACGAAATGAAACATGTGAAAACTATTTTGGGAATTTAACTTACCACCAATTTCGAAAGCAAGTTAATTATCAAAACAATTATTTTATTTACCCAGTGGTGACAATTCCAAAAGGTGCTACAAATATTAAAATCATTCAACCCGGCAACAATCAACAGAATCATATTGCTTTGCGTGATGATCACGATGAATACATTCTCAACCACTTCCGTAATGTAGAGCTCTCAAAAACGATTTATTATGGTGGAATAACTTTTAATTACAATGGCGATCACGAAACTAATTTAATAGAAGAAGTTAATTCAACCTACGCTCGTCAGTTAAAGCGTGAGCTCAAAGTTGATCTCTTGTCGTTTGCCTTACCATCGCCAAACGAAGAATTTGTGATAACGTATACCTACACGCGATCAGATTCTAATAAAGTTGTGCTTTCAAATCACATAAATAATAACTACAACAATTACAATGACCACCCAACATCAAAGAAACAATATGTATGGCAAATGCAAGATTGGAGTAACTGCAGTAGTTTGTGTCAAGGAAAACAAATTCGCAAAGCTTCGTGTACTGAAATCAACATGAAAATGGCTGTTCCTGATAGTTTATGTCGAAATACTGCTAAGCCTTATGATGACTATAAGGAATGTAATACCGATTGTCGATTGGGATGGGAAGCCTTCAAATCGGAATGTTCAGTGACGTGTGGCGATGGAAACAGGACAATCAAATACGAATGTGTTCAACGATATACTCGACAAACTGAACATTCAAAGATTGTCGACAGATCTTATTGTCCAACACGATATGAAACAACAGTTTACGAACCATGTTCACAACATTGCAATGAAGTTCTTTGGGACTATAGTGATTGGAGTCCGGTAAAAAAATCATTAAATCATGATAATGTTTTTTTGTTTCGCTAAAATTCTTTTTATTTCTTTTTTTTATCGAAACAGTGTTCACGAACATGCGAAGGTGGTAAACAAAGTCGAACATACATGTGCTTATCAGATCCGGTTCATCAACGACAAGTCAATGAGAAATATTGTACTCATTTAAGGCGAGAAGAACTAATTCGACATTGCAATCAAAATGTTAGTTGTGCTGTTTATGCATATGGAGAAGAGTCACCCGTAAGTCATTTGATTACTCAAACATTTTTCCTTTTCTTATCCATTCAAAAAAAAACTTTGATTTGGCTTAAAAATTAACGAAAAAATTTCATGCATTTTAATAAAGTAAAAGTTTATGAAATTCACATAAAAGTTTTTATGTAAATTTCATAAACATTGTACATATAAATCGTATCTCAATTGGCTTCTTTAAAACTCCATTTTATTGTCCATGTTTCTTCCTTAATGTTTTTGATTGATTATTAAACCAATCGACGTAAATCGAAAATAATTTGTGTTCCGTCTAGTGTTCCGTATCATGTGGAATAGGTCAACGAGTGACCGTAATTTATTGCAAGCAAAATAACGAAGTTGTTAATCCTTCACTCTGTGGCGCAAGTCCACGACCTAAAGATATCATTAAGTCGTGTGTTATGCCGCCATGTGATTCTGTGAGTAAGGTAAAGATAACTTATTTCATATTCATTATTTATTTAAGGTAAAACCGCTAAACATAAACATAGAAGATTCTTTATTACGAGAAGAATGTTTTCTTACAGAAGAAACCAAATTAATGTTGTTAAGCGATAACGAAGTTTTATGCTTTCCTCGTGAAATTTATAAACATTAATTTTCTTGTGTGTTAAATGAAAATTTATTTCTTCCGATAGATGAAGAAATTGATGGTTAATCGATAAGAAACTTTATTAAGAAAACCAATATAACAATCTCATAAATTGATAGATAAATGCAATTATTTCTGCAATGTGAAAAATAAACGAGTTGAATCTTCTATGTCGATGTTCAAATCATTCTTAAATTATTATTATCGTATTAGGTTCTGTTGAATTTCATCATGTACTTTTTTTTCTCGCCAACATTATCAATTATTTTAAAGAGCTTTTAACTCATCAATGAACGTTATTGGGGTCGTACAGAAAGTGGGTCACTAAAGTTGCAAATGATTATTTTTTAATATCATTTCTTGATCATTTTCTTATTGAAATTAAGCAAAAAATTATTAAATATTATAAAAAGTGACTTAATTTTCCCATCGACCCCATTCGAGCTTCAAAATGATGAATTTTGTTTAATTTGCTTTATGTTTTCCAATCTTTTATAATTAAATTGCTTCATGCTTTCGAGAGAATATTTTTTGTTTCCTTTGATTAAGCAAATAATGGCTCAATTAAATAAATCTTTTTAATGATAGTAGTTTGTTCTCTAATCGATTTGCAAATTATAACTTCGTTTAAATGGGGTTGTCTCTTTGATTCAGGCTCAGACAACATCTTATTCAGATGTAGTGGCAGCCCGAAACAGAATTGGCGTCCCACGCACACCGGACATCACTTCAAAAGTTAATAACAACATTAACTTTGTTGAACCGACTCCCGCGCCCTCAAAGTATGAATGGAGAACGGGCCGATGGGGAGAATGTTCTGTGACGTGTGGCGAGAAAGGTGGTAAAAAGATTCGCAGCGTTCGTTGCATTGATCCACAAGCTAACTACGAACTTGTCGATGATCACTATTGTGATCAATCTTTGAAGCCTGTTAATGTTACTAACTGCAACGAATTCCGGTGCCCACAATGGAATTGGGGCAAATGGAGCAAGGTAAGATTGAAAAGGCACAACCGTTTCATGTCCACAAATCAGTCGCTTAAACCTCAATGTTTCCTATTATTTAGTGTACTAACGAGTGTAGACGCGAGCGTCAAGTTGTATGCCAAGATCATCGTGGTAAAAGTAGTGATCAGTGTCCACTTGAAATGGAGCCGCATAAGTCCGAAGCTTGTTGTCACTTTAGATGGAGAGCTATGTGGAAACCAGTATGATAAATTCATCAACTTTTGTACATTTTATTTTCCAATCTTAATGATTCATCACTGAATAATGTTAATTATAGTGAAATCATTCTTTTGAATGAATCGTTTTGATTTAACCAAAACTTGTTGCAACAAGAAGTGACTAAACATGTTTTAGTAGAATTTGAATTTGATAACGTAGCTGCACTTTATGTCACATCTTGTTTCACAAGAAATCTCACATTTTTCTTCTTTTCTGTCACTAATGTCAACTTTATCATCTCAAATAGTGTTCAGCAAAATGTGGAGTTGGAACGAGACTAAAGGAACCAGTTTGTATGCGACTTTATCCACGATCGCAAGAAAACCCTCATCCAATTAAGAATGGAACTCGTGTTGATCCCAAATATTGTATGCATTTACCGATGCCGAAATATGAGAAAACGAAGAAAGCTTGCAGAAGTAAAGTTCCTTGTTTGCATTCATTCCGATGGGTTGTTGGCTCTTGGTCAAAAGTAAGTTTCGAACTTTTATGGAAATTTTTGATTTACAATTACAATTTGAAAATTTATTAACCGTCAAGTGTTCGAGCGGATGCGGAACTGGCTATTCAACCAGAAACGTTACTTGCACAAATGGACATATTGAATCACCAAGTGAATGCACCGATCCACGACCTATAAAATATAAGCAATGTGAAAATAAAAATCATTGTCGTTGGCGTTATGGAAAATGGAAGAATTGCACATGTGCTGGTTATCAGAAACGTCGAATCACTTGTTGGGATGGACATAAAAATACTGCAGCAAATAGTTGTCCGGCTGGAGATAAACCACCTTCAAGACAACGTTGCAGTGCACCACCGAACTGTAATTAAATCAATTTCTGATCAACTTTTTGGAATTAATTTTCTCTTCTCTTTTAATTTCTTTCTTCCAAACATAATTTAGGTTCATGTAAAAGTATTCAACATTACAAACGAACTCGCAATGATGGAGAATATAAAATCAATATCCGAGGGCGTGAAGTTGAGATTTATTGTCACAATATGAATTCCGATGATCCAAAAGAATACGTCACGTTAAGGAAAGGAAGTCATGAGAATTATGCTTTGTTTTACAGCAAACGATCACTTGACATGTCGAGATGTGAGTATGGGAAGGGCGTTCATGATGAGTCTATTCATTATGGCACGACAAGATTCAATAAAGTTCGCTTAAATATTAATACACTTCAAATTGTGGACGATGATTATGAGTTTTCGCATACCGTTGGAAGACCACAAAAGTTCGCCACGGGCGGAGATTGTTACAGCAACACTGGGTCGTGTCCACAAGGTGACTTCTTTGTAAATTTGGAAGGAACCGGTTTCAGGATACGACCGTCAATGTCGTGGGAAGCCAATGGGACAAATTCAACGATAGAATATCAAATTAGGGTGAGTAATGACCTCAAAACACTTAAGGAGTGTTTTTAATCAAGTTCTCCATCCATTAACGTTTAGCTTGAGAAGCCTTACCAGAAAGTGAGGGCACGGTGTGGCGGTTATTGTGGATCGTGTCGACCGAGATATCGAAATCAAGAACAAGCCATCTTCCTTGATATTCTATGAAATTAAAACAAAAAAACATAAACAAAGTCAGTGCTTGAGAATGAGCGATTAGGATTTTAACAAATTATGAATTTCTTTTGATTATTTAAGCTGATTTCAATATTTTTGTGAAAGCAAAAAATAGTCATGACGAGAAATGTTTTTGGAGAATTGGAGAAAGAACTTTATCTTAAGCATTTTCAATTGTGCCTTAAATAATTGAAATTGATCTCTACCAAAAAAAAAAAAAAAGATTAAAAAGAAGAATCTAATTGATTGAAAATGACAAAGCTCCGTTTTATCGAGCATGTTGATGTTAACAAGTAATGAACTATTAAAAAAATCAAAATGACGATGTTACAGTCAGCTTCGTAATAAAAACATCAAATAAATCATTGATGAAGCTGGTTGTGTTATGTAAGATCACTGATGAAAATTATCTACAATGTGAGATAATTAAGTTTAGTGAAAGTCGCCACAACAAATATTTAGTCAGCAATCAACAAATTCCTAAACATTTATCAGTGAATGTAAATCGTAAATCTACCCAAACGGTTCTTATGTATATTTAGAGTCATCTTCAAGCACACAGTTTTACAGCTTTGCATTAGGTATCAAATATTCGAATAATAATTGTAGCTAAATCAAAAATCAAGTGTTCATTAACGTCCATAAAGATTCTTAAGTAGTAAAAAAAGAAGAAATTGAAGTAACGAAAACAATCATCGAATGCTGCCCTAGATACTCAAAACCCCCTAAAGAATTATCTCGAATCGTTACATGCAACAAAACAGCACCACGCAATGAATCGTTGAATGAGAATCTCTAAAATCCTTCCTTGAAATCTCAAATGTCTATCCGAAGCAACAATGTGTAAGAGTGATAATTATTTTATTTTTATTTTTATTTGTTTCGCTAAAGTAAATTTAATACTTTTATTCCATTTAATTTTTTTCGTATATTTTTTATCTGTCTGCTTAGACTCGATTTTTTTTAAAACGAAAGTTTAATGCAATACTTATAATATGCTACGAAATTGAATTGTAATCTCTGAATTGTATCATGCGATAAGAATTCATTTAGACGATGAAAAAAAGTACAAAAGTTTAATTCTGTTTGAGAAGGAAAAAAAAAGTAAAAATAAACATTAAAACAAAATGTGAATGTTTTGCAGGCCAATTGTGTAAAATAAAATATAAATTGTTGATTGAAAAAGCTTGAAGTTCATAAGTAAGTAATTGTAAAATCCCGGAAAGTATTCAAAAGCCTTAACCCAGATATTAGACACAATGATGGAACTTGAATTTTTATAGTCAGATATTTCTTTTCCATTAATAGTCTGGCTTTTTAATTCGCCTTTAAAAATATCACATTATGAAATAAAAGGAAACTAAAAATTGTGTTCAGAAGATATGAAAATTAAATTGAAAGCTAAACGAAAAGCTTTGACGCTTAAGATCATCTTAGAAATATTAAAAAAAAAAATCAAACAAGGCAAATTTAACAAAGGCACTCGCATGAATAAATAGAAATACTGAACTTCTCCACTTTGCTTATTTATTATTAATGAAAATAAGAAGAAAACGTTAAACTTACTACAATTACTTTAATACTTTTCAATTGAAACAACAACATGAAGATAAATAATTTTGTAAATGTCCCAGAATTGTATGATAAATAGTTTTGTGCCTTATTTAAAACGTTTCAGTAATAAATTATTTTTTATCAAAAAACAAAAAGTGACAATGGAAGTTTTAATTATAATTTACAGCATTCATTTACAGAAAACATTCGCAATCTCTTTTGACAGGTATGGAAAGGTGTAAATTGATGTTTTATTGACATTTTTCTCTTTTACGCTTCTTAATGACTCGTAACAATTTATTTCTCTTTTATGATTTAAACATAAATAAAATTGACTTCATGCTTTAGAGCGAGAATGCATTTATTTGATAACAAACATGTTTTTCCGCGTCATTATATTGTGACATTCTCTTGATGATCATTAATTATATTTGTTTTTCAATGCAATTTTTCTTCATTATTTTTTCTTTCGAAACAATGTGTCTAATCCATAATGAAGCAAAACAAATTCTGAAGAATGATAAATGATTATTCCTTCAAGGTTTTATGTCTCTTTAATACTTTTCTGTGCTATTGTTATGTGTTGAGCGAATTATGATCTTGTAGAGAGCAGACGAATTAGGGTTATTTCAGTCATCAAATCCATTATCAGTCTTAAATGTGTTCATCATTGAATATAAAGCTTTTATTTAGGCTAATCGTTTCAACGATTTTACGACTTTTCTCTGACACTCGAATCTTTGTTATTAAACCTTTTAACACTCGAAATGTCTGGTCAATGCTAAAAGTTTTATTTAAATCAGTCAATAATGAATCACGACGTCATGCACTTTGCACTGATCAAATAAATCAGCTCAAGAGTGATAAATTACATTTTGCCCTTCGTCATATCAATTACGCTCCAAGAGATCCGATACTTGCTATTGACGTGTATGCAAACGATTCACCATCACACAATGTCATTAATTCCAAGCACAAACAAATTGATGGTCATCGATCTCGCTCTTCATATTTATTCTGCGATCGTGCATGAAAATTGAAACTCTTTAAAAAGGAAGACCAGAAGAAAAGAGAAAATTGAAATGTCAATAAGAAATTGCATTCATGCCATTACTCATCCGTCTGCAGTTGCACCCAAGAGAGTTTAACAACACACAGTGATTCATGTTTGATTTTAATCTTCTTGAACAAAATATTTGATTAAGTGAGGATTTGTTCAAGAAACCAATCAATTGATTTAGATCTTCCGTATTTTTTCTTCGCTTTGTTTATTTGATTTCTTAACGTTTTGTTTAGAGCTTCATAAGAGAAATAAAACTTCCTTGTTTGCTGGAATAAATTGTGGAAAATTTCATGTGAAGAAATTAAAAATTGTTCAATCATTGCAACATCAAAGCTATCTTAAATGGCTAATGTTGTCGTCGACATATAACCGAATTCATGGCTTACTAATTTATCGGCCGAGCACATCGCCCACTAACAACATTGATTATTAGCAAAGCAATTAATGTGATCGACCATAACAACTTTTATTCACGTGAATGCTTAAAAAAGAAAAAAATCCAATAAAATTTATGACTTTTCCTAATTCGGATGAAAATCAATTAACGCACGAGACGTCTTAAGCTCTATTCTTGAATGCGACATTTCAACAAAGAAGAAAAAGCCTTCAGGTGAGCTTAGCCCTTTGACTAATTGATTTCCACAGACTCGTCTTAATTCCTACCTTTACAATGATCTTGCACATCCATCTTAAGCTTTTTATCGTTGGCAGTTAGCGTGTCTATGGATGAATTAGATTGAGAAATTTCCTTCTATCTTAATCCCTGCCTTTGATGCTAATGCATGCTGACATAATTCATAGATTTGCTTCTCATTTAAATTGCAATATCGTGAATATATGATTATTGTCAATCAATGACTCTTGAGTTCTTAATTGATGACCAGATACAGATTATTTAGATCTATTCGACAGAGAAGTTGTGTAATATTAATATCGCTTTTTATACTGTTATTTATTTATATTTATTCTTGTTTCAAATGTCACTATCAAGTGATTTAAAATAAAATGAAAATCACATGATGCCTTCGAGATAAATTTTTATTATTATTCAATTGCAAGAATTCTAAGGCGACATGAATTATTTAAAATATTTGCATTCAGTATTTTAATTAACTTTGTTGACTGCAGTAATATTTCTGGTTTTCCATTGTTTTTATTTTATGTCTGCCGGAAAGAATGGTTTCTATTTGCTTCCCTTGATATAGACATTGTAAATAAGTCGTGATTATTGTGCAGGTTTTGCATTCATGTTATATTATAAATTCACTTGCAACACGTAATAATGTCAACAGTTTGTGACTTCTCAGTTCTTAAACAATGATTTTATAGCGCAATTTAATGTCTTCTTCCCATCCGACACCCAATCTGACTCGATCTCGTTCTAGTCGAAACACAATCGTAAATAAGGATGTAAAATTGTAAATTTGAATAAATGGAGCAATAATTAATTTAAAAGTTAATTAATATTTATGGTGCAATGAATACGACAATAGTTCACCAGACACGAATAAAGAAAAGTTTATTTATGAAGTGCGTATTTATTTATTTGCATCTCGTTCAATTAAATGCTGACATTGTGACTAAGACGATAACCTTTGTAGCATCTGCATCTGCTTGTTGAATAATTTCAGTGCAACAAAGGCTTCCAACTCATCAATTATTGACAATAAAAGTAATTATTTCTGCTGTTGTACCACCATAAAAACTCAATCTTACAAGCCAAACCTTTAATTGCATTATTTCTAATCTTATAGTCATTTGAATGCTTTTGAAACTTATTAGATGTGAAGGACATTTTTTAACTTCTTTCAATCCAATCAAGTTGAAACACGTCGCAATAAATTGTACAGAGATTGAGAACAGATATCAAAACATTTATGTTTAAAAATATTACGTGAAGAATTATTAACAGTCTTGCAACTTCATGATGAACAACGTGCCATAAAAGTGATAAATAAATGTAAATTTTCCATATTTTGACATTTTTTTTCTTTCTCGATTCTGAATAAATCGATAACTCCACTAATAGATATTGAATTTGCATAAAATGAACGTTTATTTGAAGTGAGTATACATTTTCATAACTCAACCGTGCAATTGCATTTGGAACAAAGAAATAATAAGACATAAAGAAACACGAACGAAGAACTAGCGATGTTTATATTCGTTCATATCCTGACTTACTCGTTTCGATATGTGATGAAAGAGACGAAACAATTTGCTATTGTGACTAATAAACTGCATCACAAAGGCAATTAAAATTATATAGTTTAACATGAACACAAACGACAAGGAAATATTTCAATTCTAGTCCGTGTAAATTGAGTCATTAAATTTGTTACCATAAAAGGATTAAGCCAACAAGCAGATAGAAACCGAAGCGTGAAATTCAAATCCTTTATGCAACTTCAAACATGATAAATGTCTTGTAGATATTTTAATTTACATCAAACCATTGTCATTCTTTTAAGATTTATCTGGTTTCTAATTAGAATGGCATGTTTGAGATTGGAATCAGATTACTTCCTATATACAAACATTCATAAATATTTTTCAAATATGTTCAAGTTTCAAACGAAATCAAAATTATTAAACTTTCACTTTGTTGTTTTATAATCAATTGTACTTAAATTTATTGTTGCAATAAATACCATTATAAAATAATCTTTACAGATGTCATAAATGTGTCATAAGATGGCAACCATAAAAATCAAATGGGACACTTTAACTGATTAAAAAACAATAAAGAGCCATCGACCATAAACTGTCAATAAAATTTTTTGAATGCATGTGATTGAGAATGTTTATGAATTAAAAAGTATTTATTTATCTTTATGGGTCATCAAATGGTGAAAACTCTCCACTGACAAACGATCGATCATTTGAGATAAATGCAGTTCCTTGAACTTCATTGAATATGATGAAGAACGATCACAAACAGAAGAAAAACAAAGCGACAAGAAACTCATTTTATTTTATCGTAGACATTATTCGATCATTCGCTAGTCATTCAAGAATCTTGAGCAGAAATTATGCACTGATTTGAGTTCTAAAGTAGCTTCGATGAATAATTAAATAAGACAACGGTTGATAAGATTAATTTATAATCGTGTACTTAATTACCTTAAAACCCCATAGCGTAAAAAGAATTAAATTGAAATTATTCAATAAGCATAAGATTGAGGCAGTCTAAACCTGTTCTAGGAAGTGAGTTTGATTTAGTTTTAATGCAAAAATAAAATAACAAGCACTGCACCATCGGCCACAAGAAATTGTTTCAGTCTCAAGTCGTGGAAATCTCAACCATTCAGAAGTGGAAACTCACGAAGACAAGAAATATATTTTTTAGTTGTCAGAGGTTTATGTTTTCAATTTAATTTGTGAGGTTGCAACTACTACTTAATGCTTTATCAGATTACAATAAATCTTTCACGGGGCATATTTAAATCTGCTGCTTCTCATTTCTTCTCATTCCTTCGTATCGATTCACTTCTTTATTTATCGTGCAATTTCTCTCGAGAAAATGTTTCGTGAAACATTGAAAATTGCGAGTAAAAAATGTAAACATTTCAAGCTTCTGAAGCGACTTTAAGATGACTTTTGAGAGTTTAATCGGTCACAACAAATTTACTTTGTGAAAGGAATGAATGCCGAATCATACGATATTGTTTTGATCTTATAATTGCGTGAAGTGAATGAAAGAGGAAAATGAATAAAGAAACGAAGGTGTTTGATTTCTTGAGGTGAAACTCAAAACTTTTCGGTGCATCAGATAAGAAAAAAAACATGCAAATTATAAAGATCAGCTTAGTTGAGGTTACGGTTATTAATCTTTAGTTCTGCTGATGTATTCATCCAGAAAAAGCCACAAAGAAGAATTGTCTGGGATGAGGATTTAAAAATAAAAATCATGATGTGAAGTTCAATTAATTCAATGCGATTAAGAACAAGAACTGAAGGAATTTTCAATCTTATCTGATTTGTCTTTCTTTCAGTCATATTAAAGTCACTGCGAATGAACATTGGAAGACAATTTCTTTTGAAAACACAAAAATATATCAAAGATGCTTAAGATCGTTAGCTATTTTGTGAGTCAATAAGAATGAAAAGAAGTAAGTTGCATACTTGCATGGATCAAGGGCATTGCAAATCTTTGCGTCAATCTCATCGCCATGAAATATCATCTGTGAAGCCATAAAAAGAGTACACGAGATTATTAATTGCACAGTTTAACTGTTTAAAGTGGCTTTCTGTCTGTTTTTTTTTTTGCTTTCGTTTGTGTTCCACTCGCTGTATTTATGTGAAAATTGTTAACGACGAGATAAAAATCGCACGCAATAAATAACAGAAAAATGCACAAAGAGAGTTGAAGAAACAAGCTGAACGAGAGAAATACATTGATTTACAATCATGTTATAGAATTGTGGCAAAGGACAACTTAGAAATATGATTTTCAAGTGTCATTTAACGTTTGCAGAGTTTCTTTAAAAAAATTTAAATCATTTCAGTAATTTCTACGATTTCCAACTCTTTAGCTAATAATCATAAAATGTTTTGAATAAAAGAATAAAAACAAATTATAACTCGACTCACTCGTTTATACACGTCGCTGATCAATATAATGCACACAAAATTGATTTATCGTCTCCTTAGCGTCTAAAAAAATTGCTTAATCGACTATCAAATAAACGTTCTCGCTATGAATGAGTAAATGAATTGTTGAAGATCGAATATAAATCATAATTGTCATTAAAAGTCCACAATTGAGTTGAGTAACATCGAGTTGAAAATATTTCTTTATGAGTCAGCGGACTGCCACAACATATCGTTATTGTTAAGAATGAAATTACATCAAGCTAGAGTGAATATCTCTGTTGCAAAATCTTCCACTGATTTACTTAACAAAATGAATGCAACGATTTTGCATGGACTTTCTTTCAACTTGGAGGTCAAATTAAGCTTCTCGTCTTTGAAATGCAAAAAATGTCGGAGATGATATGAATAAGAAACGTTTCAGATGATCCAGGAAACCTGATTAAGAATGTTTCGAATTGACGAGCTCTTATACTAAGACAGAGACTTATGTCTGCGATTATTTATCAACAGTTTTAAAATTCATCGTGTTTCATTTAAATTAAGCGCATTTTCACGATCTTTTTGTAACAAAAACTGTGCAATAAGTCAATAATTTGGTTTCCTTTTAACGCTCTTAGGATTAATGTGCAACATGTGGCTGGAGTTGTATTCGGATAAGTGTTTAACGTGAACAGAGACCAAGACTTTAACAAAACAAATTGTATTTTGAATAAATTTAGGCTTGTGGCGATTCTCTTACGTGCTTTGATTTCAAAATCAACTTACTTATCTGAATCCAACTCTTCGACAACAACCATTATGACTTGGGGAAGCAATAAATTTTGACAGTGAAGCCAATAAACCTTTTGACAAACCTAAAATTGCACTAAAATGTCAACAATGTCCATAAGCTTCAACTTAATGATTCATTGAACCACTGACGACATTTTTTGTTTTACGACCTATTCTCACTCAGATTCAATTGGCCATAAAATTGTGAAAATTAATTTTATTTCTCAGAATTTTGCAACCTCCCTGCTCTGTTGGTCTGTCTGATGCTTCTTCTTATAAAATGTCGAAATGTCGTCCCTCATCTTCATCATATCTCAACTCAAACGTTTATTCATGCACGGTGTTTATGATTCAGCTAGTTGCGCTTTTATGCTCGGTAAAATATATGAAAAAAAAAAGTAATTAATTATTGCTTCTGTCGAGTATAGCATTTATCTCATTACGTCTAATTTACAGTAAATAAATTGAATGTCATTAACAAGCAGCAAAGTGGTTAATTAGAAAATCAATTCAATGTATTTGAAATCAGAAGCAGCAAACTTTCTGATTCATATCACGTTATATTGAACATAACTAATAACAATAATTAAATACTCGTTTTGATGATGTGTAGGAGGACTATTTAGTATTGAAATCACTTTAAGCATGTGACCTGATTCTCATGCTTTTAATCGTGCAATTATAACATTTTGTCGTAACTCTTAATTAAATGAAACCGCAATAATTTCACTGACAGTCGATATTTAGTATGCAATTATTAAGAAATATTCTTTAAAATCGTTTTGACAATGTGAAACTAATTCACAATCCGTTGTGCTTAATTAACGACACCCACGCAATGTTCATATTTTGGTTGACTGGGAGTTTGATAAAATAATTAAGTGACATTGCCTTCTCGGCTTTTCGTTTTTGATTTCTTGCAAATTAATGACCGAGTGAGTCTTAACTTAATTCTACTTCGGTTTTAGTCGAAACCAAAGATGTTTAAGATTTACTAGCGAAGAGAAAATGAAGAAATTATTTATGAGATATTTTCCTTCATTTTTCAAAGCAAAACTCCAGAATGAGAAATGATTCATAAACAATCCATAAGCAACTAATAGCCACATTTATTTCTTAAGATTTGTAATCGTTTATATGGATGATAGACTTTACTCTCCCTCCCGATCACCACAACGTGGGCTTCTAAGCATTTCCATATATCTCTGCTGACTTTAGAAAGATTTTCAACCAGCGCGATGAATTTTTAATCTCACAAGAGATTAAAATTTTGATAAATGACAAAATGTTAATTCATACTCTGCTATCAGCAAACATAAATTGACTTAATCTCAATCAACACTGTGATGAATCAATTTATGAAATGATATTGAATTTCATTTTCATTCCAGAACTTGATTTCATCATTAAACATTTGATAAGTTTGTCTTGGTTGAGCTTTCCGTGTTATTTTTAAAGAGTCGAAGAAGAATAATGCGGAATTTAATGCCAACGCTTGCATATAACCAAATAAAGAATCAAACCACAAAATATAGAATAACACAAGTGTTTGATGTTTAAGGAATTTTTTAATTTTTTTAACATATTTCATCGATCAACTTCAGGTTTAGAAGATCATATTAAAAAAAAACTTAAAAGAATGTTTAACATGCGGAACCTGAAAAAGAATTGCAAATATTTCCAATGTTATGATAAATTAACTTAACTTCATTCAAGATTTATTCATCCATGCATTCAACGTCGAAGATTTAGTGTAATTTACTGGGAGATGACTTGAAGCATGATGAGAAACGTGAGGAAGGCTCTATCAAACTCATTCTTCTCCTCAAAAAAGACGAATTAAAAACAAGATAGAAAAAGAAGTAATGATTAATTAATCTCTCTGTCGGGTGCTTTAATTTCTTCTTTTTCATTCGCTTTACTGAGATTGTTCTTTTTTTTATTATTTCATAAAATGAGTTGGGAATCATTGGCTCAGACTTCAGCTGGGAATTACTAGTGATTGGCGAGGTTGAAGAATGTTGAATGAGATTAAAGATTGACATCAAACATTCATGCTGCGTTATAAGTTTTACCATCATCACTACTCATTCAATGTAAACTTATTAAAATTATCTTCGATCTAGCGTCGGAAATGAGTATAAATTGTGTTCTACAAAACGTTCACGACTCCACCTTATCATTTATTACTTGCTTAATGAAAATATTGCTTTCAATGTTCACCGCGTGTGCCTTTCTCTAATACATATATGGATGACTACAACAATTATGTTGCTTTCTGCTTTCTTTCCAACCTTTTTATGGAGGCTTGCTTGAATCTTTCATTTTTACTCACTTACCATTCACATTATTGTTGAGAACAATGTAAAACGAAAACAAGGCGTACGAAATAACCTGTGAATGATAAAAAAGTAAACTTAGCATGATGCCTTGTCGTTAGCGTGTCCATTTACTGAAATGGAACAGTTAAGGAGTTGCTCGTCTTTCATATTAATCAACCCCTTGCTTTTAATGAATAAAAGAGTAGATTTTACTCATCACTAACACGTGACTGAGGTTATTAGACTTATTGACGGCTTGCCTTCTTTAAGTTTATATGTTGAAAGATATTTGAGAATTCATTCGGGTTTGTTTCTCCTTTCGTTCCAATTAATATTTATTCTGTTTTTCCTCTGTACGGTATTGCGATATGAGTGAAGCCAAAACAAACGAAACAGAAGATTAATTTTGTTATATTTTTCTCTTCTTTTTTTCTTCTTTCTTTTACAAAAGTACAAAGCAATCAATATGCGAAATCTTTTTATAAGGCCGGTTGCCGACACGAGGAAGTTAAATGAGAGATGAAAAGCTTTTTAGACAGATTCGCGATTCGCGAAGTTTATTTATTGTATTTGTGATCAAGCGGCGAGGTTCACTGCCAAATAAAAATTCACTTTACTCGTAAATATTAAAGATTGTAATTACAAACATAATTCAAGTGTGTGGTAAATGAAGACCAGCTTTTCTTCAAAATGAAATGAAACGAAGAAACTCACATTAAAAAAAAGGCACAATATGCCATTCGAATGAATGGGTCGTGAATATTCTTATGGTTCCTCGTATTGAAATTAATAAAATTTATTTATGTCTGCTGAATGTTTTTTGATAAAAAATAATAAAACTCTGATTTATGTTTGTGAAAGCAATTCGTGTAATCTCTTTTAAAGATGAAGCATTTCATGGCGTTATTAGTCAATGACGACTATAAAGTTTGCAACATAATAACACAAAATTGTGAATCTAAACAATTCTTGAATGATTTTATACAAAGTGACTATGTAAATGATGAAACGAAATAAAATTTTCGGTGGTTTTTTATTTAAAAATGATATTTGAGAGCGACTCGAGAAATCATTAATCCTCGAATCTCTTTTATGTAAAATAAAGTCTCGATTTCAAACGGTAGGTCAAAAATCTCGCTAAAAAAGAACATCTTACTGTCATTAGCTGTCGTTGCTGTCTTAATTTGTGAATGCATGCAAACAGTTTTTTTTTTCTCTCAATGAACTCTTTTCGGTCGAGACTTTCATTTTTCCAGACACTTGCTTTCTGTTGCATTTAAGCTGCACTGGTAGATCTTCAAGTTATTTAAAATATCAAGCAGACATAGCAATGCTAATTCAATGAGGTTCTCTTCACATCATATGTCATCGATTGTCTGATGAATATCAAGTTTTGTCAGATTTTGAGAACTCAAATATTCTTGGGAAGAAAAAAAACCACGAAATCAATCAACTGAAAATATTTATGCGTTGTTAGCGTGTGAAACTAGTCCTTAAAGAAAAAAAAAAAACAAGCTGTGATGCGAGAATGTAAATTGACTCAAAACTATTCAGCTATCGAAATTAGTTAATTAAAACTTATTTCAGCACATCATCAACGCCATTCACTTGAGCCTAAGTTGGCACCTGCTGAGTTTCCCCATGCGCGGTATTAAACGCTAATTCCACGCATTAAGTGGCAGGGAAAGATCACAGTTAGACCAGACTTAGGCAGGCCTTGAAATTGATAACATGAAAACATATTATTCTTTCTTTTCTTATTTATACCACCTGTTGCTACGACGATTAACTAAACCATACACACAACTCTTTTGCTATCGCACGGCGGTCGTTACAGACCATTTCATATGCAAATAAATACAAGCGGCTTGCGATGTAGAACATAAAGTTTACGCTTTTAATTCTCGAATGTCATAAACATTTTAATTTCTTAATTTTTGCAAATGTTCCACTGATGGCTTCTGCTGCTTTACTTTTGATTTCATTACATTCATATGATTACTAAATTGCACGCCACTGTAAACATGATAATATGAAAATAACTGACGTCCAGTGGTTTTATTGTGTTGCTTTTTTAATATTCTTTTCAATTCTTTATAACTCATACAAAAGTTATCTTATGAGTTGATAATTTTAATGATCCTAATGAAATTTATATTTTCAGAAGTTCACAATCTCAAACGAATTTATCAAATCGACCTTTAACAGGCATCGAGTGATGTTGTAGGGAAATCAAAGGCCAAAAGCGATGAATAAATAAAATTCTTACCCTTATAGAATTTAATCTGAAAGAACTCTTATTATGGTCAATAATTTAATTAATTCGATTACAGAGCGATAAATTTTTGGTACTCATTCTTCTATGTTAATTAAATTTTTTATGTTGAATAGATTGATTCATCAAACGAATTAAGGGAATTATAATTTAACACTTTGTCGTACAACTTAATGGCTGTCGTTAGTCTATTTTTTTTTGTTTTTTTTTGGAGCTCATGTCAGATCAGCTTTTAAAAATTCACAGCTTTCCTGATTTTATTTGAATTTTAAATGAATATGGAAATAGATTTTTTAGTAAACGTGATCTCGTAGACTAATTTACATTTAAATACGATAGATTTTGATTCTTTTGAGTCTAAACATTATAATCGAACATACAATTAATCTTAAAATACAAATTACTTAGATATTCTGCATGTCTCTGTTGTGGAAATCTTTTATTCATCATTCATAGCATAAGTATTTTAAAAGACATAATTTTAGAATATTTACAGATTCAGTTTGATTTATTGACGAATTTTTCAATACAAATAAATGTGAACAGATTTTTCAAACATTGACAGGCAATGATAAATGTTCTATTTAATTAAGCAATCTTCTCTGAACTTGCCCAATCTTGATCACTTTTCTTTGCAAAAGCATTGATAATCAATTATGAGGCAATAACAGTGGCAACAACATACTTATTAATCGTGCCAAAAAGATCATTACAACTCAATAAAGAACGATTTGGGATGGAACATCAAAGACAAATAAGCGTGAAATTTTTAAAGTTTCATATTTAATGAAATCAAATGGTTGAATTGATATTTTGCCACACGCAATCTTTTGTTAATGCCGTCATAGTTTAATGCTGAGAAGTTTTGAACTTATTCAATGATGAATGAGTGGTCGCATTGCGTGGTTTGTTTTGATAAATTTCAAGCAGAAAATGCTCTTCAAAATTTAAAGAATAAAAATTGTTCAACCACAAAACGATGGCGGCATAAATATAAATATAAATGGAAAAGCGAAAATTGAGGTGTGACAATAGTTCAAGGTCGAAGAGAAATCACGAATGGCAGTTAAGTCTTCAAGAAATTGACTTAAACTTGACTTCACTCTATTCAAATACGGGAAACACTTTCAATTTCAATTTAAACGAAGCTTTTGACTTGTCATTTGTCTTCATTGCCTGAGCTCATCTAAGTTTAATTAAGAAAAAAATTAAAAGAAGCTTAATTGCATTCAGTTTCTTAACACACATTTGCAAGTGAGAAAAATTCTAAATTTAAATTAATTGCAATAACTTCAAGCAAAGTTTATTTCTGCTGTTAGGGAGTAACATGAATAAAGAAAATAATTACAATTTATGACTTTTCTATGGCGTGCTCGCATCAAAGAATAACACTCTAATATCTTGACCTATTTTTAATGATTCTGTGGCCTCCAACGAATCGCTGATTTTCAATAACTTAGGAGTGTTTTATAAAGGAAGAATAATTTATGAAATGCAACTGTAATGAACTAAACTTCACGTCAGTTTGTTTCCTCATCTAAATCAACCTAAACGTACTCGAAGGGCTCACATGTTTATTTTATTTTTAGTCTCGTTTTCTCATGAAATAACATAAACGTTTAATAATTTTTTTCCGTTGCTAAAAACATTCGTGAATCAATTTGTAACTTCTGCTAGTAAAGATATTATTGATTTTCCAAGCACATAGAAAAGTAATGATAGTTGTTAAAGTTAACTCTAGAATTGTTCTGAGAAATTGATATTAGAAATAAAAATAATATTTTTAAAACTTTTATGGTTCGTATAATATCTCTGTGAGAATTTCTGCGGTAAAACTGTTCAACATCGCCGCATTTACGATTGAATGTTAATTCCTTAACGACTTCATGTGCCCACATTTCTTCTATTATATTCAAATGGTTTCATTGTTCTTGTGATTTAGCTTGTTGATACGCGAGTGGATTGCCTGCGTGTGATTAGGAATTAGGAATTTGTCTCATATTGCAAAAAGGTTTTTTTTTTAGTAGAAATGCTAATGGTACGATTGTTACCTATGCTGGATAGATGACAAGGGCATTTTTTTTGCAAATCCTTCTGATTATAATATTTCAATTTCCTACTTCTGTGACTTTCAACAATTTGATATCTATTAGAGTATTGTACTTCAATCACATTAGTTAAACATTCTAATATTTATTAATCCTGAAGTGACATATTTGCAATGTTTACCATAAATTAAAGTGTCAAATTTATTAAAAACAATTTATTCATTCTGAAATGTTGATTCTGAAATTAGCACAGTAGTAATCGAAAATCTTTTCTCCTTTTTCATCATTTAGTTATCCTATCGAGCATCCCCAAATTTAACTTGAAAACAGTTCAATAGCATAATTCATGAAGATACATTGAAATATTTATATCAAAGCAAACATCATATTGAAGCGACTGAAAATACTTTTTCAAATTCCTAATGACCGTTAAACATTCAAATATCATATGACCGTTAATATTCAAAATAAAGCTTTTATAGTAAGAAAAGCTTTCCTATAAAATTGAAAGCTCAGATTTTTAAAATTGACATTATTACAGCTATTACATGTTTAATCATCCAGAAGCGTGAATAATAGTTGTAAAAGTTCGGTAATAAGCATGTAATAGAAGATTTTTCACACTTTCTTTGAAATCTTATTTCTCCCAAAACAAAACTGAAAAGCTGGAAACTAGAACATGTGCACATGTCAAATGAATAAATAAAATGTTTAAAAAATAAATTTGATTTTATTTCTTTTCATAAATTTTTCAATTTTTATAAACTTTTTTCTTAAAATTCTGGTCTTTTTTTCATGTTGCATCATTAATCAGAAAGATTTTCAATTAAAATTAATATAATAAGTAAGTCAAGTCAAAAAGATTGAACGGATTAGAGTGAGCTCTTCTTGCGAGCTGGTGTAAGAAAGAAACAAAAAATGTCACCATTCAAGGTACAAAATTATTCCAATGTTGAATCGATCTTTTCTTCAAGATCTGCGCGTAGTAAACGCTTTGCATTTCGGCTAATGACGAGCGATTGATTCTTGGGAAAGCTGGTGAAAAGTAGCTGCTGCAATTCTTTAAGCAAATTGCTGTTCTCGTCACTTAAAGTTTTAACTTTTTGACGGAAATTATTATTTTCCATCACAAGTTTTTCAACACGCCTTTCAAGTTGATCCATATATTCCTTCTTTTTACGGCGTGACTCCTGAGCTGAGATCTAAAAGATATAAAAGAAATAAGTTAATTGAATAAAATATTTAAAAGTTTCACTCTTTACCTTATTCTTAATCTTTCGCCGAATTTTTTTCAATGACTTTTCTTCAGCTTTCGTCAAAGGAAGTCTCTGTGGAATCGGATAACCTTCAGCCAACAATGTGCGCTTCTCTTCATCTGTCAGCACCAACTCTCCAGTTGAGCCTTTTGGCTGATTGCTGATTAATGGCGTGTGAATAGGTTGGCGGGTGGAGTTAGTATAGCCGCGCGTTGAATGTGTCGCATTATTACATTGCGATTTTTTCGAGCTGCTTGTTGAGGTGACTGGCGGTGACATAGGAGTCGTGCTATGCTCCGGACTCGAATTTCCTTTTGACTCATCGCCAGGAGTTGATGAGGGTGGAGTTGGAGGTAAACCAAAATCTAAAGTGAAACATAAATGAATAAAAATTGAACAATCAAGATAAGAAAATGTTTTAACTCACTCGAAACTTGCGGTTCCGATTTGATTCGTGATGTGGAGCAGGTTTGAGAGGTAAACGAATGCTGATCTCTCAGCATTGATGATGGCTTCAAGAATAAAAAACTTCAATTAAAACATCATTCAAAAACTTCATCACAATCATTACCTTGCGATCAAACATCAAATCAGGATTGATTGATGAGATGCTGGGCAATGGAATGTTGTAGTTACTGCTTGGCGATGGCGGGCAACTCGAGTGAGGTGACATTGGCTCTTCTTTAACAACTGTGATGTCATCCAAGTCAGATATACTGCTGGAACTTGAGCCCGAATCGCTGAAGCTTTTTGGTTGGCTTCCATTGTAGTAAGGTGTTCTCAAACCGCCAGCACCAAAGATGTTGGTACTGGACGCGCTGTTGTTTAGTAGCTGAAGGAATTTCTTCTGTTTTTGACTGCTGATTGTAGTGTTATTGTTGTTGCTGTCACTCTGATTGTAGCTGTTGTGGCAACCATCATCAAGATCTAAAGGATAATTTTTTTAAAAAAATGGAAAATTGATTAAATATTCTTAAATAAGGAACTGCATTATCAAGTCAAGGTTTTTTTTCGTTCATTTTCATCCATTGAACCCTCATTAAATTCATACTCGTGAAACGTCGAAGTCATAAATTGTTGCACAATCAAATGCCTGTTTTCGTGACTCGGCAAGTCAGCTATAAAGTAAGGCAAGAAAATGTCGTTGCGAAACTGATAACACATAAAACTAACTACTCCTGAATGTTGACGAAAGTAAAATTATAAAGCATGTGTTGCAATTTCATCTCAATGAAGTTTCTGCTTCTAACGAAGTCAATGGAATCTTTCGTAACGACATGTACCTTGTTATTCAGCTACATAATAAAGAACGGCAGTTCTGACAGCCACTTGAGCTAACAGCCTTCTTTTGAAACGAGAAAAATGGAGGATTATGAAACCTTCAGTTCGGATCTAACAGTTGTGTAAATATATTGAAAAAATTCCCTTGATGATGTTTATTCGTCTTCCATTTTTCATTAAAAAATTAAGAGAAAAATATGAAAAAATGGCGAGCAAGCATCTTTTGAAAACTAATTATATCGATAATGAGAAGAAGTTCAATGGTAGCGAACAGAAAGTTTAGCCTTGGTGAAGTCTATTGATCTTTCAAATTGTATTTTTAAGACAAGATGAGTCAAGTGGAGAAGTTTCTTGTCTTGTTCGTGCATTGACGTCATTTGTTTACTGGTTTCAGATTTCTTAGAACCTGACCCACTTAACAGCTTGCATTTCGTTGAAACTTGACGCTTCTTACTTGTCCAAAAGCGATGAGAAATGTGATTGACTCAGCGAAAAGAACAAAAAATGATTAACTACTGTAAACTCACCTTCGACTTTCGTACCATCAGAAGGAGAATCGGGCATGGAATCGCCATCGCTTGCAAGACTGTAGCTGTGCTCGGCTTTTATCGGGATGGTTCCCAACAATGCATCTGTCATCAATTTATCATTTAGGATAACATGTGGAATTTTATGATCTCCACCGGCATTATCTTCCATGAACCAATCGGTGACATCTGATGGTGTGAGTCGCAATGTTTCATTCATCTGAAAGTTTCAATTAAAAAGTTAAATGTTAATGTGGGAAATGATTTTAAACCTTATCTATACAATTTTGTGTAGTTAACGAGTGAAATAAAATTATGACATCAAGAAGTTTCGCGTTTTGCAATAAGAAATTAGATGTGCGAACCAAAAAGTAAATAACAGAAGCTAAAAGTTCAATGAATTCTTAAGATTTCTCTACTTCACATGTATGAAATTCTTTCGCCCCTTTCTTAAGTATTTATTTCGTATTTCTTTTACGGCTTCTTTGTGTTCGTGATAGAATTTTTAATCACAACAGGTATGGATATATTTTGTCGTCTCAGTTTCAGTGGATTGTGTGCAGTTTCATTTGATTCTTCCAAGGTCAGCGTTTGAAATGAAGAATTTAAATTTATTTAAAGCTGAAACATTTTCTTTTCTTTCTTTTCTTTTGCTCTCTTGTGTCAATATTTCTTCGTTTCTTTTCTTTGAAAGTGGTTAGGTTGGAATGCATAATAGATTTCCCTAGCATTTTACCACAGTTTATGAGCCGTACGATCCCACACTCTCTGCCAAAACCAAAGCGCAAACAAATATGCAAAAGCTCTCTTCGCCTTCAAATCCATTGTGCCGAGAAGTACATTGATTGATTTGAATGCGATATAATGAGTCATATTAATGCAGAATGAATAACATTGATTTGGTGAACAGTAAAATTGATTTCGAAGGCTTGAGGCATTGGCAATAATTTCATATTTTAACTTTGTATACTTTATTATCACCTCCAGATTTTGCTTCCAATTTAAGCGACCCAATAATCTTTAAATTAAAGTCATTCACCCTTACTGCTTACAAAATCATCTTAATCTTAATATTATTATTACAATGATGATCCAGTTAAAATTATCAGAAAAAGCACGCTCTCATGATTCTTTTAGAAGAAAAAAAATTAAACAGTGAGCTTCAATTTATTTTTCTTTCCCGTATCGAAATTGATCCCAATTAATCTCGTTCAATTTTAACTCCCAGAAAAAAGAAAAAAAAACTATAAAAAGCAAAACTTTCTTTGGCAACGGAGGATTTCTTTTCCGAGAAATTGCAAAGCAATTATTTTGCTTCTTCTTGAATCGATTTCGGCGATTTTTTTTTATTTTATAATTTTTTTACTTGATGTTGTTGGTGTATTTGTATTGTGCCAAAATATTCACGCTTAACGGAATTTGAATTTGTTTCTTCTTGCAATCGTTAATCGCCTTTTTCTTGGTGTGTATGAAGTTGATTGCGTGATGGAACACCGATTAATGCTTAATTTTCTCTCCACTTATGAAGCAGCAGTTCAAAGTTCCGCATCTCTTGTGACGATAATTGTACAATTTAATAATAAATCTTCATGAAAAATTGTGTCTTTGACTTTTCACTTCCCCCCCAAAAACAAAAATAAAAAGAAAATCGACGCGAATGTTGATTGGCAACGCTTGAAAACCAGTTACGTTCATTTTTTGCAGCTTGAACATGATTTAATTTAAAATGTCAAAAAGTAAACTTTTTTTTCACTTGAACGTGGATTTATTCAAGCTAAGAAAGACTTTTGAGGAGTGAAGAAGAACAGAAGTGATTTCATTTGTTCGCTGTGCGTTAACAACAGTTTAAATCTGCCTGGTAATGGTTTAAACTCTTCTTAAATATCTTTTCATAGTGAGAGGCATTCAGATTCACACAAAAAGAATGAAAATCTCTTACAATTGGTTGCGAGCAAGGGAAACATCAAACACATTACAAGAACGTAGAAACAGTTAACTTTTCTTCTTCAAGACTTCCATCTTCAGTGCCGAAAAAAAAATAAATTTTAAAAACAAAAACAAAGCAGAGGAAAGCTTGAAACTTAAGTCGAGAGAGGTTCAACATAAAAGCAGATAATGTAGTGGAGCGGAGAAAGACATTTCAGTGTATCGAAAAAAAAATGCTTCAGTGAGTAAAAATTCAAATTTCAATGGGCTTTGTACGTCATGAATGTCATGCTGATTAAAATAAATTCTTTTCTCGAGAATATTTCTTTACTTTTGTTAATGAGATTGAAAGACTTTTCTTCTTAATGTTTTTTAACAACAACCGGTGACTTAAATTGATTCTTCATGTGTAAAACACCAAAAATGTAAGTGAAAGGCTCGCACAATTTTTTTTTCTCTGCTGACTTTCATGACTTATGTCTTCGTCTCATAAGTCAAACAGCGAAAGAAATATCTCGAGTAGTCTCTCTTAGCAGAAATAACGTGTAAGAAGAAATATTTGTGTTACAAGGAAAGTCAAACGGGTGGTGAGAAGATTAAGAAGAAAAGAAAAAAAAAGATTGTAGTTAAGAAAATTTATTTCACGATAGATATAAAAAACCAGCTTTTGTGTCTCAAAGACACGGCTTGAGATAGTTTTCATTTTCACACTCGACATTGCCGGTATATTGCATATTAGCAGAGCATAGAGATTCCGAATCGAATGAAAATATCTTAGACAATGAATGTCGTAGCAGACATTCACTTTAAGGTTTGGCTCTTTCATTAATTTGCGGCTTTTTCCATCCGGCTTCAAGCTATCTTTTTAATGCTGCTGCTGCTGCTTTTGTTGTTGCTGCAACTCGAGAAAGAAAACAAAAATGAGAAATTGGAACTGAATGCGTTTTATTGCGAACTTGAGAAATCTTTTCTTTTTCTTTTTGTATCCAGCATCGAAAAGAAATGTTTTTCGATATTTCATTAAGTTTTTGGCGAAAGCAACATGCGGGACAGGAAGCGTATGCGCCGCTTATCAAACTTTATGGAAGGCTAGATAACTGACATCAACCAGAGCTGCGCAACGCACATGGTTAGTAAAAACTTGAAACTTTATTTTGTTTTTCATTCATTATCAAACTCATTCACTATGTATACGTTTTAGCTGTTACTATCTTCCGTTTCAACCGTCCGTGCTTCCGGTTGAAGACAATTTTTTTTTTCTGTTATCAACAAAACGAAAAGGCGAAAACGCCTCCCTCAATATTTTCATTCTACTGATTGTGCTGTGAAAGTAAGAAAAGTTTAAAAGTCATTCTAGCAGCGGCAATTAGTTTAACAACCCATGCTAAATAATAGAAAGGCAAAATGATTAAAGAAAGAAAAAAAAGCAAAGGCATAAAAGAAAACCGGGCCGCACAAGGAAAAAGAAGCCGAGAGAGTAGAGAAAGCAATAAAAAGAACTTCAAAAAGGGATAAAAAGAAGAATAAAAACAATCACTTCGAATAAAATAAGATTTTTTATCTTCAATTTGAAAGCATGTTCGAATATAGGCCATAAAATATCGCGAATCTGTAGCATAAGCACTGATTGAATGTACCTTAAGAACTTGAATATTTATTAACTTCCTTCTCCCCTGTCTATCGCATTTTCTCTTTCATTCAATTATTCGTTCGTCTGTGTCTAGCTACACATGTATTCATATGTAGTAAGCTCAACAAGCTTTCTTACTCTTAGTAGAGAATGGAATGGACTCTTAGTTGAGCTCGACATGCAATTACCTACTCAGATTATCTTGTGCACTGCACGTGAGTGTAGTCATTGCATCACTGATCTCTGGGTCAAAGTCCAGTTAACGACGAACTTCATTCTGGTAATCAAATGTTTTGCCATCAATTTATAAACAATAAAAATCCTAAGCAATGTTGCCATTTCTTTTTTAAACTTCTATGTTACGTAAAGACGACTTCCGTCCGGTGTTTGATACCAAATCGAATTTCAAAAAGTTCATTTAACCGCATTGTTGTTTTCTGCTGATTTTTTTTTATATATTTTGCAATTCACTAACACTTCAAATCACGTTGTTGAGTGAAGGGAAGAAAAGTATAAGTTGAAAAAATTAGTCATCGTCCAGTGATTTCGTGGTCTTGTATAATTTTTTTATGAATGTGTATGATTCATTTAAATAGTTTGGATAAGAGATAAAATAAAAACCAACTTCAAATGATCTAACGAACTATCGCAAAGGCCAACATTTCTTATCATTTTATTAAACACTTCGACATTATTTCATTGATAACATATCAACGCATTTATAAATCTTAGAAATTGCGCAAGTATTTCGGTGCCACACATTAGAGTAAACAGAACAAAAAAAGATCCGCTAATTACTTACACCATACGTTGTGCTTGAATGGAACCGTGAATATAAAGAGTAAAGACAACAAATGATTTTCAAACAACACACTGAGATGTCAATGATCGGAAAGCGTTCATTTTTGATTCAAAATCTTTAAAGAGAATTCTGATGCGATGTAGATTTGATGAGCTTCAAACTAAACCGGGAACGCGCAAAACGCAAATTTTTCGGAGGTAAAGGAACTTAAAGAAAGACAAAAAATAAAAATAAACAACAGCACATGGACTTTAAAGGATAAGGAGAAAATGTAAATGAAAGAGTGAGTCAAACATCAGGAATCATGCAATGATGACAGTGACTGCTAATAAAAAAAGTTCGTCATAATGAAGATGGCGCTTGAAGTTCTACCGCCGTGTATCAATCTTGAAGTCATTCACTTTGTTCTGTTTTTTTTTTACATTCTTCTTTTGCCCATTTTCGTTCACTTCTTTTGCGAGAAAAAGGTTCAACAACATTACGAAATTCCCATACAAATTTCTTTTTGTTTGTTTGTTTTTACTATTTTCTTCTAAATCTCAAAACATCTTTATGGGGAGCGTTGTAAAGTTTTGACGAGTTTGGGATTAATAAAATAAAAAGAGGATTAAACTTTCATAGTGAAAGTAAATTAATTTAATAATTATAAGGTTTTCGAATACCATCATCAGCTTTTAAGTGAATTAACCTTCATCTATTCCCAAAAAGCCATAAAGAATCATCGCTTTCAAATCTTCACATTTTCTTGTAGAAAGGCCAATAAAGGGGACAAGCGAATATCAACAGTTCAACGATCGTCATTCGCCAAAGAACGCAAATTTCTTTTTGCGTGTGACGATGAACGAATTCGATATAAAATAAAATTGTTAAAAGGTAGAAAATTGCTCAAGTTAGCACAATTCAACTTATGCTTGCTTACATACATTTTATTGTTGAATGAGCTGATAATTTCATGAAGTGATTTCTTACAATTTTTTCGCATTTACTTTTCATATTCTTTTTCTGTCGTCTTATCTACTTCATTGTTTTTTCAACTTCTTATTGTCACCAATGTTGTCAACACTTTCATAAAATAAAAGTTGACTTATGGGCACGTGGTTGTCAATTTTTTTTTCATACAAACACTTAACAAGCACTCAATATTACTTAATAACTTCAAATAAATATCGAAAATTATAGTATTTATGTGAGGGAAAAAATGTTGTCCTAAATATTTAAGACTACAACAAAACAAGTTCCACAAAATATTCAGAACTTTTACCTTTTGGGTGTGGTTCGTTTGTAGAAAATCAAAAGCATTCTAACATAAGAAAATTGTTGTCAAAAGAAAGCAATCGGAGAGGCCGATCAATTAATTTAAAGATTATGCAAAAGAACTTGACGATTTCTCTTAAAGAAAACCTGAAATAAAAGTGAATGAACTCATCGTACTTTTTCTCGTTTAAAACGCCCGAAAAAGAAATGAAAACCAGCTTGATTTTAGGCGATCATTTCTTCATTTACAGGTCGACTTGGACGCACCAAAAAAAAAGTAAAATATATTACTTTCAAAAGAAACGTTAATTTTTCATTATTGAAAAGATGCGAGTCGGATTTTCTCAACCGGCAATGGACAGAACTCGATCTGATTGCGTGAATTTGTAGTTAAGAGAAATATTCGATTCCGGTCGGTCGATTGATGGAGAAGAAAGAGAAAGAAAACGTCTTAAGACATTACACTTGTTGCTGCTATTTTCATGAATGTGTTGGAAATATTTTAACGATGAAGACGGCTCGCTGAAGAGATTCAAACATTGTACGACGACGAATAATCTCACCACATTGAAAGCCGGCATAAAAAATTGAGTTGCATGTAAGAAACAACAAAATAAACGTGTTTTTATTTTTTTTTAATGTTTCTTGATAATTGGCATGAAAATTCCGACCGACAACAAATAATTTCAATGAGATTAATCATTTGTTTCAATGGTCAAGTTTTAACAATTAATTAGCAAGTTTTCATGTATTGTTCTTTCATTTCACTTAATTAGCTGATCTTGATTGCGTAAGAGTCTTTGCCAATCACTCGCTTTGATATAATTCACTTAAAAGCTTTTCTGAATTAGGAGTTAGTTACTGAAAGTTTAAAATTTCAAATTATTAATCAAATCAACCTCCTTTACCTAACAGATGAACATCGTGCTCATCTTTTGAGATGCTTTCACCGTTTTTTTTTATTGTTCACTGTTGCAATATATTAAGACTAGAGAAAAATGATTTGCAAAATTTATCATCCGCCATTTTTAACATCCAACCTCAATAGAAGTTAAGACGAGAGCTAAGAGCACAATGCATCATGATTTGGTTGCCAAACACATTTTTCTTTTATAACAAAACAGTTTTGCTTTTTGCGGCAAGAAGAAACAAAAAAAGGCGACTCAATCTCAACATTTTAACTTTAATTCATACATTAGTGAAGTGCTTCTAATAACTTCAAAATCAATCTTTCATTAAACGGTAAAAGTAATGTCAAAGGTAAAAAAACTTAACACCCACCCACATTAGTCATTTTGATTTCTTATCTCACCATGAATATCACGTTTTAAACATTTTTCTAATCAAGCCTCAAGCTTTTAATGAAAATGAATAAAAACATTGAAGCAAGTTTTGAATAATAAATCAAGACAAAACATTTTTGTCATTCAAGCCGGAATCAATTTTGGAATTCCATGGCGATTGTGATGACTTTTATAAGAAGAAACCTGAAGTTTTTGCATTTCGCACAAGGCCATTCACCACCTGGATAGAAACAGTTAACTTTTTTTAGTGATCTTTCTCACCCATCTGATTATCTATTCTTTTCGGAATTTAAATAAATTTATATTTATTTGGTTTTGGATTTGATCATCATCATCATCAACAACGACACACGAAGAAGCTTGTTGAAGTGAGTGAATGTAAGTCCAATGAGAGAAAGAAGAAGACAAGAAACTCGTTCCTATCATTCTCCCATGTGCGACACGCTCACATTGTCTATCACCAAAAAAAAAAAAGATGAAAAGTAAGAGAGAGATGCTGAGTGAGTCAATAGAGTGTGTATGGTTAAGTAATCATCATAAAGAGGCATGAAGAAATGAGTGGAATCTTTTTGTTGTTTTGCTTCTTTTTTTAAAGTTTGCTTTTGCCTTTACAGTGATTTTCTTCTCAAAAAATATGAATAAAAATCTCGTAGAACAAGTGACAACTGGTTTTTCCTTTCAACTTGATATCGGGTATCTGGAAATTATAAAAAGGGCATGCTATAACAATGTTGCACAGTCGAGAGTTCATTTCACAACATTTTTGACGATTAAAATATTGAAAGCAAATACAGATGATGATGAAGCTATATCAACATTTTTACATGCTTTTTTTAGTTGTTGTCGAGAGTAGAGAACGTTGATAGTCATTGAAATTCATATTTTGTCTTCTTTCTCGAAAGGAACCTGTTGCTAAGCTCGAATTCATCCCATCAGCGTACAAATATCCAAAAGAAAAAAAAAAGCTTAAATTGTTGAACGATAAAATATCTTAAATAATCAGCGTTGCATTCTTCTTGTTCTTTCTAATTATCATAAATATATGTTTTATTCAAATCAACTTGTTATTTCCTTCTTAGTTGAAGAAATGAAAGTTTTTGGATTGTCGAAGAGAGACAAAAAAAAATCCCAAATGAAATTCGAAAAGAAAGCAAAAACAAGTTTTTTTTCTTCTCATTTTATTTTAAAAAATAATAATTTTCGGTGAAGTTAATTGTTTGGCATATAAACAACTGTTCAATGAAATATAAAAAGTGTTTCTCAGTAATTATTCTTGGAATATCTGTTAAACAAGTCACGATAATGAGAGATGATAAATCTTTGCTATTGGGAATTAAAAGAAATGGATTTGATTGTTGCTTTAATGCGTAAGTTTGTATCATCAATGTTGACATTTACTAACAACCAACTACCAATACGAAGCTTAAGTATAATAAATTAAGTTCAGTTCCATTTACCAAAACGTTAAATGTCACCAATTAAATCAACATAATATTTTCAGACAGACAGTAAGAAATCCTTTGGTTAATTGTTCGACAGAAAGTTGAAGTTTAAAGTTTGTTTTTATGGACATTGGACTTTTTGGCTAGTTTGCTTCACGAAAACATAAATAAATAAGTTATACAAACATGTATTAAGTGAATCTACTTTTTAGTTTTCAACTTCAATATGTAAAATGGAACCTCAGATTCAACTTAAAATGTTGATCTGACTGACTGATTCATTTTAATGTAAGACGCAATGAAAAGAATAAATTTTGAAAGAAAGAAAGTTGCAACTCAGTGATTTATATTTGGAGAGAGAGAGATCAAAAATATAAAATAAAAAGAATTATTTATGTATGTCGAGAAAGTTATGCCGTCGATTAGGTTTATAATAAAGAGATAAATTTCTGCATTTATATAAAGGTCAATCTCATGAAATGTGAAGAACTTTACGGTTGGTTGAAGGTCTTATTTCTCGATTTGTCGAAGACTTGTAAAGAATTTCTGAGAATCAAAGTTCTGCAACCAGTTTTTGCTGATTCATTGATCGCAACATCGACTTCAAATGGGAAATTCCACATTCTATACATTTCCAGTTAATGCAATTACAAGACATCGATCGTTTTATAATAAAGAAATAGAAACATTGCGCAAAAATTTCCCGTTTCTACATTCCATGCGACATCAGTCGAGAGAATGATTATGAAAGAGTAGAAAAGCAAAAGTTTCTTAATGTCGATTTCTTGACCTTCTTCATTCATTGATTTCGCTTTTTTTCTCAATTTGCTCTGCTTTAGATTCATTTAAATAACGTCATTTTATCAGGTGCACGACAAACACAAATAATCTCATTCATCCACTCAATGTTGCAAGCAGATCATCGTCCAATGCCCGGCTTTTTTGCTTTCTTCAAGTAAATAGCTGATAATTGTAACAATGTTGTCATTGTATTCGGTTTCCCTCTCGCTTAATCGCACATATTCAACCTCGTTACAACAAAATATGTGCGATGTCGTCGCAAAGTCAATTTTTGAAATATATTGTAGTGAGAGCAATGTCAAGGCTGAATATTCACCGCTCGTATTATCAGTGCACACATTAACCTGCCTTCTCACTCTCTATGAAGTGAAATTATGTTGATAATAAATAATCATAAATAAATGTTTCACAGACGGAATAAGCTGAGACATTGCAATTGAAAATCACTGAATGGTGAAAAAAAAAGTTGAATGAAATTTTCTTCTCTGATTATTTTGCAACTTCTTATGTTATGTTTTAGATGAGAAGCCTTGCAACAGACGCGCTTTCACAACAACATTACATACAATAGATTCTCATTCACATTTTTCTACTCAGAAAAAAAAGTTTACTGAGCAGCTTAAGTTTCTTTTTCCTGTAGTTTTATTTTTTATTTTTTATATCTCCTGTAATAAGTAAGCAACTCTTTTTTTTTCAATCGTGATGTAATTATCGTGTGCATATAAACAGAACCAAAAACGGCATGTACAGTTTTCAAGCTACGAGAATAGAAGTAAAATAAAATATAAAAACACAAAGAAAATTTCGTTGGCAACAAATTTTATGTCTGATAATTTTAAAACATTTTAAGGATTTATTTGAATGATTTTCGAGTGAAAAATATTCCATTGAATATTTGTAGGCATTAAGCCGGTAGATAACGATTTTGTTAATAAGTATTGGTCAACTAATGCTCTGCTCTTCATTTATTATGACTTGATTGGGAATGTGTGGGTGAAGAGCGACGTTAAAACTTGTTGCCGGCATTACAGAGAATAACCACGTGCTTCAATGACCTCGAATCGATTTACCACACGATTTAAATGTAGGAATGGAAAAGCTTTTTTTCCTTCTTCAATAGCACGAAAACTTTTTGCATTTTTATTCTAATTTGGTTCAATTTTAATTTTCCTGTAACATTTTTTTTGGATTTCTGAGATGTGAAATGAGTCTACAAATTTTAATAAATGTTTCGAAGTAGAAAAACAAGTTTGATGGAAACGTAAAAAAACACTATTGACGTGAATCTAATTACAAATATAAAACAGACACAAATGCGTATCAAATTGAAACGTTTGATTCATTGTTTTATGACTTCTACTGTTAATCTTAGCGCCACTATTTACAATGCAGTTAAAAGTGGCGTGAAAAATGCTTCATGGACATTTTTTGTTTGTAGAACGAGCATCGAGCTGATAAGAGATTTAGTTACACTTCCATTCATCAACGCCTTATATACATTGAGCGACAATTTTCCATGCACTCACGCTTAGCCGGAAAATCGCGAGTTAAGTTCGTCGTGCAGTTTGTATTTAAATTGGCTGATTGGTGACGAAGGTTAAAAATAGGTACGAATTAAGCAAAAGCAAACTCATTACAGCTTAAAATGCACGTAAATGGTTTTTCGTGATTTTAATTTCGTGTGTCGATGTCAAAAATGAGGATTAAAAGGAAGTTTTCTTTTTCATTTTAAAACTTGGCTTCATTTTTGCAATAAAAAAAAATAGCAAAACTAACGAAACGTTTAATGATCAACGAATGAAAGTTTAGGTTGCGCAAGAAAAGCCAACTTTGAGCGCTGTTTTAATTGACAACGAATGATAAATGTTTGCTAATATGAACGATAGCGATCAAGTTTTTTTTTGAAGTTGAATTTTTACATTTTATTTAACACTCTCCCAGTTTGTTACAGCTTAAAGTTTCACCTAATAACCTACATCAGTTTGATATCATAAATGATATAAAAACAGAATTGTCATCACGACTTTTAGTTCCTGAAATCATCGATATTATCACAGAATGTAAATTATTACATCAGAGATTAAAGTTGGAGTTGAAACTACTCATGAATGTTACATCAAATCGTATGAATTGCATTGACAATGTTTAGATTTTAGGTAGGTAGTGTGAGCGAAAAGTACTTGACGTCACATGAATTGAGTTCCAATTGATTGCGTTAATTTCCACGAAACAATATCGAGAGCTGACAAATTGGCGGATGGCGTAAAAAAAAGAGATCTTTGTGATTTTTTTCGCTCATTCATGAATTGAGTCATACATTAGCGTGGGATGATAAGATTGCTCTAATTATAACTACTTCAAAACAAAGCTCTTCGCGAATCCTTACAAACACTGTCGCCTCCATTGTGCTAATTTTAGATTCATGAATTAAGCTTTCTAATGAGATTAAATGCTGCTTGGTGTAGCACGGACGAGTCTAAAAAACATGTCATGGATTTAAAATTGAGTTGAGTTGAGTATTAAAACATTTTCACAAAAATGCACACACTGAAAAAGTTAATGACGGTTAATGGAAAGCGACAGCAAAAAAACTGCTACCATGAAAAATAGAACAATTTTTGTACAAAGTCGACGGAAGGAATGTTTGTTCAAATGTTTTTTTTTACTTCTTTAAAATTTTTATACTAAATAAAAAAATTGAAGAGAGAATTGATCGCAACAGGTAATACGTAAGTTAGTATAACTGATTCAATTCAATTTTCACCACTTTGTAGCGGTAAACCAATTACGGTTTCTAATGTAAGGGGATTTTCCAAACGGTGATATTCGGAAGTCGATCGATTTTTGATTTATTTTAAGACCTTGACAATGTTTCTCCTTCTTTCTTTCTTGATACCTTAAACATGCAGTAAAGCATGAGCGAAGTTAAATAGTAAAAAGATCAATAAAGCTAGACATAAATATTGAGAGAAAGTTGTAATTGTAGGTCTTCATGAATGTTCTACATATACAAACTTCCCACCATCCTGAAAATATGACGAAATACTTTTCAACTCTCGATTATGATGATGCTTTCCTCTAGATATTATTTTTGCCCTAATTTCTGTCCCGCCGTCTCTTTTTTTTTCATAGCTTCTTTTATTTTACTCATTTTCGCACATTAACTTTCGTATTTGGTATCGGAGCCCACATAATGTGTGCAGAGCCGACAACAAAAGGGTAGATGCTATTAATTGTTTTTTGTCTATACGAACTTTTACTGCTTGTAATGTTGCAGTCAAACTGTGACAATAAATTAGATGTTAATTGAGTAGAGTGAGAGTTTAAAAGTTATGACAATACACACTTATTAGTCGCGTCAACTACCCGACTTTTGGTAAGTATAAGTAAGCATTTGTTTAAAAGAAACTACCAAAATTTCCATACAACAAACTAAAATGGTTTTAACGACTCAATTCATTTTACTTAAACGGTTTTTAATATTTGTCGTGTTTCATAGTATGGAAAGCTTCAGACAAATTATGACATTACTAGGAATTTGAGGTTTTATCACTAGAAAAGACAACAACAAAAAAGACATACCGAAAATCAAGTAAAAACCATAAAATACTTGGCTTGATAAACGGTCTTAGGTACACAATCAATCAAATGTTTAAAAAAAACTTTCGAAAAAGCGCCCGCACGATGAAAAGTTTTCAAATGTTTGATTACGTGGTGTTTCGTCGAAACTCAACAGATTTTGAGTACTTAGCTTACAAATTACCAGCATCCGAAGCATCCCAAAGAAAACATTTTATTATTTTATTGATAACAACCTTCACGAGGTTTCAGATATTTTTAGAAATTTCTTCGTAATCAAATATTTTACCTAGAAATTTTCAAAGTTTAATTAACTTTGTTTTCCATTCTTATGTAATTAAAAGTAAAAAAAATTATTTTGGTAAACAATTCAGTTGATGTGATGATCCTTCAGTTGTCACATTATCAGGAAATTCAAACGCTTTACTGCCTCTGTTTAAGAACAAATAAACTTCGTTCGCAATCTTCGCTTATCTTAACTGTTATAAAATAAAAGTTCCCAAGGAAACATAAAACATCCAAAGAAACTCTAAATAACATAAGTGATAACGACTTGCGTACAATTTCTCGGAAATAATAACACAAAATTGAACTGGAAAATGTGTGTTCGAAATCTTGTTTCAAACGTCTTGCAATAAGTTTCAGTTTCGTAAAATTCCTTATTTCGTAATTGTCACTTTTTGTGTCGCTTATGCTGTTGCTGATAGATCGAAGCAAGTCGATAAAACGTTTTTGAGATGCTAATTAAATGCATACGGGTAGAATATATTTAACTATCGCATGCACATTACTGAAAGCGTTAACCCTCATCACTAAAAAGGCCCTCTCGATAACCTTTTGCTTTGACCCTAACATCTCTTGTTACCAAATCTTATTGACATCATTGGGAAACTTTAGGGTGACTCAAACTCTTAATACTTTATTTCATGAGAAATCATATTTCTTTCATTTTTAGAGCGACAGAAAAAAAAATAGAAATTAAAATCATTACATAAAAAACTTATTCATGATAAGATAGCGCAAAGTGAACTTTCTGGACCACGTTGTATTAGTGCAGCGATTTATTACATCGCTTTATATGAATGTGTTTGTGTCTTCATTCAAGTCTACTTATTATTACTCTCTGAGACTCTGATTCAATTATTTTATTGGCATGGGATATATTTTTGTTATCAATTTATTTATGGCGCGATTACTACTTTTTTGGGTTTCCCCTTCATGGTCAACTCAAAAATAAAACAAAAAAAAATGTAAGAAAATTGTTCAATGATATGAAGGCTTACTGAACAAAGCGGAAAATGATTTAAACTGTAAAGACTCGCATGGAAATTCCCTGATAAGAAGGATTTTCCGTTTCATTTCGTACCATATGGAAGATTTGTTGACGCTCTCTCTTTGTAAAAAAAAGTACGTCACTAATAGATTTTCATTTTCTTTGAGTGGGTGGATAAAGGGAAGCGATGATTATTCATCCCACGTGTTTGCTTGTTGATGCATAAATTTTATTTCGAAGGGATAGCAAGCAATTGTCGTCAACTTTAGATAAAAAATCATTTCACTAACCTCAAGATCAGGCTCCCACCAATCGAGATCGTTGACCTCGTAAACGTCCATTGTCATGTCCATTGGGTCCAGCATTAGATTTCCGAAGTGTTACCAAACGTTAAAGTTCTGAGCCTCTTAATTGATTTTTATATATTTTCAGTGTTCTATTGCACTTTCTTCTCGAAATGTTAATTCTACGAAGTGTTCAATGTCTTCCTTAATATTTAAATCTATTCAGTTATCGAATAGTCTGAAACCACTTGATAAATATTTTTTCTGTAAATGACAAAGTTTGTAAAAGCAGGTGGTCAAATCTAAGTTTTTTTTTGTATAATAAAATCTTTTCTCTTTTTTTGCACTACTTGTTGATTGCCACTTATCAGTTTGGAGTTGAACTTTCCACAAAATATGCCAAAAAAAATATAAAATTCAAGCGAATTTGTTTTCAAAACTTTTTCTTTTATTGCACAAAATTTCCCAACTCTTTTTCCGTATATTAAACAGATTTAAAGTAAAATTAAAAAGGTGAAAAAAATTAAATTTAACTATACTAACAACAAACGTGTAGATCTAATGAATGAATCTTTAACAATAAAAAAGAATTTCAAAAACCAGAAAATTGTGGGTAAAGTGTGAAGGAAGACGAGAGAATGTGAGAGCAGCTCGCTCTCTTTTTTAGGGTTTTAGACGAAAATATTTGCCGGCATTTCTCTCCCGGGACTTTGTGGTTTTCCTCCAGTTATTGACTTGTATTATCAATGGTGAAATTCCTTATCTTCTAACATTGTATCTTGAAATAATACATTTACGGCTTTCTTTTCATTTCGATGTGCAAAAAAAGTTTCCTTTCTGATTCTTTTAATTTTGTTTTTTTTTCTTGTATCGCTTTACACAAATTGTAATGAAAATCAAACGCAAGAATCAAAATCGAGATGTACAGTTAACTTTTTGGAATGTGCAGAGTTTCAGTACAACAAGAATTTCTTCAGATTTCTTTTCGCATTGGGTTGGATAATTTAATGTTTTGCTCGCACATTCTTCATTGACTTCCATGCTCGTCAATTCAAAATCGGTTTTAAATGACTTCGCATCGCATGAGAATTTTTTGCTTTCTTTTGCAAATTCTTTGCATACAAAACTAAGTTTGTTATTATGTAATCATTATAGTTTATGATTCCATACCGAAAGCTGTTGTCAAAAATTAACTTGTGCTTTGTTTGAAAGATGAAAGGAAAATTAAAATGTCTTCTTTTGATGATATCTTGTCGCCTGTCTGTAAAATGTCGAAGCAACACCAGGAAACATTTCTAAAAATAAAAACACGAACTTATCGAAACAATATTTTTTATTTCATTAAAAATTCTTTTTACAATAATTGATATTGAGTGAAAATTTGAGCTTTGAAAGTACAAACATCTCTTATTTACTTCAATATGTGGTATGTTTGAAAGTCATCGCATGTTGTGAATGCTGCAGTGGAAAGTTAAACATTGAAAAATATTTTGAACCTTTTTGATGAGAAATGAATCTTTGAATCTTGCGACTTCAGTATGACTTATCAATGTTTGTTTTCGCCTTGAAATAATTTGTTTTAAGAAATGATGAACATTTTATTTTGAAAGTATTTTTCATGGGACATCAAATGGTAAGGAAAATGTCTTGGATTGTTCCAAAGTGATTTATTTTTATTTCAAATTATTTTCCTAACTTGCTTCACAGTTGGAGAATGATGATTTTTATTTAACACACAACCTTTCTAAAGCATAAAGTGATTCATGAAATGTAACATTGATAGAAGCTTCATAAGAAAGTTTGAGACTCTAATTTCTTAAGATTTTCTTAAGATTTCAGTGATAACTTCTTGGTGATTTGATTAAGAAACATTTTAATTCAATAATGTAGGACTGTCTGAGCTATGGTTGATTTTGATAAGAGGACCTGTTATGGTTTGCTACTGTTTATATGCTTAGTTATGGATTTTAGAGGAAAGTGACAATGACAACACTTTCCAAATTCAAAGAAAATTGAGTTGTGCCGGCTAGACAATGCCGTACAGTGAAAGGTAAATACTTGTGGTCAAAAAATATTATTTCATCGAGCTTATTAGTTCGTAAAATGTGTTGTAAATGCAAAAGTCAGACCACTGTGTTCTTAAACATATTACAGTAAACTTCTGTTGTAATTTTTTTCGAAGGGACCGGAAAAAAAGGAATTATAACGAGAGAAAAATTATAACAAGAGTCCACTGTAGTTCATCAAACTTATCCATTCATTGAGCGATTAGTTTAACAAGATGGAATTTATATTCCTGTATTCTTAATCGCTTTAGTGTACTATCGTGCACTCCCTACTCTGATAATGATGAGCTATTAGTTTATCAAGCTTTAATTCTTCTACTTTTCATTTAATTTAATTTTATGTTTCTCAAATTCTTCAATTTTCATTTCTTAGTGTTAAATTCAAAAAATTAGTTAAGAGCTATTTCACAGCTCGAAAATCTTCAGTGGCAAAGATTCATCCGTTTATCAAGTTTATTACTTTATTGAGGCATCAGCTTATCGAAGTTCCACTTCACAAATCTTCGATAAAAAAGGATTATAGAGAATCAGGCTGTGAGAATTAATAAGTTTAGTTTTGAAATTCCTCAGACATTGGAAGTCTGTGGGTGTTGTACAGTGAACACTTTTTATAATTTTTTCAAAGGTACCGGAAAAAAGATGTTAAAACGAGAAAATTTTGTTCCAGATTTCGTTCGAAATGATTTTCGAAGTGAATGTTGTAACGAGAGAAATGTTATAACGAGAGTATGTTATAACGAGAATTCACTTTACTTAATTAAATGTAAAGTTCTATGTGATATTTTGCCACCGTTAATATTTAATCTAAGACGAAGAAGGAATGTAAAAGTTCGTAAGGTTTACGATGATCAACATTGTGACTTAAAAAATTAATTGCTTCATCAAATGCTCAATGCTTGGATGTGGTTTGATTGCTTCAATTTTCTTTTCGAAATATTTGGAAAAGGTTTTTCGCGATAAGAATGAATACATGGGAAGGAGATAAGCAGAAGTTAAAGCAATGTCAATCAGATTATCTTGATTGATTGGACGTTTAAGAAATACTTCTTGATTTCTTATTTGCGGATTTATTCCAAGAATAGTTTCGATGCTTTGGTTCAAATCGAGGAATTTATATTGTGAGGAGTAAAATTCTGCTATTGGAAAGGAAATGTCGAAAAATCCATTTAACTCAACATTATGCTTAATCTTCAAATTATCTTTCAACATTGCGCTATTGAAAACTATTTTCATGATTGATTCATCTTCAAATATCTTTCGAAATTCCTTCATAGCGTTTGATGCATTTAAGGAAATCATATCAAATATGAAGATCTTTTCAGATGTTGCTATAGTAAGCAAGTTAATGTTGTAGATTCTGAAAGAAAAGAGTTTTGAAGCAATTTCTTTGAGAATCATTTTTAATCAGACACTTACCGTCCTTTGTTAGTTCCGAGAGTTGACATTCCACAAATGAATTGTTGCGAGATGTTTGAAAGAGCTTGAAAATAAGTTTGATCAGCTTGTGATACAAAAATTGGGTTTTTGCTTAACATCAAAATATGATCGTTCTTTTGACTTGTAAATCGACAATTAAACTTTAAATCTAAACCATTTGTCTTCTTTTCGTCCTCATCACAAACATTGAATGGACGATGATTAATAAATTTAACTGATTTCACGTCGCTTTCGTTGAAACATTTAAACTTTCCAACAACTTCGTTTCTGTCATTTGTTACTTCATTGATTTGCAATCGTTTTCCATTGCAAGAAATCTTGTTGAATTTTCCGAAATATTTTCCATTCGTTGTTGATACACACAGGCATTGCTCTTTTGCGATGTCTATAGGAAGATTTTGAAGTTTATCAAAGCTCATTCTCACTCATTCACTTAACATTTAACGAGGATTTAGAAATACAAAACGTAGAAGAGGCTGCTTTAATCTTGTTTGGCTTGGTGGGGTGCTCTAGGCTTTTCACCTTCAGAGTATGCTGGAATAATTTTTTAGTTTAATTAGCGTCTCTTTCATTACAAAATTCTTACCTTTGAATAGATACAATCCTAAAGCTATATGAAGACAAACCACAGCACTCACAGCAGAATATATATTTGCATTCAAAGATGTGAATTCTAAACTATCTAACAGTCTTTTGGTTGCAAAGAAAGATATTACTGGTAGAAGTATGATTAACAAGCAGTATTTGAACACTGTTATAAAAACGCTGGCATCTGTTCTAGTTCCCGAGTCGTCCTAAAAATAATTAGGTAATTAGGCATATTTTCAGTCAATGAAAAGAAAAATCAATATTCTCTAATACAAATAATATTTATCTACTGACTAAAATTCTAAGGATTACATGTTTCAGTTATGATATGAAGATGAAAATAAATCACATGACGTATCATGAAAATTTTTATGAACTACGATATGAGATTATAAAATAGAAATAGTCTCTTACACTTAAACTAGATTTTGTTGTCTTATTCTTGCTTTTGGACATTTTTTTAACGCACTTACAATAAATTATGAATAGAAAATTGCTGATTAAACCTTTTTCGATTTTCTTGAGTTTTAAAATTTCAAAGTTTTGTAAACATACAATACGTAGTTGAGCACCCTTGACTCAATCTCTACAAACTTCAGCCTACCCCTCGATTGTCTACAGAAAAAAATCTTCTGTGCTGTTTTTGTTTAATTTCATTACATTTTAATTAAAAGTTATTCACACATGATTGTAAAATGGATTCTTCAATTGAAAACAATGCATTAGATGAATCTCCTGAAAATTCTGAATTCACTGCAGAATATTTTGCATCTTTGGGTAAGAAAAAGTTTTATTCAATTGTCTCTTTAATTGTTACATATTGCAATGAAATCTAAAGCTGAAGGTGTAGAAAATAGTTCGATGCAAATTCTTGATGAGTGGGTAGAGGAAAGTGAGGCAATACCAATACCAATTACCGAAATTAAAACAGAACCGGAAACTTCCCAAAATGATTCAAAATCTTTGCCAAAGCAAAGAACAGAATCTGTTTCTTCTCGGAAAAGTCACGATCATTCACAAAGAAGACAAAGTCGTGAAAGAAATGAAACAAGAAGAGAAAGAAGTCCTAATCGGCGATCTCCTATTCGGAGACCTGCTTGGAGGAAGAGACGAACTCGTTCTCGAAGTCCTGCTAGACCATTTCAACGGCGAAATCCTCCAAAAAAGAACTTTTTTGAGGAGATAACAGAACAATATCCATCTATTCTAGCTGATCTTCAAAACCAAAATCCACAACCTGTTGAAAATCCTCCAAATATGTATCAAGTCCAAATGAATCCGCAAATGTTTCAAGGGCAAGTTTTTATGCAACAGCAACAATTTCAACAACAATTTCAGCAACAATTTCAACCGCAGAATCATCTTCAATATAATCAGCAAATGCTTCAAAATAACCTTTACCAACAAGGAATGCAGCCTCAAATTCCAATGCAACCAATGATGCAATATGGACCGCAAGTCGCCATGCCTTCGTTCAATGAACAACTTCCTGTTCCAATGGCACCCCCAGGAACTTCTTCTTTCGAACAATCTCCAATGCCAGTTCCAGCTCCTTCTGCTTTTTCAGTACCTTCAGTTACAGTTCAAGACGAGCCGTTAACATCAGTAGAATCTTCAATAAAAAGTCAATTCGCAAACCCCTATGAGGAATCAAAGAAAAAAGTGACAAAAATTTTATTATAAATAAATTAAAATTATTCACAATTTCTTCTATTTCTTCAGGTTGTTGATCAAAAGTTGACAGACATCCTGCGTCAAATGCATAAAGTAAACACTGGAAGCGAAATTAAAAAGAAGAAAGAAAAAGGTTTGAAAATCTCAAATGAAATGACAAATTTTTTTGATTATTTCAATTTTCTTATACTTAAATTGAAAATATTCTCACGAACAGCTTTTTGTTCGCTTTTTTTCTTTCAGTTTTAGAATTTTTTTCTTTATTATTATTATGGTTTATATTACAAGTGTTGAAAACAATTTTTCCAGTGATTGAAAGGTGTAAAAATGCTTCAAATCTTTTGGATAAGCTGGCACAAAACAAAGTTGTTCTTCCTTTCGTTTGTTGTCCATCGAATGGTACAAAAATGGGAAGCGATCAGAATTTCAAACATCGAAGTCCACTTATAATGAACGACAACAATTTTCCAGTTCTCTTCACTGCAAATGCTTCAGATAAACGAAATGCGATGCTAGCAAATCCTGTGCGGAACATTTCTGGAGATTCATTCGCATTTGCTAGACATTTAGGAATGGATCTCATCGATTTATCCCAAAAAGTCCAACAACATGTTGCTAAGGAATGTGAAAAGGAAGTGAAGAAATGCGATTTAGGAATCTCAATTGTTTCAGTGAACCTTGCTGGGAAGAAGATGGACAGAAGTGCTCAAACAGATGTTCAAAAATGTGACAAATGTGAGACCCGAGAAGGGATTAAGAATGCAACAAGCTCAACTCAAACTTCAAGTTTTGGATTCAAACATAATTTCGAGCCAGGAGGTTTTGAAATCACTTTAAATTCACGAGCAATTGATGATTTAACTCCCGACCAACATCTCGCTTTAGTGAATATTTGTTCAGCGTTTAATATCGACGACGAGCGATTTAAAGTCAACCAACACAGATCACATTGGAGTGATGAAAATTCACGTGGAAGTAATGACCAAATGCGATTTACAAATCCTGAAAACCCGAACATTATTCACGGTTATAATCAAGGCAACAATGATTTGCCTGGCTTTGATTCACCTGTTCGATTACCTCCTGAAAGATTCTCGCGTGACCGACTCTCTCGAGATGAATACTCGCGTGACAGATTATCACTTGAACGAAGATCTCCTGACCGATACCCGCGTGAAAGATCATCTCATGACCGAAGATCTCCTGACAGATTCTCGCGTGAAAGATTATCTAATGAACGATTGCCGCATGATTTATACCGTCGAAGATTATCTCGTGAAAGATCATCTCATGAACGCAGATCCAATTCATTATCTTGGCAACGAAGAAGGATTACTGACCGTCTTGGGGAAAAAGTTTCAAGTCCAGTTGGGTCAGGATATGCGTACAGTAACTTAGGACCGTCGCCAGTATTAGGAGAGCGCTCAACATTTCGGTACACAGTGCCATCACCTGAAGGGCCATTAAGAAGAAGTCGACCGGATTCACCATTTTCACTAAACGGTTATGGATCGAGTAGAAGAAGTAGAAGTCGCTCCTTGTCACCGCAATCTTATAGACGTCGAGGACGTTACTGAAAATAATTTTTATCCTTCTGTTAAAATACAAAAGTAGATTAAAACATGTAAAAATGAATCAAAATGTAATAATTAAAGAAGAAAATAAAGAAATAATTTCTTGAAGAATTCACAAGAAGAAAAACATTTGAAAAGTGAGTTGAAGCAATGAATTTGTTTGTGAATGCGAATGCAATTGGAGATCTTTTGTATAGTAGATCTTGGCGTGGCCTGGGTAAGTTTTCAATAATTATAAATTTTAATCAACTTTAAAAATATTTTTGTTTATTGTCTACTGTTTTCAATAAAAGAAGTTAATAAAAAATTCTGAGAAGATTAAGAAAGAATTTTATTTAATGAATTGGTTGTTTGACTCCCTCAACATGTTCTACTGTGAAGTTCACGTTATAGAGACGTCACTGTATTTATTTATTATTTGTTGACATCAAACAAATCCTTTTTTTATCTCAAGCGATTTTAGCTTAGAAAACTTCAAGAAATCATTAAAAATGTCTAAAAGCAGCTGTAAGTTTAATTTTCAACATTACTTCATAGGTAAACTTAACAATAACATAAAAACATTGAAAATTTACAGCAACAGATAACAATAAATTAACAGAAGCAAGTTTGATCCTGCAAGATATTTTGAGTTCGATAAAAAAGGAACCGATGTATGATGAAGGTGAGAGCTCTACAAATATTGGTCAAGTAGCTGAATTTGACAATGTATCCAGCGAAGAACTTGAAAATGATGTAACTGACGATGGTACAATTCCTGTTCAGAAGATTGTTCCAATTCCCATTAATAATATTAAGAAAAGAAGTGTTGAAAGTATTGATGAGAGAAAAACCAAATTTTCTAAGCTACAAGATAAGCAAACGCTTGAAGCAAGACGAATTGAAAATTCAACTATTAATGCAGGAAAACGTGAAGCTTTTATCTCTGGCTCGTTGAAAGCTAAAGATTTAATTAACAGTTCAAACACTAAAAAAACGAATAATTTTGCCAAAGAGTTGCAAAGTATTCAAATGCGTTGTTTTTCTTTATTGAAACTCTTGAAAGAGCCTCAACGGGGATTCTTCGCCACTTTTCCAAATGTGCCAATTGCTTGTGGAGCATCGAAGCAGAAACGGTCACCATTGATCACTAATGACCTCAATGTCTTGTTTGTATCTCAAGCTTCTGAGGAAAATGTGCAAGAAGCTATTTTGGGTCAACGTTATCGTAACATTCCAAAAGCATTGCAAGATACTTGTTCAGAAATAGGAGTTGATCTTGATGCCATTTCTCAACAAATTTCAATTACTAATGAATCTTCTTTGTCCATCCAAGAAGAAACAATTTTCTCACAAAATTCTCGCACGGTTTACGTTCAAACTGATATAACAGGAGAAAATTTTAAAACACATCATGACAAAGAAACACAAAATACGAATAATGCTGGTTTTTTCTCTTGTATGATTGATTTATCAAAACTCAATAGAGAACAAGTTGAAGAATTACAAAAATTCAAAAAGGTAAACAAAGATTTTCATTTAAAAATTTCTCAAGTTTTTAATTTAATTTTTTCATTTAAAATAAAAGATAATGTCAAGTGTAATCAACCTTCGTGATGAACCAACAATCTCAGGAATAAAAGAGAGACTTCAACATCGACGTGCCAATAACATTAGAAATAATGAAACTGGAGGCAAAAGTTTAGTTTTTAATTCTCGTGACATTTTATTAAAATGATTTCTATAGTTTTAATATTCTGTAAGCAATAAATTTTTTTAACGAACTTCGAAAATTATGTTTTTAAAATCTCTCCAAATCGAACTTTCAAATTTCGAAATTCTCCATGAAAATGTTCGAAAATTGACGGTCAGACATGGAAAAGTTTTGTCATCATAGAATTTTTAAATAGCTAATACTTCGGATCTTGTTCTGTGGTCTTCAAAAAGTTAAGTAAAAAATTTCATTCATTTTAACTTAAATGGTTGAAAGTTGTTCGCGAAAAAACTTAAAACGTGTAATATAATCATTATTGCTCACAAATAATCTGGAGTACAGTGAAAAAGTGCACGAATAGTCTGATAAAAGTCTATAATATAAATCGGGCCCCATAAAAAGCCTTTTGTTCATATAAAAGGAAAGTCTATGAAACAAAAACATACGAAAAAATTCAGTGGATTCCACTACATTAATTAATTGTAGTGCTAATCAGTATATTCAATTGTTTTGTGGTGAAATTTTGGGAATACCAATTAACTTTCTTTCGGATTACGAGATATAAGACAGCGAAGAGATGAAGATGCATCATCAAATTTTTCGTTTTCTCGGAAACAGGTAAAAAGAGTCAGACGACGTGTGTGCTATTTGAGTCTCCACAAAGCCTAAAAACATACAGAAAATAAAACGTTGCTAGGCATTACACGGACTGAAGCGCTGCTGACGTTTCTGGATGGAAAATAAAATTTCCTCCAAAAGGCATGAGATTCATGGGTCGCATAAAGAAAAACAATAACAATGTTTCTCCTCTTCGCCTCCATTTTCTCGAAATGCATTTTATGCACTTTTTTATTGCACTCTCTTCTCCCGTCTGGATCGTATATAAAAATTGGTCTATGAATACTTTCTTAAAAGTGTTTGCAAAAAAATTTAATATCTCATTTTTTGCTATTTCAAATTTCTCTTAAAACAAAAGACTTAAAAAACATAAAAATTGCATCATATCTAAAGTTATTGTTTAGTTATAAATATTTATAATAATCAATGCTCTTCTCCCAATATGGACGAGCATGGAACAAAAAAATAAGAAGAGATGAATTTTTTTTTGCTTTTATTGAAATATGCACATATCTGGAAGAATGTTTCCAATTATATATCCAATAAGCATAAAAAATTAATAACGTTGAAGTGAGAGTGTTGCAAGGAGAGAAAATCGTTGATGAGAAAAAGTACAATAAACTGCGTTTTAATGCTGTTATGTACATGTTTTATGCTAAAGGTTTTCAGAGCTGAAAACACACACACACTACTTTAAACTAACATACTATCGAATGGCGAGACTGAACTAACACATTCAAAGCTAGACGTTTTATGAATGTTGCGCTCTTGTCGCAAATGGTTGTTGCATCACATTGTCTCGACTTTATACGACATTTTGTTACCACATGGCGTCTTTTCTTTCTTCCATCTGGATGAGCTTCTTATCATCAATCCTACTGTTTTGAAGACATATTTTCTTATCAGTATCGTCCAGTTTGTTTACAATTAAACCGAATGAATGAATCAAAATCCCGCTCAGTTTTTTCATTGAAATTCAACTAACTTTGTATTAATTCCGCATCCATTCAATGATCTACCTCAACTATGTTTATAAGCACTTGTTTTTAGTTCTCATTTCATCCCATTATTACAGAAGGAAAATTGCTTATTTTTCTTGCTCATGTGCAAATGTAATATGAAGATTTGTATTATTAAAGAATTTTCTTATGTTTCATGAATTGAACAATTTCAAACAGAAAAATTTTTGTATTAGTAAAAGAAGTAAATTTTAACTCCGCAATAATTCTCGTTATGGTTTTCCATTTTATTCTTTTTTTTCTATCGTGTTGTTTTCCTTTTGATTCGCTTTGTTCAAAGCTCTGGTCGTTTCTGTGTGTTTTTTTTCTTTTTCAATTACATTTAAGTGAGGCATGGCAAAAATTGCTTCTGTACATTTTGAAATGCATCTCAAGTTAAAATAAAAGATGCTCATTAAACGCATGAACTGTGATTCAATTAAATGTGATTAAAGAAAAGTTCCTCTTGTTGTTCATATAATATTCAAATGGAAGTAGAAAGAAGGAAGAAAATTAATTGAAGAGAACACATTTGCCAGCTGATAAAACATTAATTTCAAAAATATAATTAATGCAGTTGTTACGATCCAACCACAGTTCTGGAAATTCTAATTTCTCCCAAAAAGAAACGACATTAAATACAATTCATTGTAAAAGAGCTTAAATTTGTTTTTATTACTTTTCCTCCATCTAAAGAAATTTTTATGAAAAGTTTTCCTTTTGCTCCGATTTTTTTTTCCTTCAAGTTGTCTAAGGAAAACCGTCTGCTTCGTTGAAAACGAAAAGAAAGAAGAAATAAAGTTGAGAAACTAATTTAATATAGCGCCACCAAACATACAACGTACACACACAACGGATTGTTGAAGGGTAATTATAAAAGTCTAGCCAACTAGACGGACGCAGAAGAAAAGCAAAAAAAAATGAGGCAAAAGACTGAATCATCGGACAAATGTTGTGGCATGTTGGAATTCATTTATTGGAGTTTAATGGTTTAACTAAAATTGGAAACATTTAAGTGTCCATTAAGGGTAATAAAATAGGCAGTTTCTGTACTTAATCGCGAACTTTTTGAGGGTTGAAAAAAGAAACTTTCTTGCTTTACTTCCACAGGCAAGGACAAAGTGCGAAATAATTAAGTTTCACGTTCTAAATATAAATCATTGAAATGAAAGTTTTTCTTTTTCTTGCAAATCGAATATTTTTTCGATTAGATAAAGCTCATTTTGCTCTCTCATCATGAATTGTAAATCTTTTACAAAGTCTTTTACGTTTCAAAAAATGTGTTCAAGAAATGAGAAATGATTTTCAAACTATAAAACTAGTTCAAGGAGACGTGGTCATGTTGTATCGCTCCATGTACATTTTTCTTTGATTTTCATTTCTGAAATGGAACGCGCCATGGTTTTTGAAAAGTTTTATACGCGTGGGTGAAAGACGAAATTGATTTGATAAAGCTTTTTCCACGAAAACAATGATTGTGAGAAAATTTTCAGTACGACGTAAAAGCTTGTCGTTCTCATTTTCCTTTACACAAATGTTCGAGTTCTATTTGTAAGTAAAGATCTGAGTAATTCCAATGTTTCATCAAGCAATTACGTCTTGGATTTTCCTCCTATCAGCTGTTCGGGTAAAATGTGAATTACACCCACGCAATATTAAACTCTCCGATATTTTTTTCCCTTCAGTTTCCGTTATATAGCAACGAACAGCAGCTTCGAAAATGAAAAGCGTTCTTCGTGTTCCATGTTCGTATTACATTTTTCTTACATCAACCTTTAAATCAAATTCAATCAAAATGCCATTTCGTTCTCTTTCCGAAACACAAGAAATCACCTTTCAACTTAATACTTAATCGACACTCGAGGAAAGTAAGAAAAGGATTTCATTTGCCTACTTTTTGTTGTTGGAAATTGTTTGTTGTGGCAAAGCCATGAGAGTGCATTAAATTCTTATCTCAGATTCATTCAATATACGAAAATCAAGACGTTTCGTCATTTCAATTAAAAGTCAAGAGCGTTTTGTTCTCAAGAGTGTTAAATGAAGCATCAAAGAAACTGCGCATATATTTTTCTAATTCCAAAATGCGCGCATGACTTGTCAATTTGACCTTTTCGTTGCTACTTCTGTCTAACAAAACAGAAATGAGCACAAGCATAGTTAATTGGGTTAGTGGCATAGTGATTTGTCAGTCAAAAATATTCAACATGACATCGAAAAAAAAAGAATTGTGCTAAACAAAAACAAAATCGTCGCCCCCGAAATATTTTCTGCGACAGAAAGAATCGTGATATGACTTTGCCCCAACTTGCCACCGCAATGTTTTGCTTCGTTATCACTTTCCACCATCTCTACCCTACTATCGTTGTCGCCTATTTCTTAAAGCTTAACTCAAATAGAATTAGCTTCTTTTTCCACGAATTTTTAACGATATAAAAATAATTCATATTCATGTTATGTTTATTTATTTTATTTCTTCTTCTTTTGCTTGTCTATTTTTAGGAAACACCAATATCGTTAAAAGCAACATCGACACGAGAGAAGATCCACGCTAAAACGAACGAACTTTATTTCATGCGGTGTTTTATCGAAATAAATGAATAAAAAAAAAGAAATTAAACACTAATACGACGAATAACCTGATAACAGTTGCTGCTACTAACACGTGTAACAACTTGTCGGAATATTATTTTCAACTCGAATAAAAAGCCACATGACAGTGACGTGATAGCGCCGTTGCAAATTATATGTGAAAATAAAGACTTAAAGTTACAAAGGAAAAATAATTTCTGATTTTGGGAAGAAAGAAAATCAGAAAAGTTTTCTTCTTGTACTGAAAAAAATTAAAAAAAGTACGAAAGAAAAGAAGAAGATTCAACAAGTGTGTGTTTATCTTTCTTTGAAGGTGCATTTCACTCAGTGTTGCTTAAAGAAAAGTGAGAGAGATAGAATTAAATAATTATATCAACATCTCAGCGTAGGTGAAACGAGAAGAAAAAAAAGTGAAATATTTCTTGTGCAAAAATTTTTGTCTTTGAAATTTGTTGCGCAAAAAGAGAAAAAAAGAAAAAGAAATAAAATATGCAGTGTCTTTGAATTTGGAGTGAGTCAAGACATAAACGAAGCATTTGTGAATAGCGAGAACGACTAATGAAAGTTGATTTACACGAAAAATAAAAGCCAAAGTAAAAAAAACCACAAAAATTCCACAAAACATTTTTTTTTGATAAGCGCGAAATGATTTCATCATTGATTTTATAATTAGTGGTGGAAGCTAAGTTAGTTTCAATTTAAACTTCGTAAACTAAGATAGTAACAATTTCATTTTTTGACCCCGGTAAAGAAAGTTCTAAAAGTGGAGAACTATAAGGATTACCACCATCAGCAGTTGCAACAGCAACAGAATTATCGTCTTGATAAGGATATGCTAATGGATAAAACTAAACAAAAAAGTGAGTATAACTGTCATTCATTCATTCATTTATTCATTTATTGATAATCAACCGGATACAAATTTCGTTGAAAAGCGCGCGTTTACATTTACTTTGCATTTTTTTCTTTTTTTTTTGACGTCAATCAATGATAGTGCTGGGATGTCCGTAAAGTAATTACAGTATAATGTCGCTTGACGTCAGAATTAAAAGTTTCAAAACATTTCGAAATTGTTACTTTAGCTTTCAAACTTCTGTCTCCAGAAATTTAATTAAAACATTTTTGATTTCGAGAGAATTTCGTGCATAATAAATTGTCGACATGTTTTCTCACTTTACACAAAATAAAAGCTCAATAATTTATGGTAAAAAAAAGGTATTCGTTGCATTGTAATGTCAGAGCATTGTCAAAGCAATAATTTTGATGACTCATGAGCGTAAATTCCCCTGTTTTTGTGTCGAAAGTGACGTTTGAATTCGTTTTTTGCTATCAACAACACTTCAGTCGACTGCAATAATCGAATAAAGCAACTCTTGAGGGCAAGCTTACTTACTAATTTTGAAATGAAACCTGATTTGAAAAACTTCTTTCGATATTTATTCAAAATTGCTGCATGGTTTTTATGGTGTTGTGAGTCAGCGGCAACAAAGCGGTAGATCAATTTAAAATCAACACATGACACGTTTGCAATGAGCTCATTCATAAACAAAAACAAAATTTGAGATCGGAATATTAAAACCACCCAAACACTCTTCATTGATGTGTTGCTCACTCGCATCTGTTTCAAGAAAAATCAACTTGAAATTAAAAACAAAACTGTTTTTGCTTCCTTTCTGTTCTCTTCTAAATGTATCGATGTTTTGTTTCATTGCATGCGATTAAAGTCTTTAACATGCCTAAGGTACAATTTTTTTTGTACTTTGAAATCAAACAACAGACGTCGAAATAAAACCAGAATGTAATTTACATATTTTGGTTTAACTTCCGCAATTATTTTATTCAGAGCGGTTCATTTAACATCAGACACACACGCAGACTATCGCAAGAAAAGTTTCAAAGAGAGAAGAAAAAACTTGGCACCACATTTCGCTGTGCAATTTTAAAATTGAGTTATTTATTTTGCTCTCGCAATGAAGGGAAAATTCTATTGTATTTAATTGTCTTAAAGCCGCTGAAATCTCAAGTGAAAGTGAGAGACAGCTGAAGGTTGTTGATCATTGATCGAGGAAGTGAGAAGAAAAAGAAAGAAGTGGAAAATGAATTTTCTCTGTGTGAAATTGACGAAATATGATGAGAGAAATGAGAAAGATAAAATGTCGAAGTCATGAATCAACAGTCGTCGACGGGAACATCAAAAGATTAAAAGACTGATCAGAGCAATAAATAATGTTTGGATTTAGCTTAGCAATCAAAAAGAAATAAAAGTTATCGGTGAAGAAATTTTTGAGATTTTTTTATGGTGAGGTTGAAAATGATTTAATTTATGAGTATTATGAGCAGCAGAAGGTCACAAAGTATTCAAGTTAGGTTGGTCTCTTGAGCGAATTATGTAAGCAACATTCAAAGTGCAAAACATTTTTAAGAACCTTTAGACTTGACATGAGTCATGACTTGGCCGATAAATAATACAAAAAAACTGATCAATCGAACATTCTGCGTAAGTTGACTCAATAAACACATGACAACAGTCGATTAGATAACTGCAATCATTTAGAATTGCTCAACAATGTCAATAAATTTCTAAATACTCTTTCATCGAATCATGTTGCGGCCGAAACCAAAATGAAATTCAACTTTCATGCTCGTTTTTTTTTTAATTCTTCGTTGTCGTAGATAATTTCAAACTTAAAAATAGTTGTTTGAGGTTGATGTTTGTGTATATTTTTTTTTGTTAAGCTAAAAGATGCTATTTCGTAATCATTTCGACACTTTAGTTCTTTTCTCAATTCGAACGAGTTTGACACAATTTTTTCTCTCTTTCCTAGCTTCTTAATGGTTTTCCTTTTAAGATTCTTCTCACTTTACAAGCATAATATGTCAAGAAAATGTCACATCACATAAAGTCGACGAAGAAGAACAATTGCGACAAGTCATTAGGGTACTTAATTTCATAGGATTACGTCGTGACGACAGAGCTAGGAGAAATTTAAAACGAAGTTTAAACTCGATACGAATGAAAGTATTACATGACGTCAAGGTTTCTTCTTCTCATGAAATTTTCTTTCTTTCGGCTTCAAAGTCTCAACAACAAACGAAGAGAAATGCTAAGGTCAAAATCTTCACAAGCTCATGACTCTTTACAACACGTTTTCGATGAAGGGGAATTTAAAAATGTTTAATAAAAGAAATAGTGAGACGAAAAACAGAGAATAACACAACGGGATTGTTTATGAAGTTTTTCATCTTAATCCTCTGATTAAATAAGAAGACAAGATCAAACACATCGGCAAACAAGACAGAGAATGAAATGTAAAAGCATCACGGTATGCCATTCAGAAACAAAAAATGATTAAAGTTAGTAATAAAAGAAACGGGAGAAAAAGGCCCAACAAACTCAATAACGGAGAATGAATGGAAAAGAGCGGAGAACAACATCAATTCAGTTCTAGCTGTAAATTATTTTTCAACATTCTTCTTACTGTAGTTGGTCCGCTACGATAAGTCCATCTACCGAAATCTCTTTTCGTCTTCAGAAGATCTCTAAGGTTTCCAGTCAATCCGATTTTCTATTGTGTGAGCACGAAGCATATTTTCGTTAAAGTCAATTTTATTCCATGGTGAATAAAAGAGAAAAGATATCAACGTAAGACTTTACGTTGCTGCTCTGAATTTCTCTTTGGAATTTTTATGTTTTTTTTTTTGGCGAATAGAATTGAATAAGCAAAGCTTTCACTGAGAAAGACTTTTGGCTGAATTTTTTTTTTTAAAAAAGAGTAACCACAAGATTAATTCACCTTCGTGTCATTCATTTTCTTGACTGATGATCATGTGCTTGTGAAATTCATATTCGTAGACTGTGATGAGAAATTGGGTCATCATAAAAACTTTTTTATAACACATCCAAACGATCTTCAATTGACTATGCGTTGTACTTACATGTACATTGAAAAAAGGATGATTGATTGACTTGCCCAACAGAAATAAAATAAAAAATTTTTGTTTTATCTTTTTCGATTTTTTTTTTCTTGTTTGCTTGTTCAACGTCCTTCCATCTTATTTTCTTCTCTTTCTTTTGCAAACGAACGATATGTTCGTTCACATTACACGACATCAATGACCTTTAAATGCTGTGTAATGCAATCGTTTGTCGGAGTTTGCTGGTTATCAGCTTTCGTTCATAGCGCCATTTAGTAAGCTTATCAATTCTTCATTCGTTTCGTCACCAAATGATTTTGTTTTTCTTTTCTTTTCTTAGAAAATTCTTATCTTTTATCGCAAGTAATGTCGCGACTGAAAATAACACGCTTTGCTTTTTTTTTTTTGCTAAACCCTAGGAATGCTTTCCGATTATGGATGATGATAGTTTGTTGGTTGGTTGGTTGGTCTTTCAGCGGTGCGCGTGTGTGTTCAACAAAAAATTGTGTAACGAAAAAATGTTTCTTTTGGTGCCGGTGATAGGAGTGTGAGGCGGTGAAATAAATAACGCAAATATGTTAGAGTTAAAGAGTGAATATTTGATTGATAAGGTCATTAATATCACATGAGTAGGATGGTAATAAAATTTATAGGAATTTACTAAATTAGACTCTTTGTGTGATTATTTAAAACGCAGCTAGACTTTACATTAATTAATTTTCTGTCGGGTTTGTCTTTGTTTCTAAATTTTTCGTTTGTTGACTTGCTTTGTCTATGATAATGTTTTGTGATTAATAAGTGAATGATTTTCATTTCCCTCTTCAGTCTGGACAAAATATCACTCTCTTAGTAACATTTCAATGTGTTTTCTTGCGCGCACTTGATAAAGTTCGTCACTTCTTATTCACAAGATTGATTTTCTTTTGTGCGAAATATTCATCTGAAACAAAGATTCGCGATCCCGTTTCGAAGAAAAGAAAAATCTAATTTAAGAACAACGTTTTACTTTTTTATTTTATTCGTGTTCGTCGCGATATAAATAAATTTGTTGAGATTTCGTGTAGTCGTCAATTCGGTTTCGTTGTGAACAGTTCAAGAGAAAAGGGAAGAAAATTTAAAGGAAATAAATTTTGTCCATTCTTGATGCTTTAGAAAGTTAAGTTTAAGAAAAATATTTCCCGGCTGACTTTCAATTCACGAAAGCTTGAAGAGTTTCCTAAGAAAACAGCCTCAAGAAGAATGTCAACAAAGTCGAATGAAAATGAAAAGTTTTGCTGTAGCTTATCGTGTCATTGACGAATTGTGAAATTTGGTGGAAAATATTCCTTTTTTTCCCCCTTCTTGTATTGATGCGAGAGTAGTCGTGTGTGCGATTGTGATTACATAAAGTTAAGCAAGAGAATCAATGTGAAAAAAGCGAGGAAAATTCTGTAGCGAGAGACACAAGAAAAAAAAGTTACTTGAGGGTTTTCACCAAGCATTCAGTGTAAGGAAAACGATTTTCCCCTACAGGTTGCTATAAAAAACGTTCCGCTATTGTGCAGAAGAGTGGAAAATCGCCTTGCTTGTGGTGGAAATAAAAATCAAACTCGCGAGTCGAGGGAAATTCTTTCCACTTCACTTCTTGTTGCACAAGGAAAAGAAAAATTATTATTGAAAAGCAACAATGTCAGCTGTTTGCTACCTGCCATCGTCATACCAATCATCATGGGACTGGCAGAATGACACTGAAAGTCAAGAAGGTAAACTTTGATTGATTATTTAGTGAAGCAATTGTCGATTCTCTTCCTTCATTAATGTGCAAATCAATTGAAAGAAAAGTTCACTTCTTGATTTCGATTTCAATCATCTCAATTTCATTTCATTTTGTTGCTTGTGAAAGCGAGCAGCACTCAAAGGCACTAAATGAGAAAAAGAAGAAGAATTTTACTTTTTTTTTTGACATTGCATTCACTACACGAAGGAAAGTAACGAATAAGACGAAGAATTCGTGTAAAGTGCAATTTAAAATTCATCATTTCATTCGGTTTGGTTGACTGAAAGCTTTATGAAAACAGTAAATTGAAGGATATCATTCGTGACAGTCAATAGAAAGTCTCAACATTTGTTTGATTTTATCTCAAAGCATCGTTGAAGCGTTTAAAGATATTTGTTGTGAATAGGGAAGCTACGCACTCTCTTTTCGCTATTTTTGTCATCGCAAAGTGAAAAAGAAGCTTCTAGAGTTTCACATTAAATTGCTTTTAAACTTCTTGTTTTCTGAACTTTTATTTAGCTACTCGCGCTTAGATGTTTTCTTTTCAAACAATGAATGGCTAGAAGAAATCTCTCGTTCCTTAAGGTCAACACTGAACAAAGATTTCTTTTCCTTTGCCTTTTACAAAATCTACAAAATCGGCTCATACTCAACAACTTCAAGTGGCTCAGTGTGGGTGTTGTGTATGTTGTTGAGTATAAATTTGATCCATTTCACATAAAGGCCAACTTTGGTGAAGACCGTGAATTTGTAGGGGTCGCAAAAAAAGGTTGATTGCCTTCGGGGACTTAAACTTACAATTCCTTGAACCTTCCATGTTTTAAGATCTCTTGAAAGGAACATCAAACCACCACCACTGTCACCATTGCATAATGACGTTCCATTACCCCAACCAGCGCAAAATGTCGTGAATGTAACGAATTTCTGAAAATCTCTCGGTTGTAACTTTATACAATCTTCATTCGCGACAATTGGCAACAACGTCATGCGAATAACTTCACTATTTGTATCGTTTTCAGTCACTCCCATGCCAACAATAGTTCCCAATTGATTACGTGTTAGATGTGACGTTATGTCATCTAATTCCCAATCAATACAAGCTGGATGGATTTCATAATTAAGTGTTACAGTTTCGTTCAATTCAACGAGCGCAATATCCGATCCATAATTTCCAAGAACATCTAAATATAAAGGATGACGAATAATGCGTTGAGCATCAAAATATTTAGCTGAATCCTTGTTGAGTGATTCAGTGAAGTTGCTGTGACGAGCACCGATTGCAATTTTCACTTCACTTTCATTAACATGAGCGAAACAATGTGCGGCTGATAAAACGACCAATTCAGTGATTAACGTCGCTCCACAGGCAAACATAAATTCATTGCCTCGTTTTATAAAAAGGGTTGCGTGCCATGGGAATGTTATTTCGGTGCTGAAACCATGTACAATCAATGGAATGGATTCTTTTAAGTAGCCACATTTTGGTTCACATTTAAGAATTTCTGTTGACCATCGACCATCTTGTTGACAAATAGCTTTGTCGTTGAACATATGAAATTCAGATTCGGGTTGATAAAATTCTCTGCAGGAATATTTTGCTTCTGTTTCTGGTTGAATGTTTTTATCACAATCAACTTGGATATTTTTGTGAAAGCATTTAACATTTAAGCGTGTGGATTTGATTGGCGGACATGTTGGAAAAGTGCAATCAGCATTGAAACATGATAAAGTCTTGCACAATAAATCTGATTCATCGTCACCGTTAATGCAGTCGTTAAAGTTGTCACAAACTGATTCTCTGTCAATACAACGACCATAACCACAGTGGAATGTTTTATCATGACATGATTGCGGTTGACAAATTTGCGCTTCATCCTCACCAGCTGGGCAATCGCGAATTTGATTGCAAATTAATGATGAATCAATACAATGATTTGATGATGAACAACGAAATTCACCTGGGCTGTAATCATTTTCCAATTTTAAATCAAAAAACAAATGAAATTGGCGAATGCTTACTCGCAACTTGTGTTTGATTTTCCGCAGTTAAATTCGTCAGATCCATCGATACAATCAGAAATGTTATTACAGAAATTCTCTCGATTAATGCATGCACCATAATAACATTTAAATTCATCGGCCTTGCAAATAATTGACGCACAAAGTTCCGCACGTTCATCGGATAAATCCGAACAATTTCCAAGCCCGTCGCAAATTTTACTGGCATCAATAGAACCACCATTGAAACAAGTGAAATTACTTGAAAAAACTTCACTTACAACGAAAAGACAAATGAATATTTTTAACATTGTGTTTGAAATTGAATTGAGTGCATGAGATATCGGCGACCTACTTTTATACAAAAAAAATTTGACGGAATTGAAATCTTTTTGGCTTTGATTGTTTTTATTTCTCTACTTGTAAGAATAAGCAATGAAACTTAATAGCGGAATAACTTCAAGTGCTTCTCGTGAGCTTGCATAATTCTTTTTCTGTTGTTCATTTCACTATCGAGTTCTTCTAAAACAGTGTTATTTAAGATTTAAAGCAAAGTGAGTTGATTTGATTTTGATAAGAATAGCTGAACAGCAAACAACTTTGCAATTTTAATTGCTATAAGGTTGAGAGATTTTTTCGTGTCTTAAACCCATCACAAACTTAAAACTTTATACTTCACTTCCATTAACAGTTCCACCAACAACATAATTTAATTAACGCTTAAATGAGCGCAAGTTGTTCAGACAAGGAAAGTTAAAGTTTTCTGATTTTTAATCGATGCGCATCATGAAATTTTATTACAAATAAAAACGATTCAAAACTATGTGAAGCTGTTACATGGCAACTCATTACAACAAATTTATTTGTAATTAATCAGGAAGATTGATCGAGAAACTTGTTTTCAACTCAAGAATTTCTTCAACGGTTGATGTAATTTTTCGAGTGGATTATATTCGGATATGTAATCTGAAACGAGAATGTCGGTCGAGCGAAGTTAAATTCTATCCTAAAATCTAAAATGAAACCTTCTTCTTCCATCTACATGTGTGCTAAAACAATCGTATGTGGGTGGATAATATGAAGTCATTCAAGAAAGTTTCATTTTCGACGAATTATCAAGTTTTCTTTGGTAATCAAATTTGCTGTTGAGTAATTGAATTGAAACATTGTTTATCGACTCGATAAGCTTCAGTCAAGGTATTAAAAAACAAGGTCAGAGGTTCGAGAGAAAATTATTATTCTTTTTTAAATTGCTCACAGAAATGAAAATTTTATTTCTTGCTTGCATGTCGGAGGCAATTAAAGTTTAAATTATGTTTTAAGCGTTAACTAAATTCACATTTTGTTTTTAATTAAATGCAATCATTAAATTTATTTTTCCATAAACACTCGCTGCTTGTTTTAACATAAGAAATTGGCAATATTTACTTTATTCTAAAATTCTTTTTTCTTCCCAAATTCACTCATCAAAATTGAAACATGTTTTATCTTCAATCTTCATTTCTTCAAGTCACATCATAAAGTGTAGAAAACTTTTGGAAATGTTACATAATAACAAAGCTAAACTGTTTTCTAAAACACATTTTGCAAAAATGTAGCACGATTTAATTCACAGTGTCAAAAAATGTTTAACGAAATTACTTTTTACCTTTCAATGATTAATGAAAGCTTTTCAAACACTAAAAGAAATTTCAAAGCACCAACAATATCATTATCATCATCATGTTGGATATTTATTTCAAATGTTGGCACATACATGACTCCATTTGTGAAATAATCTTAGTTTATTCAAATGCCATCATAGATCGATCAATTATTTCCTTCTCTGTCTCTCTTGAAGAAGAAAAAGATTCTCAAATTGACGATGTGTTGTTTGGGTTATTTGAGATTATAAGTAAAGTAACGGTTTAAGCGTGGGAATGTCAGAAGGATGATGGTGCAGCTGTAAGCAGTGAAACATCACACACACAAAACATAACCTTTTGCAATTGAATAAATGATAAAAATAGAAATTGAAAGAAATTTCTAAGGCGTCTGAAGCTGTCTGGCTTGTGATGTCACGCACGAAAATTTTTACTTCAAATTTCAGTTGATTTTATTTCATTCTAAGCAATTGACGATAAAATTATAATTTTCGAAATTTAATCACAGTGAGTGGTTCTGATAGGTAAACTTTGATTAATGTCTCAGGTTGGGATGATGAATTTGACATTTTCAACATATATTTGACTAATGCTAAATATCTGTAAGCGAAGCTATGAAGTGAGTCAAGCGACAGATTAAGTGACGATATCATGACGTCAAATGTCAAAATATTAAGCGATAGAATGACTCATTGAACGAACGTATGATCATCGACCACGCGCTCTTGTGACACTTCATAAACAACAATCATTCTTCAGCGTCCGAAAAGAAGATTTTTTTTTTATTAACTCTAAATAGCGCTTCATTTACATATGAATTTCAATTGACATGGAAACACGAAGATGATTTTATTCTCTTGGTTGGTTCACGCTGACGATTCTCTTTTTTTTTTTGCTTATTGCCATGGCAAGAAAATTCACATTTTCGACCTTTTTTTCTACTCTTCTCAATTTGATGACGTAAAATAATTTAAAATAGAAGGAAAAATGATTTCGCTTTGCGGATGTTTGAAAGTGGAAATAGCTGAGTTGTTCGTCAGTGCATTTTTTATTTTTAATGGTTTTCAGGTTCAATTGGCTTCGAGCAGAAAAAAAAGTTGTTGAATTCTAAAAAAGAACGATGATTGTAGCAGTTTTGAATGAAATAATGTTGAAAATAAATGAATGAATAGAATTGTGATGGAAAATTGTTTAATGATTGGCGACAGCGGCATTGATTCATGTTGATGTTTGGGAAAGCCTCGAGTGATGACTATATAAGGAAGTGACTATTTTGACATTTTTTAAAGCCCTCGCTTAGCTTCATTCGATTGCATTAAATTCTCTTGCTTCTTAAGTATTGATCGCTTAAAGACACTTAGTTGGAGGTCAAGCTACAGTTCCGCTTTTGTTTTTCTTGCTTCATCGTCTTAAAATATCATTTCACAAAACGAACAATTCTTCTAAGTGGCTGCTGTCGCTCAATAAAAGAAAATTTCAAACATTTCATCATTTGAAACATCAAGCGATGAAACTAATTTACTACACGTTCTCATCTGAAGAACCATCACTCATAAAATGATTTCAAATTTTTATTTCTCATCGTTTCTTGCTTTTTTGTTGCGCGACATTCTCTCGAGAGTTTGTTGGTGGTCGTGTTCCAAAAAAAAAAAATATTAACTGATTAAAATGAGAAAATAAAATGTTTGCACATTCCAAACGTTCCATAGCGGTTATTTAACCTTTTATTGTTATTATTTCTTCTTCAAAAATCGCATTTGTTGTGATTGCCAAATTTGATATTTCTCATGCTTTCTCTTCATGATAACTTTAAAGGGATGAATAGCATTCAATGTTGTATAATTGGATTCGTCAGCGCCATCCCAGATGCAAGTAGACGACTCAACTCGAATTGTTTCATTTATTTCATCTCTTTTCTGTTGTTGTTGTTAACAGCCTTCAACCTGTTTTGCGGTTCAACAAAACCATTTTCTTGCCACTTCATCCCGAAGCCTGTTTTGTTATCTTTCTCTTTTCCCATTTTATTTCATTCTTAGGCGCTTGCGAGAGTGCTGCTTTGATTCATATATACAAGAATTTCATTTTAGTCTTCTCAATATCATTCTAATTTATTATGCGCCTATGTAGTCGTTGACCACTTGTATCATCAACATCAGCACGTATGTGTAAGTTTGAAATGTAAAATACCTGAAAAAATATGGAAAAAAAGTGCGTCGTGTTGTTTAAGTTCCATATGAAGGCGCGTTTTAGAACTTTTCGAAAAGACACATGAACGAAACTTTATTGTTCGCTTGTTTACGTATGGAAATTTTGATATCACCACTATGCACACATACACACATCATCACACATGTAGATGAAAGCAAGATGGGTACAGTGTCAGGTCACATAAAAGGAAATAATCAATGTTGCGTAGACATGAACCTGCTGTTCAAACTTTTCAAGAAAATGTGACGTAAATGGCGATTTTTTTGTTGTACAAAGTGAATGAAGCAAAGGCGGTTAGTGATAAGGCGTTACTATGTTGGCAAAAGCATAAAATGATTAAAGCATATCAGAGGATGTGAGTGTGTGTGAGAGAAAAGCCCTTCGGTATTATCATCGTGCCAACAGCGAGCGTGTAATTCAATATTTAATTGAATTGAACAATGAGACGTAATAAAAATACATCGAAACATTTAGTGAGACGAATGCGCGCGGAAATAAATAAATATTTGACGCTTCAGATATTCATCATAACTCAAATGATAAAACATTCTTATTCTCATTTAGATAGATAGCATAAAGAAATACTTTTCTGTTAATTTCTTTCTCACAAAACAACAAAGTAAACAATAATTTCACAATGCGAAGTTTTATTGCGCGGTAGGGATTTTCGTCATGAGCGACCTTTCATCTCGTGTCGTTGTTTTTCCTTTTCATGGAAAACTTTCCTTCTATATAAAAGCGAGCTAAAAAAATAAAATTCTGCGCAAAATGTTCTTTCACTCCTGCCATTTAACAACAAATGTCTTCAAAGTTTAATTAGATTATGTTAAAATCGAAGCGAAAGGAAAATATTTTCTAATCAAAAAATATAATTTTAAGGTAAATTTAAAGAAGAAAAAAAAAAGTTTTGACATGTTTACATTGGTTAAACTGTCTTATCATCTCATTCAGTCATTCATTCATTCGTTTCAAGGCTTTAATGATTTATATTTAACGAATTCTTCAAATTAATGAATAAATTTCATTGTTCAATTCATGCTAAGTATTAAATCGACCTTGTTGACTGACCCGGCTCGTGTCACTTTTCTTTTTCGTGTGTTAGAAGTTATTGAACTCAAAACAACGCTGCATTCTAAAAAATTTTCGTTCTTTCATTTTTGTCGGAGGGGGAAAAAGCGAAAAAAACGAAAATGAGATGGAAATGAATTTAATCGACAACAAAAATATAAACTATAAGTATATATAACACAACAAGAAAGCGCGTAGCACCAACAACACAAAAACAAACGAGAAAAGTCTCCGAAAAAACGTAAAATAACAAGAAATAGCATTACAAGACTCCAACATGTCGTTAAGATGAGTGAATATTTTGGTGTGTTGGTTGTTGGTAGTGTGGAAATGGAAAGAACTCTCGTTTCTCATGTCGTTGTTATAATGAAAATTAAAGAAAGAAGGAATATAAAATGTATGTGCCTGCTGCCTGTTGGCGAGTGCGAAAAGTAGAGAAAAAGAGCATAATAAGAACAACATCATCAACATGAGTGTGCTGTGGCATGAAGCAAAACCAACCAAAGCAATGAGACGGGAACAGGCACATACAAATGCGAAAAGTTCATTGACTTTATTTCCGGTTTAGCATTACATATTTTTTAGTGTTCTTTCGTGTTTAGCGTTTCTTGTTTTGTTGTTCCTGAAACATAACCAACAACCCAACAGTTTCTCTTCTTATCTTTTCAAAACTTTCTCAACACCAACTTTAGCTTCCGAATTTTCATTTCTTTCTTTTCAAAAACTCTTTCGCTCAAGAAATAATAGAAACATCATCGTTGCTATTTTTTATTTCCTTTTTTTCCTCTCGAATCGTTGAACTTTTATTTCGTTGAAGAAATAAATAGAACTATTACGTGTCTGCTGTGCTTGCTTTCCAAATTAGATGTTAAAGGTTTATTTTTAGTAAATCAAGCTTTTCTTTCTTTTTTGCATTGTCTCATGCTTATCATTGACGCCTTTTAAATCTTTTGTTTAAGAAACATTCCAAGAATTTATCGGTAAAATAATTTACTCGTTCTTATCGTCGCTGAAAATTTCCGTCTTTGCGTCTTATTTGTAGAGGAAGAAACGAAAGCTTAATGAAAGAGAAGCGTCTGAAACGCACACAAAGCTATAGAATTGAATTGTCTTGAGGTTATTGAATTCTTGATATTTATTTCTTTATTTCAAAATCGATCGATGACCAGCAAAAGTTGAGCTTTGAATAATTTTTTGTTTTGGGGGTTTTAATGTTGACGATAAACTTTTTTTTATAAATATTTTTATAGATCATCGTGAGATTGAATTACGCAAATTAGTTTGTTGATCTATTCCGCATTTATAAGATTTTTTTATTTTTTATTTACGGTTGATGACTTCAACGAAGAGACTGCGGAATTTATTATTTTGTTTCTTTACATTGTTATGATGATGAAAGAATAATTAAATTAAATTTTATTTTTATTTCTATTTCAGTATCTGCGTCCTACGTTCCAGGACCAATTCCCGACTCAACACGGTCTCGACATGCTCCACTATATGGTCGACTTGTTTCGGAGGAACACCTGCCAGCTTCGCATCGTGATGTGCACCAGGTACGTTGATAATCTCTTTTCCATCTTCATAAAATTAATTCAAAGAGATTCTTTTAACCTTTCAGCGCTCAATCAGCCCATCATCATCATCAACAGACATTCGGGCGATGCAAGCTAGAATTCCGACACATTTCAGAGATCCATCGTTGGCGCCACTTCGGAAGTTGAGCGTTGATTTAATCAAAACCTACAAGCACATAAATGAGGTAAAGACAGATTAATTTTCTCAATCGACAGCAAATATCCGATCTCAGCTGTGAGATTTCCAAAAAAAAATTATATGATGACATCTTTCTTGTGGTTGACGCAATTTTCTTCTTCCCTAAATGTTTTTCGTCTGATAAAAGACATCGCCACCTACGCATTTTAACACACAAATAGCACCATCTTTTTATCACTTCCAATTTTCTTCTTGTTTTTTCATCCCCCACGGGGCAAATGTGATGGACGTCATTAACGTGGGTTGGTTGTAGCTGACAACGTTTATTTTTCTTTTTCCTAGAAAGTTTTGTGTTTTCTCTTTCATGAGAGTTTCTTTAGCCGATGGAAATTGATATTCGAAGGCGAATGTTTGCTGCTTTACCATGACATTCGTTGCTACCAGACGAGGCAATTTGAATATCTTAAATCGTTGAAAAGTGTTGCTTACCCAAACGCTTTTCTAACAAAACGTGATGATGATTCGTTCACCCTCTTCCATACCCTTTTTTCTGGTCTTATTTGCTTTTTAAAGTTTGTTGCTCTTAGTAATAGTTTTCGATGTTGTTTGGTGAAAAGTCAATAGACGATTGGAGATGTAAAAGTTGTCTAGGATTTTGGGAAACGAGCAAAGTTATTGAAAACTGAAACAAAGCGATTTATTGTTTATTGTATCTCTTCATCTTGTGATGAAAATTAACGAGGATGGTTCGACGAAACAAATGTAAAATGTTCATGAAGTAGCTTAAGTAATGATTGAAGTTGAGAAAGTTTAAGATAAGTTAGATTATTCAAAGTGATTACTAAAACTCAAGCTGAGTATTCCAAAATGTGCAACAAGGCTTTAATTTGATATTTAAGGAAGTTTCTAATTTCTCAACATATTTTAGAGTGTGATTTAAATAAAGCAATTCACAAAGAATTTTTATTAACAAAAAGTTTTTCTCAAGCCTCCACTTTTTTGTGGTTGTAAATATTTGTTGGTTTAAAGCACATTCGACCACGATTAAAATGATAAATATTTCAGCTCAATTTCCCCACTTTTTTCCCTCTATAAAATGTGTGTGGTTGTTTTGAAAACCAAATCAAAGAAACGTTATTGTTTCTCATGCTATTTATGATTATACAAACATATGTGAAATTGCTTCGCTTTTTTTCCTTCAAAATGTTTTCAGCTCTGATTTTATATTAAATATCTAGATAATGATTTTAAATCTTCTTTGGCTTCTTTCCCTGTTATTTTATTTGAAGCTTCTCATGTTATAAAAGCTTTAGTTTCAATTCGTTTTCATATATACTCTTATCGTACTTCAATTTCAACCCTCTATGTTGCTATGGAGAAGATCATGATAGAAAAAGAAGAAAAGCTGTTCGTTCATCAAGGGACGATGATTCTATTTTTCATCATTCAGATCACGTAATTTTTTCGAAGAGACGGGAAAAATATGAGAAAAATGCCTGAAAATTGTGTATGAAAAGCTTTACCATCACCGATTCTCGTTTTTCCGTTTTTTTCTTTCTTCTTTTATTAATCCGACGAGGTGGTAAGGAAAAGACAAATTTCTGGACAATTGCTTGTGCTTTTGCTTCTTTATAGTGTGATAGATCTCTGATTACGACTCTTAAAGCTTTTGATAATATAATGAAACTTGAAACAATACACGTTGCATTAAAGCGAAGCTTTCCGTCGCCGACTTCCACACCCGCATTTATTTCAAATGGCATTTTCATATTCTATTTGCCTTCGAGATGATTTATTCATAAGAATTTCATTTCTCGCAGCGTCTTTTTCGAAATGAAGAAATGGAATTTTTCATGTTTGCATGTTTAATAAGGAAGTATTCGTTGACAAATGTTGTGGCAATTTCAAACCGACAATGGACAGCTAAAACTTGTTCTTGCTTTGTTTCATGAAATTCCAGTGAAGGGTGTTGTAGATGTTTTGAATTTATTCAAGTGAAATGTAATTTTCCTTAAAGTGGAAAATAAACTTGAAAAGTGTTTCCGGGTCAAAACTTTCTTTTAAGTTGAAAGTAAAAACGAAAATTGATGTTGACACGTCAGTGAAAAACTAATCTTATTGTGTATCTTATATTTAAAAGATAAAGTAAGAAAAGTATATCCAACAAAGGTCTTTTTTTCTCATGAATTGTATGTAAGTGGTCTCGAGAGCATTGATAATGACCACATTTTACATTTTTTGTTGTGGTTGCTGCTGTTCGATGATAACAAAAGCCAAATATTTTACATGTCGCTGGTGTGTTGTTCCAAAGGGTTCAGTCGAATTCATCACAGTGACTAAAAACATGTTTAACAATATGTGAATAACAGAAGAAAAAGTTAAATATAATCGAAACATAAATTATAGCGCATGGCGTAATACAAAAACAATTGTGACATGAATGTTGCCGTGCCATGTGACTAATACCATGCGACGTGCAACATTTATAACAAAGAGTTTGAGACGAACATTTGTGTCGTTTGCGCTTCAACATAACTTTTATGCTTTTTTTTAATGTTGAGTAAAGAAAACAAGAATTTTTAATGTAAATTTGAGAATATGATAATTGTTTAATAAAGAACGCAAGCTAAATTATGAATACGTTAAGGTTGTTAATGAGTTTTATTGAAAAATGAAATGGATGAAACTTTATGGATTTTATCACTGAATAAAACCTTTTTCTTCCTTTTATTTCACAATAATGCTCAATTACCTTATAACAGCATACATAATTTTCAAGCAGTAAATGGATTTTCCTTACAATATTTTCATCATAACAAATATATTGCATGCGGATATTTTTCTATCATGTTTTCCAACCATTTTCGAAAATCTTCAGTTAACGCAGCACATTGAAAAATTGTTCCTTCGTGTATCTCATGGCCCCTGGTGGTAGACTATTGAACTGATAGTTTCCATGCTTTCTTCTGCTGCTTATGATTGTGTAATGTTTTGATCACAATTTTCCCAGACTCGCTTCGCAACATTCGCTTTTCATCCATACACATGCAAGTAAATGTCATGTTTCTTGGGGGGAGGATTGCGGGATGTTTCATGTTTAAATGTGTAGCGAGTGACTAACATTATCAACATTTCTAGGAAAATATACAACAAGAGCAGCAAAAGAAAAATGTTTCTTTTTCGAACCTAAACCAATTTTCATTTATCCCCCACAATTGTCTCACTCTCACACCTTTCTCCATTTTGAATTCGTCTCTCCACACGCCACCTTCGCTTATCGATTTTGCGATTTTATGCTGTGTGCTGTTCATTCGTTTTCTCTCTTTACGGCTCCGGTCTAGTCGCATGAAGTTTTTTTCCTTTCTCAATGTTGTTCCACGCATTCAATCGAAACGGGTGGAGAAAATAAAAACAAAGCCTTTCGAATGTTTTACGGGAAGAGCTTTAACCGAGAACGACACAAAAGACGATGAGATAGAAAGGAAGTTATAGCTTTGATGATTATTTTTTGATTGCTTTGATGCATTTTTTATGTGAAATGCATTGAATGAACACTAAAGATGAATGTCTTGAGTTAAACAATTTTTCTTTTCTCTCAATTCTATTAAAGGTTTATTATGCCAAAAAGAAGCGACGTGCTCAACAATCCCAAGGTGACGATTCATCACATAAGAAAGAGCGTAAGCTTTACAACGATGGATATGATGACGAGAACCACGATTATATTATAAAGAATGGAGAAAAGTTTCTTGATCGTTATGAAATTGATTCACTGATAGGTATTTATAAATTTAATAATGTCGACCTCTGAAATATTTAATAAATCTAATAATTTAAAGGCAAAGGGAGTTTTGGTCAAGTTGTAAAAGCATTTGATCATGAAGAGCAATGTCACGTGGCGATTAAAATAATCAAGAATAAGAAACCATTCTTAAATCAAGCACAAATCGAAGTCAAACTTCTCGAAATGATGAATCGAGCGGATGCTGAGAACAAATATTATATTGGTAAGGAAATCGGAAGATGAAACATCTACTTGTTGATGTCATAAACTTCCGGTTACAATCAGATGAATTAAACAACACATGAAGTAATGTTTCTTCTTTCATTCACAGTCAAACTCAAACGTCATTTCATGTGGCGTAATCATTTATGTTTAGTATTTGAACTGCTATCATACAATCTCTACGACCTGCTGCGCAACACAAACTTTCGAGGCGTGTCACTAAATCTAACTAGAAAGTTCGCTCAGCAATTGTGCACGGCACTGTTATTTTTAAGTACACCCGGTGAGTAAATAACAACTTAAAAATTTTTCTCTTTTACTATTTTCTCGTTTATCAACAGAGCTAAGTATCATTCACTGTGATTTAAAACCCGAAAATATTTTACTATGCAATCCGAAACGATCGGCAATAAAAATCGTGGACTTTGGTAGTTCATGTCAACTTGGCCAGAGGGTGAGTTTAACTTTTATAAAAGCTTTCGTGATTATTGACAATTTATAATCGTTTAATTCTTCCTAGATATACCAATACATTCAATCACGTTTCTACCGCTCACCAGAGGTGCTTCTTGGCATCCCTTACGATTTGGCGATCGACATGTGGTCTCTCGGTTGCATTCTTGTTGAGATGCATACAGGCGAGCCACTGTTCTCTGGATCCAATGAGATTGATCAAATGAATAAGATTGTAGAAGTGTTGGGTGTGCCACCAAAGCATATCCTTGATCAAGCGCACAAGACGAGGAAATTCTTCGATAAACTTACCGATGGAAGTTATGTACTTAAGAAGCAGAATAGTCAACGGAAATATAAGCAAGCGGGTTCGAGAAAGTTACATGATATTCTTGGTGTTGAAACGGGTGGGCCTGGCGGGCGAAGACATGGCGAGGGCGGGCATAGTGGCGCCGGTTATTTGAAATTTAAAGACTTAATCCTGCGAATGTTGGACTTTGATCCGAAGACACGCATTACGCCGTATTATGCCTTGCAACATAACTTCTTCAAACGAACATCCGACGAGGGAACAAACACCGCTGTCGCCATCAATTCGGTCAGCACGAGTCCTTCCGTTAGCTCACAAGATCAACAAATTCACGGTGAGTTGAATGGAAGATTTCCGCGAGGCTTAACATTCCACTAGATGCTTTGGTATGACAGCTTTTCATTAATTTTATTAAACTTTGTGTCATTTTCATCTGGATGAAAAAAAAGAAAAGAACAATCTCCATTATTGAATGATGCGTTGGAAAAGCTGTAAATGTTTTTGTTTATTTTGTTTTTCCTTTCTTTTCTTTTTTCCTTTAATTTGTAATCTAAACGATCAATGGAAAAGTTCATTCACATATCATTCGCTTACATTTTTTGATTTCTTTCTTTCATGTTATTTAAACTAACAATGAGAATTTTTTGAGTATTTTTTGTTTTCTTTATTTCATCAATTAGTTATGTGGTCATCATAATCACTACATTAATTTTGATTATTAAACATTTGTTGTTGATGTTGTTTCGTTTGTTAAAAGATAAAACAAAAAAGCTTCGCCGGTTTTCTTATCACTTCTTTCTTATTCTCTTTTTGTCTCTGTCTCTTTCACCATTTTAGATGATCGCCGATGACTCGAAGTGCCTATCTATAACCAGAATCAACAACCAAATAACAATAATAGCAATAATAAATTCACCAACTATCTCTGCTAAAACAAAAGAAAGATCACGGCATGAAATCAAAAATTATAAAAAAAAGTTGAAATTAAAAGAACTTAAAACACTCAAAATTTCCACGAAAATGATCGTATAAATGAAAAATCATGACAAACAGTTTTTCTTTTCTTAAAAAAAGAAGAAAAACAGAACAAAAATCTCCAAAAAAAAAAAATAATTTTAATTATTCGCGGGATCTCGATTTCCTTTGTATTCATTCAATAGAAAATGAAAGAAGAAGAAAATATTTCACCCACATGCAACTGAAACTCCGAATTTTTTTATATCTACCACAATCAACAAGACTAAATACCATTTAGGAAGAAAGACATGAATAATAAAGAAATGAAAACGCAGAAATTTAAAAGCTGAAAATTTAAATTAATTAAGAAACAAAAGAATCCGTGCAAGCCACCAAATAAACGTTGACGAAACATGTAATGACTACAATGATGTTAATTGCATAATTTAGGTAAAGGAAAAAAGAAGGATTTTTATAATTACCGTAAATAAAATTGTTGTTTGTTCTTAATTTCTTCTCTCACTCGAATTACTTTGAGTTGAAATTTTACTTCCGTTTGTTGACATGCTGTTCATTATTATCTCATATTGCAATGTTGCCTTTTATATTTTTTTCTGCATGGTGGTTTTGTTTGTTGAATTAATTTCAAATATATTTGATTGTTCGAAAATATTTTTCAAAGATCTGATCATAGTTTTCGAAATTCATTTTTCGAAAGATTGATTTCAAAAAAGTTTTATCAACAGAAAAAAGCTCAATCCAGACCACCATCAATGAATGCTTCTCTTACTTTTTTATTTTAGTGTTGACGGTGTCGTTTTACCGCGATTGTAGCTCGTTGTTTCCCTTTTTATTATTTTGCTGCATTCTTATTATGAAGTTAACGTGGTTCTTCGCCATAATTGCAAACGTGTTTATGATATTTTTCATGTTTGAACTATTACATTTTTTTTACAATTCTATCATTCAAACGTCTATGTTAACGGTATTATTTTAATTACATGGTTATAAAAAAAAGATTCGCTTACAGATAAATAATGGTAAAATGTTTAAGATGTTAATTGTCATCATTGTCATTTAAAACACTGCAATTTCTCAATTCAAAGACGCCTCGTTTGCATGATTACTCACTTAATTCTGTTAACAAAAATTATCTTTTAAGTGCTTTGATTACAAGAACCAAAAATATCAATTTTATGGTGAAATTCAATTTCACTTATCAATTTCCTCAATAACGATTTTAATTGAGTCATTTTTTATTTTAATTTCGTAGGAGGCCTATCTTTGATTCCACCACGTTCTCAGGGAGGAGGAAATATCTTGATCAATAGCAGTAACAACATTTATCCAATGGATTGTGATCCACCATCAGTCATCAGCATTCAGCCATCAATTCAAATGACTTTAACACCTTCATCGGGAATTCCATCATCGGGAGGCTCCACATCAGTTTCATTGAACGTCATCAATCAACGATACTTGCAACAACACATGCATAGAAATCGTTATAATGCTCCGCACAACGTACCGAAGTCAAATTATGCGCCTGCCTCGCTGCCGTTAGATCTGATAACGTCGAACAGTGGAAGCAGTAGCAGTGGAAACAACAGCATCATGGTACTCCCCGATCACCATTTAAACTCATCTTCACTTATCATCAACAACAGTAGTAGTGGCGCGTCTTATCATCATCCAAACTATGCACCATTCACCATCAATAATAATAACGATAACAACTCCATTCAAATGCCTCATCAAAACAATAAAGCAGGTGGAAGTAGTGGGCGAAGTGGTAATGCGAATAGCAATAATAGTAACAATAATTCAGCGGGTGATGAATCTATGGTTGGCGTTTGTGTTCAACAAAGTCCAGTAGTTATTCATTAAGAGACAGAAAACTCAACTTTTTTTTAACAATTTCCTAACACAAATGTCAAAAAGTAAGAAAGAAAGAAAACGAAACTTCTTGTTCTTTTTTTACAATATTATCACATGAAATGAAATTCCTTCTTCCTTGTGTGCGCCATTGTGCATCAATTTAAGAATAATAAAAAATATGATGATGATGAATGATGAAACTTTAACATCAAACGACGTTAACACTTTGACTATCTTGACATTATAAATAAATCAGTAATTTTAGTTTAATATTTTATGATTTGTTTTAAAGAATGAGATTGCATTCAGAAAAGAAAATTGTTAGACACAATAACGCATTTCACTCTATAAAGACTTGTCTATGGTACATGTTTTAACCAATAACATGACAATATCTCAGTTATAACGTGTGTAATATTGGTAACACATGCACCGTAAACACGCCGTTATAGCGTTAATTAATTATTGTGGCTAACTTATTTTCTGAGTGCAATCATGTAATGAAATAGAAGTGAATGAAAGAAATAATCCTAATTATAATTAATTGAACATAACAGAGATGAAGAGAGAGAGACATAGAGAGAGAAGGTCCTTGTAAGTAAAGAACAAAATTATAGAAAATATTCTTTCCCCCTCCCTTCCTCCATTAATTGATGAAGTTATAGTATAATTAATTGCAGCATAAATAAAATGACATTCATGTTGCACAACTTGGATGAAATGAAAATAATTTAGTTGATATTTTGTAAAACGAAGAGACAGATCTAAGAGACCGAGATAAAGAGTGTTTAGTGAGCCGAAGTTAGCATAATTAACATTTTTGACCTTCTTAATATTTCATTTTTCGTTTTGTTTGTTACTAGCAGGTTGAAATGAAAATGAGAAAAAGTTTGCTGTAATTTATCGAAACTTTTGTAGATAAATTAATTTGACTTATTGAAATTTAAAGAAAGATTTGTGATCAATCTTCTTTAATGGTTTTAGTTCTATTTCTTAATTTTATTTCGTTCGTGTAAAAATATTTTTTAAGTTTAAAAAGAACAAGGAATGCACAAACCTCTCTGGTTGTTAACTTCTTACTTAGCTAATTAACTTGAGAGCGATCAAATGAAAATGTTTTCGACTTTCTCGTTCCCATAGATCTGCTTTCTTTTACTTGTTTTTTAAGTATAAATATTAATTGAACGAGATAACAAAGACTTTTTTAGCTGAATTTTCTTTGCATAATCAATTCAAATATCTTTAAGGTATTAGCGGGCTGCTACGGAATTTATTTATTGAAAACATTAACTCACTTAATGATTAGATGTATTTAATTAAATCATACATATATTTTGAACCACAAGCAATCATTTCAAAGCATTTCAAATTCATCAATTCAAATCTTTTTTTGTTTTTGCAATCAGATCGCAATTTTTCTTGAGCTCATTTACAGAAGAATTGAAGAATATTCTTTGCTCAAGCTTTATCAAACGTCATCTGATGAAACTGAAAAAAACAACCAGACTGATTTTTAATCTTCAATCCTCAATTAAAATTCATTGCAATGTAATTGTAAGAATTCATGAAATTTTTTAACTCTGCAGAACAATTTGGTCTTCTTTTTTAAACAGAAAAAAAAAGTTTAATACAATTTTACGATACTGATAGTTTTAACTAAACTGAAACTGATAAGACCTCTAATAAGAATGCAACCTTAAAAATATTCAAGGATGCTTTCATTTTCCTCCATTTTCTAAATTAATTAAAGAAAGCATAAATAGGTAAAAGTTGAGTACTAGATAAAAGATTGGAACACGAGAACTGCCACAAATGAATTGGATGATTAAATGAAGTATAAGGAATATTTGTAAGAATCCTTTTCGTTTATACTTTAACGAATTAAATGCTATGCGCAAATCCAAGCGCTCTAATAATATTCTTCAAAGAAACATGAAAGAAAACCTCTCGAGAAAATTGAAATAATAAACGCGAGGTTGAAGTCGAGTAAATAAATCTAAATCTGATGTGATGAAAGTTTTCATTAAAGACGATCATTTCGTGATGATTTCAAGAAATAAAAAAAAACGACTTGGTGTAGGAGAGAAAATACAAATGTGTTCATTTTTAATCTTTTTTTTTGTCTAAAAATGCTAAATCAATTTTGATGAACTTGTGGAAATGATGTTAAGTAGTAAATAAAAGAGTGACGAGTTCGATTTCTTCTTTTTTTTCTATTTAAATATCAACAAAATTTCCAATGAAATTTAAATGACAGAATCGATGGTAACAAGAATGTCATGAAATTTCACACTAAAAACTACTTTTTGTACGAAGAACTAAATATAGCTTAACTTTTGTCATGTGAAGATCTACATAATTAGATTATATTATATTTTAATTTCTCAAAAAATGTTTTTGGAAGCTTTCAAGAACGAGTTTATTTAAAAACTAACACATTTGGTGAATTATTATCCTCAATATCTGAACAGAAATACTTCGGCGATAAACAATTAAACGCATGAGTTAAACTCATAACAAACTTATGGAAGAAAAAAATTGTTTTCATTTGATCAAAGATCGATGATTTCAAAAGCAAACCTTTACCTGACCTGAGTAGAAGAAAAAAAAGAATTACATTTTTTGAAAATTTCCATGGCAAAATTGAAAATCTACGCAAAATAAAACATTCAAATAGAAATTTGATTAAAATGCAAAAAAAATTAGCTGATAAATTATTTAATTAAGCACTTAAATTAGGATTTTTTTCGTTTTGTAAAAATGGAACATCAAGAAAAAAAATATTTTTTTCCAAAATCTAATCAATATACTGGCTAATAAATATAACGAATTGGAAAAGCAAGAAAAAAAGTAACGAAATAAATGAAAATGATGAACAGTAACTAATTAATAAAATAGTGAAAATTGAATAAAAAGAAAATAATTCTTAAGTTTAATTTATAAATTATTAAATAATAACGATTAATTTAAATTAATTACATTCTAGACGATAAGTGAATTAAAGAAGAAAAAAAATAAATGAAAACGCATTTGTTAAAAAACAATCTAGATTTGGCTTTTTAATTTTATATAAATTGACTTTTTTGTATATGATTTGGACATGGGAGGATTTTTAATTAATCTATCAAGGATCCACCTTGTAACGGTTTTTCATTTAAAATCAATCTTTATCGTGCACATTCATAGACGGCGCTGTTTAATTTTGAACTCTTTCAGTTTACTGAGATGATTTTGTGAGTGTTTAATAAACTTTTATTAAACTCTTCTTATGAAAGATGTTTCATACGCATGAATCAATAAATTACGCTTTCATAGAATGACGCTAAAATTATATTCAACATTTGTTTTGATTCACAGCAATCAAAATACAAATTCATCAATTTCCACACCGCTCAATTGTTAAAGGAAAATGTTGAGAGTATTTCCATTGATTGATCGGGAAAAACAGACGAAACATTTCCTTTCCTCATTTCCTATATTCTCTCAATCAGAAACCATTTCTTTTTATTTCATATCTATAGAAATGGCGTAAGAATTTAGATGAGAAATTGATATACATACATAACTACTACAATTTTGTGCTACGGAAGATTTAAAAATACATTTCTGGGTCACGACTTTGAAATTCCAACGTCGATTGCTTAAGGAATTTCAGCGGTATGGCGTGTCTTCACTCAAAAGCTCTGGGGATCAATGAGATGCCAACACAGTTCTTCGAATTCTTCTGCGTATGAAGGAACACTACACCATCTTCAATTGACTTCCGGGCACTTATTAAATTCGTATTGTCGGTCTTCTCTTTTCGGAAATCTCGTTTTCGTTTCTTTCTTTTTCTTTCTTGCGATCATAATCATCCAACTTCAAGCATCCAATTAAACTGATGATTTGTTCTTTCTTTGCTTGCCAACATTTTAACCCTAGGGGTCTGAAGAGTGCGGAATCTTTTATTCGGGTCGTGTCAAATAATACATTAAGCATTCTAAGAATCAATATTTGATGAGTTTGTTCTGCTTCATCGGAAAACGAACCCTTTTTACGTGGTAATGATATTTATTTATAAGCATTGATATGTTTCAGCAAGGATGAGTCGAATTAGGCTGATGTTGTCATAAAATAGTAAAAAACCAAACGCGATTTTTTTTAAAAAGGCCTTCAGGTTAAATCCTGACCTTGTTATTCTTTGTTGTTGCTCTAACGTTGCATTACTCATTTTCTTATTCCCTACAAAAATTGTGTTGTTCTCTAATGTGGCTGCTTGTTTTTATTAAGATTGACTTGTTAACATCGACATTTATGAGTCCTGAAGACATTCTTGTAGTTATTGTCGTGTAAGTTCGGTTCTTATAATAATAATCAAGCTTATGAAATTATTGAAGCGAAGAATCAAGCAACTGGTTTGAATAATTTTCCTAATTTAAATTGTCAACGCTATTAATTATTAATTAAGATAAAATCGCAATGATTTATAATTTGAAGGAAAAATGAATATAAATTGTAAGAATTACGTTGAAAGTTACTCGACCTGCGATATTGTCATCTAATTCAATATCTTTTATTCATCATTAATCAAATTTAATTTACGAAAAGTATGTTGACGAATTTATTCACTTATTGAAATGAAATTATCAGACAATTGAAAGCTAAAGGCAGGTACGTATGTCGATGTCTCGTATTATTACAATTAACATGATCCAAGAAGCTTTTGCTATATCATGTTAAGGAAAAAAGAAAAGTTTATGCCTTCACCATTAATCACACGCACAATGAAGTTCTTATAATGTGATGATTATGGATATCTTCATGAAACATAGCCTGATTATCAATTAATATTATGCACAGCTATCATCACGTAAAACCTGAATTATTAATTTAACCGCAGGATTGACCCAAATTTCAATTTCCTCGTTTTTATTTTGTATCTTCGACGAGAGTTTTAACAGACAACTTACGTATAAAACACTTAATTACAGTAACTTGTATGCAAATGCATCAGAAAATTACAATTTCAGAAAACGAAATTCTATATTCTTAAAACTCGACAACAACTGCTGTGCTGTCAACGAAAATTCGAGGGAACGCTCCCATAATTTACTGATACATTTTTCATTCCTCATCCCCAGAAGACGAACACATTAATGTAGAGAAGTCATAAGCTAATGTCAGCCTACATAAGCTTTCATTTAACCGGTTCAAAAAGAAATCATAATAAATATTTATATGAAAAATATGCTTCAATGTACTGTTAGATTTTGTTGCACGATCTCCTTGTAATTAAGCTGTTTGATATCATGAACCACGAAAATTTTGTAAATTGCGTTCCAGTTTTTGTTTTATTCAATTAAAAGCAACATTGTTAAGCGTAATATTAAAGAAGTCATCGCCTCGATTAACATTTCGGCTCGACATCACACACAACGATGAAAGGGAAAAGAAAGATTAATGATAGGGAGTAATCGTACATGATTGATAAGGGATACGAGAAGGGAATAAAAGGAACAGAGATGCATCTTTCTCATTCTCTCTTTTTGATATGTTACGAAGTATCAAAAGCAACCGAAACCATAATTATAATGATAGCTGTTTGGAATCACGAGGATGGGTTTTATTCAGGTCAACAGTTTCAGTTTTGCAAATCGGAGAGTTGTTAAGGTAAAATGAAATCGTTTGTAGCTATCATAAAATTTTCAACAGAATTCAGTTTGACATTAAAAGAGGTGAAACGGTTGAGTCAAGGGTTGAACGCTTGTGCAATTTATCCAACATTTGACTTGATGCTGATACTGTAATCATTCAATGTCACTTTGTGTATGATTCTCATCATTGCCGTTGTTTGGGGTAACAAATAATTGGATCATTTCAATATTTTACGGCTCTTTCGTTGTCTCCCTTGCAACACTCAACTTCAATACTCTTCAGTTTTCTCTGGTATCGTTCGAAAATTAAGTGGTCGCTGCCAGATACCTTTTGTTAGCATAATGAAAGAATTTTTCAATTTAATTAAAAAATTAATTCCAGGGCATTTGTGCATGACGCTTTCGGATGCTTGAGAGCGAGAACAACGAGCAGATTCAATCCCAAGTGCCTTATTATTTAACATTTCAATTTTCGTTGATGAGTAAGTTTAACGAGAGAAAATAAGAAGAAAAAAAATAAATTTTTTGAGTGACCAACCAACTCCCAAATGCTACGAGAAATAAAATTAAATTAACATTTACAAAGCCACTTTTTTACTCTCTACTGTTATATTCAATTTGCATATTAATTTGAGTAGCCGCTCTTGCCTTTTCACAGCCACTTCCAGGACATTAATCATCTCTGTTATCTCACTTTGCAGATTAAAATAATCCTCGATGTCAATCAATCTTGGATTTGTTTTGTTCCTCAAAGGTGAATTTTTTACGTTTAAGTGTTAATTGGATGAAAAAAGATGATGGAATGGGGTTCAAAGCTGACAAGAGAGTAGCGTCGGTAAAGCAGATTTATAGGAAAATTTTGCAATTTATCAAAGTTTGTTGACTTCGTAGCGCAATTCACATTGGGCGTTCTTTATTCGAAAGCATCTTTGTAATAAAAATAATTAACCACGTCATAACTTTAATCTCAAAAACCTTTCAAGTCGTAATCCTTATCATTAAAAAACATTTCAATATTTCTCCCATCGTAAACTGTTCAAAAAAAGCACCTGATCATCATCAAACTTTTATGACAAAAAAGGCTAAGATGGAAATACTTACAAAGCTTTTTTTCTTTCTTATTAAAGACTTATTTCTAGGTAGGTAAAGAAATAAGAGGCGTTTAACATTGTAGATTGAATTGCAGCAGTTTCAGAAATTTACGACATGTTCGAAGGTTTTTGTTCATTGATAAATTCACTTAAACTCTAAGCGCTCACTTCTCTTCTTGTGAATATTGTTTAAGAAAACAAATCCTAAAAAATTTTACATTCTTGCAAACATTGAGGGCGCATGAGATGAATTTTTAATAAATTCCCATAGATAAATAAATATTCAGTGCAGTTTTCTTGCTGAAGACGAGCAAATAAATATAACTGAATAAGACATATTTGCATGTGGCTCTCGCTTACGACTCACATTTGATTTATTTAATATTCAGATCGAATAGATTCTATTCTTATGTGAAGCATGTGAGGCTTCTCTTATTACACCACGTGAAGTATTGTCAGCCACTTGAAACAACTTATGGCGACGATAATAACAAAATGATCACTTAAGAAATAAAAATTACTTTTTGATGAATTTATCAAACTAGATTAAGATCAGACGACGAAAATCTCTCCCATGTTGAACGTTTAAAATAATCTTGTGCGTGTCTGATGTCTCTTCCATTCACTTTCAATCTTATTCACTTCAACATTCTTTTTATCTTCATTCTTGTCGGTTTTTTATTATTTTTTCTGTTTTCACGTAATGTCTTTGGATAATCACGTTAATAGCTGCTAATTTTTTACAATAAAGCTTCTGATGTTACAATCTTCTGTCCCTTTCTGGAAACATGACGAAGATTGTCGATTGTACCTTCACTGATAACATAATTGAAAGTATTTGTTCATTGATCCCAATTTTATGTTTATAACTTGTCCTTCAGCTTTAATGGATTTGAATCAAATCATTTGAATTCATTTCAATAAAGTGTTCTTCTTATTCAATAAAACAAGGAAAGAAAGTCTCGCAATAGTGGCAGTGGAAACATGATTTGATTCACAATTGATTGCAATTTGAATTAAAAAATTGTTTGAAACGAATGAAAATTTAAAATATTTTTTGAAAGAGTTCCACGAAATTTCACTAATCAAAGTTAATTAAAGGATCAAACTCAGCATCGATGAATAATGCGATAATTAATTGAAACAATGAGCTCCGCCATAATTTATTTACTCATCAAAGAGTTCATTATTTATCAAGGTTAATTATAAATGTTTCAGCTTATATTAGAAGCACCGAGAAGAAGAAGAACAGAAATATTTTAATTCCAATCACCCAACTCTAAATTCCTTCCAAAACTGAGGTTTTCTCGGAAGAAAATTTTTCAATCTGCATGATTAACTTCAATCTCAAATAAATTAAATTCTGGGAGTTTTAATTACGTACAATGAGTTGATGATCATCATTTAAGGTCTAGAACCACACAATGAGAATTTAAACTGTGTAGATAACATTTCCCAAAGTAATTAAACAATTTAAGTAATCTGGTGTAGGTCTTTGTTGAAAAATTTATCCGAAATTTAAGGTAATTAAAAGACTTCTTCTTCTTGTTCGAAATCACTCAATAAAATCGAACGATAATTAAAGGCAGTTTATTGTCTTCTATAAAATTATCAGCTGCAGTGTCCTAAATAGCTTTCTAATTAATATCAGCGTTCCTTTCTTAAAGACGAAGCTGTCAAGGAATATTTCTGAATCGCCTTGAGGCGATACTTTAACACAACTTCGTACGCGTGCACGCTTTAATGAGTAGCAATTATCCAACTATTTATTAATGCTGTTATCAATAAAAATGTTCAACATAATGATAAAGACGAAGACAATTTTCATGACTTCTTTAATTCTTGTTGAAGTTGTCACTGCAATTTATGAGAATTTTTTTTGCTTTACGAAATCTGACAATGTTCGAATCGAATTAAATCGAACCGCAATCTACACCAATGCTTTTAAATTGTCAAGATTCTCTCGTTTTTTATTGGAAAATAAAATAAATGTTGCAATTTGTCGAAGGCTGAACGATGAAGATTTGCGTCAATGTTCTATGGAAGAAATACTTTTAATGGTGAGAAGAATACGAAATTTTGCTGAGATAATTGCATGAAATCTTTTGTTTCGTTTAATTCTCCAACGATACTCTTCGACAACAAGCCACAATCAACTGATAATTGATTTCAATTCGCGACTACGATGAATGATCGACCGAAATAAAACAACATAAAAGCGAACCAAGTTTTTGTCCGCTCTCATTATTATTCATTCAAGTTTTCAACTTAATCGATGAAAATTCCGGTTGATGATTCTTTTTTTCATTCATTTTTTTATTTCCATGAACATTTTCTGCTCCATTAGTTTTCCTCGGTCGGATATTCTTCGGCCACGACTATAATTGATGCGAAATGAATTCTGAAAGTTTGTTGCTTGCGATAACTCTCGACTGTCTCGTCTCGTCTTGTCAATTGTGTTTGACTTCTTCCGTCAACTTTTTTTTTATTTATTTCATTTCAAAGTTCTTTTGTTGATGAAATGTTAAATAACAAAATTAAATTAAATCAGATAGATAAACATTTAAGTACAAAAAAGCTCTCGTTAAACTTTCAAGTTTTGATTTCATTATTTTTTACTGAAACTCGTATTGATGACAATTTAATGACGTTGGTTTTGTGATGATGACTTCTGTCGTCAACTTGTGCAGTGAATAAAATAAAACATTTGAATGTTAAAAGATTTCTTACCGGAAAAGAATTTCTAACATCTCAGACAATCCGGAAATGAAGAATTTAATAAATTAATTTCAGAAATTCCACAAAAAAACCTTCATCAAAGCCATGTGACAAGTTGTCAGTTTCTTGTCATAGATCTAAGTAAAATTCTATTTATCTGCTTGATTGAAGTTTTCAATTTATTTCCACAATAACTTTAATGGACGAATGTCTCGATTCTAGCCAAAAACACGTAACAACACCCAAAATCATAAACATTTCATCAATGCACTATAACTTTGATTTCAATCTTAAAACTAAGTTTTTATAGCATCAAAGTTTGACTTTAACTAAAATCAATAATAAATTATCTTGATGAAAATTCAAATAAAAGGTCGGAAGCTATAATTGGAATAACATTCATAAGAATGGACGACATAAAATCTTTATAACCACACAATTTATTGGCTTTCTCGTCAAACAAGCACTTAAAACGATCTGATAATGTGGAAGCGACAAAATTTGTTTGTTTGTAGTTGCTTTAAATTTTAAACGGATATCAATCTTTTATGTGATAACGAGAATGTCTTTGAGGTTTCTTTACAAATGAGTGGAAGATTTCAATGATATTTAAGTGGCAAAGTTAATTTTCTTATTTTGTTAAATATAAATTGAACATGAAAGTCTTCTAAAGTGGTTCTCATTGAAACGAAGTCGATGTTAAGTTTAAACACATTCTGAATGGAATAATATTTAATCGCGATATTCCCTCCAATTACTAGTACAAATAAAAATCTTTCTTTCATTTTCCTTGTTCTCCTAATCACTTGAAACATTCCTTTTCACTCTTCTTATTATTCTTTCTTCCCTCAGTTCCACATTCCCGACGTCTACATCATTTAAATTCCTTTCGTATGAGTCTTTTACTCTCCTCTTGGGGTTCCTTATTTCCTGAAAACTTTTTTTATTTTATAGAAAATTAAAATAAGAAGAGAACGAAGAGCAAGAAGAGTGAAGAATGAAATTCCAACAATACATCGATCGATATCGTTCGATGAAGAAATAAAAGTCAACGATAGAAAGATTCGAAATGAATTTTTATAGGAATGTGAAATTTCTTTTCTCCGACATTTCATGATGTACGAAGATGTTAAGAAAGTACATACATAAGACGATGAAGAACAGAAAAAAAGTGTTTATTGAAGAGTGAAGTGTATGACTTTAAACGATAATTTCAATTCGCTTCCTACTCGTTTTCGTTTTCCTTTCATGTCACTTCTCATGCGTTGTTAATTTAGTTGTAGACGTTCGAGACTTTATCAAACAATCACGCAGCAATTTAAAGCGGGACAACTCTCAAGAAGGGAATTTTCTTATCAAGCAGATTTTATTTTTCTTTCACTTTAAGAAGTCTTTGTGCTGACTTGTTATCAGATAAAACAGATGTCGAAATAACGAGGAAAAAACTTTTTTTTCTTCTCTTTCTATAAAACGACAAGAATTATTTTCTTTTTCCATCCAAACGGAAGTCGATTTGATTTTGTCGTTTGATTACATTGAGTTGAATTTCGCGGTTAAAGGCTATCAAAGTGTGGTGTGTGAGGGGGGGGGGAAAGGGAAGGAAATTCTGGTGAAGTGAAAGATTTGCTGACGAGGAAAAGTCTTTCATCACAAAGATTGACAAGGATAATTCGTGAAAGGTGAATGAATTGAAAACTGAAACGCTTAAACACGATCAACATGAAAGCGATGCCAATTTCTTTAATTAGAAATTTTATTTTGGTAGTGATTATTAAAGAATTTCGCTTTGATTTCACCTCTCAAGCAATTAGGAAGTTAAATTAGCACCTCAAGAACATGAGTACCTTAATTCGATTTTATCGTTTTGATGTTTTTTTTATCCCGTTGAATTGAGATTTCTAATTTATTGCTATCGAATTTCAACGCTTAAAACTAGTCAAGAAATTGTGGAATGGAACAAAAAATGAGAGAAGTTTATTGACTTTTTTTTAACTCCGTCCAAGTCGCCAGGTAAATGGAGAGGTCGGAAGAAGAAATAAAAAAAACCGAGAATACCTTTTTTTTACTCACTCCTTGTCTTGAAAACATTCTGATGCGATCTTAGAATCCATTTACGATTTCACTTTTGTTTGGCATTAAAACTTCTCAGTGTGCGGCATTTCCGGCAGGTTCTTTAATTAATTAACAATCCCTTTTATTCAGCTCACTTTAGAATCTTTTTTTTTATTCATAAGCGCATTAAGAGCCGGTTGTTTAATAATTAAACAGATTATGAATAATAAGAAATATTCGCATCTGGTTTAAATTTACTTAACGATTTGAATTTTGAAGATTTGAGTCAAAGAAGTTTAAATATTTTTTTAATTATTTTCAGGATGAAAATTCTGAATTTATTTAAAAGAACTTTTCAAAAACGATTCAAAATTTATTAAATCTCCGGTCAAAATCACGCCACATGTCCATTCTATCCTTAAATGGATGCACTCCAACAACTAAATCATGTCCAATATCAACAAAATCTAAATTATCGGACACTTGAGGCCATCGAATATTTTGCAATAAAATTTCTCTACTTGGAGTTGGATTTCCATGAAAAGCAAAATTTCTTATCATTCTTATAAATCGTCGTCTTACAATGAAAGCATGATCAGTTCTTGGAACGGGAAGGTCAAATCGATTCATTCGATGTAAATACATCTGATCATCAAACATCGTCGCTCCTGGATATTGAGCTAAACCAAAGAGAATTTGACTGAAGCTAAGCGATCCAGAATAACTAAATCGATAATAGTAAACTGGTTGCCTTTTGTAATGAAAATCAATCAACTTTGAAACACCAAAAATAAGCTCACGATCTGAACAAAATTGTGTCCATTGCCATAGCATATCAGGTCGAATGACATCAGAACCATTGAAGTAAACTCTTCTTATCCCATTGATGATTTCATTAGCCTCTTGACTGTTTGCTTCAATTTGCCACGCGTCAGGAATCAGCAAGTTTGGATTTTCATTAAATCTTGTTATGCCATCAGGGAAAAGCATGTTGGTCATACTCTCAACGCTATTGAAGCCAACAAGCAATGGAACATCATTAAAAGTTCCATTTCTTACTAAAATGTCAGGACTTTGAGGCAAAATCTTAATTTCATCAGTCGACGGCGCGTCAATTGAAGGCACAAAACTTCTTGGAACAAACAATGTTGGCATTTGAGTTGGGAAGAAATTGAATGTTGCATTAATTAATCTTTCTGACGACACTTGTCGTAATTGCGTCACCATGTCTTTGCTATCCGTCCAATTAATGTTTAAACTTCTTGCTAGTGACTCTGCACGTTCTTTTGGATTTGGACGAATAGCAAAAGTTTGAAATAATGATCCACCCATTGATATTGCTTTGTGGAAAAGGCCACGAGCATGTTCGGAAAGAATCAAGGCTTGAACAACAACACCTCCAATAGATGGACCCATTAACACAACATTTTCCTTGTCACCACCAAAAGCTTCAATGTTGTTCTGCACCCATTTTAATGCCAAAAGAATGTCCTTCAATGCATAGTTTCCAGTTGCATGTTCATCTTCAGTGTTCAAATGACCGAGAACATCCAAACGATAATTGAACGTCACATAAATGATGCCTTCGTTCGGAAAGAACTTCCAAGAGTTCAAATTTCCGTCTCCGCTTTCACCATGAAATCCGCCCATATGAATATGAAAAATCACCGGTAAATTTCTTAAATTTCTTTCATTGGGAGTGAATACATTAATGTATAAGCAATCTTCATGTGTGACAAACATTTGTCTTGTGCCTATGATTGGCGAGCCAATTTGTGGACAGTTTGGGCCGAACAGACTTCCACTACGAATTCCATTCCAACCTTGCGCAGGTTTAGGTGCACGCCATCTTAATTCACCAACAGGAGCTGATAATTTAAATAAATTCATTCACAACTTCCGTAAAAATGTAAACTAAGTGAAATGGAACTGACCTTGACCGTAAGGAATGCCTTTGTAGCTTATGTGACTTCGAAATATATCATAAAACTCAATTTCACCTCGTATAAGTCCTTGTTGAATACGAATTGTTGGACCTGGTCTTACATTCCGTGGGCCTGGATCATTCCAACCCTCAACAACATTTGCAAATGTATACGTTGGAATGAAAAGAATTAAAAATGCTCCACTCACAAATTTAAACATTTCATGATGGTCTTAACTTTGACTGACAAGCAAGTGTCATAAGTTTCATGTTTTTATATCATTTATCTAATCTTTTTTCATCATTTGATAACAAATCCAATCACCCACCTGCAGAATTTAATTCCAACAATCAGTTGATAAGGAACGAAATTTTCTATCGAATGATCAACAATTTAAAGCTGACCATGACTTGACAACGATAAATTAAATCTACTTAAATACCTGGTGATACTTTTTTTCTGAATTTCGACCTTTTATTGATCCTTTAGAGAGAGAAAAACGTTGCGACATCTGGTTGACGGATCAAATTATTGACGACAAGAGTGTAAGTAAGTATAAGCATTTATGTCAATCATTTTTCCTCTCCTTTTTGGTCCATTTTTTGTTGTTGGGCATCATGGATATCCTGTGTTAGTGTGGGAACACGAAAATCCTTTTTCTTCTTATTTCGATTGATACCTGATTAGGTTTCGCTTGAGTGAATTAATGTGAACTCTGAGAGAAGGAAAAAGAAACATTTTCGCACTTCAATGAACGTGAAAATATTTCGCCTTTGAATTATTTTTGTGTGTTTGGTTTTCCAGAAAGTTTAACCAAGTTCCCTTTAGCACATACAACGATTTATTTTGTAATCGCTTCAATGGAATCCTCAATCTGAAAATAAAAATGCTTTAAGTTATCAACGAGGTGTAAAGTTTCAAACCCCACCATTAGGTCAGTTTTCAATCGTACAAGAATTTGGATATTGTGGGAAGTTTCAACATGACGTCATTCAACGATAGCAACTACAGCCGACAAAGGGAAAGTCGTTTCAAGGTCTTTAATGGATTTTTCTAATAGCTGGCGGGTTTCTGATATCATTTCAGCTTCCAAAACTTTCTTTTCATCGTCGAAATTATTAATAATGAATTTTGTCAAGCATTAAACTGTTGTTGAACCCTTTTCTTCTGTTCTCAAGACAAACTTTTTTTAACACTGGACTTGCCTGTCCTAACAGAGATTAGACGAATGAAGAAATGAGAAAAAAGAAACCTTCAAAAATTATTGCTTTATTTTGAACTTTTCTGTGATGTTCTTATTTCTCGCTTTTCGCTTCTTTTGAGATAAAGAATGGGTCATTGTAGTTGTCTTAATTATTTCATTAATTTACATAATTAACTCATTTCATGGTATGAAACAATATGCAGTTGGTGGAGATAATTCTCTCGCTTCTTCTTAAAAGCTTCTTCAACAGACTTGAAATAATCTTCACATTTCTGGTAGTCAAATGAGTCGAAATGAACCCAGTTAAGTTTATTTAGTTTTCATGTCTTCAAGGATTTGTGTATTTTCTGGGTAATATCAAGAACCATATCGAAACTATTAAACTTTGAATCGTTAGCATTCAAGGTTGATAATCTGGTAAAGCTTTTGCGATTTGCGCAATTCCTTCAACAAACAAACTTCACTCGATGACCTGTTAAATTTTGTTGGTCAATTTGATTAGGAAACATTTAAGCAAATATTTAAGGAAACTTCTGAATGTTTGCGTATACAAAACTTTTTCATTTTTGCTGAGTAAGTGAAAAATTTAAAACATGAAAAGATTTTTACGATGAAAATGATTTCGATTTTTCAATTTCGAATATTTATTGATCAATAATGACGAGTGGAATTTCTCTTTTGTGATGATTTAAGAGTAATGCGAAACTAGTGAAAAAAAGTTTAGAATACGTGAAAAGCATTTTCTCTCTTTTGTACTACTCAATCGCACTAATTAAATCCGAGCCGATAGCTAAATAAGTAAACTCACACAAAAATAACAAAGCAAAGCATAAATCGACATGAATCGGCAAAAGTTTATTTGCAAAGCATAAAACTGTTTATTGAATAACATAAATAGGATAATCAAATTCTCGTTTTATTTATGCCTTCTAAGCAGCGTCAATAATCTGGTCGATCTCTATGTGAAAGTGGAATTAGTTGACTCGTTGTTTTTGTCTATTTCTTCCCATTCACTGTTCATTTTTGGAACTTCTTAAAGAAGTTAAGCAAATAATTCAGTAATTCACTTAATCAGAATGGGAAAATGGAAAAGAAGAAATGTCGGCATCGCAAAATAGTAAATAAATAGATAAATCAAGTAGTAAATAAATTGAAAGTCGATCATCGCCTCGGCAATTGCTTGCTTGTGTGTAATAAATTTTTTGTCGAGGAAAACAATAGAAAACAGAGCACAAGATGTGAATGAATTGATATGTTCAATCGACTTGAAACAGTGCCATTGATTTACTATTCAAACCGTTAAAGAAACTCTCAATCTGCATTACTTTGAGGTTTAATAAAAATTATTCTTACATCAATTACATTCAAAGTAGACTCCATTGAAACTTTTCCACAAAGAATACGAATTTTATCCCCCGCTGTGTACCTGAGGGACGTCAAGAACTCGAAATGTTTATCAACTTTCCAGCTCTTTCTCACAGTTGGAACTTTCTTATTGTCTTTTGCAAAGAAAAAATATTTTAGTAACCTTCAAGATATAATTAAAATGCACTTTTTGCCTTTGGCTACTTAAAGATAAATGATATTGTTCTTGGAGAGAGAAAGAAAAAAAGAAAAGAAATTTACAGATGAGAAAAAAGAAGCAACTTCAGCAAATGGAATAAGAAAAATTACAAATGCGTGCTTTGAATATCACATCATGTTGGATATTCTTGTAATCTGAGGAAGGTAAAGCACCAAGTCACAAATAAATCTCATTTTAAAGACATAAACGTTGCTTTCTAACATTCGAGTCATGTACAAAAGTATTTTGAATCTCCTCGACAACAAACGAATGATGTAACGAAAAATGAGATTCGAGATGAAAGAAGACAGTCAGAACATTACTGGGAAGTGATAGCCAGAAGCGAAAGGGCTGTAAAGAAGAGAACAAGTGAGGGTCTAATGATGGTAAAACTTTTGATTTTACGGCAACTCGTGTTGGGAAACAATTGACTTGATTAATCAATTAACGTCGTGGAGTGGCGGTCACCGCCATTCGTTAACGTCATTAACTCCAACAAAAGAAAGGAAAAAGTTTGCAAACTGTGACGCCTTGCACAACTTTTAAGCAACAATTCTCATCCCCCCAGCATCAAAGAATGAAACGAATAAAAAAAAGTTGAAACAATTGAGACGTAAGCGACCTGATTCGCGTTGACATTAATCAGCCATGCGATTAACAGACTTTCAAGGATTGTCGTCTCCTAAATCTCGAGAAAAAAATGAAATCGAGAAACTTGAAATTCTCAAAAAGAAGACAGAAAAAAAAATATGAGAAGAGATTCAGTAAATCTGATACGTTGAGCAGCGAAGTTGAAACCGAAAGTAAGAGAAGGCTTTGATGCTATTAGACTTCGTGTTTTAGCGACAGGGTTGATTGTGATCTTTATTTATAAGTCGCTTTAAGCGACCCAGACAAAAAACAAAAAACACGTAATGGCAATAATTAAAGTCGTTTCTTACTTCACTGTTTAAGCATAAAAATTATTTCAACAGAGACGTTGCACGTTTTGAGTGTTGAAGGCACAAGGTTAAAGTGTAAAGTAACAAACATATTTCCACGTTTCTCACTTTTATTAGCTCAATGATGAAGTTTGACGAAATGAAGCCTACATTTAAGCATGTTGATTAACATAGTTAACAAATAATGCTTGAAGTTAAATTGTTCAACAGGTTTTTTGATATGACGTGTCGAGTTCATGTTATGAAGATTTTTTCTAGTGTTCATTCAACTTTCACACGACAATTCATGTCATTAAATGTTTAAATTAACTTCAGAAGAAATTATTAAATTAATAAAGCCCTTGAGAAGATTCAACTTGTGAATGAAAATATTTCAATAATCATCGTCCGACATTCGAGCGGCTTCTTCGGTTTTTATTCTCAAATTGCTCGTCTTTCATTTCTCTACTACACAAACATTTATTTTAAGCTGTAATTAAATAATTTTTCTTTACAAATACTAAGCGAAAACACATTAATTCAGATCACGCGACAACTATGGCAAAAAATGTTAATTAATCACTAAGTCATTCGTTGTTGTGACCGCTTCTGTTGCTGACATATGAGCATAACGAATAACACAAATTTTCACACGCAAAACAAATCATTATGGAAAATATTATGAAAGCAGGAAGCAGTAATGAGGATTTTTAAAAGCTTTAAGCGGAGTTTACCTGATAAGAAGCTGACTTTCTCACAATTTTATTATGGACCGACGATGAAAAGAATTTCGCATGAAACTTTTAATCCTTAAATTGACGGCAGAAAACTTTTTGTCGGACATTTCTTCGTAATCTTAATTAAAGAATCAACACTTGTGAGGAAATAATTTTTAATTAAATAAAATTTGTGTTATTGATTTTGAATACATTGTAGTTAAGCTGCTCAAAATGTTGTCGCTTTCCCATGTAACAAATTAACGTCATTATGAAATTCTGTTCATGACAAAACAAAAATGTTGTTTGACAAGATTTCAATCTACTTTAAACAGTTTTATTGCAATTGCAAATTTAACATTTATTTATCAAAATATGTTAATCCATGTTTCCGAATATTTTCATTAAATAATTTAAGTTAAGAGTTGAAATGCTGAAAACACTCTGACAATTCACATCATTTATCTTATCGATTCAACAAGTGTGATGGAAATATTTATTGCATTTTTAATGTGTTTTAAATGTTTTTGATTCTCATGTTGTAATCTCTTCATTCAGTGAATTTTTCAATCAGCAACAATGTAAGCAGAGAAAAGATTTCTGGTCAGTAAATGAAACAGAAAACTCAGACAGTCTGTCGTCGGTTTTTAAGCCAAAGCATTAAATTGAAATGAGAACAATATGGAGGCGTAAGCAAACAGCTCAGCAGAGCTTAAGGAACATGGAAGGAATATGTTTTGAACAATTAGAAAGATTAACTAAACATTCGATGCCATCGATACGAATTTCAATTTTAATGTTTTTCTCCATCATTTCACTTGAATTTCTTTTTAAGCAGACATCTAAATAATCTAAAAATGATTTCCGCTACTTAACTTTTATTTCAGCATTAAAATGTTTTTTATTCGATGGAGAGATTAACTGATCGCTTTAAACTCAAATCATTATTATTATGTAAGTATTGAAATATCAACGACTAGGATTTTATAGACAATGGCAAAAGATGAATACTCAACTTTCTACAACATAAATTACATCAACAAACTGCACAACTCAGATAAAATCATTCATGCAACGAGTTTCAGATTGTTTATTGTTTCAAATTGTTTATAAATTGAATAAAGTTCTATAATATCCCACGGTTTGAACTCTCATCATGTCATATGGTTTTAGAACCAGGAACCGTGAAAATTCCTTTCTACAAAGCTCCATATTTTAAATTCAATTTAAATTAGTGTTCAGCTGTGAATATTATGTTTCGGAACTTTATAATTAGAGAATGTTTGACTCTCTCAAAGCAACCGACTTTTGTTTTACTTTTTTGTGTCAGCTTTTGTCTCTCATACTGCTTTGACCAGGGGTTGGAAGTGTCTTGAGGATCGACAAGCCAATGGTAAGAACAAGAAGTTTAACTTCTCTCAAACCCTGACATCGATAGAATAAATTTTTCTTTTTTCTTTTGTGTAATTTTTCTTGTCTACTAGGCAAGGCAAGTCCGAAAGGGTTTTCGTTTTACTTTCACCATGCTGTTGTTCGATATTACAAAAACATACCTTATCGTTACGACTCGTAACAGGTGCACGTTTCCATCGCATTAAACTCCTGAACATACCAATTGTGCTTCTAGTTTTCTTTCTTTCATTTTCAGTGAAATTTTTTTTTAAAAAATGATTATAATAAATTTAAAAGGTAAAGAAAGAGTGCAGACTAACTTTATGTTATTTAAACCATTAAATTGTTTTATTATTCATTAAACTGTAAGATGAACAAAGTTTATGTTATTGACCATTTGAATAATTGATTAAGTTTTGTTCCTAAATTAGGTCATGTCGTGGTAAGATTTTATGGTTTAACAAGAATGTTCCCACATATTGCTTCATGATTTTAACTCTTTGTTTATTTCAACATTTAATCACTGAACTGTGTGAGTTGCTACAGGACTTTCAGATGAATTCAAACTTTTTCTTTTTTTTCTTATTCCGAGTTGAAAGAAAATTTATTTTGAATTGAGGAAAATTGAGCACAACAAGTTTTAATTCGTTTTTCCCTTCCTTGTTTCAATAACATTGTAGATATTTTGTATCCAGCTTGATGAACCTGATGACGAAGTTAAATGAGATTTTATCCCAAATTAACTTTCATAAGCTTAAAAATATGATACCTGAACAACTTTTTTTTATCCTTTGATGCTAAAAGCTTGGATTATTTATTTAGAGAGCTTTACGTCAATTATTTACCAACATTGCAAAAATCAACCAAATCTGAGCTTGTTTGGATTTATTTGCGTTTCATTTGAATGACTATTTGAACAAAGTGAATGGATGAAGAAAAAATTAAAGAGAAAAACTTAAATCAGCTTTATTGAGAATGTAATTAAGTACATGCAGGTATGGTTTTGTCAACTGGTTTAATGTAACACTAAGCGAGTGTCTAGTCTTGTAATAGCTTAATTATATATTCCATCGCTCTTTTGTGACCGCAAAAAATGAATAACGATGAAGCAAGCTACCGATTAAAATTACTCAAGGAATTATAAGTGTTTGAACTTCTTAAGTTTGCATAATATCAATTTTCGCAACTTAAAATATATTACGAACCCGATTGACGGAAAATTTACTTTCAATTCAATTTTTTCTTGCATCACCTGAAGTGAAATACTTCCAATCCGATGATACGATAGTAAAAGTAAATTGATTCTTGTGTATCAAACGTATCAAAGGGTTTCATGTGAAGCTTCATGAAGGAAAAAAAATAAATCAAACAATTGAATAAAGAAAAATTGTAAACTTTCGTTCCATTTTTCTTGTCATTTTATATTTGAAATAAGTGAAAATTTATGAAGAATCTTGAACTTGCTTTTGTCTTGTGATACCGACACGAGATTCATTGCGACTTGACACTGCAAAAGGTATCAGTTTGCACCATGCAGCGTTTAAATGGCATACATCGTTGACGAAAGATTGAACAATGTATAAATCTTGTAAGATTGAGTTGCACACTTATTCAATAAATCGAATTCAATTTAACAAAAAAGAAGAATAATTTGGGAACTGAGATTGAACGTTTTTCACAAGAGTTTGATGAACTTTGTGAATCTTTGAAGAATCTTCTTAATGTGTCACCGACCCTTACACTAGATGTTTAAGAAGAACAAAGTTTTGAAGATAAATTGTAATCTAAAACCATGACGTGGAGGTTTTCATCAAAAGTATTTTGAATACAAGACAAGCCATAAATTATGAAAGTTCTTCTGTAACAAAAGAAAGTTAATGTTGCAAAGATATTTTGTGGAATCTTCTGTGCTTAACTGTTTAAAAAATAAAGTGAAAACCTTCGTCAGTCCTTTGTGAAATTCTTAATTAGTCATTTGAAATTATTAACAAAATCTTCTTATCTTAAATTCATCTTAAACACTCTTTTAAAAGGCATATTTGTAATGCCTTAAATATCAACAAACAATTCACTTGTTCACATAAATCTTACAAAGCATTCATTCTATTCCTTTGCCACCTGTTCGAAGGTAAATAAAATAAAAATTAATGTGAAACTATTGCGAAATCGAAACAGATTTTTCTCAAGCGCTTTCAAGAGAACGGAATGTGACCTTTGCTTGATTAATCTGCAAAAGCAGCAGAATGAAAAAAGATCTTTTAAGCAAAAGCATAACAAATGTTTTCTTATTAAAGTGAAATAGATGTGAAAAATGGATATTAACCCAAATGGCTGTGTACATACGGCAATGTCTACTAAATATTTGCTATTGTATGCTTCGCTCGATACTGTTGATGTTCGTTGAAAAGAAAAGGTTGTTGTTGAAGCTGTTCAAAATGCTTTTAAAGGAAATCTGAGATTTATGGAGAAGTAGAAAAGATATTCATTTGCAATGCTAATTAAATTTTCCATTCCACAAGTTATTTGGCGGAGCCCAGCATATAAATTACGAAGAGTGAAGTCAATTTTCCGTGAAAAATTACATGCTACGTATAAACCCTCGTTTTTATTTCACCTTTCTTGCGTAACACTTAGATATTCGCTTTGAATCTAATCTGATAAAGCTGGAAGCGAAATAATTTGCGGCTCATAAATTTCGATTGTGCTTTTTGTTCATGAATTGATTTCATCGAAGTATTTGGCAGGTAAATGTAAATCAGAATTTGCACAAAAAAGGAAATCAGTTTCCACCTAAACAAACACAAAAAAGCTTGTTTTTCTTTCCCATCAATGCTTTCCTTCAAGATTGACTCGATTTTCCCTCGATTATCTCTGAAGTCGAGAAAATTCCTTTTTTTCTTCTTATCCTACTGAATGTTTAAACTTTTTCTCTGATTCTTCAAAGAAATATTTCTACCTTCACTGTCATACCACAAATTTGACCACTTAATTGAATTTATTTTCTAACGACTTCCGTTTTACTTTTATACCAAAATTATTGACTGCAACCTAGATCAAAGCGTCTTTTAATTATCTTTAATAAATATTTCATTTCTTCGCTAAATATAAATCAACATCAAAGCTTTTCAAAGACTCTCAAGAGCTTAATTTATTTTTATAATGATGGACGCAATTAATCGGCTTATCAATTCAAAATTTCCTATGCCGCCTAATTGGTTTAAAATTTATCTCACCTCGCTGTTGTATTTCCATGACTATAGTCAGTTTGAAATTGTAGTATAATGAAATCACATTCATCATATCTTAGTTCAAATAAATACTTCTATCCCATTATTATCCGATGAATATTTTATTCAAAACATCGATAAAACTTTATTTTGAAACTCGTAAATTTAACATCGACACATGACAAATTTTACATTTTACATATTTATGGTAAAGTTATTTCTCTAAAATATTTGGTAAAACACCCAGCAGCGCTTTAGTTGTTCAAACAAATATTAACTAACTTTTAATGGCGATTTTTTTATTTGTTGTTGATGAATGAATTGATTTTCCATCACAATTAAAAGAATTCTCTGATGAATTGCAGCGCTTATCTCACATTTCTGAAATCAATCAATCTGAAAATATAAAATTGGTAAATAAACCCTCAAACTATTAGATACACTCGCAATTCCAACTCGTGCAAACAACAAACAAATCATAAAATGGGAAAATAAATTTCCATACCTAAACCGTCTGTAATGTTAAACCATGTCAAATGAATTTAACCTTGCTTTGTGTTGATTTATTTAAAAATTGTTAGAAAAAAAGAATGAATGCGACATTATGAAATTATGTTTAGAGATTTTATCTGTTCTCGTGCAATCTTATGCTTGTCATGGATCGAAATCTGTAATTAAATATTTGACATCGTGTAGTGACTTGAAATCCTACAGTTGATGATTTATTGCTTTACGAAGTGTTTTGGCATTTTTAGAGTAGTGGAAAGAATGTAATAAAATAATCCTTGGTGAGCTTTACAACTTTCGTTATACCTCTGTTGATAGCTTAATTGGGAGGTTTTTTGTGTTATTAGTAAAGCTTTTCAAATTATCATCACCAATGCCCATCGATAAAAATTTTGACATGCCTGCGCAAAAGCTTCCAGTTGTTAAATTTATGTCCTTGTTAACAACATTTACTTTCATAGGCCATTTAAAGCCAGTAATATGCAATAAATTTTACGCTCTTAATCAATAAACATTAATTTTATTTTATTGCATTTATATCAGAAGTATTTAGCATACTCGACAACTTTTTACATATTTTTATTTTTCTTTATCTATTGTCACGTCGATCTTCGCGTTGATGTGTTTTTTAATTGACAATCGAACGTACAGCTAAGCAATAAGCTGACTCAGCCTTATTATCCTTACCGGATTCAACATTATTGTAAGAGTTTGCAGCAAGTTTCATCGGCCAAGTGAGTGGAGAGAAAAAAAAGTCAGACGCCATTCAAGTTGAAAAACATGATTGAGAGATTAATATCGATGATCCGTAAAAACGACAAAGTTAATGAATTTCTTCCCGTAATTTAACATTGCTGACAGATGAGACGAATCTTTCACAGGTCATTAATTTCTAATTGACACCTGAATAAAGTCTTTTTAGTGTCGATCTTAATGATTATCATGAAAGATGATGGGCAAGTGAACGGTAAAGACCTTCGATGATAGATGAAGAAGCAAATTAACAAATTACTCGATGTTTGATGTGTCACTTGATTTGATTGTAAGCTCGATAAAAAGTCAACGTTCACTAACGGCATTTCATTCTTTCTTTCATCATATTTTAGCGTTTTTAATTTTATCGTCTTAAGACTCGATGCGAGAAAGCGCAAAAAAAAACAAGCAGCGAAAAGACATCGAACGAACGAAGCAGAGTAAGAAGAAGGAAACAATCAAGTGATGACAATAATTTCATGAATTTTAGTGTGAAAAAAATTAAAGTACAAAAAGTCATTATCACAAATTGTTATTTATTCTTCACGCTAATTCGAAAATGCTGTAAAGTTCCACAACTACATAATCTGATACCGTTCGAAGATAACCAACCAAGTTCAACCATCTCAACTGAAAAGTTTCACGTAAAAAAGCATTTAAAAGAAGTTTTTTCATCAAATCAACTAAGCAACTTTATTAAAAACACAACATGATGAGCATTAGAAGTTTTCGATATAAAAAAACTTTTAAAATCAAAATATTTTTGCAGTAAAAACATAAAGACACAAAAAAATAATAAAATTAATAAAAAACACACAAACTTTTACATACTTAATTGTGACTAGGCAAACAAATAGAAAAAGATTATTTTGGAGAGTGAAATTTCATTGGGATGGTGGGGAAAGTTTGTAAGTTACGTGATATGAAAATATAATATAAATGAACAATACTTAAACAAATGTGATATCACTTTCGTATTCACCCCATTTACAACCAAAAAAACCAAAATTAAAAGCTTCAAGTGAAAGATACACACAAAAATGAAAAAAATAAAAAAAAAGTGAAATTATGTTTGCGAACTGGGTGTGAGATTATTTTTAATGCTTCCATTCATTCGCTCTCACATTATACGAGCGTTCCTAATTGTGAAGCATCACCAGCCAAGTCGACACCACCATAAGCAGCTGCAGAATCATTTGGTTGATGTAAAATTAAACTTCGCTTATAAATACTATTTCTGTTCTCATTAACACTATTCAAATTGCTATTTATAACTTGGGTATTGATCAGTAATTTCTTTGGACCTAATTTATATTGGGTAGCTTGCATGATTGGATTGTTAGCGTTGTTAATGTCTGTTTCAATATGATTGCTTTTCTGAATTCTTTGGTTGATGGTTGCAAGATAATTCATTGATGCTTGCATTGCATCATTGTATTTTTTACACTGTTCCCATTGATGATTGAGTGGCAATGGAACCTCGGAAGTGACTTTGGACTGCTGAACGCTTGTTGGAATTGTGTGAATTTGCGCTTGAATGACTCGTTTTTCTGTCAAGCAGTTTGGCATTTGATAAGCTTGTTTATTCAACAATGGCATTGGCTGCACGTCATTCGATAATAAGTCGGGAGTGTGACGAATGAAATCAACGGAAGTTTGTTGACTCAAAGGTGGGCCACTGTTCTTTAAAATTATTTTACTGATGTTGTAAATATTTTCGGCCAAATATTCACGACTCATGCTGAGCTCTTCACACTTTTCCGCTTTGATTTGCGACGATGGCGTTTCTGCATTGACCTCAGATTTTTTCTGTTCCACCTCAGCTTCTTCCAGTTCATCATAAAGTTTTTTCAAAAAATTCGTTTTGGCATTCAAAGCATCGTCAGATGTTTTAATTTCTGTTTCCATTTTTGCTATTTCGTAATTCTTTGTGTCTAACTGTTCATTTACACGGCTCAGCGATTCTTTTACTTGCGCTTCTGAAAGTCCCGAGGCATCCGCTTCGTAGCGTTTAATTTTTGCACTCAGTCGCACACAAAGCTCTTCCTCTCGTTGTAAATGTTTATTCAAAACAATGAGCTTCTCAAGAATGTCAATTTGTGCTGCCACTTCACTGTCTATTGGTACATCATTGCTGCCACTTGCTTCAGCACCTTCAACGGATTTTGATTTCTTTTCATCCTTTATTGCACTTGAATATTCTTTAGTTGATTGATGTTCCAGCATCAGTTCATGTTCCCGCTTTGAGCGACGTTTCTTTGATCCAATGATTTTGTAATCACTTGACGACGGTTCGTTTAAAGGTATCAGCGTGTCACTGATTTCGTCATCATGTTGCACCACAGGCGATGCTGCCGTCTCTTCAGTATGAACGCCTGAGTCGCTGTTACCAGCAGCAAGTTCTTGTTTATCGTCAGCATCTGGTAAGCCCTTCAAATACGTTTCCAACAAGTAATTCTTTCCATGCTCTTTCTCGCGAACCTTATGACGTTCTTCTTCAATTGTTGATATTTCAAGCTCGCGGTCTCTGTGGGCGGAAAGAAGAAAAATAACAAACAAGACGAAAATTAGTTAATTTAAATTATTATTATAAACTTGAGGTCCGTTTCGACATTAAAGTTAATTATAGTAAACCGTTTCTAATTTAACGCTATGAACAATTTTTTTTTTGAGCTTTCAATTTCAGTTAAGTACTGCTAATTAAATTAAAAAGATTTCAGGCCAAACCTCAATTTCGCCAATTGCTGTTGAATAACTTCGCCTTGCTCCAAAATCAACTTCATTAGCCGTTCAATGCTGTTCTTCTGTGATTTCGGGTGGATCGTCTGACCATGCGTCATCCAAGCGAATGTAGAACGTGAAGCTCTATGTCTTCGTCGTCTGACAATTGCGCTGTTTATGCTTCCTGTTGGACTTCCGCGACCGCTGTCTCGATCACCTGTCGTTGTCTGTTGTGCCTGACTTTGACTTTGATGATGTGATGAATGGTGGGAATCAGAGCGACGCTTCAACGTAAATTTGACCTGAAAAACGATTAACATTGAAAGCATATCGCATTAGTTAATTTAACGTAAATTAGCAAATTGTTTTAAATTGGATGAAAATGCTGAAAAAACGTTTAATGATTTTTGTATGTAATGGAGATGAGTTTGTGAATGTTGTCACTAAATTTTAAAACATTTACACTCCCCAATCTTGCAAATAAGAAATTTTGTTACATGAATGACGAAGTTACTCTGTTTGACTTCGTTTTTCTTCTCGTTCGTCTTGGGTTCTCCATTAAATAATTTGCATTGAAAACTTTCGTGCACATTCACCATACAAGTGGAGTAATTGAAGATTAAAATTCAAATTGAGTTTAAATTGAAAACAATGTCATGAAATGCAATGCATAAGCAGTATTGTGCCATCACAATAAAAACTCAGAGTGAATTTAACAGTCATCATGCAACAAGCACTTTATGTTCCGTTACAAGTCGGAAAAATCGATAACATTAAACTTAAATTGTTCATAGACGTCTCTAGGCGCAAGTTTATTGAAACCTTTTCCAACATTAAGTTGTAACGTTTACCTCTGTGTCGAGTTATGTTCGGAATTCGCATCGTAATGGTGATTTCTTGCGAAACTTTTCTTTTTCAACGATTTATGAATACATAACCGACCCGAGTAGAAGATGGAAGCAAAAGAAAAATTGATCAGAAAAGCATTAGGGCCTCAAAGATTGATTATTTTCAATTGTTAAGTATTCATTGCCTTTAAATTTCAAGCAGTTTAGAGATTGTTGAAGTATGATACAAGACATCAAAACTTTCATAATAACTTATTTCTCATTTCCCTGCCTAACATTTAAGAATGTTTCGCAAACGACCTAAAAACACGTCGAACATGATTTGAATTGATTCAAGAAGGCAAAACATCACAATAAATGAACGTAAATGAAAAAAGTTAGAAGCACCTTGCGGTGAAATTGCCACCAATTGATGTTATATCATAAAATTTTATGTAATCATATTAATGTTGAGGCATGAATAGAACATCAGTCAGTGTTGAGGAAAATCGTCAATCAATTGAAGAAGAAAACTTTTTTCTTTCACCACAGCTTTTCATGTTAACAATAAAAGCTTGTAATATGTAAATCTGAGCATGTTTAGAGTTAAAATGTGAAAGTGATTGGTTTGCTATCAACGTTCAGCATATTTTCATGCTGACTATCAAAGAGGTGTGGCAGCATAGCGAAGAAGAAATTGAAAGCAAAAAGCAAATTATATATTTACGTAGATAGATATATTGAAAGTATTAACATATACTGATGAATAACACCGTAAAGTTCAATTTAAATTATAACTTTGATTCAAGTTAAACATTCAATCGATAGATGCAGAAGATGTTGTGCAAACTATTCGTTTTTCTATTCATCTCTCTACAAATAAATCGCATAATTAAGTAATGAATCGATCATGTTGCGATGATAGCAATTCTTTGAAGATAAAATTGGATTACGGTTTTCAAACATCAAAGAAAATAACGATGGCAGGTGAATGAGTAAATCCATGAATCCGATTCATGCTAGATGTAGAATTATTAACATGAGATCAAAAGAGAAATGCATTTTATTAAACATCTCAATGAGCTGTCATTCAGCATAATAAAATATTTTATTGTTAGTTGGATAATTTAATTCAAGTTGAACCTCATCATAACTCAGAAATCAATTTCCATTTGACTGCAACAAATTCATACTTTTTATGAAGTCAGTTGTCATGGTTGAAATGAAAATTATAATGAATCAGCAAATAAAAAAGAAATTTAAATTCATTCTAGTTGATATTTGCAGCTTTGTCTTCTTCATTTTTCATTTCATTTCGATGTGAATAAAAATGAAAGACAAGTTTGTGTAATGTGATAATAAATTGTGAATAGTGATGGGAAATCACTCAATAAATTAACTCATGACAAATGTTAATGTAATTGCAAAACAAAATTCACCTCAGATTGTTCAGCGCCCCATGCCGTCCATATTTTAAGAATTTTCGTTCGTGGATCAAGAACTTGCTCGACACGACGCCAACGTTCTGCTATGAAATAATCATTAACTTTGGTAGAATAAAGATTGGTAGCTCCCGCATTGTTATTGCTGTCATTTGTGCTTTTGATTACACCTTCGTCGATCAATAAAGCTTCAATTAAATCAATGCATGTTGTCTGATCTGTTACACCTGATATCCATCGTTGTTCGCCTTTTATCCAGACCGGAATTTCATGCGACCAGAGCTCTAATGATTCATCATCTGACTCTCCAGATGTACATTCATAATTGTTATCGTCTCGTTCGTTATCGTCAACATTTGATGGACGGTGGTCATATGCAGTTGGTAAGTTTGCACTACCGCAAACAGGTTGTTGATTTTGTTGTGTTTGCTTTGTGACTTCTCCTTGCTGTTGCTGTTGTTGTTGTCTATATTGGAATGAAAGAAGATGATAAAGTTTAAAATAAAATATGAGTACGACGATTTTTAATCACCATGAAATGACAAAATCCAATTATGCGGTAGAATGAAAAAGGAAAAGTGACAATTTTTTTTAGCATTTCACTTGAAATGTATGCGAACGATGAGACTGAATTTATGTTTCATACAGAAAACTGTAAACAAAGTAAGCAAAATGTTGGAATGGTTTACGACGTGTTTCATTCCGTTTTAAAATATCACACAAGTCAAACTTTAAGGAAGGAGAAATGACTTCGCCTTTAGCATGTAGAGAAACTTTTTTTTTCAATTTAAATAAAACAAATTTACATTTCATTTCGGTTCTCAAATATGATTCTTGCTTGTTGTCTCGCAATCTTTCTTTGTCTTGGAGATTATAATTTTTTTTCTTCTGTCTCATTTGATGTCAAGTTTGAGTGCATTGTGCGGTGGAATGTTAATCCAAAGATTTCATTTATTATTTTATACTTTTTTCTTTCCTTGCAAAGTTCACTATTCGTCAACTTAAACAATGATTCACCAGAATAATCTTTGTACATACAGTTGCAATGAATATACATGAAATTGAGAACAAAGAAAGATTGCAATTTGTTCGATAATATTGCAAGAACTTTTCATTCTCCTTCTCCTTCTTTCGTTATAATCATTCCAAGGGATTTAAAGGAAATCCGTATTTAACTTGTGCAAATAAAAAGAAATAATCGATAAGAATGCGAAGCCACAATACAAAGCATAAAATTTTAGTGGCTTGTCCATGGTGTCAGGGATATTTCTGATTTGCAGTTAAATAAAGAAAGAGAAATCCCACACAATGCTGGGAACCTTGTCAACCTCGATGCCACTCCTGAAAAGTTACATTCATGTACCTCATTTAGTCTTTAAATCTTTCCTTCTATCTCTCTCCCTTTCCACCGACCGAAGAAACAACCAACCGACCACCACAAACAACTTTTTCATCAGTTTAGTTTTTTTGTGTTGTTTTTATTGTTTGTACCCTAAATGCCATTTCATTTTGTAAAAGCTGAGAAGGGAAAACGAAACACGAATTGTAATTGCGATCTCGAGAGTTTTGTACTTAAAGCTTTTTTTTTCTTTCACTTTAAAGTGGACTTGAGGTCTGAAAAATTTATTTAAATGATATTTTTTTTATTTGGCGTTAGTGAATTATAAAAGAGAGTTTATTATCGTTTTAACAGCACACACAAAAAAAGGAGAAAGAGAGTAAAGAATGCAGCATAAAAACAACAATTTTAATGTTCAGACATTTATGAATGAGAGTTGTAAAGTTTATTGAAAATAAAAAGCAGCGAATTTCTTACGAAGTGAAACTGCAGTTTGCAATTGCATTAAATGCGGCGGGCTTTGTTTGAGTGGGTGGGAGTAGAGAATAAGTAATTGTGAGTGGTTAATGAGATGCTTAAATTTATGACTGAATCGCATTTAACAATCATCGCTGACTCATCATGATTTCAATGACAAAATTTTAGACTTTTGACATTCAAAAACTTTCAACTTCCACGGCCATTTAAATTATCCAATTTTTCTTCTTATATTATTGCCTCGTTGCAATATAAGACGCTACTGTTACATGAGTCATGATAAATGTATTAACATAAAAAAAGGGAATCAATTTTTAGCGCCGTTCGCTTTGCTCTAATTTTGCTGACTTAATTTCACTCTTTTTTCAGACGCTTTAGATCCTCTTCAGAAGATAAAAATTGCGACATGTGTATTAATATTGATTGATTTATTGCCGACATAAATCATACGAGTCGTGAAGGGTACAAAGGCAAGTAAACTACGTTCATACATAAGTTCAGTTTCAATAGAAAATATACGATGAGGATTCTTGCGTAATAGTGACACAGAACAGATTTTCCATTGATTCGCAATGATAAAGAGAATCGATAAGAAGTCAAAAAAGCGGAGAATAAATTACAATAACATAAGCGAAAACTCTTCTTCTCTCTTTACTTTTATGCTTCATCATTATACTTTATTCATTCTCATAAGCTTGATTGCATTGTTGTTGGCGAAGCATATCAAAAACGAATGAGAATCAGATGGGGGAAAGGATGATAAACAGAAAGAAGTAAAGTAAGACCACCAACATGTAACAAATTGGTGTGTACGGAACACTTCACTCCACTAAACCATGATTTTCCATCATCCTCCGTTTGTCGATAATTTTTCACAATTTCTTCATCATCGAAAGAAAGTTTTGAGATCTCAAAATTGCCCTGCACTCAACAGCATCCAATCAACCGACAATTTTGCCATTTGCCTGCAGGATTTTCGACAATGTTTTTCATCATTAAATTTGCATAGGAAATAATGCACTGAAGGTCTTAAATTATGAGTGAAATTGTATGTTTAAATAAATTTCTGACTAGTTTCGATTACAAACTGTCATATTTTATGTTATTATTTGGACATAATATCAGACATGAAATATAACGAGAATCATTCTATTCTGAAGATTCAACATGTAGAAATATTTTGGCAAAGATTGAAACCGGCTGAGCCAAAGCAGCAAAATAAAAAAATAATTACAAGGCGGAAAAAGAATTCTCGAATGAAGCCAGACATAATCATGCAATAGCTTTGGAGCCATTAGCAATCATCATAGGCAATTGATGAGTGCATAACATCAAGAATGATTCAACAAATTATCAAGTGATGAAGGAATTTTCATGTTCCAAACACGCCTACACCAAAACATCGTCATCGCTCCTCAGAAAGTCATCAAATTTTATTCTTTTTATTGCCGATGAAATTGTCATGATTATGATGATGAAAGGACTCATTTGTGTGTGTATGTGTACTCGCTCGAGAAGCATCGACACAATGAAAGTTACAATCTTTCCAATCAGCAAATTTACACAAGTTTTTCCATTAAACTTCTTTTTTACTTGCTTTGTGAGTTTTTCATTTTTTCCCTTTTTTTTCTCATTCCTAAGACGATGAAAAGAAAATATTTTGAGTTGTTTACTCTAAACTTTTTCACATCTTTACACTCTGCCTGGTTTTTCTTACTTTTTATCTAACATCTAACAAGCATGAATCATTTGAGACCGAAAATGAGGCAAAAGATTGATCTGAAAGTGAGTGAAACTGTAGCAAATAAACAATGCTTTGGTGCTTATTTCCATAAAGGCCCTTCCTGTTTTACTTGCCGCCCATTGCGAATGTCGATAACGTTACGGAAAATTCTTCATTACATTTTTTAAGATCTCATTTTCTTCAAACTGGGTTTGTTGATTTCCACGCTTCATGGACTTTCTTCCGACTCTTTTTTGATTCGTTTTAAAGCACATTGCGAGGCTTCGAATAAGTTAAACTTAGCCCATAAAAAGAAATGAAATAGAAAACCAACTAAATAATATCTCGCAATCTTTCCACGTCTTAAGCTTACATAACAAACAAAATTATTTGAGCGTGGTAAGATGCTGAGCTTTCACACGTGTTTCATCGCTCATGTATGAATGTATGAATGCGCTATTTAAAATTCTATCTCGATTTTGTAATAATTAAAAACGAAAAAACTTAATTTACTATTCACTTAACATGTAGCTTTGTGTGTGCTCTACTGAATATATCATTTAATTATTACTTTCATGCTTTTGAGTTGAATGAAATTATTTAATTAATATTTTTGATTAAGTAATGTATGAAGGAACTCGCTCAAGCTGTTTATTGCTAAAAAAATAACAATTTCCTTTCCATTTTGTATACAAGCATTTGAAATTCAATTCTAAAGCTGCTTAACATCATAAAAAATAATTAATTAAAAACCAATTTCAGATCAAACATTTGAAGCAGAAATTTTATAAGAAAAGAAATCTACAAATTAATAAATTTCAATCATCATTAGAATTTTCATTTGTTGTTGATTAAATTTCATTTTTAAATTGTCGCAATCGAAAATTAATTAAAAGATTTTCTAGAATCACTTAAAATTTCTTTAAACAGGTTTTTGAAGTTCGTCAACTCGATTTTCAATTCATTTCAGCTTTTATTTTTTCACTTTGTTCAATGTGGTAATGGAATTTTTAAACGAAGCAACATGAACCTCTCGTTAACCTGAAAATCATTCAAATGGGCACAGACAGCCGAAAAGGAAACATTATTGGACCATCAATTATCATTACTGACCAAAAACGATCAATAACGTCTACATTGTTGCATTCGCCATCACATCATATCTTGTTGCAGTTTCTTTCTCACTTCTTTCACTAAAATTCTGAGAGAACTTCAAGAATATTTATGACAAGATTATCTATTCAAATTGTTTATAAAATACCTTTAAGTAAAAAGTTTCTTTCATAACTTTTCATTTTAGCTTTTCCAATATTGGACATTTATGCATTTCCTTCAACAAAACTTCATGACAGGCAGCAGATTGTACAAAATTATAAAATAAAAAGAGAGAAACACGGGGGAAAAATGATCAGCATTATGTTAATATTATTCGACGTCGTTTGTCTGATATTCACTGATATTTATGGACCCCACAATTTCAACTTCTTATTATACTTTGTGATATTGAATTAGGTGTGGCGTCATGTGAACATTTTATTTAATTTTTTTGGATAATTTTGCATCGTTGCTTATTGGAAAATTTGCAGAGACGTTTCATGTCGTGTTTTATTTATTTATTTCTCTTTTAAATGTCAATTAATGCCAACACTTCTTGGCATTACAAGAAAAAATATGTTTTTGCTAGCAAAATTGTTTCTCTTGTTCATAAAACTCAGTTCAGAAGTTTCACTAAATTGTTGAAGAGCAAGAATCATTTCACAACACTTCCAACGCCATAACAATTTGAAATCAGATTAATTTGACATCATACGACAACGGAAAAGAAAAAGTAAAAATTTCTCTGTTTTTGTCAGATATTTTGAAATTTATTAGTTCAGCGATAGCTTCGAGACATTATGAACAAATTTGTTCACCACATAATCACAAAAAGTGGTTTCAAAGGTAAATAAGTTCGTCAGCGTCAGCTGATCTAAAAGCTGAAAGACATTTCATGTCATAAATAAATATTTTAAAGAATGCTTTCAAATTTTATTGTTGCTAAAATAGAAAATGGAGATTAGAGCGAACTTCGTCTTAAAGAAACTTTTATTTATTTATTTCTCCAACAAAAACGAAATGTTTGATATCTTTTGAATAGGAGGAAGGAATTGTTTTCGCATTAATCACTAAAAGTGAGAAAGGTTTTATTTTCTTTTCGACTATAAAGCAAAATTTCTGATTCGCACTTCAAAGTTTGAATGGAAAAAAAGTTGAAGTTTTTTTTCTTTTTTGCTGACTCTGCATTCTGTCTCGCTTTCAAAAAGAAAAAAGCTTTCAATTTCGTCTTTTCATGTCTGCTCTCACAATATTTCTTTTTTCAATAAATACCTACGATAATTAAATGCTAGTTTAAGTGATTTGAGTGTAAAGCGTGGAAAAGCGATGAAAATTTTAACGACGACAATGCTGGTAAGCGTATCGAGTGCGCGATAATCAGTTTCAAAAGACTTGCTATTAATCAATTTGACTAAAATGATACTTTTTTTATTAATCTTTTTTTTAAATTAATTCTTTGCTCTCATTTCTCAATGGAAATAATAAAAAATAAATTTTCTGTTGCTCGGCCTAAAGAATTTTTATAGTTTTTTTATACAACAATTTTGAAGTCATGCATATCGAATATCAGAGAAAAAAACTCCGAATAAAGAAAGTTCGACGAAGATTTTTTTATTTCATTCATTGCCAATGGAAGAAAGGAAAGAAATCTTTATGAATGTGATTTAAAATATAAAATCGTTCTGAATCAACTACAAAAAAATATAAATTGTTTCATGATTCGCTGTTTTATCTATGTATGAATTCTCCATTCTTTCTGTTTTCAATTGAGAGTGAAACAATGGATAATAAATTCAAATAAAACAATCATAAGCTGTCTTAATACGATTTTTCAACACTGAAAATCAGTTTCCACCCACATGATTTCAAAGGAATAATTTTCTTGCCATGAATTTCTTCTCATACGTTCGTTCATATTTCTGCCAGAATTATTTCATTTTTCATCGCTTTTATCATAAAGAAGAAGTTTTTTATAATCAATTGATTCCATTAAAAAGTTTTTCCTTCGTTTACAATAAGAAACGTAAATTTATTCTTCGTCAGTTTGAAATCCACATAACAGCACGAATATTCAAAGCACCAGATAACAAATTTTTGCTGAATCTCTTCGAATATTCTTAAAATCATTCACAAAAGCTTTTGTGCTTTTCATGTTTGGTAAGTATTAGCCAAATAAAAAAGAAGAAAAAATATCATAAATCAATAAAATCGTAAGTTTTTCCGAGATGCTTCGAGTCTCCTTTGAATCACATTCAAAATGAAGACGAAGCCAATAGATAAAAACTTCTTAGAGAAACTATGAAAAGTTTTGAGAGCAAGGTCAAAGTTGCTAGCTGAAATAACATAATCAGATAATCAGGTTTTCCTCTCCCTTCCTATTGCCGTATCATATTTGAAGAAATATCTTTTTGTGTGGGTGGGTGGGGCCTGCCTTTCAAAGCAATATTCATTGAGACAGTATGGCATCAAGCGGCTTCAATCTCTTTCTTCAAATCAATAAAACGGAATTTCCAAATACTTTTTTATATTTATTTATCGATGCTTTTTATGAGATTGAGTAATTTCGTAATCGAAGCATACATACATAAAAGGTCAATGGAAAAAAAAAGATGATTGGATTATAAATCAAATAAAACATTCAATTAGTCGCTTATAAAGATAATTTACTTGAAAAAAGTCACGCCAACCATTTCAATGACAACATTTTATCCCTAAACTCAAGTTAACTTTCGTTTGATGCACATGAACGGGGAAAATAATTGGAATAGAAGAAAAAGAAATAATTCTGAGGAAAATTGTGCTCATCCGGTGCAATTTCTCATTTCTTCTTTAGCATTATTCGAGTCTGCACGATAACTAGACCAACGATTGTCGGTCGGTTAAACCACATTTCTTACGAACAGCGAGACTTTCCCAAGACTCTTCCTCTTCCGGACGAGGGTTTATTGTTAAGTCATTTAAAACAGAATTGTGCTGAAGAATCTCAACTATGTAAATTAGAAAAGTTTTGATTCATGTTGTAAATATGCTGTGGATTGGATTCAGAAGAATGTTCATCTAGTTTTCCGGATGGAAACTTTAACAGAATACTTAAACGATGGCGAATTTTTTGTATTATCTCCCATTGAATGCTTTAAGCAATTCATTCATTTCTTTATCATCGTCAATTTGCTTGTTATATTGTCGGTTGACATTAATTATAGAAAGATAGAAAAAACTCTTCGCTATTTTCCAATCATCAAACGACGACATAAATAAGATGATTACGAAGTGAATAATTCATTTTCTTGAATGACTTTGAACGTCTTGTATTGAATGAATGTTAAGCGTAAGAGATTCACCTGTCTCAACTAAAGGTGTGATTTATTAATGAAACTTTTATCCGTGAAATAATAATTACTTACTTTCTTGCTCACTTTTTCGTTATTGTTAACGTTATAAAAGAACTTTTTGGCTGTCCATTCAATGAAAAAGAAGTTCAGTGGAATGGAAGAGAAATCAACATAAGAATGGTGAAAGAATCGTCTTGAACAGTGAGAGAACTAAAAGTAATCAAGAAGATATTAGCAGTCAGAACCATGACTTACAATTCTCGTAAACCTCGCGAGCAGTCGTTATGTCTTAGCTATAAATCCATGAATCAAATAAATTAAACTTTAAACACGAAAATGAAAGACAATTGCGATGGTCGTCGACCTCATCAAAGTGTTAAAAAGATTTGAAATTGAAATCATTTAATTAACAGTTTCAACAATGAATGAAACACAACAAATTTTGACGCCATTTTAATATGAAATTAATGAATATCGTAAGAAATAAATTAAAGATGATTTTCCCGTCTACAGAGCGATCGCTTTTTTGTTTCAACATGAAAGATTCAACCGCAATTTTTTCATGCTTTATGGTTCCATGATTTCATCGCTTCCTTCATCGAAACTGATCAGCATGTATGAACATTATAATGAAAGTCGAGCACAAAAGTTGAATAATTATTAGCTAATGAAGTTCATTAACTAACTTGCGATTTTTTATACTGAAAATTGCACAATTAGAGTTACACAAGAGGATCGATATCGCTTTGAATAATTGTGAATAAACAATTGGATGATATCCATTCATTAGGTGAAGAAGTTAATTCACCATTGTTTGTCTTTCACTTCTTCGAAGAATTTTTCTATTCATTATTCTGCCCTTTCAAGTGGAAGGTTCGAGGAGAATCTCTTCTCGTGTTTTATCGTTATGCTGTTGAACCTCCTATTTGCTCTCTTTTATGCCTTGCGGAAATAATGGCTTTCAAATTAAAATTGTATCATTTCCATGACGTCAAAAAATTCTCTGCTTTTGTTTCTCTCTCACTCTTCTTTAGTGAAATGCCTTTGGTAACAAATTGAAATGTTCTTTACGTTTTATTCTCGAGGGCATTGAAGTCTGTTAGATATAATTTCGGCAATCTTCGATCAAGATTTATTTCCGTTTTAGTGTAATTGATATTAAAGAGGTGTAGCTTTGTAAGATTTTGTGAGAATAAATGGCGATACAGACAGACTTGATACAAAGAAGAAGCGTCTTAAGTTGGAATGAAAAATGTCTTCATTCATCTGATAAATTCACAAAATCTTCACACACAGCAAAAATAAGAAAAATTCTTTTCAAGTTCAAGTTTTTTGTTGCTAAAGATATTGAAATAAATTCATTAATTAATGATGTCTGTGTCATCATCACATTTTAAATTTCATTGCATCCACAAAGAGTCTTTTCACGTCACATTTCACAACCACAGCGAGTGGAAAGCAAGAAAATGCTTCGTCAAATGGAAAATTTATGCAAGTCGAAGCTGAGCTTTCGTCTCTAGTTACATTTTCAAATATTTACGATCGTCATTTACTGCTTTTTTTTATGAAAGTCTTGCAATTCCACCCAGATTTCTCTCCCAGCGACATAAAAATTTATTTTTTCTTACATAACTCCAGAAATATTCAAGACTGAAAGAGTGAAGCGTTGTCCTTTTTGTTTGCAAGATTTTCGTTGCCTTTTCAAACTTTTCTTTTCTTTTTATTCCTTTGTCTAGCTTCAAACTGTCAACAACAATGTGCAAAGCATGAAAGATTTGGAACAATGTCATTTCATTGAAGCGCAGAAAGCGAAAGCGTAGAAGAGAATTCAGTGACAGAAACACAAAACTTACCTCGCTTTTCTTGTACTTGATGGGACGACTGTGGCATAAATTGGGATTGCATCATCTTTCAACGCTTTTGTTGATTTTATACTCGTCGTTGCTACACAAACATTTGACGTGTTCTGCTCCATAATCTATGCTCAAAATTTATTTACATAAAAAAAGGAAGAAAGAACTTTGCCACTCGAGAACAATTATTTTCACAACTCAAATGAGTTTTTTGTTTTTTTAAGCGCGACGATTTTAAGCTCGCATGTGAATTATGATAATTTCCACAGTTCTTTGTCTTTTTGTTGCTGCTGCTGTTGTTACAACTGCTTCTGGTTTTTTCCTAAACGTTTTACTGTAATGAATAACAAGAAAAAATAAAAATTAGCGATTAAAACCTTGTGTAAGATTAATTGTTGTTTTGTTGTAATTTTAGCATTTAAATTTAGTTTGTTTCATGAGATTACAATATCCATTATACATGTTATGTATGTCACACTTAAATTAAAGTTTTAATATCCTTGAACATAGAAGACATGATCTTAACAAGCCAACCACATGATGTTCATAAAGAGTGTGTATTTACTGTCGACAAACTCGAATGTTTATGTAACTAAGTAAAAGACAAGCATCTGCAATAAATCATTTCGAATCTTAAATGTCTCATCAAGAGCTCTCAAGAGTATTGCAAACATTGAAAGTTCCCAGACACTCGCTTTTTTCTGGTTTTAATGAAAGCAAGCTTCCTTCACTTCATCTCTACAATCAACTTCTTCAGAAATTGTAGAACAATACAAAAATAAAATTATTTGTACAAATTTTCAAATGTAAATATAAAACAATAAAAATTTCTTCATTCTCAACATTTTCGATGATGTTTAAATGTTAAGCGTAGCAAAAATTTTAATGCATTGTGTGTTTGTCTTAACATTTCCAGAATGAAATCTTCTCGGAAAAAGAGAGAAATGATTGAAGTCATCAAGTCATCAAGGGAGAAAGTTACTGATGAAACGACAAGCTAATGGATGAAATTATGGTAAGAATGAAAATGCAAATGCAATGATCCGTTTGACCCAGTTACCCAAAAAAACATGCATTCGCTCTCTTTTGTTCTGCAGTTGATTTCCCCGAAAATTCGTTCTCGTAATTATCCTTTTGGTCGGAATTGAATGACCTTTCGAATGAGTATCAAATGAGTGCATGTAACAGAATGTACTTCACCTTAACCGACCTCGACCGCATGAAACATAAGCCTTAAGTGGTTTTCTTAATGTTGGTCATGCCCTTTCATGTTTTTAATTTTAAAAAACTTTAACTTGATTCCACCAAAAGGGCCATGGCGAATTTCACAAATTCAACGAAGCCATTAATTACGTAGTTCACTTCATAAGTGGAAAGAATATTTAATCTCAATTATCATTATAAATCATCTAAAGTTGCGAGCAATTTTTTGACATGCTGATTGTTGGTTTTTTTATTTTGAAACTTAAACGAAGTTCGTTTGAGAAAAGAACAAAACAAAAATGTTGAGAACCGTTTAACATGTCTAAGTAGTTGTAGAAGGAAACATTTCAAGGAATTTTAGGAGGGAATGAAATGAGAAGAAGTGCGAACTGAGCTCATCATTCAAAGGTAGTAAATTATTCGTGAGTTTACCATTAGAGGATATTAAAAAACTTTAAGACTTACATTATTACCTAAATGCGCTTTCAGTTCAATAAAAAGTTATGTTAAACACTCTCGATCGCCAAGTCTTTGTTTGCTATTAACAAAAAGGTTGGTCGTGCGTACATATTTAACGTCAGGTTTAGAATTAGTAATTTGAGCATAATTGCTTCATTTTCTTACGTCGACAGCATGTAAAAGACCTTGAATGAGCTCTTGATGATGGCTACATTCCTGTCTGATGTTTCAACATAAATCAAACAAATAGCTTTGCAAAGAACAACTTTTTCGCTTTGTTCAAATTTCCTTTTTTATTTTTCAACTAAAAGATATAAAAACTTCATTTATCTCAACAAACAACGGAATGAACACCAATCTTAAGTATTCAAATTAATCATCGATTTCCGCCTTAATTCAGCGTTTTGCAATTGAAATCTTCTCTTTTTGCTTTCTTTCAAAAGAATATAAAACGAACATCATCCTAAAACAATCAAAAATGATTTAGTCTTCAATGGTCTTGAAGATAGATAATTCTTTCAGAAGCTTCAGACAGGTTCGATAAGGGAGTGAGAACTGAAAAGCATACAAAAAATACATCCTAAGTGATTTTTTATTATTATCTTGGTACTTATACATTCTTCTTCTTTCAAAAGTACTTAGGAGATGACAAAAAGAGATTCAACTTCTTCATTCAAGAAAACAAAAAAGAAACTTCACTTGAAAGTAAAACAACAACAAATATCTCAGAGACATAAACATTGGTTTGAGAGTTTTTGCAATGACATTTAAAAATTTAATACTGTTTTGTTCAACTTTAAAGTCTGAAGATTGTTAATAGTTAAAATGAATTGAAGATGAATAAACAGTAAGAGTGGATGATGTTCAATATGATTTAAATGTTAAAGTATCACTTCAAGCTTTTATTTTCGTGTACAAAAATTTGTAAATTGCAAAAATTAATTTTCCACGGTTTTCAAATCAACCAAAAACAAATTCAAGGAGAAAATATTTGTACTTGAAATGATCTTAGATTTGCTTTGTCAAATTCGAATATTGTCGACATGTACTAAATATAGAATCAAGCTTGTTGACTGATATTTATCATGCAACCATGACGCAAATACTTTAATAACCATGTTGCTAATAATCAATCGGATTTTACGAAAATCGAGTTTATAGTTTCGATTAACTTTGTTCACGATTTTATATCGAAAGTTATCCGTAATATGCAATAGATAATGGAAGCAAATTAATGCCTTAAGCATTGTTTCAATAGTTAAAAATGTTTATGTTAATTATGTTTACATGCTAATGCACTATGATGTAATGCAACGCTAGCACGGGAGAGAAAGAAAAGTCGAGAGAATTACCAAATCAATTTGTCATACTTTAAACTAATGATTATAAATTCATTAATATTTGCACGGCATGTAAAAAGACCTTTCACACAGCTCACAGAGTTTTTGCATAAATTAATGTGCAACATGTTGGTAAATTGTTTGAAATGCCAAAATATTTCTTTTGCTTGTTGGTCGGGGAGATTTTATAGCTTTATTGAAAATCGTGGTTTCATCTCGTGCTGTGCTTCTGACGCAAACTATCGATAGTAACATATTTATTTATAATTAAAGCACATACAACATTAGAGATTGAGAGTTTGTGGCGAAAATTGAAGCAGCGTTTTTATCAATCTCACTCTGATTTGATTGAATAGCAATGAAATTGAATATTTTATTATGCGGGAATTGTGTATCTGAAAGCTTTTAAACAAGATAAGTATCCATTACGAAAAAAATCAAACATTTCAATAGTTTTTCCTTTGTTCTCTTCGCATGATTAATGAAGTTGTTAAAGAAAAAAGTACATAAAATGGGAAGAAAACAAAAAGTTTCCACCCACGATTTGTCGCTTCTGATAAAGACAATATGTGCGATCCTAAAAGTCATTACCATAAATTAATAATTATTTACCCTTGGACGGTCAAACTGAAACTGATTTATGTTTAAAGCGAGCTCAGGCAGAAAGTGCTGATAATATTCTAAAGCCTCGCCAGGAATCATTGTTACAAATATGTACATTTCAAGGTCAACAAACTTTATAAAATTTATATGTCGCCAAATCCATTTTCTCGCTCGTTCATACGTTTGTTGTTTGTTTGAATGGCAAACAAGTAGCGCACACAATTTTCAAATATTTGTGCTTGGTATGCAAAGCAAAGCAAAGCCGAGCAATGCTCACAGTCACAATGCTTAAACCCAGAAAGTCAATTTTGTTAAAATAATATTGAAATGAAATGCGCTAGTCGCGTCGAGATTATTATTCTGATTGTAACTGACAGAACTGACTATTTTTAACTTTAATTTTGAAGTAATAATTTGCATTAAGACGCTACCTGAATTCGTTATTTCCATCCGGGCGATTTATGTGAAAAGTTTTTCCAACCAACAGAATTTCCTTGATTTGCCACTCCCGTGCAATTAAATTAATCTCCAAGAAAATTGAGATCACAATCTCCTAGCTGCTTCCAAGCATTGAATCTAAAGGGAAATGATTCGTCATAATTTATTTGCCGAAGCGAAACGTGCTTCAATCTTAAAAATTGCACCAAGCGATAATAATTCCGCCGTTGACATTCATCCTCGTTGAGAAATTACATCTTTAACTTATGTGAAATATTTCGAGTTTCTTCAATTACTTATTAATATTTTACTTCTTATTGCCCCCATTTAAACTGAAGGTAAACAGCAGATGAAGAATAATAATAAAAAAAACTTTTATCCAAATATTATTACCCGTCAAGCTAAATTCTTAATGAAGTTTTACATTTCGTTCGTTTTTGTGTCTGCTATCATTTCTTGGAATATTAACTTTAAGGGTGAAAGTTTTTTTAATATTATTCCAGCACGAAATTCTCATCAGTGTCAATTAGTTGCCGATATCATGTAGCTCAAGCTGCTGATTTCTTTGAAGGAAACTTTTCTCTTTGTCTGCACATTCGCCAAACTTTTGAAAATAAAATAATTCTGAACTTTAAACTTATAAGTATCACTCAAAATGTTAAACCTCGATAAGTTAATCGTTTCAACTCGTCAGATGTAGAAAGAATTATTCAGACTTTCTTCAAACTTTAATGTGGTTCTCGTTATTCATGGAATTAAATAACGCTTGGCAAGTTAACGAAATAGTTGAACCGTCAAAAATATAATTTTTTGTTTTATTAACAAGGGGGAGAAGCATAATAAAGTTTACCGTCACAGTGAAACATTAATTCAATGTCGACTTCCCTCGATAAGTCACCTGTTGATAATCATCGAAGCCGCAATTTGAATGCGTCGGTTGACTCATTTTTTGCTTTTCAATTTCCAGTTTAAAATCAAATTCAAGTACAATACTTCATTTTATGCTGGTCTATGCTTTATGCTTTTCAGCATTACTCACTGTCGCTTCAGATCCCGACAAACGCACACCAAAACATTAAAACAAAACTCAAATTATTTTACTTTTTGAAGTAATTTGATCAGACAATTTCCTGAACTGTCGAGGCAATGAAAGGCAAATGAGAATAACGGAAATCGGAAATATAGCAAGTGTTAAGTTTTATTTTATGTTCATTTGTACAACGTGCTTGATGACGAAGTTTAAGGCATTGAATTAGTATTCAAATCACTGCAATGAATGTTAGATTTTGGGACATCAACACACCGTAAAACACACATCGTCATGATTGCTCAGCTAATTAGCAGATTTCTCTTTTCAAGCACATTTTTTATCGTCTTTTTCTGCTTCTGCAAACGAAAATCTCTCGCATTTACTTTCCCGCACCGTGATTTTGAAGCAATCAACTGTCGGGCGATAAACGAATGAAAGGTGAGTAAGTAAGTTCATTAAAGACGTGAACGAGACGAAAGGAACAAAGTTGGTAGATTGATGTAAAAATAGCAACAATTGACAGCTATGGTACCTTGAGTATCTATCGTTCAATCAGCTACCAGTTCTGTGTAGCCAAGATTTATGATTTTAATCTTAGGCAAAAAATCTCTCGACTCAAAACGTCACAATTTCTTCATTCGTTTTTATTTTCGTAGAAGGTAAATTAACCCAAATCGGAGTAAAGCGTATAAAAAATATTTTCCATTGAGTTTTAAAAACTTTTTATGACAAGTTTTGAACTGAATATGAATTTGTGTCTTATCTTAAATAGTTTTGCATCAACAGCAGATGAAAATTGGAAAACTAAATCAGCAGTGGAAAATTTTATTAGATATTATAAATCGTCAGATAAAGATGCGATTTCGTCTTTGTGTTTTAAGGGGACTTCTTAGAATTGAGCTTTTCCATTAGCACGACGTGATAAATTGTTGCCTTAGCGAACTTCAAGCTTGATTGCGATCTGAAATTACAACCGCACAATATATTAACGCCGAAGGCACAGCAGTTGAATTAAAGAGCGAGAATTAAGATTTATAAATGTTTTGTGATATTGTGGTAGATATCTTGATATGACTTCAAATCCTTAGCACGCGTTTTTAATAAATTTTACAAGTATGTAACAGCAGCTACAGTTGGAAGAGAAATATTTCTTCTCATTGTGTTTATCAACTTCACAGATTGCGTGATAAAATGCGATTAGCTGATTATCATCACTTGGAAACTTGTGATTATTTATTTATTCATTTGAGATGTTTATTCAAAACAATATCAAAGATATTTATGAAAAGTCCCCATGGCACTTTAATTAAAATTTGCCCCCGCAAACTAAATATGTAAAACCTTAACTGATCTCATGAATTAGATGCAAAATGTTTATCATCATCATCATTGATGTACTTTTGTTTTTCACAACTTCCCTTTCTTACACATGAAAGCGTACAAAGAGCCTGAGACGAAACCTTCTGCTTATTCATGTGAAAAGCAAATTCAAAACAAGCAAACAATTTCGTAATTTTCCGTTTTCCGGTGGATGCTTCAAGCAATTGTCGAGAGTTTAAAAAAATGGAACAAGAATTTTCTCTATTCAAACATATTTGCTTCTTATGCTTTGTGGTGTGAAATTAAATTTCTTCCTACACCAATTTTTCGCTTTTCAGAATTTTCATCGTTATGAACAAGATGTGAGAACAATAAAAATTGTGTAAAAACGAATCAGAAAATATTTGGCAAGGAACTTTTAGGCGAGAAAATTTTCCATGTTGATAATTCGAATATTTAAAAATTAATCAAGAGGATGAATGAATGCTTCAGTGGTGTAGAAGAAATTTGCTTGATTATCATGGAAAAACAAAATTCAACATTCACAATACTCAACACATTATAATGAAATATAAACCTCGAAGTCAACATGCAATTTATGTGTTGGCTCATTTGTTTTGTATGCATTTTACAAGAGTAATAAATTAAATTTTCTCCCACTTTTCGACTCTTTTTCAGGGTGAAAAATATAAAGTTAATGAATTAATCTGATGTTTCAATTAAATTATAATCCATGTACATAGAAGGATACGAGAGAAATGAATTAAGAAATGTAACAAAAGAAGCAATTGTGAAACAGCAATTTGTAACCACCGCACCGGTAAGAAATTTTGGGAAAAGTTTATCGTTCAGAAGCATTTTATTCATAAATTAATGAGGTGAGATAGGATTATGGGCTTATCCGTTAAATGATTTTACATTTTCCTCTCGAGACATTTTAATGCTAACATATTTGGTTTTATGGTTTACTTCTTACTCACATTTACGGATCTCTATGTACACTACTTTTGAATGTTTACTTTCCGGATCATGAAACTTAACTGAAATTTCACCTCAAGCTTGTTTTTCTTAGTATCTCAAGTATCTCAATGAGATCACCATTAATTAAGAAACATCAAAAACCAACTGTTTACTTAATTAAAGTCAGTCAGGTTCATGTTCAATGGAATGGAGTAAAATTTTAAAGACATAACTTCTATTAAAGCGCCAAATTAAGAATCAAAAACATTTCGCCAATGAACAAATGAGATTTAATCTTAACATGGACCGAGAAACAATATTAATGAATGAATGTGTGCGCCCTCCTTTGTTACGCGCCTCTAACAATGGACACATTGCGACTTGAGAAATGTTTAAATTGCTTCTTTCTCTCGACCGTGAAAAATTACTTCTTTAATGTTACGAATGCTTTTTGGTGAGTTAAACTCATTTGGGATGAGTGTAATGAAATATTTATGCTGATGTTATTCTTGTGAAAGGGCCGGGAAAATTATATTCATAATGATTTCACTTGAAACAAATTAGACGAGGGTTCAGATAAACTATTAAGGTTTGTTTTAAATCTGAGAAGTTTTGAGTTGCCTTAAAGTTTTTGATCCTCAAACACATCGAAAAGTTAACCATGTGAAGATAACTCTTGAACACTTCCCAAATGCAATGTATCCAACTAAATTTTGGTAAATTCAAAACTTACCAATCATTCAACAAGCTTTCGTAACCAGAAAATTTCTGATGATTGAATTTGAAACTTCATTCTGGTAATTAAATAAATATTAGAAAAACTAATTGAAAATTTGTAGATTAACACAAATTTAATTCACAAACTTCATGCTTGAGTCTCTTTTCAAAATTAATTGATTTCGATCAATTTTCAATTAAAGAATATTTTTTAATAACTTTTCTTCTTCTTAGATTTACGTCGTTAGCGACAAACGAATTTTTTAACGCGAATGGTGTTGAAATATTTAATATAAATTTCAGTCATCTATCTTCATTTGATATTCCTGAAATTTCAGTTAATAAAATTCTTTCTTCTCTTTCCAAATGATTACCGAATTCATGTTGATAGAAAATCTTTTTTAAATATTCAGCAAGTCAAAGCTCAACGAAAAATTTGATCCCGTCGTAGCGAATTTTTTAGCAATTTCCGTTCAATTTTCTTTCGCTCTCTTTCTTTACTTCATGCCTTTGCGAACTTTCCATAAATCACGCTGTTCTGACTTCACATCATCACAACAACCAGAAGCTAACCGGTTAAGATGTGAAACAACAAAAAGTCATGCGACGTATACGAATTTCTTCTATAATATTAAATTTCTGACATAATCATTTTAATCTGTTCGCAAAATTTATTTTTCATGTTTCATTAACTTTTTTTTTTCTCTCTTACACAAACAGGATTTCCGGATCATATCGATTTTTAATTTTGTTTCGTTAACCAGATATTCCCTGATTCGGTTTTGGATTTTTTTTTTTGATGCATCGAACGGTTGAATGATTGAATATCTTGAGAATCATGTTTTATTTCGTTCTTCGTGATTTTTTATTATATTATTTATGCACCTGTTTTGGATTTGATTACTTAAAACCATGCAGAAGACGTGGAAGAGATGGAACGATGATTAGATGCACTTCTGTGGAGAGTTTGAAGGAAGCTCAACATGTAATCATAAGATTATCTGCACTCTACTTAAATCTATACTTATTTTGTTATTATTTATGATTGCATTGTCATCAATGTGTTCTTGATAACCAAGAATTTGCTACCAAATATTCGCAAAGAATTTATTAAAATGTTAAAAGCGTAAATTTTATTTGCATGTCGATTCAACTTCACAAGCAACCAATAATTAATCTAATGCTAAGAGATTAAAGATCTTCGTTGAAAACGTTTACGAAAGCATTATTCTGTTAATTTCACTTATAAACGGTTGTATTAAATCTCGGCTACATCTAAACATGAAATAAATAATAAGAAGGGAGAAAAGAGAAGAACTGCAATCAGAAAAGGCCAAAACATATGTTCGATTTAACATCTGAAGGTGAAGTTTCATGAAAAGTTCTGCAGTAGCCGAGAAGCTTGTTTTTTATTTCTTATACAGTTTCTTAAGCGCCTGGCTATTATCAAAATGAAATCTGCTTCTTTCTTTTACCGTGTTTCTTAAGCTGCGATTTTTGTTTTTCTTTCCATCCAACTGTGAATGGAGAAGCAGTTTTTAATCTTTTTCGTTTTAATTTCGAAGCAATTTGTTGGTGGCGAATAAAGTTTAACATTTCTGAAGAGAACCAATTAATAAACAATTCTTAAGTTAATCGTTCTCGCCCGCTTGCAGGCATCAGACATACACGCATTGTTAATTGAAGTTGAAGCATTTATTTAGGCGAAATACGAAATGTGAGCTTAATTTGAATTCAACCTCTAAAAGTTCTTTCAACTACCAAAAGCGAAAAGATGGAATTTCTGTTATTTCCTTTATAAATAGCAACATTGATGTGATCATTCAGTTATAAAATAAGCTCCTTTACAGCACTTCACTTTTGTGTGTTCAATAAACATGTTAATCCCGAAAAAAAATAATAAAATATCGAGATCTCCATACACTTAACTCAATACTTGTGAAGTGGAAACGCCAATGAGCTAAAGCAAAAAACCGGTTTCATCGACGATGTGATTCAGATCCCCAATTTGGATGCTGGCAGCGTGTAGAATTCTTATACAACAAAAGCTCATAATTTGTAGTTCATTTCAAAGAAAAATATTCATTTAATTTATGAAGAATGAGATGGAGTGGCTGGTGCGACGCTTCACCTACATAACAAACTATTTATTCATTCATTCAATCTCGTTTCAAGAAATCTTTCTCTTAAAGTATAAACTCAAAGATGAAAAATTCTTTCGATAAAATCGGAATTTAAATGGAAGACTTTATCAAGCAAAATGCATCGAAGAGCGTAACAAAAGAAGTAAATCACATAATTTGTTAAAGAATTTCATTTCTTTGCCTACACCGTGAATTAAATGACGTAGAAAAAATTCTTTCGTTATGAAATTGAGTTCATTGGTGTCATAATTATGAATCATTTGAACATTCAAAATAAAAAAATATTTAAATTGGAATATCTGAGTTTGACTGAATGGAAATTGAAATTCGTTTCTATAAAAATTTCCAATGTTATAAATCAACGACAATGTCGTTGACTTGACACTCTGAATATGATTTTTTTATATTTTTGTGACAATATTTTGACCGCATAAACAAGAAGATTATAAAACTTGATCGACTTTATCAAATGCAAATTCCAAACTCAATAAAACATTAACTTGAATCTGAAAACGTATAAAAATGTTAAATATGTTTCGTAATATTCGCCATTGAATGATCTATTTAGCGGATTTGATGTAAAGATAAAGGCTTATAACGAATTCACTTTCATTAAAGTTCATTGAGCGACTTTCAATGACTTTCTTTCCGTACACGTTACTTATGAAATAACTTTATTGTCTTGCAAATGGATAAGAGAATGAAACAATAGTCATGCGGACCTCTGCGCAGTTAATATGATAATTTCTTCCGACGTTGAAATTTTATTATGTAATCTTTAATTTGAGCAAACTAAAGATTTTCAGTCGACTTTCTCCGACTCGCGGGGTTTCTTTTGACGAACGAAGAGAAATTGAGCNTAGTCGGAAGGTCCATGGATAGTCGGATGGTCCATGGATAGTCGGAAGGTCCATGGATAGTCGGAAGGTCCATGGATAGTCGGAAGGTCCATGGATAGTCGGAAGGTCCATGGATAATCGGAAGGTCCATGGATAGTCGGAAGGTCCATGGATAGTCGGAAGGTCCATGGATAGTCGGAAGGTCCATGGACAGTCGGAAGGTCCATGGATAGTCGGAAGGTCCATGGATAGTCGGAAGGTCCATGGGCAGTCGGAAACTCCACACCGGCCGGAGTAACTTAAAATTATGCGTTAGCATAATTTGAAGCTCCCAATGTGGAGCTTCCCCATCTCCAATTTTATTATGTAAACTTTAATTTGAGCAAACTAAAGATTTTCAGTCGACTTTCTCCGACTCGCGGGGTTTCTTTTGCCGAACGAAGAGAAATTGAGCGATGCCTTCTGTTTGAACATTCACAGACGATTTTTTTTTGATCGTTGTCGTGAGATAAAAGCATCTTGCAGGTTAAACTGATGACTAAACTTGAAACATGAAAACTGATTCATCACTTTAACTTGTCATAGTCAAGACGATTGTGGCGCGATGATTGTCAAATCACGAGAGATCTCTGGGAAAAAGTTGTGAAGCTGTTAATTAAACGAACTTCTCTATATAGGTGTGAATGTCTATAAAACACTTCATCCTGATACGCTACGCTAGTTTACTTTTAGCATTATTTGTTTTACACGTTTTGACGCATGATAATTGGTGACGGAATTCTTTAAGAACCTCGACATGACAACCTGACCTCGAAAATCAATTCTAACAATGAATGCATGACAGGATACCCAAATGATTGAGTAATAACAAAGAAAAAGTTAATTAAGTCAAACCGAGAATAAAAGAAAAAGAATCTCCATTCATCCAAAATGTTACGAATATTAAGAAGCGGCAAACGTGAAGCACCACCACCAGCTGCAGTCCTTTTTTATTATTGAAAATAAAAGTGAATTGCCGTAAAAAAACGACGTTGCCGGTGTTGTTAATTGCTGTTTTCCCACATCTCAATTGTTGTAACACTAAAGATACATCGTTTGTAAAACATAAATTTTCGTAAGCTATTTTCGCACGGAAGCCTTGACTTTATTGCATTTTCCCATCAAACTCTCTTCTTCATATTGATTTTAATTTAAGAAATGAAATAAAAAAGATTCACAAGGTAATGGACAAAAATTTAAAACTGATAGTCATCATCAATTGTTGTGCGAGACTCTTCATCATCAATTTTATGATAATCATTATTTAATTGAGAAACGATTTGCTATGTGAAAATTAAATACTTCCTAAGCTTTTAAATAAATTACGCTCTCTCGGAGGCATCATTAGCAGAGGCTTCTTTTCAATTCACCTCTCTACTCTACGCAATTCCCAAGTGATTTCTTGCTCACATGCTTGCTTACAATGTCATTAATGAGATAAATCTCTCGATGTAGATTGTTTGTATACTAATTGAGTTAAATCTTATGCCTTAAGTAAACAACTCTACCATGCTGTTTAACCGTTTTCATTAAAAATGGCAGGTGAAATCATTTAAGATACTTACATCGTCAGTTTATTTATTGTGATGATTTCTAAACTCCAAGTGCTTAAAAATTATGTCAATTGAAATGATTATGATATGAACTCTTATTAAGTTACAGAAGGTAACTTTATTGCATTATATTTCAAATTGAATACGAGACACTTGTAACACTTCAACTTTTTCTGCTGATGATTGTTTGACTATTATTTTTTTATATTCTTTTATTATTTCGCTTGCAACAATAAAGTGTTCAGCTAACTTCTTTTTTTTTTCAAACAACTCTCTTCAAGTATTTTTTTTATTCATCATAAAGTTCACGATATACAGCAATGATTTTTTTTCTACCGACACACTCGATAATTCAAGAGAATAACAATACAACAGGTAGAGAAAAAAAATTAACTTAAGTGATTTTGAAACACGACTTGTCAAATTGAAATTCGAGTTAAAACTAAACTATTGAAATCAAAAAGAAATGTTAAAGTCGGAGGTTGATTCTCTCAAAAGTTAAAGAGAGAGAGAATGCGTGAGAGACTTAAACTTGAGAGAATTGCGCAAGTCAAGTGCAAGCTGTAAGTCAAGTCAACTTACTCAACTCTGCTTTATCGACTTTCCATAAAATTGCATTTCATTGAAGATTTATTTAAAATAACTTTTTATTATCCTTAAGCGAATTAAATGAAAAGCCATTAAAACGATGTGACATGATCATTGATAATAGCTTCTTCATCTTAAGTTGTTAAGATAACAAAGTTATCTCATTTAATGACTAAGCATCCCTTCATTTGGATATCACGAATGTATAATAGATCATATCTTTAATGGAACTTTTCTTGATATTTCTCATTCATTGCCTTGTCGGTATCATCAATAAAACATCAACGCCTGAGTTTTGAATAAAAATGTACAGCATAAACCCAGAACATTTCCAATAAAGCTAGCATCAAATGGAAATCGAGAAAGGAACGCAGATAACATTAAGTAAGGTTTTTCAAATAAATGGAAATCCATTAGGAAATCGAGAGAGGTTTTTCCTTTTGCCGTCTTCTACTCAAAGAGGGGTAAGCCTTTGTAAATGTGAACAAGTGTTTCAGGAATACATTACGCGATGTTATGCTGCGCAATCAACACATAATATTTACACACGTTGGGTTCATACGAAACATGTTGCATAAAACATCGTTTATATTAAAAATGTTAAATATTTTCGGCGAAAAGATGAAACCGTAACAGAATTTTCAGATGATCCGCAAAGTAAATAAAATTATTCAGCTTTATTTGGAAATGAAATTGATCGAATGATGTGTGCTTTTAATTTACATGGCATCGTTATTTTAATACGAGAAGAGAAATAAAAACATTCATTACATGAGAAGCTCGAGGGCTTAATTATGCAAATCCCCTTGAATATAAAACATCTCTTGTAGCATGAAATTCATTACAATGATCTACAAAAGGTGCTCAAATAATCAAGCAGCAGTGAATTTCTAAGTCAATTTCATCAAATGATTTATAAGCTTTAATGTCCTGTGAGAGATGATAAAAATTGAAATTAATTTCAAAAGCGACATCATGCTTCAGTGGTTATATGCAGCATAAATTTTAATGAGTGCTCCTTAGCAATTGTTAGAAACGCTCACCTTGAGTTATGAGTTGGTTGAAAATTCTTCTTCGTTATCATCAAGCTCGCAAACGTCTTACCATGTTGGTTGTTGTTGAAGTAAGATGTCACTCGTCTGTAATTATATTCTGTTCTGCACTCACTGAAAAGCCAAAACATTTTCTGAGTCGAGAAGTTTCTTGCTTCACGAAGCGACAACATAAATTAAAAAGAATTTTCTGTTTAGTAAATTAATTTAATAACGTCTCTGTGAAAACAGCTGGAAATAAATCAGAATTTAGGGAGAAATTTTTGCAAACAATTTTTTTAATATACGAAATAATCATGATTTGCTTTATTAAATATTTTCCTTTTGCAATTGTTTGTGAGTTTTAACAATTTCACAGAAATATTTTTTGTTTGCATCGTTTCACGGTTTTGTCCTAAATTTTTTCTTTATTATTTGATGTTGTTCAATGATCAGCCAACGAGAAAGCACAAAATAGAATGTAAATAAATCTTCCTTTCTTCCCTGCATAAATTTGAAGCTTCAATTTTCATCACTTAACTTCATTTAAATCAACATTTTGTGACACAACCATCGAACAAACCCATCAAATTTTCGCTTTTCTGCTGAAATTTTATGCATCATGATTTATTCACTTAAATGCTTTCATATTATGTCATATAATGTACCATCATTTCATATCTACTTAGAAAATTTTCTTCAGTTTAAATTTCTTCAAATTATTACTGTTTTAGTTTTGATAACACCCTAAATAGTATTCACTTTATTTTAAATATCATAGATATCACATTGAAAATATAATTTCATCTACTTTTATTTTCATTAATATTTTATTTGCTCTTAAAATTTTTTACATAAATTTTTCAATAGATTTTCTTTTTTCTTTTTCAGCTAACAAAAAGCATTTTTCTTTTTTTTTTAATTCTTTTTGTTTCGTTCCTTTCTCTTGCTTAGAATTTTTTTTCTTTAAATAAAAAATCTTTTACTTCATGCTTGCAGTCATGCTTTGGAGTTTCAGGATAAATAAAAAAACGTGAACGCTCGAAGGAAAAACTTTTCCATTAAAAGACATTTTTTAAACAGATTCTTAAGATGCAAACTTCTCCATTATTTATTGTCGTTAAAATATTTTCCTTATTCAACCTTTAAAATACAATATTTGACTGCTTTAACAAAATAAGAAGGAAAAAAAGAGAAAACTTCGAAATCAGGAAAATTTGACGACATTTTTGAGTGTGCCGTTATCGCTTCGAGCAACTGTGAAGTGTTGTCATCAGCTCACCTATTTATGCACAAAATAAATTGATTAAGTGTCGAGAGAAATAAGGCAATCATGACAAAATTCAGATAATGAAGCTTCCCCGTCGTCTCGATATGATGTGATGAGCAGCCGCTGTGATGAAGTTCCGCTAAACTTTCTTCTGAAACAAAGTTATTGAACTGCAGTTATGAGAATCTTTATATAAAAGTTGTCAACATAAATGAATCTTTATTGACAAAGAACTTCTTTTACACGTCCGTGCATGCCTACATAAGTTTTTATGTTTATGTAACTTGAAAGCTTTTCAGAAGAACACTCAAGGTTTTCCTGAGGTTGCCATTTACACAAACTCAGTGGGACTTTCTTTCGCCAAGGATATTCATAAACGTAAACAATAAAGAATTTATTGACGAGAATTTATTGTTGTTAATAAGAAAAGCAAAGAGAAAACAAACAATTAAGTTGGGACCTAAACCAAAGATATGCCTTCTTGTGCTTTCAAATCTTTTCTCTTCCTTATTCAATCTCGTGTTGGCGACATTCTGGACGGTTTTATTTGTTTATTGTCAATAATAAAAATGTCTCTTTTTGAACATGCTTTGAAAGTTTTAGTGAGATTGAAAACGGGCGGAAGTAGATTTGATGGGAAAAAATATAATTTTAGTGATGTTGAATTAATGAAAGTTTTCTCTTGAAATCTTCGAAATCAAAATCGCGCATCAATTTCATGTCAGCAAAAATTTGTTCATTCAATACAAATTCAATAAAAGAATTCTTTCATATCATCTAGTACTAATAATGATTTGATGTGGAAACTTTAATACATTTTAAAACAATAAAATGGTTTTCTCTATATAAAAAAGATTTTTCAATTCCCAAGATGAAAGCGAAGTGAATAGGAAAATTTTATGTTGAAAGAAGTTTTTACAAGAAAATGGCTGAAAACAACTTGCAATAATTTTTTCTATCACATTAAAGCCTGAAACATAAGAAAAGTTTCTGCTCTTTTCAATTCCCAAAATGTTTTTCCAGCCACAATTTCTCAACACAAAATGACGATGTACAAATAAAATTGCAAATGAAAGTTTTATTGTTTTTTATATGTTTTTCATGGTGTTGTTCTTTATCATCCAAAAAGATAAATTTGTATTTGTAGATCATTTTTTCTTGGTCTATGTCTCGTTATTCATTTTATAGAAAGATAACATAACTTCTAGCATAACATAACATTGCATAATTTGGAAGAAGGAAAGACAATGCAAAATATTTTTTTGAATCATATTGTGGTATCCTTTTCAATGGCATTCAGTATGTTTTCGCTTAGCAAGGAACTTTGAAGGATAATGTTAAGCATGAATGTGAATAACAGAAACATTTCAGACTACATTAAGTTCTTCTTTATAAGGGTTTCGTTTTTCGAAAATGATAAATGCGCCTCTACATTATTCGAGAAGAAGAACATGTGAGATGAAATTGAAAATGGAAATCTAATGTAGTTTTGATTCAATAGAATTTCTGTTCATTTGAATTGCCGAAAGCCTTCGTCTTAATAAATACAAAGAGGGAAAATAATTTGAAAGCCTTGTCGAATAATGTAATAAAATTATCACATTTCAACTTGAATACAAAGCAATTAACTCAACAAAAAGGGAAATGGTGTAAGACAATTGTTGAATACATTTCAGTTAAATTCAATTATTTAAACTTTTCATTGATGTTCCACAGAAATACTTCCAATAAGATATTCTCGACATTTTCGGATCTTCAAACATGTCGATGTGCGTACATGAATTCGACTATTCTCCTGAGGTTTTTGAAAAGCTTGCTCAATACAAACAACTTTTTTTTTTAGAAAAAGTAAATAAAAGCGGTCTTGGATTAAGACGAAAAATTTACCGTACAAGTAGATTTATAATACTTATTGAGTTGCTTAGATAAGTATGTAAGATTCAAAATGTGTAAACATTAATAGAATATTTTATGTGAATAACATTTTACGTCTAACAAGTAACGTTCGTAAGCAGCTTTCTTACCCAGGATGATTGGAATAATAAGGAAAAAGTTTGGTCGATTATAAGCAAGTAAATTTTGATGTTCATCGACGTGAAAAATTGAAAACTTCATATTAAGCGCTTTAAGGAAGTCGACGCTTTTATTTTATGTATACGAACATTCGAAGAAAATAAGAATTGATGCTCTGCCTGAAAGAATCGCCTAAATCAGACCTTTTTTGATGTTCATAGCAAACAGCACATTTAAGCATCTCTTTTTTCACCTCCTCACTTTGAACAAAAAATATTGGATCAAATGGAAAATCGATAAAGGTCACGGATCCATAGCCACACATTCTTCGCCGGAAAAGCTTTCTGAAGGAATCTTTTCGGCATATCATAAGATCCTTTAACACAGCGAAATAAACTGATTTGAAGGCAATAAGGTACTCTAGCGACCTGCTAGATTTAACTTTATTTAATGATAAAGATTGCTGGTTGATTCTTCCGTTTGGCTTCTCTTTAAATTGTCCCTCTGATTGAACCGTAAAAAGTGATGACAGGGAAAGTAAACTCCACTGTCGCCCTTTAATTCTAGGAAATATTTGAAAATGTAAGCATAAGGAGCTGAATTCAAATCCCTTTTCTAAATGAAAAGATTGGAAGGATTCTTTTATGTTTTCTTTTATGGAAGATTTTGATGAAACATCTCAAGTCTAAGATAGACGTAACATCGTGGGAATACAAACAGAAGAAGTGTCTCAATGGAGTAATTCTGAATCTTAACGACATAAAAATTCTATTGCCAGTGACAAGCTCCGAATTGTTAACAACGAAGGATTGAAGTGAAAGAAAAATAATTTCAATTTCGATCTCAAATAGAATTTTCTTTATCGTTAAATAGATAATGTTTGCGATGTGTAGTTTATTACACTTTTCCTTGGAATGTTACGATTTTCTTTTATTTTAAAGTCGTTAAAATTTTCCAGGATGTGAAGAATTTAATTGTTGATGAAATTTGTAATTGAAATCATTGGATTTAATTTTAAAATTCCTAATTGTCCTAGGATTCCTAGAAACACTCCCAGAATTCCCAGAAACATAAAACTTTGAGCATATCAACGACAAATGAATTTAAAATAAAAATTGATAGCAACGATTTGAGATCTTCAATAGAAAATAAAAAACGAATCAAAGGTGAAGACTTTTTCAACTTTTTTCATTAAAGTCTTGTCCAATGGTTGTGATAGAAAAGTTTTGTCTTTCCTTCTGTCCTTGAGTAAAACTTTTATCCGTACGTGTAGTTTGTGAAACGGAACTAGGTATTTGATTTTCAATTCAACGAAAATTGATTTGCGATTGAAAAGTTGAGTTTATCTCTATCTTTCTCTTGAGTGTTGAAAAAGAAAATTGATTTCGGTTCAGATAGAATAAGTTTTGTGGGGGACATATAGAATATGCTTTTTGACATAAGAGGGCTTAGTGCAGTTTCGAATCACTTCAGGGAAAGACCTTAAAAGAACTTTCAATGTATTGAGCGCTGGCATGCTTTCAGTATTGAAAGAAATACCTTCGCAAATGATCAACTATGGACTCAGGAAATTCAATTATCGAATCTTGCATTCATAGAGCTTTTACAGAATATCATGACAGACACGTTTCCTTACCATTGAGAACATGAACGAGAACTGTGTATTGCTGCGACTCTCCAATGGAACAAGTGTAATTGCCCGAGTCGGTTTTGTTTACTTTGGCCACAAGTAAAGTTGAGTTTGCTCCTATTTCCATTAGATCGGTTTTTACGCTTCATTGAAATAGAAAAAAAGAAAAAATTAATATTACTCAAGCAGAATGTCCCTGAGGCTCTCAACATAAAAATTAATTACATAAAATGTGTTAAAGCTTTGAGAAGAGTTTAAAAACTTTCAAATAATTCATTATAAAAGTAATTCAATTGGATGAATCGAAATGTCTTTTTTAGAAATCTAATTTAATAAAAGATTTTTTGTTGACCAATTGACGAGCTTCAATTAAAATTCATCGTGAGAAGTTTGGAAAGGAACTTTGCAGGGTTCAATCATAAGTCAAACTTTGAGTTCTTCCTATCTGTGATATTTTATTAAATTGAATCTTTTACAAACTTCCAACTAACCTTATTCCACCTCTGATCACGTCATAATTCAATATTGTAAAGTTGTTGTGAATCCAATACACTACAGACGACATCATTGAAATATGTCGAACAATGCACGTCAATCGTATCGTTGAATCAACTTCATAATATTTGTCGAGTAGTGAAATGCCTTGTTCGTCAACAATTCGAATTGTTGGTGCTGAAAACAAAAGATTTAAAAATATATTTAAATGAAAGTGCAAACCATAAATCGGTTTAACTCGTTTTACTCGTTAACATCGATAAATCTGCGGTAATTGTCAACAACATACAAAAAGAGATTATCTTGAGTAGCAAATTATTTCATTGTTAATTAAAGTTATAAAATATTATCGAGTATTTAAATCGATTTTTTTGTTGTTTTACACGACCACAAGAGAAGTTCGATGCTCTCTGGGAGTTGTTTCATTCATTCATTTATCGTTTGTTTACCGCTTGGGTTAGAGAAGTGATTTTTATATTTATTCTAGTTTGTGAATGCCAGAATTCTGAGAAAATATTATCTTTTCATGTTTTCATGACACCACAGTGAATAAGAGAGCAAGCGATTCAAGTTGAAGCGTGTCTGCTACACACAGTTTACGACTTTCTCTGTTGTAATATGTTTGCTGAATGGAAAATTCATTGAAAGTTACGGTTTTAGTATCAACAGAAATGAGTGACATAAATATCATGTCATGTTATACTTTGAACGATGATAACATTGCTTGAAAAGCAAGATTTTATCACATACACCATAGACAATCATTAAAGTCAGTTACAATGGTTGGAAAGTTTTTCCCATGAATTTTTCATCTTGCGCCGAATAAAGCTTACAATATTTAACAAAAGCAAAGTTTTCAGCCGCAAAAATGGTAAAACTTACTGATGATAATAAATTAATTATGGTTGAGAATGAAAACTTAGCATAAACACAGCTCAATTTCGCTCGTTTTCCGAGGCAGTATTTAAAATATAAATATTTGATTCAAGGACAAAATGGTCGTATACAATACCACCCGAAAATTTCTAATTTACATTCTACAGCGGCTTGTGTAGCGGCGTATCATGTCTTAGAAGAAGAACTTTTCAATTCCCAAGAGTTGTTGATGAGGCTATGAAGTATTTTAATTATAATAATGTTTGATTTTATCGCAGTGTGAGAATTTGGGGCGCTCCCTTCGATCCGCTTAAACCTTTCATAACCATCCTTGCTCTTAACTAAACGGAACAACTTTCTCGTTCAAATGTAGATTCTAGTAAAGCAACTTAATTAAAATAACATGAAACTGATTTAAATTCAACTGTCATCGAGGTCTTCCAAGAATCGCCTAAGTCGTTAGTGAGGAGATTTTAAAGTCAATCAGATTCATAATAACTGGTAGCATATTTATTTGACTGTTTAATCACAAAGCTAGACCGATTCTGCAGCCATTTTTTAATTCTGAAAATTAAATAAATTTTTAATCCCTTAATTTATGGTTTTCTTCATTTGAAATCCCCCGAATTTTAATTTCTCTTTCTTTTATCGAAATTCCATTCTTTGTATTTGAAAAGCAACACTAATCTATGATATTTCAGCTTCGTGAACATCTCACAAAGATAAGAGAAAATTAAGCTTTTAATATTTATCTCAACTCCCACGCTTTTGCTCTTGTTTCGTCCTAAAAATTTCTTGGATTTTCTTGCTTGAGAAATAAAATTAAACATGCATCATAGAACTTAAAGATTGAAGCCTTGATAAGTATTAATAGAATGTAAAGGAAATCTGAGATAAAAATAACTCACGAATTGTGCTTTACGTTAATTTAAACATCACAAGGCATCATAATTAATGTTGAGGTGAAAATAAACCCAACTTTTAGTGTTTGATTGCTCAATTTGAATAAATTTAATTCAGTTTGTTTTAAGCAAAGTGACCTAAATTTGTCTTCAAAAACATGAAATTTGAAAAAGATTAAAGAAATGTATCACGAACATAAATAAATAAATAACACTCGGGACTTACGTCTTCCCTTTTACCTGGAGTAAGCCACAAAACAAACAGCGACATAAAAGTCACTGGTTTATCCTTTTATTCGACACGCACACTCCATCCAATTCAAACTTTTCCTTGCACAAGATATAGCAACAGAAAAAAAAATGTTTTACGATTCATCCCATTCTTTAGCGCCCTTTTTTCGTCGGAATGAACAAGAAGAAAATAAATTGGAAAATAAAAGTTGGTTTTATTTCATTTCGATTTATGGTGGGATTTGTCTTGTGGCAGGAAAGGTGAAAGTGAAGATGAGAAAATCACAACTGGAATTGTGATGAAACTTTTTATATGAAAGAATTTTCGTAGATCATTCAGGATTTGAAAACAATGAAAAATTCTTAATAAAATGTGTGGGAATCGACAGTTGAGATTGTCACTTAATTTATTTATTTGAAATTTCCTTAAATACGAAAGGAAAGCGCGGATTAAATGTTCATAATTTTGCATAATAAACTGACAAAAATTGTGGATACAAAAGACATCATTTGCGTACAAATCTTAATTTTGAATTTACAACTTTCATCTCGGGGATTTCATTTTGAATCCAATTGTGAATGAAAATCAAATGCCCATAAAATAGCTGGGTCGACGAAGGATGAAAATTGTAATTTAGTACTGATACACGATTTTTCACTTACACGAACGTAAAAAAATGTAATCAGTTTTTATGCGAACGAGTGTGCAGAAGAGATATTTGGAAGTTACTGAGGGAGTCTCAAAGCAAATAAGAACGATACGCTAAAATGCTTCACTTCTTTTGGGGTTTCAGTGTGACAGAAAAGTTGTTGTAAAGAACCCTACGTTGATAAATTTCAATTTCGAACTTTCTCTTAGAAGATTTCCGCTCACCTGAAGCATGAGCTCATCTTGATTACAACGGAGACCCCGCAATTTTAGATATTAAAAATCAAGTCAAAATCTTCACCAGTGAAATGATGTGTTCAAAAAGCATGACAAACCCGAACGTTGAAAGACTAGAAACTGATTTGATATTCGTGTATGTTATGTTTTTTCAGGTCATACATTTATAAATAATTTATTCAGCATCCGTAGCTAAGGAAGCCATATGAGACGCTGAAGGTCGAGTCGTGATGGAGATCAAACATTGCTTTCTCTCTAATAAACAACTGTGCTTCAAAATATGATTCTAAGGCACTTGTTAACCCCACACGTCAGCATAATATGCTTATTGGAATTTAGAACTTTCTGTTTTCATTAAACAGAAAGCTGTCCTTAGAAAACAAGATTTGAAGCGAAAGAAAAGCCTCACTCGAAACATATTTCGGAAAGCATGAAAAGCTTTCATTTCCATAATTTTTCAAATAGCTAAACATTCATAAAAGTGAAAAACATTCAGGGATTGAAATTTATTTCTCATTTTTGATTTGTTTTTAACAGTTCTACGAAGCGAATCATGAATTCGCCTTCTGACAACTCCTCAAGAGTCATATTCGATTCTTTTAGCATAATCAGAATAAGTTTGAAATTCTTAAGCAACATGATATCAAAGAAAATCATTGAAATGAAAAAGAAAACAAAATCTTCAAAAGAATTTCTCAAAAGAAACATCTTGACGTTACTTTAAATGACGATGGATCTGATATCAAAAACACTTTTTCATTTTTAATGATTTAAATTTTCTTCGAAGCTTCAAATATTGATTAAAGGAAGCAATTAAAATTACAGGAAATTGATGTAATTTCCTATCATTTCCGTAGAAAAATTCTTTTATAACTTTAATTAAACACAATAAATCTGAAGTTAAATTGAGCGAAAAGATGTTCAAACGAGTGGAGACGAGTAGTAAAACAGCTTTAGATTCTTACCATTGACTCGAACATTATAATGAATAAATCTGGGTGGCGACGTGCTTATCTGCTTGTGAAAATATAAAAGAGTGAGAAGGAGAGAATGTCCAATGAATAATATTTTATTTAATAAAAGAAACCCGAGAAACTCAAATGATGATGTGAAGCTTCCCTACCTGACACTCATACGTCGCTTCATCGATTTTCTGTGCAGATGCAATTTTCAGTCGCCAATTGTTGGGATATTGGAAGTCGACAGAATATCTCGGATCTCCCGAATAAGTTTGTTTTCCTACAGTAAGAAGCTCAAGACCATTCTCTCCACTTTTCCGACGTACCCATGAAACCTGATTTCGAAGAAAAAAATGAACGGAAATTAAAAAAAAGACATTAAAAAGATTGTCAAACATAATGGGAGAGAGCAGGTCGATAAAGTGCAGCTTACCGTTTTATCCTGCAGTAAGCTAATTTTACAATGTAAATAGAATGTGTTTCCAACTTGCACAGTTATATTTGTAACGTTTCCCGTTTCAAAATGTGGTCCATATCTGAAAAGAAAATGATTAAAAATTGTAATTAAATTCTCATGCAGCAATGTTTGCTCTTAATTGAGTCTGCATAATTAGCGTTGCATGCAAATTAAGTTCTTCGAAATGTGCTTTACTTTATTTAAAGATTAAATTTGAAATTGAGAAGAGTTCAGTAATTATCATGAGTCATGACGAGAAATTTTTCACATCAATTTTAATAATTAAAGAAATCACAATTGAAAGTTTTGATAATCTTTCAAGCATACTTTTCGTTCGTTAAGATTCAGATACTTCTCAAGTCATGAATATCAATGAATGTCATTAAACTGATTTGAAAAGTTTCGCTTCTTCATAAAATTCCATCAATCAGCCGCTCATTATAAATAGAAAATTTACTGTGAAAATATTTTTGATTTCTTAAACTTTGTGATTGAAAGGAATATTTAAAAGTTCTCTAGACTGTTGATTTTATTTCTAAATTTATCAATGCTGATTCAACATTTGTTAACTTTCAATCAACAACCAAATAAAAATAAACTGAGAATAATTAATTTAGTTAAAAATGTTTCAAATTTGAATTGCAAAACTCACCGAAAACCATGCTCATGTTTCTTAAGATAATCTGAATGATCAAAAAAATCATTTAAATGTGGCATTTCTATCTTTTGTCCACTTATTCGTATCCCACCACTTGCAGACACTTTAATTAAACTATTACTATTTGTTCGTTGCTTATTTGTTGATTTAAAATTTTGTGTGCTATTCGAGACACTGTGATAATTTGAAGAATTACTTTTCACGATTACTGAACTGCTTGTTAATGACTCTGATACGAGTCGATTGGATAACAATGATTTATTGGTTAATGATAAATTCTCGGTTGTCAATTCGGGAACGTTGTTTGGAGTGTTTCCGGTGGTTTGAATTGTTCCAGCTGATGTTGTAAACGAATTGCTTTTATCAGATGAAATTTCTACGGTGGGAAGGGCGTTTGTCGTTACCAACGAAACGTTACTTCTGGTTATGCTAATTAATGAGTTTTTAGAATCTGAGAAATAAAATATTAAAAAAAATTTTAAGATTAATTTTCTTAGTTTAAAAATATTTTTCCAAGACAAATCTTTCATTAATTTGAAATTTTTAATTTATTAATTGAATTTTTAGTAGAATTATGTAGTCTAAATAAAATAAGCTTTAAGCTTTCAAGCCTTCAAAGAAACATTTCTAAGAAGCTCATTCAATTGAAAACAAACTTCAAATTAGAAATTGTTTTACAAAATTTTGAAAAATAATCCGATTTCACTCGATAATCTTAAGCTTTTATAAAAAGCTTTGTTATTTTTTATTCAAGCCCTAAAACATTTAGAATTTCGATTCCTTCGTTCATATTTACATGTTTATTCGATATCTCATTTCTAATCTGATGAAACAAATCATTTTGATTCTTTTTTATAACATGTTTGAAAGATTAAACTGATTTCGAGTGAAAACATTTGGAAAGCTGAAATTTTCTCGTGTTTTGAGTACACCATAACAATATTCTGACTTAAATCAGATAACAATGAATAAAAGCTTTCACAGACAATATAAAATAAGCTTTCAGATGAGATCTTTCATGATTGCGAATATCATAACTTATTGATTCGAAAAGCAAAAACGCTTAAAAGCATTGTTATCGGTATAAGCTGAGTTCATGTTGTTTTCATTGTTCATTTTCATCGTATGTTAAGTAAGTTTATGAGACTCAATGATAGCAAGTAACTTGAAAAAGAATTTCGTATTCATTTTTACGATAATTTTAAAATAAAGCAAATTCTCATGTTATTCAAAGCTTGTTGAGTGAAATTATGTACAAGAAATTAATTCACAATACAATAAATAGAACAAAACGAAATTAAGTTTTTGAAACTCCTTTCTCTTGTGTCTTCTGTCACAGAGATTCTTTATACATATTTGATTTATTACGTTATGGTGAAGAACGGCCAGAAAAAGAGAAATGATATTCTTCAGTTTCTCAAACAGTCATGAATACATATCAGAATGGAAAGACGAAGAAAGAAGTGACTCCAGAGAATGTGAGAAAAAGAATTGAAAAGAAAGAAAAATTCTTATTGCTTAAGGTTGTCCCAGTTTGAAAATTTCATAATGAAGTCCTTGGAAACATAAAAGGTTTTGATGATTTAAAAGGAAAAATTTTCTCATTGGGTCGGAGCTTTTGTTATTTTTGTCTCGCTTTGTCGTCGTGTTTTTTGGTGCTTTATCATCGTCCCATAAAGCCTTTCTATTCGTCCTAATTTACTCTCTTACGCAAAAATATCATCGTTATATCTAAGGAAAGATATTTCGGCAATTATTAGTATCACAAATACGCATACACGCACAATAGAATTGGCGCCAAGAATCCTCGCAATGATTTTGAAAACGTTATCAAGATCTCTCGTCTCATACTCACCTAAGCTTGTGCTTTCTGTGCTTGGCACAGACTCATTGTTATGACTCTTCAAGATATCGTCGCTGGAGCTAATTTTATTGGGATTTTTAGCATCACTTTTGGGATCATTATCAGGTTGCTTCTGATGACTGTTTACACAGAATGTCATTATGATAGTCAGAACTATTAACCATAAACTAATGCATTTATACATCTTAACTAGATCTCTTTGAATAAATTCATGGGATCGTTTGGGATTTTTTTTAAATATTGGGTTGAAAGTTTCAATAATCGAACATCTTCATGTTTTTGATTTCTTGAATTTTTACCTCAAATTTATTCACTTTTCTTTTGTTAAAGTTCACTTCACTTTTCTTCAATCTTTCGTTGCAATCAATTGTCATGATAGACAGTTCATTTCATTGTTCCTTTGAAAAGTTTTTTATCATTCAGCCAGAAGATCAATCTTTAAAACATGTTACACTTGATGAAGATTGTTAAAATTTTCTGGACCTAAAACGAGAAGAAAGAAACTTGAACGATTCAATAAAATGAAGGAAAATTAAAAAAGAAAACTGACATAAAGACATTTCCTTGTTTTTATTTTATTGATAGGATGAAAATTGTTTTATTGTCATGAACATAGCAACCCTCTTGACGAGATAGAAATCTTTACTAAATGGCATTGCCTTATCTGAGACTTCAATGAGAACTGAAGTCCCATCAACATGACTTGCCATTTAATTTGTCAAAAACAATTTATTTCTCTGGAAAAACGAATCTAGGCATAAACAACAATAAACAATGTGAAGATTTCATCCACTGACGAATTTGTTAGACTTTTATTTAGTTCCTGAGAAATTAATTAATGATAATTTATCATAGAAACGTTAAATGATGTCACGGAGACGGCACTGAAGGACTTTATTTTTATAATTTCACAATTACAATGAAGATGACAGTTGTAAAAAAAGAACCTTCACTTGATAAAATTTTCAAGAAAAGGTGAATCGAGTAAAGCCACTGACAGTAAAACCTTCAAAATATTTTCCCACAAACATGCAAAGCCTAATACTAAAGAAAAATATTTTCATTGCTCAAGAATATTCTAAAAATATTGACATAATTTGTGGTTTCTCTTCTTATTCCAACTCATTATTCGTCAGCCAGTTGAGCTTTTGAAAATTTCGTTTTCCTTTTCGCCATTTTTTCTCAAGAAAATAAAAAGGAAGAAGAAATATATTAAAAAGTTTCCTATGGCTTCATGTCTTTATATAAAACCGTTTTCCTCCTTTCATCTTTGTTCTTGTTTCCAGTTTTTATTTTATGATTTCAAAAATGGATTATAAGCAAACGGCTTTGATGGAAACAAATTCAACAACTTAACGACCTATCCAACTTTTCTTTTGTAGTAAAAGTCAAATTTTAATTCACAAAGCGATATGAATTTCAAAAAGGTCAAAAAACTATGCGAAATTAATTCATCTTAGCTTAGTTAAAGAATTTTCCAATTAAAACAATTTCAATTTAAAAATATTTTTCATGAAACTTAAGAACTTTTAGATCGCTTTCTAAGTTTCAATTTCTTAGCGATAAAGCAACATGAATTGAAATTAATTCTGAAAGAAACAATAAAAATTTATAAAAGCGAAATTTCCATCTCATTTCCTTTGAAAGATGTTTTTTCTCAGTCGATCTTATCCTTAGCATGAGCGATTGCCGGAAGGTACACTTTCGGATAATTAAGGTTGGAGTTCTAGGGATTCTTAATTAACTGCTACAAACGTTCCTCATCATTAAAACAAAGCTTTTCATTTAACAAGAAGGTCTTAGTCATTACGTTACACGAAATGTATCAAAACATTTGACTTCGTACCAATTTAAACAAGAAAAATGTAAGAAAATTAACATCAAATTAAAGTCACGCAAAAGTTCTGTAGACTTTCAATTTTATTTTCGTATTTTTCTTTCCTTCAGCCGCTTTCTTACTTTATTCCAAATGTTGTCGGAATACAGAAGGCAGATGATCTCTGAATTTTCAATTTAATCATTTAGACAAAAGTTCAAGGTTTTAGAATGCTGCCCATGTTTACCATAAAGTGAAGGAAAGACTGGATGGGCGTGAAAGAATTTTTAATGAAAAATATCAGCATGAAGTTTCCGCTTAAATTTCTCATTACAATTCAGTTTCAATCTTTTTCGCTTGCCCCCTGTCGAAAATTTCCTTTTCATATTGTTTTTCATGACTTTTCCTTCTTTTTCTCTTTTGTGTCTCTTACTGCCAATAAATTAGTCAACTCGAACGAGATTTTAAAGCATCCCCTTAGTAGTCATTATATGAAAAGAATGTGCATTTAGTAAACACTGAGATTTCTTTTAAAGATGCGAAGAAAAGAAAAGTTTTTTAGCGCTTACTTACTACAAAGCATGAGAGCTTAAATAATTTATTGGCATGAATTAGTGCTTCTTGTCTGCCGCATAGTAAATGGATTTAAGACTCTTAAAGCAACTTTCCTTCCATTCTTGTCTGCTTGCTCTCCTGCTCAATTCCTTTATCGCGTTTTATTCATCTTTTGGTTCATTTGCGACGGGAGTTGGCAATTTTATACAGTCAAGTTTCGCTTCATTAATCTTTATTGAGTTTTTCATAACAACTTCGAATTGTAAGACATTCAACTGTAGTCTCGCGCTTGTAATCAACGAAAAAAGGTTTTCTTACACTTAAAAAGTGGAGAGCTTATCAAAACAGCAAACATTCTCATCCAATCACTTAATCTTCCTGAAGGAAAAAAGCAGCAGCAGAAAAATAGAAGAATAGGGACAGAAAAATTGAGCTAATTTGTTTATTTGACTTGCAGATAAAAAGATAAAAGCTCGTCTGAATCAAAATTATTTATGGTTGAATTAAATTGTCATGCATAAAGGAAGATTAAATGTCAAAAAAGCTGAGCCTTCATGACAAAGCGACATAAGAATTTCTTGAAATTGAATCTTTCACTTTCACGATGACTGACGCGGCATTTCGTTTTTTATATTTTATCGAGATGTACGCCGAGATTAAGAATCATTAGATGTTATTCCATTCATTTGATGATACAAAGTCTGATAAGAACCTTTAATCTTTATTAATGCCTTCTCCCTCTTCGCATTACACAAAATAAACTTCGGATATATTTTATTGTTATTGCAAGAATTTCTCATGTAGTCTTTAGACGAAAGGAAACTACCAATCGCACGAATGATTTATTGACTTTCTAACTACAAATTCTTCTTTTTCCTTTAAACTGCCGCCAATAAATAACAACCATACATCATGAGACAGAGTAACATCTATCGAAAAACAGCGGGACAAAATAAAATGTTTCCTCTCGCATCGTTTCAACGCTAATAAAAACTTTCAAAAAAAGAAAAACATTTTCATCTATGGCTTCGCTACAAAAACGTGCTTTTATCATCCTCGACTCTCATTCCAAAGCCAATTTGGTAGCATAAATCACCGCTAAAGAAAATAAAGTTGGTGAAAGATTTGAAGTTTCAAATTTTATACGTCTTATAATTTTGCGCATAAATTACGCAATTTAAATGAAATTTTTATGTTTTTCTGTTTTTCAAATATCTAAATAAAGTTTAAAACAAGAAACTTCTGTTTTGACTTTGAATTCAAAAGTTTTCTTTCTAACATTTTTAAAATAAATTCGACAATAAAGTAAATTTATAACTATCGTCGTATGTACAGCAATTTGTTACAAAATATTTGAAAATTTGTTTGGTTTTCTTCATACTTTCAAGCTAACTTTTATTTTAAAATAGCAATTTTCAATTCTTAAATGTAGTGCAAGCAAACATTAATAAACATGATTTAAATCGTTTGATTCAATTTAAGAAATTTCCAATGCATATACGAACAGCACAACAGCAATAAATTTAATTTAATATCAATAAAACAAAGTATAAAAGCGAAGTATGGAATGAATAATTCTAAATTGACAGTTTAATATCGATAGATAGCAGATTTACATCCTCAACTTTCAAAAATAATGAGAAATGGAAGCTTTCTATGTTCTCCTTTCAACTGTAAATCTTCCTTCAACATTTTATGCAAAATAGAAAGATCGAATCAATAGCGATTAGATGGAAAGTGGAGGAAACTACCTACTTATAAAACAAGTTCTTTTCGAAGAATTTCCATATTCCTGAAGCTTTTTTATACATGAAAACGTCCAATCTATTATTGAGTGAGGGTTTATGTTTGCATACCACAGGAAGAAGAAGGAAACAAACATGCTAATAATAATATTTTGAGTTCTGTGTTCAACTTATTACTTATGCTTGTATACTCTCAATCCATAGTTTGCTGTTAGAAATAAAACTGGATCGGTCATTTACATATTCTTCCTTTAACTTATTCATTGTACAGCACTAGAAGCAGCAAACCGTGGCAAGCTCAAGAGATAAGTTATTCCAATTTTGATGTGCTTTGGGGTTCTTTTTTTTGCTTTTGTTGCTTTTTTTTCTGCCATTCATTGACTGTTTTTTATGTCATGTAGAAAGCGGATCACGGGGATCATGATACTGAATGAGGTTTAAAAGTGGAAGAAATAAATCCATCATTTTAGATGGAATGACAACAGAATTCTTTGCATTTAATGTGAAAACTTTTTCACATGTTTTTACCTAACCAGGAGGTTTGGCAGTAAACTTTAATCAATATTTTAGATACAAGGAATTTTGATTTCAAGTATTTACTATCATGTAGATGTTTATAGAGTCAACAGCCTTTTAAATAGACCACAATCATCTTAATTTATTTCATTCCATCCTTTTTTTGGTCTTATGATTTTTGCGCCCTTCTCAAGCATTAACCCAACTAACATCCCATTCGAGGAGGATTCATTCAATGTTAAAGACAGAAAAACGTATTCAATGTGGGACAAGAGAGTGATTGATTAGACTTTTATGTGATTCAAAGGAATCCATTTTCCGACCTCAATATTCACTCATATCATCTTTGTGGAAATTCCAACCAATTTCCTTCACATCATGTGACTCTGTGTGGTCATATAGTGGAAATTGATTGCTTTGAATAAGTGTAGGCTGCTGGTAACTTTCAGTTCATCCCATTTCATGCATGTCTACAAGATATTTTGGCAAAGTTCATGCTCATGCTGTGCGAGGTGTTTCTCTATATGCTTTCCCACCCCCCATCGTGTTTCCATTCCGCTAACAAATCAGAATTTTAACAGAAGTTGACCACAAAAATTCTTCATAGAATAAATAAAAATGTTATCACAGAATGATCGGCATGTGGTCGACATTATAATGACAAAAAATGTGTCATGAAAAATTCTCAGTTGATGCTTTTTTTTTCTAAGCTGAGCTAGACAAACATTAGAAGTTTTTATGTTTCTTCCTTCTTCAAGCACTTTCATTAATCACTGAAATAACGGAGAACTTTATGTGGTAACACAAAACTCACATTAGCTTGAAATTTATTTCCTCAAATCTCGAACATTACAAGCTTCATTGCTTTGTGTCTGTTCAAGCGGTTGATTAAAGCAACAGACTCGTTTTCTATGTTCTGTTGGGTTTTATAACTAACGACTTATCAACATCACAGTACTCTCTACCTAACAATCCTTTTTGAAACTTTTCGTAATGATTAAATTAGAAAATGGACCTGGAAATTTATGATATGAGACTTGTCCAATGCTCAACGCGCCCTTTATGCTCATGAATGTATGAAATGTTCCCCAGTCTATAAAAATGATTAAAATTCGGTGAAGCTTTGCAATGGAAAGCACAAAAATAAAGATTGAAATGACTTCTTGCCATTATTACATATTTTCACTCGTTTCTGCATTCACGTTGTAATTTTCTTTCTATCTTTACGACTTTCACTCGTGCGGGTTGTGGCTTTGATAAACTTATAAATTCGCAGCAATCCCCTGTTCAGTCCTTTGTGTCTTTTTCACAGGACAATTATGAATAGTAAGCTTAAATTTGTAAATATCTAATTATGTAATAAATTCCCAGAGTGACCAAACCAAAACAGACATCAAACCCACATGGATAAGCTGAAGATATGAAAGAGAAGCTGTAATTATATTTTTATTGCCTTCATATTTTAAAAGTTTCCTTTTTATTATTTTTGTTTCATCATCGAACGAGAAGTTTCCGACATTCTTATTTTGTGTTTTTTCGATGATCCCGACATGACAAAAAGCAGTAAACTAAAATCTAAACAAAAGCGGCTTATTGCTGGGATTACACAGATGAAGCGCAATGTCAAGAGGGAGAAATGAGAGAAAAAACATCGAATTAGATTCATCCGGTATGATAAGGGTAGCAATGCCGAAAGAACCACTGAAGCCTTGAGTAAAAAACGAAAATAAGTTTATTGTAATAGGCGAAGTATTGGATTTAAGTCTTCAAATTGTCGTTTAATGTCAAAAATGAAGCCATACTAAGCCATTTACATTTGGTAACTGTTTACATTATGTCTCGGAATTTTCTTTAAAAATACCATTGCAAATTCTATTTGCTTTCCATTTGCTATAATCTATTTGTTGATTGTTGAAACATGACCACGAAAGTGAATGAGAAGAGAAAATTTTATTTTGTTTCAGACATGAATGAATATCCTTTGGAATAAGACGCAGATTCAATTTTGTTGAACGAAGGCAGTAGAAAGAGAATACCATTAATGTTTATTTGTCTTATGACGAATTTTTGTCATTTTAGTCACATTTTCCTTTTTGCCCTTTTTTATCTAATCCTACGTAGACTTAGTTATTGTATCTGAAATGGAATCAACGCAAAAAGGAAAAAAGACACATCAAGTTTATTCATATCAACTATGAGCCCATAAATGGAATCATTATCATCTACATTGCTCATAAAGACGACACCCTTCAATCGACCTAGAAGAATTTCGAAGAACTTTCATGACTGAGTCACGTTTTGTTCCTCCAGAAATCCCAAGAATCCCCAAAACTTAATAAAAATTACAAGATTTATGTAATGTTAACGACTTTTTAATCAAAAATGACAGCATAAGATTAACAAGCTTGATAACATGAAAGAGAAAACCATTTGGAAAATCGACTAAAGCTAAGTCATCCTTGTCTATCTTATCAGGTTCTATTTAAATATTGCTTACAGTGGATAAACAGAAAACAAATAAATATCTCGTTGATCTACAAGTAAAGTAAAAGACTGCCACTTATGCACGACTCAACATAAAAATCATGATGAGAACTTGTACATGTTCATTTCCATCCTTTTAACTAGAGCTTTCATGATTTTCCGCCTCTTTTTTTTTGCTTATTCTTCTTTGCCATTTTTTTGTCTTGGCACTCATTCACTCGTTTATTTTTATTTTGCCTCAACTTCTTCTACTTCTTTATGCTTCCTTCGGCATTTGGCAGTGTCTCAGAGCTTTAAGGAATCGATAAGAAAGAACATTTAAATCTCAAGGACTCTTCTTATGCCTACAACAAGTTATTTAACCCATTTCGACTATCTTCATATCTCCCTTTGGGGAGATTTATCTTTTCGATTCATTTACTGTGAGAAACGAGAAGAAATTTCAAATATTTATGGTGATGTTTTCGCTTTAGCTATGACCAAGAAATGAATTTAGATTTGTGGCTTGAATTCCAACCGCCTGTCAAAATTTTCTTAATTTTCCTTAAAGGGTGAAAAAGGAAAACTTTTCTCATTCCTTTGCATCTAAGGAAGCGTGAATATAATTAAGTGATAAGAAAGCAACTCACAGGGAATTGCTAACAATTCTTACATTTGATTTTAATCAACGTAGTATGATAAATTACCGTTCATCATAGCCGTACTACATGTTATTTATTTCCACCCATCTTGTTGCTCTCGAATGAGAATGTGAATAAAATTCCAGCAACTCTCAACTTGAGGAAGAAAAACTTTCGATTGTTTACTGGGCTTAAGCAAACTTTTATTTCTTTTCTTTCATCGAAAACTTTAGAAAGAATATTGAAAAGTTGTGAAAATCGAGACAGTCACGTTTCCAGATGGGTCAAGAACGTCTTAGATAAGAAATCAGCCACGTACGTAAAAGCTTACATCATCCTTAATTTTGAGTTGAATATTAACACTCAAGAAAATATTTTTGACGTTGTTGAAAAACATTTCATGAACTTAATTCAAAGTGTTGATGAAACTTCAACCTTCAACACTTAAGTTAGATTTTCTGCCTTGAACAGTCTAAATAGTAAGTTTAATAGCTACTCGAAAGCTTTAATTGCTTTAATTGCTCTAGGTTTCGTTTCATAGCACCCAAACATCTTCAAACTCATAAAGCTAACGGCAAAAACAAGATTTTGTCGCAAATAAAAAGAAAATTTACGAGGGATGAAGTTCGTTTAATGATTCTCCCTTTTCTCCCGTTGTCTCTTACATAATTATAATTTATTTATTAATCGCCAAATTTATGAGCGCATCTTAGCATTGTCAAGTACTGAAATCGTATACAACTAACATAAAATATTTATGAACACGACGGCAATCTGAATCGTAAATTCTATTTGAATTGGTCGACATTAAGGGAGTTAATGCTTTGTTTGTTAATTAATGCCATCAAAAAAAATAACTCATCTCAAAGTTTTTCATCGATTACAGCGAGAAGAAGAAGAAGCTCTCGTAATTTATTATCACTCGAAGGAGGAATAGAAGGTGAAGCTTGTCGTAAAAGAACAAAAATTCATTTTATTGTAAGAAAGAAGCTTACAATTTTAAATCAAGGTTAAGGAGGCATATCTCGTCTTCACTCGGGATTTGTAATTTTATACGATTTTTCTCCTTGAAGTTCACAAATAAAGGCAGCGTTGTAAGTTGAAGTTGTTTATTTGTTCAAAAACCTTTCAAACATTTCTCGGTTTCGTTTCTCGCATTCTCGCTCATAAAATGAAACGAAATATTTGAAGCATTGAAATAGAATATCTATTTGCATATTTTGTTGATCTTTTTTTTGCAAAACACAAAAAAATTAAGTAAAAGAAATGTTATTCAATAAACAAGCTTTATTATTAGCTTTTCAAGGACATAAAATTAATTTAATGCTTCCAATTCAAACGCTGACAAGAAGTCATATTTTCTGTTTTGTTTGTTTCTGATATTTTTTTACACGCAATGACTCGTTTTTATGTTTGTTTTTGTGATTAAAAGAATTTTCATCTGTTTAAAGCTTCCACCATTCTTCCATATTCCCATGACAAAGGACAATGCGATAAATTTGCTTCAAGCAGTTAACGCGTCTTTTAATCCCACAGCATTGTTTTATTTTTGTATCTCCTCTGACTGTAATAATGATAAAAGTACTTGAGAGATATCAGAACATGAATGCTCGTTCTACAACTTGCACAACAATATTTTGTACGGAAAGAACGTGAAGCATATCGAATATAACCGGAAGACGGCCAACTCTAATAAATATTTTTAATGCCACGTTTCTGTTGAAAAGTCAACAATGAAAGCGACAATCTCTGGGAGAAAATATGCAGCTTTTGGGAGAATGAAGTGATACAAGCGGCGAATTATTGGTGGATGAAGACTATAAAACGGTTGGAACAGAAAATTTTATTTATTGGTTATTTTATGGGTGTAAAGAAAGAAGTCGACTTTTTGTATGAAATATCAATCTGAAGGTTCCTTTCATAAGATCAACGCTCATCTCATCCTTTTTGTTGTTCTGGTTTTTATTTAATAAATTTTATTATCCAACAGAAATCAATCTACAGCGACTTGTTCTTCAACCATCAACCCTCGATGCTAGAAATAAAAACTTTGTGCCTTTAACGTATCTCTGGTCTTTATGTGAAGAGTCAAAAAGGCTTACGTAGCATGGTTAACTTAAGGTGTAAAAAATACGAACGGAACATTTTTCTTGCGTAAAGAATTTTACGAGCGTCTTCAAAAGGTTGAAGTTTCCTCGCGTGCATGATTGTTAAGAAAGGAAGCGCTTTATGAAACGTGAAGCTTGAGTATTGAAAGAAATAAATTTGAGAGGATAGCATTTTCCACCCACGCTATTAAAAGCCTATATTAGTGGAACTGACACACATAAAATGTTAATAAATATATGAAAGTAGTTGTCGTGTTCAAACAAATCAACTGGAACATGCTAATACACAATTTAACTGCGTAATTTTGTCAACCATTACAAATTATCTCACTCTGTTGTTGTTCGTTTGTAAAGCACCTGAAATTACAGCTTTTAGCAGAAGGAAGCTTCATACCGGAACAAAATAAATGAATCCTTCTTTTGCAAGTGAAAATGTGTTAAAGTTTACCCGCAAAAGACAAATATCTAAGTGGATGAGAAAAGTTTTTAACGACACAGCAAGATAGCTTAGAATAAATACCTTAAGTGCTTTACTATTAGCGAGAAAAGGTTTTTCATACCTAAGTGCTTTTAAATGTTTCTTTTAAACATCAAAATGTTTTCAATTCGTCGGAACAACTTTTATATTTATATTAATAGAAAATTTTCTATAACAAAACTTTATTTACACGAAAATGAAATCTTTACAAAAGTGTTTTGATGACAAGAAGAAGCGAACAACAATCTTTCGATCACTTATAATGAAAATAAGTGAAACAACAAGCGTCACAGGGAGCATTGTTCTTGACTGAAATATTTATTGATAAACCGAAATGATTTCATAAGGATTTATTGTTGCTTATAGAATTCAGGCACTTTGACTATGATTCAAAAGATTCTGACTGTGAATGAGGTTCAGAGCGTCAATTCTGTCTTGCTTGTTCACTTCATGATATTGTTATGATTCTTAAAATAAACATGAAAGAAATTGGAGGAGAAAAGATTCGATATGGGCGATGCTTTCAAGTAAGAAAATAATTTAAATTTATGTCACCTTCTTGGAAAGAAGAGTTATAGAAAATTTCAATATAACTAATTGGATCGAAATAAAAAGTAATTTCATAAAGCTTTTTAATTATTTATTTACGGACCTATTTTTACCGACGATTCCAATTGCACAATCATTCATTAAGCTTCATTGAAACATTGAACAAAAACCAAGTCATTAATTCAGTTTTTAACGATTCTATAGATTGGAACCCAACCAAAGCAGCTTAAAATAAATGAAAACTGAATAATTTACGAAGTATCGCATCCTTCGCACCTCCCTCGTTCATGAAATGTTGAAATAATCAAAAGAGGAAAACAAATGTTTCAGCCTACTCAGTTTACCCACACGCAAAACAAATAACAAAACAGCAGTGAAAAATGAATTCGCTGAGAGTAAAAGAAACAAATTTAAAAATATTTAATTTATTTAGATATTTGAATCAATTTGTATTGATCAATTCACCAATACTGAGCTTTTCTTCTCGCTTTTCTCACAGAATGAGAAAAGGAAATTTTATTTTTATATGTATATTAATGAGAGGAACAAAATCAATGATTTCACCCCGAAAAATAAATTTATGACTTTTCCAATGAAAAGAAATCGAAATCAGAACCGAAAGTCAAATAAACAGTCGGGGAAATGAAAGCACAAATTTCAATTTGAATTTGTAATTGCAAAGAAATTATTCATGGAGATTTCTTTAATGCAAAGTTTAACCTTCGAATTTGTAATTTCTTCAACGAAAGTAATTTTTTTTCTCTAAGATTCGATGTTCAATTACTTTTATTTTATTTGAAAACTTTCCTTCGAATTCATGACACAAAAAGATAATTTTTAGTGATCTAAAAATAATTTTTAATGTCTTCAAAAAATATTCAAATTTGACATCATTGTGAAAACGTTTTTCCTTTTATTATCCTTTCGAAGGTTTTTGAAAAGAAACATCCGAAAAATTATTAATTACAAATATAACAAATGCACACATGTCAAATTGACTTCCATTTTTTTCCCACAGTAAAAGGAAAGTAAACATTTATGAAACGATTTATTTATCATCCGTTTATATTTATTTCCTTCAAATTCTCAATCCATGAAAAGCAAAACAAAAACGCTATTAAGAGTGTCGGAAAAACATTTTCTTCAATTCCACTCATTCAATGATTTACGTTCAACGAGTCCCTCCATTAATCCAACAAGCAATTCCCAGAAAGAAAACACAAAATTGATGACCATTTAAATGTAAGAAATCATTTTCCACTGTCGAACTTCCGTCGAGCATCTCAATGAAAGCTCCACACTCTATTATCGAGTTTTTTCCTTCATGTATTTTTGTTTTCTTGCAAAAAACGTTTTCGCATAGCGAAATGAAAAATGGTCAGGCTGAAGGAGTCGGTAAATAAGAAAAATTATCCCTGCTCTATTTCGCACGAGTTCACAAGCCTAAAAAATTGATCTTTAACTTATTTCATCGCTGCCTTTCTTGTGATAAAAGAGTTTATAATGCCTTTTAAAAAGCGTTCTAGGAAGTGAAAGTGGATGGGATAATTCAGGACTTTTGTGGTAATGTTTACAAATATGTACTCATTTTCACCTTCGATCAACTGTTTTTCAAAAGATAAGCTCGAAATTGTTCCCACAAAACTTTGTGGCGACAGCATAAACGACATTTAAACGCTCATTAGATTATAGTCTTAATGGTGCATCGTTTGAAAGTCGTTGAATGGAGTCACCACTAAAATGTTCTTCCACTTCCCTCGACATTTTTCCTGTCGAAAATGTGTTGTGCTGCTAAGGTACGGTGCGGGACAAATTAACATAAATATTGTGTGAAATAATCCAAGAAATTACGCTTTATGCCACCGCAGAAGTGGAAGACTTAATAGAGCAAATGACAATTTCCCATTTTAAAAAGCACATTTAAAGTGCTGCCAGATAGAAAAATCATATTCTGTGAAAGAATTTTCCTCGTTCATCGTCTCTACGGTATAATAAATTTCAATTCTTCTCTTCATGCGCTGAAAGCTTTAATCAATTTCTTTCTTTAAGATCGGAAAAGAAATATAAAACATGAAGAGAAAGAAGAAAAATTTTCTTGTCGATCAACTTTCTGAGAAAATCCTTTTCTTGTTTTGTGGAAAGGAAATCAAAATTTCCTGCTTTATTGGTTTTTGTTGTCCATAGAAAGTTTTATCGAGAATCACATACTTGGTTAAAGGATTAGCAGCTCGAAAGTATTTTTCATGTTGGTTTTTGGTTTAGTCGGTAGAATTATTCAACTTCATTGTACTACTTAAATTTTCTTTCGTGTTGATGCTTCGGGTGCTAATATAAAACTCTTTTTATTTACGTAAATGTAAGTAAATATTTATGCTCTGCTATATTTACATGCGTATAGGGAAAACATATCTACACATCAATAATTATAATCGTAACGAAACGAAAACTTTTAACGTCAAGGGAAAAGCAATAAAATGAAGTGAGAAGAAAAGTTTATTAATTTTTCTTTTCACAAACTTCCTTGATACACTTTTTTAGCTGAGCTTAGTTTGCATGTAGGAAGAGAAGTGGAACATGATTTAATTTCTATTAGTGAAGGAAAGTTTAAATATCTAAAGGAGCTTTCAAAGAACTTTAAAATTATGTATTTCAGATAAACTTCCTCGAACCTTCCTTATAGAAGTTTATTGACAGTAATTTAAAATTTCCATTCTTCTCAAGGGAGTTTCTCTAGAAAACCGAAGACGATAAAACTTACAAAACTTTCCCACGTGGAAAAGAGAGAGAGAGAGAGAGAGGTTTTCGTTCGACATCACATGTAATAAAGCATTTTGCACTTCATCGAAAACTTTTTCTTCTGCTGTTATGCTTTCCATAACTGAACAACAACAGCAATCTTCTTCAGTATAGTTATCGAGTGAGTTATTTTAACTTTGATATCGCACACTCTTTGTGTTGAAGTTTAAATTTATGCATTTTAAACCCCTTTAGCAAAATAAGCAAATTAAATTTATGCTTACTTAAATGCATCTTGGCATATAAGTATTCATGATATCAAATGTGCCACAAAATAAGTAAAAGCAAAAAAGGGTTTTAAGTTTTAAAGAAGTTTTTAAAGATTTTTAACCAAAATAAAGCAAAACGAAAGTAATCTCAAAGATAAGTAAACAGAAAAGTTTTAGCAGTTTATATAATTCGCTTATTTAAGCTTTAATCTTTAAGACAAATCTTTCTCTTGAAAAGTTTTCTTTTTGCGGGTTAACGTTTCTTATGCTGAAGCTTGCTTGCTTGCTTGTTGTATGATAAGTGAAGAATAAAGAAATCAGAACAGAGGGAGGCATCGCGAAACGATTTTTTTACGAGTTTCGTGAAGCGTAGGAAAATGTTATTCTTGGGGTATCTCATTTTTAGCGGTTATCGACACAAAACGACTTGATATCATACGTGCCAAAGTAAAATCTCTGTAATATTTTTTTTTTTACGTCAGGAAAACTTCTTTCCGTTGTGATGATATGGAAATTTCCTTTCAAGCATAAATCGAATGGAAGGAAATTTCGAAAGCTTTTATCAAACATATGTGAAGTCGCGGGCGCATGAGGCAAACTTTGATCGAATACATAAATGTAATTTAGTATAATGTGACATTTTTATCAGTCTGACAAATTCGTGGAAAAGAAGAGAATTTCCATGTGAAATATCTGGTGAATGAAATGCGGTGAAGGAATCTAAAGATTTGTTACTCGTCACAATCACGTAACGCTCATGAATGAAACGATTTCTCATTTCTATCAGCACAAATGAAATTTCAACTTTCATAGCAAATTAACTTTCTAGTAAGAAGCAAATGAAGGGGAAACATTAACTTTCTACTGTCCACAGGAAGTTATTGTAAATTGTAATTCTATATCCCAAGTCAGTCCCAAAAATACTTGAAAGTTAAAGAAAATAAAAAAAATACGACAAAGTTTATTCAAGCCGTGCCATTTCGTTGCCCTTTTTTTGTCCCCAAATAAAATATGAGAAATAACTTTTCTCCAAGACCAGCAAATAAAATAAAACAAACGGCAACGATGAAAAAAATTTCCTTCACATTTGAATGGAAATGATGAGTGAGAAAAGCTTTTTTTCCTTCAGAAGTCATCTCAGATGAAAATAAAAGGAAAAAAGATTTATTCAGTTTTCTCATGTCAATCCTTTTGTCTTTATATAAAAATTTCATCATGAAAGTTCTTCTTATTTTCAATATCTTTTTGAATGAAGATAATTCCATAAATTATTATCATTTAAACATCTTATGAACTAACCTTTGGCCTTAAAGCAAGCAAAGCTTTGAGATCAAATCAAAGTCAAACGAAAATATTTACTTTGGAAAAGTTATCCAGAGGATTATAAACTTTTCCAACCAACAAAAGTATTTAAGAAAAAGCTGTCAGCTTTAACTTTAGGACTGAGAACTTTTTAATATTCAAAAGGAGAAGAATGACTCGACTCTGAGAAAAGTTCCATCGTTTCATTCCTCTTTACAAGCATCGTCAATCCATCTATTGCATGTCAATTTTATTCTCCTCACACACACGCGAATTCTCGACGGAAATAAAGGAAAGTTAGAAGAAGCAGAAAAGAAAAGAAATCGCTTCTATCACTCTCCATGATGCCGGTGTAATAAACGTAAGAAGCTTTCATCGGATGGCAAAAAGAATTTCTCGAAGATTTACACGCAGAAAATGAAAAATTACGAGGAGAAGAAATTTCTTTACAGAAAAGAAATATTTGTCATTCCAATCATCATTTAGCGCTCACTTTATAAAAAGTAAAAGCTTAGGAACGAAGATTTCATAAATTAGAAGCTTTTCGTCATACGAAACACAAAACTTTGTAAATAAGAAAACTTTTCATGCTGATGACACTTTTCTCCCGTCTTGTCAGAAAGCAAATTAAATTTCTTTACATCAACTTTTTGTTTCAAAGTTCTAAGAAGATTTTCATCGGATGTTCAAACCAACCTTTCCTTATTCCTTTTGTTTAAGCGGATGAATAATTTTAATTTGCTACAAACACTTCACATTCACTAAAATTCAGATTTATTTGTTCAAAACTTATCCTAGTTGATAAAATTTAGTTTTCGATTATTTTTAACCACTGAAATTCTTCACATGGAGATTTAGTTGATTTTCCCACGATCAAATCTTTTAATCGCATGAACTTCTATTTTTATCTGCTCTAGACTAATTAACAGACAAGACAAAAATAAATCTTGTATGCGTTGTAATCCAATTTTGCTTTGTAATTTAATCAGACAGTATCAGAATAACCACACGACATACTAAATCAGCAGCGTTTCAATTTCATGTCCTTAAACTTCAACTTACGGGCGTGTACTAAAAGAGATGTTCATTAAACTTTTGATTTAAATAAATATTTGGAGCCACACAATGTGAAAGATATTGGCATGCATGCTATGCGATGTTCTATCAACATTCAACATTGCGCATGACAGCAACGTGTGTCGGTTTTGCATAGAACAATGAATCAGAGCAGTGCGGCATGAAAAAAACATCGCAAAGCATTTATGAATGAAGTTCAGTTTTAGAACACAAACATGATCCGAAGCATTAGACAAAAACATTTGTTTTAGAGAAATTTCACTCGGTGACGTTAAATCGAAAACACCTCTCGATGTTTATTTCAGTAACTTCATATTTGCTTATAAATTGTCGGTAATTCACAACAATTTTAGAATGTATTCCTAGCTGAAATTAATTACAACGAAAGCCTTTGAATGTCTGTCCCAATGGGAATCATTTTCCTCATCACACCCTGAAAGACCAGAACAAAAAAATTTGTTTTTTCAAATGAATCATTTATTCAGGGAATTCAAAAACGCCAATGGATATCATGCAAGCAATTTCATATATTTTCCTTCCTTATTTTAATGAATGCAAACAAAAGGGTTGGCAATGTTTGGATGTTTATTAGAATTTGTCATGCAAGTTACTCGTAACTTTCTGTGCAAAGTACTTTGCTCCAGCGTCGTTCTCTTCATATCCTTTGACATCGATGGCACATTGATTATACCAAGTCTTGAGGTTTGGATAATCGTTTAACGAAGCTCCAATATGCTTTAAAGACAAATAATGATTTCCATAGTTTGATAATGAACTGAAAACTTACGACAATAGATGATAATGATGCGAGAATTGAAAGGTCAGCGATTGTCATTTTGTCGCCGCAAAACCATTTTCGTCCAGTCAGAAACTTTTCCATAAAACCGAAAGCTTCGTAAACTTGTTTTCGCTTTTCATCGCTGATTTTAGTTTCGCCAAGAAAAAGTGCTGGAAACTTAAATAAAAATGGAAATTGTAAGAACTGAACAATTTAAGAATTAGAAAAGTTGTCTAGTCAAATTAATTCAAAATGAAAACACGAATTTTTGAGTTTTTTGAATAGAAAACAAAAACATTTCTCTGATCAATTTTCGTTTCCCCATGTGAACCAATTGGTTTCATTTTTCTATGTATTAAAGAGGGAATAAAAGGAAAACTTTTCTATTGATTTTTCTCATCTAATTAAATTTGAAAAATGAAATTAAAAAGATTAGATTCTTGTTTGGTTTTCCCTCCCCCACTTTTATTTCCCTGAGAAAGATGAAAACTTGAATCGAACAGTCGTGACAATGGGACGAAGTTTGAAAAACTTTCAATAGTTTTACAAATTTCTTAGTAAATACTTTTGGGTTTACTTCTTCACAAGACTCAAAATGACAAATGAAAACAGAACTTGATTTGACTTTCTTGAATTGTTAAAAAGCTTTTTCCATTAATTCTATTTTATGTTCAAATGTTTGTTACGTTGACCACATTATTTAGAACAAACGACCTGCATTCCACCCACAACTAACTTATGAATAAATACCGAGGGACAAAATAAATACTGAAAATAGACGAGGATTGTTGATTGTCAAATGTTGCAATAGGAATAGGAAGGGAAACTTAAATTCAAAGCAGGCTACAATCGGCATCCCTGAAAAGGTCTCAGACCTTCTATTTGAACTTTAAGATTGATTCTTTTATGCATTGTTCACAACATTTTACGAATCTTTAATTTGAAATCTACTTAAACACAAAATTGTTGACTTTTGAATAAAGAAAAACGAAGACGATAAACATTTTCCAACCACAAACTATTTTAACACAAATTTAAGAAAGTATTTTGAGATTCTATCATGACGTGAGAAACCACCACTTTCCTCATAGTTTCATTTCAATGTTTTAAGGAAAAGCAATATTTGCTGATGTTTATTTTTATATTCTACATGACCCAAAAAAAGAAGAGCTTAAAGCACTTACAGCGATTGCACGAACTCTTGGATACAAAGTTCCGGCATCAAAGTAAAGTCTTTGATTCACCAAAGCACGCTCAGTTGGATTGGTTGGATAGAGAGAACTTCCGGAAGCTTTTGAGTCGACCAAGTAAGAAGCAATAGCTTGAACGAGAGAAAATTGTTTAAATACATCATCGCTAGAGAAACAAGTTAATTCATTTAACTCACCTCGAGACTCCCAAAGGTAAAATCCATTATCATCAATGGTTGGAACGCAATGTTGTGGATTTATGTTTACAAATTCTTGTGCTAATTGTTCCTTTGCAAACAAGTTCACCTCCTTAATCTGCATTTTAAATTTGCCATTGTATAGAAAGCGAAAAATTAATTTAATATGTATTTGTTGATGTTCGTTCGGCTTATTAAAAATGCCTTGAGCATCAAGCGAGTTCATGAATATTTACCTCAGCATCCAACTCGAGATTACGTACCACGAGAAGTGCGGCCCTTGATGGGGCACTAGGTGCAAAGTGATAAAGAATCAGTGGAGCCATAACTTATAATAATCTTGAATAATCTTGATAGACTGAAATGACAGAAATGTAATTAGCTTGAGACCGGCTCAAAATAAATTTGACAGTTAATCTCATTAACAGACATTCAACATCTACGAATCTTTATCCGCTAATAACGAGAATTTTTCTTTTTTTGATGAAGTCGTTGAGATGTTCAGAAGAAGCTCATTAGATGTTAATTTAATTATTTTAATTAAAAGCTTGTCTTGTGACTCTCTTCTCAGCGTTGTTTCTCGCTGTGATTACCATTTAAGGAAGCGGAAAAGTCAAACAAAAAAGTTAATTGGCTTAAAATTATCGCTTCGTTTGTTTAGAAAAGTGGCGAAGATTCTGTGACAGAAAATCATTTAATGATTTTTATTGGTCCTTTAAGTATCAAACCTTCTTTCAAGTCGTTTATTGATTTCAAAATTGATTTTTGTAAGTTAATCGAAGGATTAAAAGCTTTAAATGACCCTCGAAAGTTGTACTACAGATTTTAGGAATAATAACGCGAATATTTGTGTGAAAACATAAAGCAACATGAAAAATTATTCAGCAGCAAGCATCCAACATTAACACATTTGCAAAATAAATTTTATTTAAATCGTCGAGAATTTTTAACTAATCTAACTTTTGGTTTGCAAAATGAAACATTTCTTCACATATGAAAACAATTGAAATTGTTTTGCGCAAATTAAAATTATAATCTTTAAAATAATAGAAACCTTGTCACTTCCGAGTAAATATTAAAAATTGTGAGAAGAATGTTAATTAGATGACGTCCGAACTACAAATAAAAAATGTTGAATGTTTTGGATGCTTTTGTGGACACGTTTCACTCTCATGTTGCTGAAATTTAATATTTATTTCAACATTCATGCATGCTTTGTCTGAAATGTTTAAACAACGAAGCTTTAAGAAAATTCTTTTGTTAGAAGGAAAGTAACTGACAAAGAAAGAATTCATCTTGTGACAGCATCTGGTCCTTGGATTAATTCATGTCCAACCCATAACAAAATTTCTTGAGAAGAAAATAGCAGCATAGTTAAGGGAAGCTTTGTAGATCTTCCTAGAAGTAAATCAATTGCTGATATACAAGAATTATCTATTCAGTATTCATACAACATAGTTCTTTGATCACATATGAACATTAGTCGAAGCATAAAAATGTCGGCGGTAAAATCTCATATTTTTTCACCCTATGCAAATACTTTTCTGGTTTCCGTTTGTGTGTCGTGCCAACATATGGTGTAGGAAGCAGCAAGCGACAGCTCATAAAATATGAAAAACAATCAAGCACACGCACAGCCACAAGTTCAACCGAGTTTGCCTTTTTCTTATTTCATGTGCTGTTTGGTGAGTCGTTTCGAATTTTGAAAATATTTCAAGAGTGTGTGTTTGCTTTTGTGTAATGAGAAAAGTTTATTTAAAGGTGTAATTGATACTTTAAACTTTCGCTTAACTTTCTTTTTATCAAAAGAATTTGTGAACCTTTTGACATTGTTTGAGACAAAGTCTATTTACAGTGGCAAACTTTTCAAATTACATGATAGGAATATTTTTATTTGGGTTTCTTTTTTTTTCCTGCTATGAGAAATATCAAAGTTTTAATGATGGGGCTCCTAGACAGTTAGCAGAAGGAAAGTTTACAAATAATTTTATGGAAATAAAACGTAAATTTACTTCCTTTTAAAGCTTTCGATAAAGGGATAATTGTTGGTTACATTTATGTACTTTTAAACTTGCAACTTTCATTCATGTTTAGTAGTAAATTGTAATTCATGGAAAACTTTATTCCAAGAAAGTTAAAGTAAGGGAAAAAGTCGAAAGCAGCTGATATGGAAAAGTTTTTAATTATATTGCCTTGTTGGTACAAAACTGTGTGGAGAGAAAACTTTGTGCAGCAAGTTTATCACACTTTGTATGAGAGAAATCATAGGTAGAAACATTAATTCAAAAAGTTTTCGTCTCAAATGAATGTAACGCTTAAAAATCTTAATAAAAACTTGTTTTGCTTGCGTATTTCTGTTGTTCAATCCACACTGTGCATGTAATGTCAAGCATCATAAAACATATTAAATTCTACATTAAGCCGATCCATAACCCTGATAACATAATGAAATAGATTGAAATATTATGCGAAGAGAAAATATTGCCGACAACCAACAAATTTCTATGGTGAAAGAAGAAGAAGAAGGAAAAAAATGTTTCAATTCAAGGGCGAAACTGACCCGAGGGAGAATTCGCCTTCATTGTTATCCCCCGTCGAGAAATGATGGCATTAAGCACAGGATTTCTGTATCTGTATCAATATTGAAGACTATCTACATGAACGAAATAACATTTCATGTCGTTATCGTCTCTGTTTACATCACCACCTATAAATCATTTGCCATTCAGAAGAAACGTTTTTGAGGAAGACGAGAAAAGTTTTTTTTTCCATTATTATCCATTCCTTTACGCTGATCCTTCCTATCAGTTGCGTTAAAAATGGATGAGAGACGAAGCAAGAGAAATATTCATCGGAATTTATGGTGAAGAGTTTCTTTTCACATTGGGTGCGTCGTTTTTCTGCGTTATATCCAAAAGCAAATGTTTTTCGGGAGGCAGATCGACAACGATAAAGATGAAAAAGTTTTTCTTTCCGTGGGATGTAATAAGAAAAATGATAATTTTCTTCACATTTCACTCAATATTTAGATGGGAAAGATTCGTTGACTAAACTAAAATCGATGAAGAGAGTCGTTACGAGGCGTCAGATTTCTTTACAAGTAACGTCAACTTTTTATTTACTTTCAAACTTTCCAACAATTTCTCTCGTTTTTGTTACTTAATTTTCAATCAAAACCCTTGTTGTTTGCTTAGACACCTCAACATCAACTAAACCTTTCAAAAATTTTACACTTAAGTGATGGAAATCTCGTCTAATCGTCTCCATGGCTTTGAAATTTGAAAATAAATCTCAGCTTTGAAAGATTCTAATCGAAGATTAAAATCACTTTAGTTGGCTGGTATCGTTCAATGGATTTTCCCCAAAATTTTTCTCTCACAAGTTTTTCTGCTGAAAAAAAGGTTCGTAAGTGAATTGAGACCCTTTTTTGCAGCTCACTGGAGTTTCTATGTTAATTTTTTCAAAAAGGATGAAACTATTTAGCAAATAAATGTCATAATATGACTGTAGGGGTATTTCAGTTTGTGGTAGAGATACTGATCCCTTTGTTATCTTTTCTCGATGCTTCCTCTAATCCTCACGACATAAAAATTGCCTTCTTTTCATTCGCACGTCTTAAAGTTGGCACACCGGAAAATTGTTTCAAGAAAAAAAGTGTTTTAAAGGTAAAGCTGTGAGGGGATCAAATTACTAACCTACCCTAAGGTTCTAAATGTGTCTCAGACATGTGAAAATGTTTTTATTTTCGTACAGAATGAAATTTTAAATTTATTGTGGGGAAATTAAATTTTTCTCTCTTTAAACTGTCAACATGTGATTGAATGTTTTAATAAATGAAAACTAATAATTTTGTCTGGAACATGTTTTGCAATAATGGATCTTCGTCAGGAAGTTTAACATCAACAAGGTACACTCGTTTATAAAAATGACAATGCTTGTAACATACAAGAAGAATTATTTGCATTAATCTCATGTTGGAATCCATGATAGCGGAAATTATAAGTTTTTTTCTATGCTTTGTGTTGAACATGTGCTCGATATGCTCATATCCTCATTCAAAGGATTATAAAGTTGACAAAGCTGACAACAACATGTTTGTTGAATCCTGACGAGATTAAAGTTTCTCAACAGGAAACTTATTGGTTTTTCATACTTGAAAGTTAACAACTTTAAAAACTTTTCTGAAGTGAAAACCGTCTTTTCATAAGCTTTTATTTAACAAACGAAAAACAAGTAAAAAAAATATTTAGAAACTTTCGAATCGAGTTAGTTTCAAACAATTGAAAATAATATCTTTGTAACTAGTTTTATTTTTATTATTATTTGAATTTTCCAATTTCAGAAAACAAAAATAAACAAAGTCGATTGAATTTTTATCGATATTGTGCTTGAATATTCTTTGAGAATTTCTTCCTGTTCAGTTCCTTCCTTCGATCAACAATTTTCTATATTCAATAAGGATTTTATATTACAAGACGATTTGAATGAGTTTTTTAAAGATATTTTTGAAATGAGAATCTTCAAGTTTCATCTTTAATCGCAAGAAGAACATTAGAAGAACATGAATGTTGAGTTTTCTGGATGGCAATATTATTTCTGACAATTTTCCTAATAAACTTAAAGTATTTGAAGCATAACATCAAGATCCTTAGCTTTTCTTGATGTGTCATTAATAATTAATAAGAATTTCTCGAAAAGACATTGTGTCAGTAATCTCAGTGTTGAACAAATATTAGAAGTTTGCACTTCTACGACAAAATGACTTTATAAATTGTTAAACAAACATGCACATGAGACAGTGCAAATATCCTTTTTGATTCTAAAGTAAATGGCTTATTAAGATGAAAATATAAAGTTTTGAACTTTCAACCATGATTTCTATGACTTTTACATTTAAACTTTATTAAACTTTCTTTCATGATTCAAGCTCTTCACGAAAGACATATTAAAAGCTTATGTTTACAAGGATTTTCTCAAATAAATGTCTCGTGATTCATCGCTTCATACTTTTACAACATAAAATGTTGCATTTCAATCTTCTAAAGTATATTTTGTATCGCATAAATTTTTTATGATTTATTTGATAGATTTTACGTGAAGATAACATAGAAAAGATTTCACCATTGGAAGCATTCACTCATCCATGACAGAGCTTGTCATTTGTAGCGTGAATCTTGATGCAATCGTTACTTTCATATGCTTTTATGTAAACATTTTCATGTTTTGAACTCTCAACATTGAAATGAAAACGCATTTTTAAGATCATTCTTGATTCAAATCGTATTATCCATGTAACCATGAACCAGAAAGTTTTTTTTTCTTGAATTTCATGAGTAAAACAAAGCTTTGTATTAAAGTGTTTATTCGTTCGAGAAGTTTCATCTTTTAAAATTTACATAACAACAAAAGAATTCTTTGCTCAGAAAGATTTTAAATCGTTGAAGAGAGTTCCACGATACAACAACAGGAAAAATGTTTAAGTTTTCAAGAAAGGGATTCGCTTTTGTGCTCTAAAGAAATGTATTAATATACATATATTCATTGATGTCATAAAGCGGGAAAGCTTTCTATGAAAGGAAAATCCTTAAAAGCCAATGAACATGAAAAGTTTACGATGAAAAAACAGCAAACGCTTAATGTCACTTCCAAACCTTCATTTTATCATGACAGGGTCAATTAGCAAGTATTTTGCTGATGAATAAATAACTCAGACATCAAACTTTTCCTTCGTATTTTATTTTTTATTAATCGATATTTATGATGAGCTTAAATTGCATCAAAATTGTCAAGCGAAGAGAAACTTTTAGCTCGCCAATTATTGAAGCTTTGCAATTTTTTTCCACTTCTCTGTGGTAGAAGACACACAACTTTTTTCTTCTCCTTGTTCTCAGCTTATAAAATGAAAGGAAGTCAAAAAAAATTCACCACCAGAAGGTGAATCGATTGCAGAAAGTTCTTAAGTTCATTTTGAACCATCTTCAGGGTGGAAAACTGCATCATGAACATCGTCGAAGTTTTAATTATCCAAGACGATAAAAAATTTGTGAAATAAAATTTTTCTTTTTGATTTGTCTATGCTCAATTAATTTAATTAATGCAATCATAAAATTATGATTTTTTCCCTTCTATTGGTTGTAATTAAATATCTAAGTAAAGTTTAAAGTAATTATCAATGGAAGAAACTTTTAATATTTTTTCTTTTAGTGAACTTTTTAACAAACTGCAAGCTTATCAACTTCAGGATTTAAATATTTGAATAGAAAGCAAGATTATGTAATTAAATCTTTATTTTTATTAATTCTCACATGACCATGTTATAAAATATTTGAATAATTTGATCATTTAATGCTGTTTCATGTTTTCTTACATTCACTCGAAATAAAGAATTTATAAACTCAGTTGATGTGAAACAGTTTAATATTCTTTGAAGACAACAGTGGATATGACGTTTCCTGATGCTGATTGACTTCTTCGACGCAACCCCAAAAATTCAGTATTTGATCCTTTGCGAATTGCCAAGTGGCCTAAGGTCATACGAAACTCTGCATGTGGAAATTCAATACTTATCCAAATTTTCTTCTCCCCATCAATTCGACACGGTCTTGGTAAGACATAACGATTGAATTCATTTTTATCGATACGAACACGATCATAAAATAAGTCCATCGGGTTGTTTGTCATGTCTTTGATTTGGAATAAAAATTCTCCATCAGTGTTGTTTAAATCATAAATGAAATGGATTTCAGTTATAAAGATTGGCTTAGAAACAACAACTAAGTCTAAGTTAGCAAACTTGAATTTCTTGCGCTCAATTTTATCGCAAATAAATGATAAATTTCTAAAAGCAGAATTTTCAGTCAACTTCTTTTGTTGGAGATTAACTTTCTCTGCTAGAGAAGCTTGGTTTACAGCTTTCTTAGCAGGATTAGCTTTTCCATTGTTGTTCTGTTGTCGGTTGCGAACTCGTGATTTTTGTCCGGCACGTGAGCTTGTTCGACTGCTCACCGATTCAGTGTCAGATTCTTCTGCTTTAACGTCGCTTTTATCAGGAACATCTTCTTTCAACGACATTAAAGCTATCAATTCTTCAAGATCCTCATCATGGTTATCGAGGAATGAGGACCATTTGGTTAATGCATTACTAGCAACTGCTTTTGGAATCTTACAAGTTTGCATGATGGTATGAAGTAACTCACTTGAAATATGTAAAAAGTCGCTGCTTTGAAAGCATGCTTTATGATTCTTCTCGATGTAATCAAAGCATTTCATGTTTATTCTCATGTTATTTCCTTTGTTTGCATTTAAAACTTTGAAAACATGATCAGGATCAATTTCTTTGCACATGAAGTCGATCGTTTTTTCGATTAAAAATTTCATTTCAAGTTTCGTAGCTGCCTGAAGAATGTCAATCATGTTATTTCGGTTGAGAAGTGGATTTCCTGTATAAGCGTAGCGACAGATTTCAATCATTGTGAGCTTTGATATTTCAGAAATTTTTAGATCCATGATCGTTCCGTCTTCTAACTTGTGAGTGGTAAACAATTTATGAAAAACTGGGGAACTCGTCATGAGAAAGAATTTATGAGCTCTCAACTCATCCATACTATCGCCCAAAGTAAATTTTACATCCGATAAATATTCTAATAACGACATAATGAAAAAAACGAAATTAGTTTTATAATTCAAATAAAGATAAGCCAACACCAACACAATGATAAACTTTTTGCTGCAAAAAGATTTAAATTTATTTATTTAGATTCTTACCGCTTCCAATTAACGATTCTCGACATTTTTCAGGAGTTATTGTCTTCTTCAAAACATTTTCAAACTCTGTAGATGCCATGTTCTTGAATTTATTACTTATTACCAATTAAAAATGTTTCCTTATTGGAGAACTAAACGCATTTGAATGATGAATGTGTTTGTAGCTACAAAGCAACAAGTAAAGTGTGAATGTTGAATGTTTTGATCTTCAATGTTTTTGTTTCGTGAAAAGATTTGAAGAATCCTTCAAATATGAGACGAGGCGAAAACTAAAGCGTTGATTTGCAAAAGCAGGATCAGAAGCGGAAGTTTGAAATTGCTCAGAAGCGAATTTTGTCTCAACTTTTCTTTTATCCATGAAATAAAATTATGCTTACTTCTAGATATAAATAAATTATAGTTACTCAAATATTAAAAAAATTCAAGTTCTCTCTTCTCTACTTGAAAATTTGTTTTGTATTCTTAAAAATGTTATCGCTTAAGCGTTGTTTTGCCTTCGATTTATCACGGATATTAATTTTTTGAATGTAGTGGTTTATCACAGAGCTGACGTCCAACAAATTTCCAAGAAAAGGTTGTTGAGATTCTAACACATTGTGAACTTATTGCATACTTGCACATATTTATTATCTATTTATACATATAAGAAGACAAAAATCAGTACTTAGTTTTTTTCTTCCTTCAGTTTATTTCCATTTGTGAGCGAGGCCTGTTCAGATTAATAATTACGCCGAATTCATTTCATTTCCTGTCACATCATAAATATTTGCAATTTTATTTCTGTAAAATTTAAAAGAAAAGCAAGCCTAAAATACGATGGGACAAGAGAACAGCAAGGGAAACAAAAAAATCACTTCCCAAACTCATGAAATTTCAGATGATTGTTGTGAGTAGATCTAATCTTTGTTGTGATGAATTTTTAGTTTGATTTAACTTGAATATTAAAAATAAATAAAATTCTGTTCAAAGTTCAAGGAGAAAGACTCCAATATGGCCCGCCGAAAGTTAATAAAACATCTACACAACCAACCGTCTTAAAGCCGACACAAACTTATGCTCCACAATATTCAACTCCATCAGATCCACCTCCACCATATTCATCAGTTCAACAATTTTCTCCAAATGTACCATTGGGTTATATTCAACCGTCAATGTCAACAACATCGAAACATATTCCGCTTGGAACTAAAGGAAAGGTCTTCAATACTTGCGATGATCCAAATGACTGCCTTATACAAATTCAAGACAATTCATCGTCGACTCAAACAAATTCATCGTCGACTTTAAAACCAAAAATTCATCCAGACTTGCACGACCTTTTGATGGATAACATTAACAGCTTTCAAAATAATCAGAAGGAAACAACTAAACCTCAAACAAGTGTAGATAAAAGAATTGCTGAGCAAGAAGAGAAAATAACTCGTCAAGCACATGTTTTGGTTGTTGATTTAGATTTGGAACTTCCAAGATTATCGCAAAAGAAGGAAAATCCCGATTTTAAGTCATTCAACGGTCAACTGAAGAAGAATAAGAAATTGAATGACGTAAGAGAAACTTTGATCAATAACAAATATCTTTCGGATGTTCAGTTTATCATTGATGATGATCAAATTTTCTATGGTCATAAAATGATTTTAATTTCTTCAAGTTTCTTGTTTTATGAACATTTTCATGTTAATGGAGAATCGACTATGAAGATTGATTCGATTGATCCTGAAACATTTAAAGCAGTGATTTCTTATTGTTACACAAATAAACTTCAAGTGACTGAATCAAACGTCCTTGAATTGCTATTAGTATCAAACAAGCTTCAAATACGACAAATCGCTAATGTTTGCCATGGTTTTATAACCAAATTGATGAATCCTGAAACAATTTTCATCATCTACGAGAAGGCAATGGAAAACGACAATGAAGTATTCAAGAAGAAATGCTTGGATTACATCAACAAAAATGAAGAAAAATGTTTCACATCCAAAGGATTTTACAACATTTCTTTGTCATTGATAAAGAAAATTGTTGAATCTTGCAATTATTCGAGTGAGAAAGTGAATGAAATCATTGCAAAATATACACAAGGAAATATAGAAATTCCTGAAGATCCCAAACCGTCTGCAAGTGTTGAAGAATCAAAAGGAGAAGAAGCGAAGAATGCTGCATCGAAGAAACAGCCTAAAAAGAAAACGACGAAACCCCAAGTTCCAGCTTCGAAGGCTTCGGGTAAACCAGCTAAGGCACCAAATATGCCGCCTATGTCGCCTTTTTATAATCAACAAATGCGTCCGCCTCTTATGCATCCACAGATGCGTCCGCCTCTTATGCCACCACAGATGCGTCCACCTCTCATGCAACCTTTTTATAATCCACAAATGTGTCCACCTCATATGCAACCACCAATGCCACCGCAGATGTTTGCAGTTCCACCTTCACGTGATTTCATGCATGAACTTTCGACGAAGACTAAAAAAGGTAAACAAACTTCATCTTTAGTCACTTTAGATGATGATGATGACGCTAGCAGCATCATCAGCAAAGACGATGAAGCTGTTGCAAAAACAAGTGTGAATGTTCATGGTCAACGTAAGCCTTGGAAAACTGAGTTCAGTCGAATCGATTTTGTTTGCAAGCGATCATTTCTGCTTCATGAAGTTCGATTTACTGAAGACTTGTCAAAGAAAATGCGTGGTGAGATCAAAGTAACGATCACAGTGTTTGAACAAGAAAAGCGAAAGGATATTCATACAAGAACTTTAACTAAAACTGTTACTAAAGGAAAACCAAGTGAGATCTTGTGAATTCACTTAACAAATTTATTGTCAACTTGAATTTCTCTTCATTCACTCTAGACATGAAGTTGAACTTTATAAGATTTGGAACGCATCCTTTGAAGTTTTACATTGGACAAAAGTTCTTCATCAAGTTAAACTTTTCTGAGAATGATGATCGTGTTCATGTCGATCCAGAAAACTTAACTAAAAATACATTTCTAGAATTGCGAAAGGATGATGAAACGAAGAAATATTTCAATTGCGTAAGCGTTCTTACCGTTTCTGAAATGACCACAAATTAAAATATGAAATGAGAAATGATGAAAGATATGAAGATTAGAAAAGTTTGAAGTTTGCTTTTATGATGCTACAACATGTAGAAATTCATAAAGTATTCGAACAAAACAGTAAACAAACTGAATTTATTTTCAAAGGTAGTTCGTAATGTTTATCAACCATAACTCTTTTTTGTTTTATCTTTGCATTTTCAAATTCTTTAGATTTTTGACTATAAAACTCTTGAGAAGATGAAGAAATGTGTGAAAATATGTAAAATTTCAAGTAACTATGCAAAAATTCATTTCAACATTTATTTATATTGAAAAATATTTCATGAACAAAAGAAGCGACATTAAGATAGATTTAGGAGGTTGAATGCATTCCTTTACGAGATATTTAGTAGCCTTCAATGTTGCATTTTTCTGATCATTGTCGTTTATTTCGTTACACTTGGAAATTTTCATGTTATATTTGCGAGTGAAGAATTTTCAAATCCTTTAATATGAAAAGATCAAATTTTTACAAGTTTCATTTGAACTTCACACTGCACTGCATACATTCTTATTGTTGACTAATTGTTTCAAAGAATCATAACTTAAATTGTTAAAGGATATTTTGAAACAAAATGAATCGACACAACATGAACAACTTTGATTAGTTTATGTTTGATTTATTATGATTTACGTGCCTGGAAATTAAATTTCTTGGAATTTATTAAAAGCGCAATTAAAACTCCAACATAAATATTTTTTTTAATCAATTAAAATATTTAAAATTTTTCAATGAAATTTCACACTTGATGAAAAGAAAAATTTTATAAATAAATTGTTATAAAACATAATTTAAGAAGTTTTTATTTCATTTTTAATTTAGTGCTTTCTTTTCATAATGCAATGGCATGAGATGTTGAAGCTTTTAAAATTATAAATTTAGTTAACTTTCTTACTTATTTCTTTGGAATATTGTTGATAACAATTCTCCAGCATTCAATCAGTTTTGAGAATTTTTTAAACGAGAAACTGCGTGAAATTGTGTGCAGATTGCAAATTTTTGAATTCAATAAAATATTCGTCCTGATCGCAATAAAAACGAATTAAACATTCAAATTAATGCAGGCATATTCAATTTAAATATTCTCCTATTTCTTTATTGACAAAAAATATGTTCTGGAATTTTTTCTGTATCAAATTTCCAATGGAGTCGCATTCATGAATATGCATAAAAAAGTATTTCGAGTTTTCCAAGTATGTTTATACTTTATTAAGTTGTACAAAAGCTCTTCAAATCGAATTTTTCCTTGAGAGTAAAAAAGTTATTTTAAAATTTATTACGAAACTTCGATAGTAAACTTTAATTCATTAACTTTCATGTTGTGATAAAATAATTTACATTAATGAATAATTCACATTAAGTAAAGTTTTAATTGCACATTGCTCTGAAGAAGTTATCGATGAAAAACGAGAATTTATTAGATACTTAAAGTTAAAGTATGGCATGAGAGGGAAACGCAATTGAAAAGCACAAACTTTTGTCTTCTTAGTTGACATCAAGAACAAAAACACTTTGTTTTGTTCATTTATGAAACTTTTATTCGTGCAACGTGTCCGAAAACAATTTTCGTAGATTCCTAAGCTTAACTATAAATATCTGTCCCGATGTGAGACAAATACATTCCTTGGAAAAATTAGATACTTTCCCTTCTTCTTCTTCCGACGATATAAGTTTAGCAAAGTGTGCTCGTTCACCAGCATGGAAAACATGCTTGACACTCGTTGCTTTCTCAAAGAAAATTAATTATCTCGAACGTTGAAAAAGTTTATTAATTAATTTGCCCAATCCAAAGACAGACATTTATTTCTTAAACGAGGTAACAGAATTTTTATAACAATTGATGCCATTGTGCATAATTATCCTTTGAATGATTGTCATGCAGATTGAATTAAATGCAATTGAACAGCAGTTGATTTAATCTCGGCAAATAATTTTGTGGCAGCTGCGACAAAACTTCATTCAAACCGAATTATTGCTAGCATAAATACTGACCGTTTATTATGTTTTAATGTTAAACCATAAAGCAACAATAAAATATATTTCACATAGAAAACTATTAATTTTCCTTCATCTTTGGATTACAAATTACAACTTTGTAATCACAAACACTCGCAGCGAAAACTATCTTCGGGTTATTGAATCAGGTCAAGCATTTTTATAGCAAAATTTCAGCAGGAAACAAAAATCTTTGTATGAAGCAAAATTATTAAGGTAATAAAAACATTTTGAGACTTGAATTCTAAATTTACAGCTGATAATTTCATCAATAACATGAAAGCATGCATGTTCCTGACTGTTGCATGTTTATTTCCTTTGTTATTTATTTGTTTTCTATCAGTTTGTGAAACAAAATCCAAACATAAATCTACAAAATCTCAGCAAAATTTTTATTCTTCAAATAATTGAGAGGCAATGAAAACATTTAATTGTTTAGATTGAACTACTCGTCACTATCTTGACCACTACAATCCCATCGAGTGCACAGCCAGCCTCTCCCGTTCAAAGCGCATTTACAAAAGTTGCACTCCTTTAAGTGGAAAGAAAGTTTAAATTTCATTAAAAATAAGAGAAATCGAAACTTCACCTCAAACTTAACATCATTGGGTGAACATCGATCAATACTCAATGAAAGAATATTTTCATCAGGTTGATCTGAACCATCAAACATCTCAGTCGTTGCTTTAATATTTATGTACTCTCTAGCAACGTCATCTTTATGAAGTGATGTCGTCAGCGTTTCTGAAAGGATTAAAAGTTAAATTAAACATTTGCATTAAATTTGCAAGTCCACCTTTAGTGCTTAAGATAATAAATGTAAACGTCGTTAAAATCAGCAGCTTCATTATGACCGTAATAATATTAAAAAATCTGAAAACTTTCTCAACTTTTCCGTTTGAATTCTTCTATAAAACTAATCGATATTTAAATATATAATGATGATGATTATTTATTACTGTGAGTGATCTTGAGAGTTCATTAAAGTTAAAATTGATAACATTTACGAAATAAATAAATCAAAAGTAAATGAAGCAGCTCGTTCAACAGTTTATAGAGCTGCGATTCACATTCTCGGTGCATCTCAGAAAAACTTCCGCAAATGTTCGAATCTACTAATTCATATGCTCATTATTTAATTATCCTACGATTAAAATGAGCGGAATTTTAAAAAAGCTGAGTTATTAAAACTTTTACTTTGATAACGATATTTGCTCATTAAGGCAACTTCAACCTCAATTTTTTGATAACAAAATTATGTTAGCAGTTTGTGAGAGTTGCCTTTTAGTTAAAGACTCAAACAATGCCACGTTGATGAATGTATAAATTAAGAATTTAATTATATCTGCAGAAACTTCAAACAGAATTTAAAATAACTAAAAATTTTACGATTATTTCATGCATTTCAAGAGTTACTCATCTGAATTGATAAACAAATATTTAAATTTGTATTAAGATTTTAATTTATTCTTTTATGTGTGAAATCATAAACAAGAAGAGCTTCTTAAAGTGGTGTGAAGCCACGTGTTTGCTCAATCAATACATGCAATTAATGTACATGCGTAAAGTCCATTGGTACAGACGCAAGTGTTGCAGCCATCATGGTATGAATGACCGTCGACACAGCGAGCTGTTGCGCTGCTGACATCACGAAGAGCTCTGATTCCTTGTGTAGTTTCTTCTGCCACTGTGTCAGGGAATCTCGGTTCATCAGGAGAAATGCAAGCTCTGAGAGTGCACTGGTAGATGCCAGTTTCAGTACAAGTACATGTGTTGCAATCTTGTTCATAGCTATGACCCGTCGTGCATGGTTGTTCCACTAGAGATGAGTCTAAATTTAGAAGTTTTGAAAGTTCAAAAGATTATCATAAAACCAAATGTTACGTAATAATTTAATATGTTGAACTTACAACATGATCCCACAAAGAATGTGAT